AAAAATGATACGGGTATAACGAGTGTGTCACGAGGTATATGTAAAATAATACCCCATATCCTAAACGAGAAACTTGCAAATATTTGCCAAAAGTTGGCTTTTCCATTAGAGTTTACCAACTGTTGGCCATAAAGCGTCAAATGGAGCAGGAGTAAGAGGATGCGACACTCACACTGCGGAAATTGTTAGCGTGTTTGAGTGGCACACAGCTTAGTGGTACTTACACATAGCACGTATATTTAATTCGGTCGTCAAAATTGCTTAACTTATTTCAAAATGATTGAAAACTCTCTCTTAATATGCGACGACTAACCGAAAACCGCTTCATTTTATTGGCAAACTATTTGTCACCAAGACTTTAATATATATAGACTTTAATATATGTATATATATATATATATATATATATATATATATATATATATATAGATAATACTCAGAGCCAGGCATGCATTGCTAGAGCTTAGTCAGAAACCAATTTATACAAAGCGTTGGGCATCGCTCGTGTCCGGCAAGGGCTCGATTCTAAAAATAAATATATATAAACTGGCATCGACTTGGCCAGCAACGCTGCGTATATATGTTATTATTTTCTTGCCTGCTGTTCAGCGTTGTCTGTGCGTGTGTGTGTGTATGTGTGTGTGTCTGTGCGTGTGTGTGTGTGTGTATGTGTGTGTGTCTGTGTGTGTGTGTGTGTGTGTGTGTGTGTGTGCGTGTGCATAACTGTGGGTGTTTGTCTGTGCATGTCTGGTGTTTGTGTGCCTGCGGTTCTTATATTTTGAGATTTCGAGCCCAGCCTTATCCCTGCACATGCCTGGCCGACGTGCAAGTCCTTTGTTTGTCTTTTATTTGCCAACATATGTTCGCCTTGAGTTACAAATTGCTGGCAAATGTCCGTCCCGTTAATTCGCAGACGGTCTGAGAAAGCCCGCAAAATTTGTAAACTCGTTATTCATTTTGCATAATAAATGAAATGAAAATAGCCGTAACAACTGAAACTGAAGCAGAAACTGATGCATTCACTTGAAAAGCCAAATAAATTTACCAACGTCATGGCTCTGCGTCATATAGCCATTTTTCATGATGGCTGCCACCAACTGCCCACCTTAACGTCTTCAAAATATATGTATTTGTATCTTGATTATGCTGGGCAGTTATCTGTTATCTTATGAACGCTGCATATTTTATAAAATGGAAAATATGGACTGAAATTGCAGCTATGCATAATTAACGAGTGCTGACATTCCTCAAACTTGATGTGGACAAAGTTGAAAGAGCTATGCCAGAAGGCGTCCTCATTCAAGTTAGTTGCATTCCCACAACTACAACGACTAATTTAAACGACTCTTGAGTAAAAGTTCCTTTCAAAATAAAAGTATGCATAATTCAGCAGATACTTATGCTTACAGACAACATTTCTGGTTTTAGTTGAATATTTTATTACCATTTTAATATATATAAATATTTGTCATTGCATGAAATAGATCATTTAAGAAAAAGGTATACTTTATATTTATATAAAAGTTATAGAAATTAATTATGGTTTATTTATTTTATTTTCCTAGTTTGTTTGTTCTATAAATAAGTTGGCTGAGAGGTTTGTGTTAGTTGATTACAATGGTATCGATTGGAATAATATGACAAAAGTTTTGTAAATTAATAACGTAATTTGATTTGAATAATACAACTGACCTGAATTTGGTACAAATACAAAGAATAAATTTCAACCCTACACAACTTAAAAGTATAACCAACATAAGCGGGAGTTTAGACCCATATTAGATATATATTTAAGGCTCTAATCTGCCGTTGTCGTATTGTGCAAGTCAGAATTAAATACGTGTAGTAAAGGTGTGGAGCCAACAACAAGTTGTTCTTGCTGTTGTCAAGGCTTAGTATTGCTTGGCAAACAGCAACTTAACGCTTTATGCAAGGATTTGTGGCACAGTGACTGCTGACAAGCGGCGCACACCACAAACAGGGGACAGGTGGCATTGTTAGGTGGATTTGTTAGCTTTTTAAGTTATTACAGACACCAAGGAAAAAAAGTACACAAAGCACACATTGCAGAGAATGTGTTTGCCCAACGGCTCGGCCCAGCTATCAGGTAAGTAGGAGATACAACTTCTAAGTACCACAAACAAGAGCGGTATAAAAAAAATAAAAATAAAAATATGCGCTTTGAAGCATTAGCCAGTCAGCAACAACAGCAGCACTTTGTGAATTCATTGTTAGCCGTTAAAGAGGAGAAATCACCTACCATAAAACCATACTGATTGCGTAGGCAGCTCTGATTGATTGTATGTTGACTGTCCCTGCTGGCTGACTTAAATCAAAAACATATGTATTTACCAAAGCACGAAATTTACTTATACTCCACATACATATATATATATAGATTGAAAATGTAAACGAAATATGCACATTTACTGCAATATTTATCGAAATTTACACATGTAAGAGTGAAGCTAATGGCTGATTGTCAAAAACTAACAGTTTATTGCTGATAGGGAAACAACAACGAAAGTAATAAAGCCTCAATACAATCAGCGTCAGTCCGATAGATAAAATCCAGCGCCACTTGATACACAGCGTATACGCAATATCGATTTGAGCAGCCAACTGAGCATAAGCCTGTTTCCTATTCCCCGGCCCTAAAATGCCGTGTATTGTCGTTATGCTTTTTCCCCTTTTCCCCTTTTCTCATTTTGTTATTTTTTGTTTTGTTCCTTGCGTATTGCGTGATTTTTGCCAGCAGATAACGTTTGACGTAAGAGCAACAGATTTTTTTCGGTTACATGTACGGCAATTTTATAACTGAACTCCCCCTAAAAGTGAACTGATGGCATTTTGCCGTTTATCTGTCTGCAAGCATCGGGAGCGAAATATATGGGAATGCGTACCGGAAGTCCAGTCAACACCAATTTCTAGCTAAATTATAGTCCATATTTAAGCCGAGTATGCAGGTATAATATGAAATGGTTGGCTGTAAATATTGCTTAAACAGCACTCTCGGGGCAATACCAAATAAAATGCTGTTCTTAACGAATAAAAAAGATTTATAAGGTAATGTATTTATTTACATAAATTATGAGGGCCCACAGACTTTGAAAGTTATTACATAATCCGTTAGCATAAAACTTTGCCCATTTACCTACATTCAAGATGTACCACAAAATACATAATTTTTGTAAAGAGATTAAAAATGTTAACAATAAATACATTTTTCAGTGGGGAAGTCCAAAATTAACTTTTCACTTACAATTGAACATTAAAAAAAATGTAAAATTTCCCGTTACATCGAAATGATATGAAAACGGCTGAAATGAAACTGTGTTTAAATTAATTGCAACCAACAAAAGACTTCAAATGGTATGAGAATAAGATTGTAATAAAATCATGAAAGTGTCGGTTATGCAAAGCAGGGCTAATGAATAAAGCTATCCGATCTCCGAAATAAACTTAATGCTATGCAGTTTTTGTATATACTCGTAGATTAATTCTGAATCAAAGGCTTAGGAAAATCAAAGTTTCCGTAAATCGCCGTCCATGAATCCCACAATAATAATAATAATAAATATAATATTAATAAAATAATATTTATAATTATATATAATATATATTATTATTACACTAACGCATATTTGTAGATATGTATTTAATTATAATACGTATTAGTTTTATTTGTTTTGCACTAAGCAAATTGCCACTATTGGCTAACGAGAAACATTTATAATATTAGTATACTCTTTGATCATTGTTAAATCTTAGGAAACTCAAGCCAACTTTCCAATGGCATTTAATTAACTATTATATGTTTTATGCAGTTTCAATGCGATTACTTTGTTTTAGTGGGCGGGCGCTTGTGGCTCACATAAACAAGGATAGCCAGTAACCCATTCAACGGGAAAAAGAAAAATATTATTTTTGCCCCATGAATAAAATTGCGCAATTGAATTTTGTTATCACAGCTGTTGCTGCTGCTGCAGTACCTGCAATCGGTTTGCATTGTACATTTGCCCTCTTGTAGAAATGTCTATGGCGCAATGAAGGTTATCGCATATATTGTTGAATAACAACAGCCAGGACACAGGATGGGGCAGCTGAACTCAGGTGGCCGGTCATCGCAGCGAATAAGGCAGGCAATATCGACTTACATATAAATCAGCAAATTATATAATGAAGATTGTATAAGCTAATTGGATTTAGCGCCTGCTTCATATTTCTTTACTGACGTCGTCTAATTAAGTTGACACAAAATTTGTAGATTGTTTTTGTTGTTTTTGCTATTTCTAGTGTATCTAAATTATTAGCGTGTGTAATATATATGCAACAAGTGGGTCGGGGCACAATAGCTGTCAGTAACAGGCGTGTGGCAAAATATTACCAAACTGCTGTGAGACAGTGCCGCTAATAGCCATGTCAAGTGGATGGCTGTCAACGGCAGGTGAATGCGTAATGTATGCATTATATATATGTGTATTAAACAAGTGTGTTGTTGTTATTGCTATTGTTGTTGTTGATGTTGTTGATTTTGTGTTCATCTGCAGTTTTTGACCTTGTGCTGAATTCGTGCGAGCAACTCATGAAATGCTCAAATTTGCGCCTCAACGATATGCAATGAAAATGTTTTGCGCGGCTGCCGGAAGTTGGGCAAAGTCAAAGTTTTCATTTTAATGCTATGTATGCCAGGCACGTGCCTTGCCACACTTAAACACACACACACACACACAAGTACACAAGAGTACATGCACGCCCACTTAAGCATTCACAATTAGCCAAGCAGCCCCATTTAATGGTTGTTGTTGTTGTCGTTGTTGTTGTTGCCTCGTTCTGTCTGTTTGAGCTTGGAGAACATGCACAAGCCGTCGGCACATGAAATCATTGATTTTTCACAGCAACAAAAAAAGCTGACTGACTAACTTGTGTTTTGGGCGTTTTGTGTGTGCGTGTGTGTGTGCGTGAGTGTGAGTGTGTGTCACCTCGGTCAGGTTACTTACCGGTCCCAGATTGTCGAAGCCATACTTATCGGCCACCTTGTGGGCGAAATCATTGTCAACGCCCCGACGGAAGCGCACCAGGAAGGAGCTAGTAAAGACGGCCTGATTGCCCAGACCGCCAGCGCCTCTGCCGCTGGCTGCTTCCACTTCGGCGAACTGCAACAGCGGCAGCAGCATTAGCAGCGCCAGCAAACCGATGCACAGCAGTCGCCATGAAGCAGCAAAGCTCCATGAAGCTGCCGCAATGAACATTGCACGCGTTTCGCTCGTGTTTCTTGTTTTTTTCTCTCTTATTATTTACGTCTGTTTCCCTTAAGACTTTGTTTGCGCTTTAATTCACAATTTGCAACGATGGGGCAACGCTGGCGTCACAAATTCGTGCACACTTTTCTGTTGGTTCGGGTAGTAGTAGCTTTGCTGGGGGGCCAGGTTAGAGTGTCAAAAATAAAGGCCGCGCTTCACTGGACCCACACACGCACACACTGAGGCACAAATGCGTTCGTTAATTCGTTCGTTCGTTTGGTGTTTGTAAATAATGAATCCTTCAGAGGCGGCCGGTAAAACACTTGAAGCGTGTACCCTGCAGGACTGATTTGGCAATCGAAATTAATTTCTTGTCTTTCTTGTTATTTTCTATCTTTTTCCTTTTTTTTCTTGATAGAATTTGTTTGTGTGTGCGCTGTGTGGCTGCTCTTTGCGTTGATTGTTGTGCGCTGCCACGAACTTCACTTCGCCGTTGCGCGCTGAAAACTGTTTGACAGTGTCGGCAGTGGACGCCATTATGAATATATGTGCGCCATGCGCCGCACCATTCAAAAGCATTGTGGAAAAGCTCGCACTGAAAGCTTCTCGCATGCGCCCACACACAGTGCATTTCATTTGTCACTAGTGCTGTGCTGCTCGCACGCCCAGCTGCTGCTCCTTCGGTCTATGGAGGCTTAAGCTCTGCTCCTTTTAGCTTTCTTGTTTTTGTTACTTTTGCAGCTTGCTTAGCTTCTTTGTAGACGTCACCAATTTGGTTGACCTGCTGTTGTCGCCTCTTTTGCCTTCTATTTTGTATCCCTTGTGCGAATAATAATCGTCGCCCCTCTCCACTTGTCCCTAGCATTCATTTTCTTGCGTGTATTGTTTTGTTGGTGTTGATATTTTCGATTGCTCGGCTTGTTGCTCGGCTGCGATTGGTTTATGCTACGCATTGTCAACATATGGCAACATACTTTATGCTCCAGATTCATTGCATTTCATCAAAGAGACACACACACACTCACACACACATACACACTCTCACACACACACACATACACTTACTCAGATATGTATGCATATGAATGTTGTGTATGTGTGAGTGCTTGAATAGCCCTATACAAGAATAATAGCTGAAAAGAGGTTCAACTTTGACCTTAGCCCGAATGAAATGAGCTGCTGTCAAAGCGTGCATTAAGCTTTTTAAATGTGCGCAATTGGGAGCCAAAGTTAATGGCCATAAGCTGCAGCTTGTAGACCCTTTAAGGGCTACATATTTAATTACATATTGCAGTAATCCTTTTGAAACCATAATGCGACAAATGGCTGGAGCATAATTAGAATAGTCCTCTCTAGGTTAATTTATTTAGAACATTACTTATTTTTATTTACTGTATTTAAACACATAGTACACTAAATTTTTGTTGTTGAAAAATTTGTCCACAAAACTATACTAAGAATCAGGGAGACTCTGAGCATTATATTAATTTATATTTCTATCTTCACAGGTCCTCTCACAATGATTAAAAAAATAATTCCAAATCTATTATATAAAGTTGTGAAAAATATAACCTAAATTTTATTCTAAATGATTAAGATTAAGTTTATTCATAATAAGCATAAATTCATTAATGATGGAATACCTTTTCTTACAACTAGCAACTATCCAAGAACTAATCATAAGTCGTATCCACGAACTTAAAGCTGATCATACTGAATTAATTATCTCCATGGGACTCTCAATGGTCCCAGCCCTTCCGCATTGAGCCCAACTCTTTAAATCACTAATCGAAAGCATATGGTTGATAGCGTGAGCGGGCCGTAAACAACGCAATTAGTTGTAGTTTAAATTACAATTAAGGTTTAATCAAGCTTACACTTAAATTTACAAAATAGCTTTAGAAGTATGCATTTAATTAAGGTATGCGCAGTCTGTGAAGCAATGGTGAAAAGCAAAAAGGCCAACGAAACTTGAAGAGTGCCAACTTTTTGCGCATCACAATCTGTTGCTGGTTGAAGGGAAGCCGTTGGAACATTTTATTGTGGGCGTCGCAGTTTCATTTCCGCCTGCCGCCAAAAAGATTGCCTCGCGCTATAAATAGTCGACATTGATAACTATAACTATATATATATAAATATATATATATGAAATTATCACTTACCAGTTGAAGTGGCCGGCGACAAGGTATGGGAACTGGCGTGTCGCTTGATGCGCGGTGTATCTGACATGCTAGAAACGCCTGCAGCGGCGGAGGAAGTGGAACAGGAAGCGGAAATTGGGGCAACGCCACAGCTAGAAACATTATGGCCGACGGTGACATCAGCGCCTGTCTTACTCGGCATCGAGTTGTAACGCTGCAGCGAGGTACGGGGCTTTTTGGGCTGAGTAGCCTCCAGCATGGCCTCGTCGAGGGCGGTGAACCAATCCTCACTTTCGCTCTCATCCTCCAAAAACTTCATATAGAATGACGACTGCTTCTCCTTGTGCCTCTTCAGATGACTGGTCGGTGTTGTGGCGGCAACAGACGACGTCCGCTTCGGCGACTGCTTTGACTCCAGGTGCTGTGTTGCCTCAAGCAAAAAGCAATCCGTATCCGAATCGTTAAAAAAGTCTGACAATGCATCTGCTGCAACTGCCTCAACTGCCTTTGGAACTTCCGGCGTTGCAGGCTCCATGTGTTGCTGATCTAGCTGCCTGTGCAGCTGGTCGCATCGTTCCCTGAGCAGCTCATTATCGCGTATCTGCTGTGCCCGCCAGTGTCGATTGTCCAGCTGTTTGCGGCGCAGCTCAATGGCTGCATCCGCGCGCGCCAGTTTTCTTCGCTCCCGGTGTCCGTAAGCATTTGGGCCAAACTCTTCCGAATCGAAGCCACTGTCCGAGGTCGTGTTGACCTTGTCGCCGTGTCGCGCATTATTATCGCAGTTCCAGCGCCAGCTGACCTCCGGGCTGCCCGTGACGAGCGTCTGCGAGAACAGGCAGCTGGGCGACAGGCTTGTGCGTGGCGAGAAATCAATGCTATCGTCAAATGTGTGCATCGTTCTGTGCGGCGGCGTGCTCTCCACACTATCCCGCACAGTCACCGTTGGCGAACCAGGCGAACCCTCCGCTTCCCTCTCCGTTTCCTGTGTTGCGCTGGCGCGAACGCGACTTTGCGGCGAGGCTGCATATACAAATTTAATACAAATTAAGATTATCGTTGCTCGATGCTGAAAGAAATTTTCTCGCCTACCACTGTGTCGTTTGTGCAGCAATCTGCTGCTCAGCGTTAATGAGCGCCTTTTGCTTACTGTTGACGCGTTTTCCATTTACGAACATCAATTGAATTCATTTAAAACATTTAGCGAATGCGTCGTAAAATGCGCTCAATTCAATACCTTTGGTATTTTTTGGTGTCTTTTGATGTTAACAAAGTATCGACATATCGATAGACAGTTGCTGAACAATATTTGAACGGTTGTTTTAACGTAATTATCGATTGAAGGCGGAATTTCAACTTAAATAACTAACTAACTGATGTATTTTAATTCCAATTCGAAGAAAATCCAGTCTTAGCAGCTAATTGAGGTGGTTCCATAAAACGATAAACAGACTACGTATTAAATAAATAAATCTGAAACAAAATACATTGCAACTGAATCCGATATATATATTTCTTATTTTTCGTTTTTGATTGAAAATCATTTAGTATCTTTGTTGCTGTCAGAAAGCTGACTGCTGCGACACGCAAGTGCTTCACAGCTTCAAAATGTTGCCAGACACTCAAGTGTAAATTATAAATCTGACTACTGCAATACGATAGGGCTGCACAGAATAAAAGATTTAACAGCCAAGATGTTGCTGGTTTTTTTTTTCAAATAAAAAACCATCACTTAAATTACATTCATTTTATTAACAATATTTGCATAGCTAATAAATTTATACACAACTCTAGTCACATGCTACTGCTGCTGAGTAATTGTTGTGTATAGACCACAATATTTAGCTAAATTGATTGTGTTACCTTTGAAATTCATTTAATATATCATTTAAAAACACACTGACTTTAAATGCTTCAAAATAAATGTTAAATGCATAATAAGTAAATAAATAACATCATTAGATACAATTATTGTCCAGCCAAAAAAATCTCGATTCACTTCTGCTCGAACGCACGTTGAACAAATTACAATCCCTTGTTGTACCAAACAGTTTCCAAATCCGGCTGTTTTTTTTTTATGGATTCGCGTACCTCGGTCTCCAGACTGTCCACTTGGACGGCAGCACGCTGACTGAAGAATGCACAGCCCAAGGGCGTGGCAAAGAGTAGGATAAGACCGCAGAAGAGCGTTTGAATGGGAGCATTGGAACGAGGATATCGCTTGAGGAAGCCGTTCTTCTCCAGCTTATTCATCAGCATAGGTGTTAATGCTGTGAAAAAAACACACATAGATTATAGTACTGTAAATGCAAGTGCAATATTTATGCAATAACTTACTCATTCCGGGCAACGCCATTGCAATGCGACTGACGACAACAGCTGAAATTCCCAGAAAAGCGGCCTTCTTGGATATGCCAACCTCAGCGTTCTTCTCATCCAACAGAACGACTCCATTGCGCAACTCCCTATATATCAAATGATAAGGCTTGAGTCATATCTGATAAGATATATATCTGAAGATTGCTGAAGATATACTCACTGCATTCGCATGCAAGGAATGTTGATGCAATTGGCAGCTGCAACTGCAACAAGCGGAACCAGCCGACCGATCAATGGATTCATATTCTTCACAGCTCGGTTCAGGGTGAGCGCTGTGCCCAGCGCACCACTCGTGGCCAGGCAGTATGAGGTAATCAGTTGCCTGTGGAACAATTGAAGAGTACATCGCTTAAATTTTGGGCTCAGCTTTCCTAGCAAGGGAAGCACCTACGATTGACTAATTGGTGATGTGCCCGAGCGATTTGTATAGTTGACAATGGCGTTGAACGTTTGATTGAACCACTGCCAGAAGACAACGGCCGGCGTTGTTTTGTAGAAGGTCATCATGCCTAAATAAAAAAATAAAAAAATAAAAAACACAACATAAATAACAACAACAACATCATTATTACTAGTTTATTAATCAAAGCGCGGAAGCGAATAGTTGAAATTGCCAAATGAAAGCATATTTGAGATCAGCACACACTTGGAAAAAATGTAGCTCTTTGCTTAAGAAAACTAAATGTTTGATAAGGAAAGATAAGATTCTTTCCATTTTAGCTATTTCCAGATATGATTCAAGTCAGAAACTCCAATACATAGTAAGATATTTAGATTACAATTCTTTATCTTTGGTGCCCTTTTCAATAAAAATAAAAATGTTTTCTATTAATTTGCATTTAATATATTCCCATCAAAAATTTAAGTTTTTAAATTAACAACAAAAAAAAACATTACAAAATATGATCATAAAGAGTGTTTATCAATTTTTAAATAATTATTTTTATATCATGTTTTTTCATTTCTCTGAGTGTATGCTGTCGATCTATAGATCTATAGGTCAGGGACGTTGTTCATTAGCAACTAGATTGGGGGGTAAATAGTACTTACAGCCAGTGATAAGCATGTTCATTGGCATCTGTGCGGACATGCGACCAATGATGATCTGTTTCTCGCCCGTCTCCGGATGAAAGGCCGAATCGTACAGATATTTGGCCCTCCATATATCATCCATAGATTTCGCTTCGGGCACATCTTTGCCAGCGCGATATTTCTGGACTATTTGGCGAGCCGTCTCCAGTTGTGTATTGGTTGCGAAGACGTTGAGGGGATTGGTGACCAGAATGAAATGCTTCGCACGGCCCAAATACGTGCTCTGATCGAATTTGGGCTTATCAATATCCACACGGGGTAAAAGTGCCATTTTGTTGTTGTTGTCTTTTTTTTGTTGTGTCTGTTACTGCTGCTGAATTATTGAATTAAAATGCAGATTAGATAGATCCGTCATGATTAAAAGGAATCGATAACATAATTAATATAGACTCTATCTGATCTGTCAATAACTGTAAAAACCAATTTGCTTCTTTTATCGAGTGAAAGAAAGCTAAAGAGAGAGAGAGAGAGACAGAGAGAGAGTGAGAGAGGGAAAGAGATAGATAGAGAGACAGAGCTGTTGCTCTGAAAGCAGCTTATCAATGGCCGCAATGACCCAACAGCTTCATGCTAATCACCAGCAAACAAGTTTCAAACTCTGGTGCAGTAAATATGCTCATATTGAAATATACAAAAATATGTACGTCTGTACATTTATTATACATTCACAAATATTATTGACTTGACGTGAACCTTTTCGCTTATGCATTCAAAACAAAAACATTTCTTGCCCGATTATATAAGGGCTTTCATAATGTTAATGTGAATAATATTGAAAAATCCATAAATCTTATCGGCGTTCGCCGGGCGCACAGCTGACTTCAGCATAAGAACAACAAATTTCTTGCACAACTCGAGCTAACAATTGGAGAGAACAGGTTGCGACACTGACACACGCGAGTGTGCTTGTGTGAGTGTGTGGCAATATTTGGCAATGGGTTCTTGAAGTTTTCCACGCGGGCACCACCTACACCCGCAAACACATTTACTCACGCACTTCCAAGCGACACACCTCCTAACACATTGGCAGTGAACTTACGACTGAATCGAGTGCTAAGAGTTCCAACGCCGCTGCCGCAGCTGGCCACTATCAGCTGCAGCTCCAGAGAGCTTTTTACGCCTTTCAAGAAGATGTCATAACTATGTCACACTGTTTGTGTGATGACAACAATTGCGTAATTTTGACACCAGACACCAAAACGCATTATTTAAGAGAATAAGTTTAATTGTATATTTTCAAGCAGAAAAATTAAATACACAATATAATTACATATTTAATTTATTTCTAAATCAATTTAAATTCTGATAATGTTTTAAACAGATTGTAAAGCGTATTCACTAGTCAGTATTCTAAAGTTAGTTTCTTTTCATTCTTTTGCTTTCGTGTTTACCTTACGCTTCTTTCAATTTTGTTGGCCTGTGCTGTAGCAAATACCAATGACGACATGGAAAAGAGCGAGGAAGAGATGAAGAGAGAGCTTTTTCTCTTTGTGCTCTGCGCAGCTCATTACCAGTTCGGCTTATGCGTTGCCATAGCTTTTAAGGCAGTCTGTTGTGCCCTGCCAACAATTTCAATTAAATGGTTGTTGACTTACACATCACCTTCATGAATATATATATATATATATACATATATATACCAAAATTTGATTTATACTTAAACAGCTGTTTTAAAATACCTTACCAAAACAAAAATATTAACCAAACCTGGTGTTGGATTGCACCGCTACTACAATTCCAATGCCAATCTTATGGAAACATCAAATTTAAGTCCAAGAAATTATTGGCGATTTTTTCAATTAGTATGTTTTTTGCTGATTAAAATTCTAAGAAATTAATTGAAATATTGGCCCGATAGTGAAAGAATATTTAATTTAATATTGCGTGTGTATATTCATTTATTTTTGAAATCCATTAATAGACTAAACATAACATCAACAGTTGTGTATATTAGCAATAGTTATTCGGTTTCTTTCTTTACAAATAAATGTAATTATTCGTTTTTGTTTATTTGTTATTATTATTCAATATTTGATATATAAATAAATTTTATGCATATTGAAGTATCTCTTAAATGTTTGCAAACAATTATAGTCATAGATAACACAAATGATAGATGTAAATGCAAATATGTATATAATAATAGCATAGATGACATTTATTGTACATTCTTGTAGGTAGTATGTATGTATATTGCTATACGCATATACTATATATATATACATATATATATATATATGTTTAAAGCACGTGTATGTGTGTGTGTATATGTGAATGGGTGTGTATTTGTTTGTTTATTTTTCCATCTCTGTATAATTATGTATAACTAGTTATATGCATACATCACTTATACACTTAGGTAATTAAGTAGTTACAATATTTGCACACGAAATATATATTTAATATCATTTGATTTAGTTGGAGTTTAGTTTAAATTAAATCGAATAGAACATTTTGAACATTAGTATGTGTTTAATTTTGGACGTTCATAACGTGTCAACTGTTTGTTAAATTTGAATTGAACTGCTAATTGAAATAGTTAATTGAAACACTTAACGCTCTGTCAACAATTTAAGTTTACTTCTTGGATTGTATATGAGTGTATTTCTCTTTGATGTATGATTTAATAGTCGTGTATGTATAAGTATCTGTATATGTTGCATATGCCCCTCAAAACGGCTAACATTTTGTTTAACTTTGCCAACACGCACTCGGTATATAGTATATGTATGTATATGTTTATAACTATTTATAAATGTATCCATTTGTATGAAGCTGACATATTTCATTGAGTGGGGAAGAACATTGTACTTGAGAGTTGCCTTTTAGAAGCATTATTTAATAATAACGGGAGATATTAATGGGATTGGTAATTTAAGTGGTTTAGTGGGAGTTTTCAATAGGCGATTGTTCGTACATTTATTGGTTTGATTTTTTTCACTTTTAGTTTCTATACGTTTTTAATTAATTGCAAGGAATTTAAACCGAGGAAGTCAGTTTCTTGGTTATCATATCGGTGCCTTCGACAAATGTTGAGACAACTAAGCGTTTCCTGTGTAAATGTACATCAATAAGTGCATACACTTATATATTGGTTATGTATGTATATGTTCATGTATGTATATAGGTATATGTTTTTCTATGTGTATATGTATGTAGTGCATTGCTCACTATGTAAGTTTGATTTGTATCTTTATGCTAACTCAATAGTATGTTTATGTAATGTTTATTATGTATTTGCGAGTATCTTTTTCAAACTCTTTGCTTGCAGCTAAATTATACTGATTCAGTGTCGTGTCTACCGGGTCTAATAAGACTGCCACTTTCCTTGTGGATGCTAACAATACTATCAGAGCGATAAACTACCTGTTTAGACAACATCGGAATGCATTTTGGCCTTGGCAAGCGATTCCTTTTTGATAGTTTGATCTAAATCTTAAGATTGATTAAGTTAACATAAAGTTCTTCAATTAACATTAAGATGTTTATTCTTAAGTGTACCGCCATTAAACAGCTTACAAGTCACAATGTTATTTATTACAAAGTGTGGGGAGGAAGAAATCCCCTGGAATAATCCAAGCATTTCGTTGTTTTTATACCCTTTTAAATTAAATTTCAATAAAACCAGAACTATTTTATTATTAACGAGTAATTCAGATTTGGGCGTAACGAATTAATATTTTATGATTATTAATGGAAAAATCGATTGGATCAATTATGTCCCCTTCTGAGCCACTGAATCCGCGAAATTCGGCAGATTTCGATACTTAGACAAGTGAATTACTATATCATAGAAATAATAGTTCTCAATGTAGATGTAATGTGTATCTTAAATCGGACGTTACAAGGATGTTCAATATTCGGAAATCCGAAAATAACTATTCCATTTCATGTGCTGCTTAACGGCTGTATCAAGCTAAAAATAATATTTATAAGTTAGATTCGAATTTAATGAGGAATATAACATTTTATACAGATTAGTCTAAAATATATATTAGCTCTTTATTGAGTGAGTTGTTTGTTCAACTTTTATTATAAATATTCGAGCTGTTGTATTTATACTTTTATATGACTTTTTTGGTTAGTTATTAAACCAATAATACATCTAAAATCATAAGATTTACTATGTTATTCAAAAATTGCACAAATGTGTATAAATATGCGTGTATGCATGTATGTATGTAATTTGCACCAAAAATTGACTATAAATGTACATTATTAGAATTATAAATGTTGTATACATATAGAATTTATATATTTACAGTAAAAAATTGACGCCATTAATTGCCATAAAGTTCAAGGTTTTTTTAAAATTGTTAAATACATATTTTGTGTGATTACTGTTCAATTATTTTGGTTTTTTTTTTGTTCTTTTGAAATAATATTCTTGTATTGAAACGCAGGACGTTTATCGTCTATTAAAAATATGTTTTTGTTGAATTTATGCATTAAAAAATATATACATAAATATTACTTTAAGTTTGTTCTCGACTGATTAAATATTAATGCAATAAATACACATGCATGAAACTTTGTATATAATAACAAAAGAAAAAGCAATAAATTCACAAGTCGAGATTGCTCGACTCTCAAATACCCTGTACACTTATTGGTAGGTCATTACTTAATCTCATTGTATATGAATTTTAAATATTTGGAGCAGCTTATGATATATGGCAGCTTTTAATGTTTGTGAGATAGACGAACGGACCACTTAGCAGACGAGCATGTCTTTTGTATATTTGAGGGGCTCGGTACAGGGTATACAGCTAATGCAATTGGTAATAAACTAAACATAAAATTCGTTGATCTTATTCATTGACTTGGCAAACTGCTGTTTGCTTACCTGATTGTATGCCTACTTCATTGATTTGCAAGTTTTCCCCAAAATGTGGCCTCGATATCAACAACGGTAACAGACTTTCAAAAGATGCGAATATTTCAAATATTTTGTATAGTTAAAAGTTGAGAAGGACCACTTACAAACCAAATAACATTCTATAAATTTGCTTTGGCTATGAACAACTTAAAACTCAATGCCTAATTTATAACATTGTCAACATGTTTATGAATGGTTATGTTTCTGTTAGGATTATATATATATATATTTTTTTGAAATTTTGCGTTGTTCCTTTGCTATTACTTAGTGTTGTTCCATAAAACCGTGGCAACAAATTTCATTGATTTGCTGTTTTTGTTTATATACTTGTACTACATATAAAACAATTCTCCCTATCTACAGTGCTATGTATATGCTTATATTTGTTGTTGTATATATGGAGTTTGGTTTCTCTCTTTTGCCTAAATACATTTATGTATGTTGATACATATATACACATATATATATACATATATATGTATATCATTCGTTTTCGTTTAATTGGTGCATGTAAAAATTCATGTAAAACGCGCATTGAGTAACATTTATATACTTATATATATATATATATATATATGTATATATATGTTTATATATATATATATATATTTATATTTATGTTCGTTATGGTACTCTTTGCTCTTTGCTGTGGCTATGTACTGCATGTATGTATGTATGTAAGTATGTATGCTTGTATGTACTTATATATATGTATATGGTACTCGTAATTGGTGCTGGTGATGCGAATCTAGGTGCGTCTGCTATTTAATATGGTAGTCAGTTGTTTAGAACGTGCCTGCAAAAGTCGAAAGTTAAGCATTGAAATTGACAGCAAAATCGATGTGATACTCACTGGGACACTCTGGTGGGTTCATGTAACCAAATACGTTCATCTCGTAGAGCGCAGCGAGCGTTATGAAGAACAAATACCAGACCATCAGTATGATGCCCAAGCGTTTGTCCAGCTTCCAGCCATTCAAATGCGTCGACAGTAACAAGAAGACAACGGTGGAGAAGAGCGAGAGTGTGGAATAGGCCAGACCTATTGAAAAGGTATAAAGAACTCGAACGATTAATATGGTTTGGCTTAAATGCAATGCTACACCAGCTACAACAGTCAAGACACATGCCAGGCATTCACGCCACAATATACAATATAGAATTTAATTAGGATTACGACGACGATAACAAGCACTATTTTAGTTAGAAGCTAGGCGATATCATACATACCCTTGGATATGACATTGACGTGCGAGCCGGGTTTAATAATGGCCGTTTGTATGAACCATGGAAGTCCTAAGCACACTAGTATATCAAAGACATTTGAGCCAATTGCATTCGATACGGCCATGTCGCCGAAGCCCTCTTTGATAACGGCTATTGAGCTTAGGGCATCCGGCACAGAAACGCCAGCAGCTACGAACGTCAGGCCCATCACAGTATCGGGTATGGCCAGCGTCGAGCCAATCACCGTTATCATCCAGACCATAAAATATGAGTAGAACGATATCCAAACCATCGACATGAGAAACGTGAATGGATACCAGTTGCGATACTGATCCTGCCGGCAATCCGGCATTGTCTTCTTGCACAAATAGTGTATCGGATAGACCACATACCAGGCAACCAGTGCCGGCAAGCCGCCCTCAGTGGGTCGCAGCAATGGATCGGGTCGTGGCTCCCGTTGCTTATCCGTCGACTTGTAGTAGTCAACGCCAGCGGGAGCTGCAGCGACCACTTGAGTTTTAGCCGATGCAGCGGCAGATTCGCCTGTTACCACGGAGTCCGGCTGATCCGAATGGTAGGCCATATTCTCTTGGCCCTGGCCCTGGTTAAACTGATTCATGCCCCAATCGTCTTCCGGCGGCGGTTGATTGGCTCTTGTTGCACCTGTTGCCGCCAATGGCTGTGGCTGATTCTCCTGGCCCCACGCCGCATTCGGATCCCAACTGGCATTGGGATCATTGTAGCTCTGATAGTCACCTTGTCCCGATGGCTGTTGTTGTTGTTGTTGCTGCTGCTGTGGACTCGTTTCCGATTCCTTCTGCTGTGCTCCTGCAGTGCCCTGTGTGTAAGAGCTTTCGGGCACATTTTTGTAGGTGACCAACGCAGATTGCTCCTCCTTGCTGGGCAGCTTGAATGGCAGATTCAAACCCATTGCCCAGCGCTCCAGTTCCGTATTGAAATGCAAGGCAATGCAGTAGCCCACATAACACAGCAACATCACCACAGATTCAGCCTATAATTGGAAACAAAAGATATTAAAGAACAAATCTTAAGTTCAGGATAATTGGCGTGTCCAACTTTGAATGTTTTAGCATTCTGGATGTCAAGCTTGCTTGTGAAAATCGGCTGAGTTTTGGAAATTTTTGGAATATGGCTTTGACTCATTAATCGAACTGTGGCAGCTATACGAAATAGTATTTCGATTCGGGCGCCATTTATATCATTTCAAGTTTCCTCAGTATAAATTCACGGCAGAATAACTAGCTTATATAGAAACAGACAAACAAAGCAGACGGACACGGCTATACTCGACGACTCAGCCAATGATGTTGACCAAGGTGACGCCTCCCTCAACAACTTCTACAAGCCTTGGCACTCGATTCGTCGTAGCTTTCAAGATTCTCAGATTTCAAGAACATTTGTCAAGGGATCAACAGTTGAAACTTACGCAAGAGATGACATCATTAAATATAATTATTAGCATGACCAATATGGCCACGCAGTAGAAGAAGCAATCACGGACGAGTGGCCACCAGTTCAGTTGGCAAACTGTGCCGGAGCACAGTGCACAGACGGAAATGACAAACATGATGTTGAACACGGCGGAACCGATGACACCACTGATGCCAATATCGTCCTTGGCAAAGAACACACCAATCACCACAGTGGCCAGCTCGGGCGCAGAGCTGCCGGCGGCCATGAATGTGGCACCTGCCACATCCGGTGACAGCTTTAGCTCTGCAAATAGTTTTATTTATAAATGGATGGGATTCATGGGCTGGAGCCGAGCTCACCCTCGCACAGCCTGTCCAGACTGGCCACAAAGTACTCATCGCACACAATGGCCAGGCCAAAGAACGTGAAAATGGCCACCAGAATGTGTATAATGAGTCCACCATGCTGTCGCGCCCACTTATTCATCAGGGGCTGTGGAAACTGCTCGATAGCCGGCGGTGTGCAATTCTCTCGCTTTGGCCGCCAAGTGGGCACAGCGCCATGCAAATGCGTCGCCATTGTCGTCTCCGCATCCATTTTCTACGGCAACGAAAGTGGGAAAGTGAGATCAGTTGGAGAGAGAAGCATCAGCAACTACTTACCTCAGTGGAGGACAGTGGATTGGGTGTGGTACTCGCGGCTTCAGGCGGAACATTAGCTTCAGTCAGAACATCAGCTTCAGCTGCTTCCGGAAGCATGCCCACATCCAAGGGAAGCTCTGCCTTCTCATCGCCCTTGGCCGAGTAGATGCTCACACAATAGTAGATCAGAAAGAGCAGGCCCATGTTCCACATGCGTGCGCGGCGGGATCGGTGACGAACGATCTGAATATGTTTATATATATAAATATAGAAAGTGTTAGTCAATTGCATTTGATTCCCATTCACTTGTTGTTGTCGACTGCTGGATGCGGATTAGACGCCTTCCTAAGCACACGAAGCGTGCCAAAGACAAAGCGGCACAGACTATGCGGCTTATGTGCTCCACATTGGCGCAACGGCACAACGCCTGCAGGCGTCGTCTCTGATAAGGTCTCATGTAGGCACACACTCTCACACCCGCACGTCTCCACTTACACACACACATAAACATGTAAAAGCGGGACTTATGCATATGTACTAAATGCTAGGTAAACAAGCAGTCAGCTAAGTGATCGGCTTACAGATACCCCATACTCAAAATATGCAATAATAAAAAAAAAAAATTATTAAAATAATAATAATAGAAATGAGGAATTAGAACTATTGGAACTAAAATGAAAAATGTAAAAGCATCGCTCCCAAAAGAGCGCAACAATAAATTAAAACTATTAAATTTAAAGCGTCCAGTCGAGTCGAAACACGATTCATTTTGTTTCATACTTATTTTTAAATAAATCCTTGAATAACAATCATTTTTATTAATTATTATTTAGTTTAGACAGGTAGCCCTAATTTGTATTTCTTTTGCATTTAATCACTTTTTATGCTGGAATTTTATCTCCAAACCACTTTATAGATTACGAATTACCCACAATATTCCTGAGAAGAAACACATTTCGACAATTGTGATTGACCTGTTCCACTAACAACTTTCATATTTGGAGCAAGTAAGTGATTATTTAATTGAGTTTCTAAACAAAGCATTCTAGACCTTAACAAGTTTAAGATATAAATATTATTAGGGCACATGCAAATTTAATATTTCACTAACTGAATATGCCCATTGTTATTACAACATTGTTTGCAGGGTGTTTTTGAAGGGGCTTATGTGTTATATATATGTAAAAAAAAGTTCACTTCTGTGCTATGCTCTTGGCAAGCTTATTAAGTTTATTGCCACTGCGTCTGCCTCAAGTTGGTTGCGTTGTTAGCAGCCAAAGGCAGCTGACTGACTTGAAATTGGATACCAGACCAGACCCTAGGTGGCCCTCAGGCCGGGTTGCAAGTAAATGAGACGCAATAATAAGTGCAACGACTGCAAGTCAGTGAGTTACCAGCTTTTGTGGCTAGCTTAGGCAGTACTGGCCAGTTCTAGTCGCCGTCTAACAGTAAAACCTCATTTCAACGGCTAATTTCGCTGGCATGAAATCTAATATGATGTGTCGTCAAAGTTTCCCAAGAAGTACCAGTCATCAACAACAATTGCAACTGATTTGGCAAAGATTAGAGAACCTATTGATTATTAGCCATATGTGAAGACTGTGGCTAAATTATTCGAAGCCAGATCAGCTGTTGCTGGGTAATATGCAAACTGATTGCTAGGAACTTACTTCGACTTTGATTTGTTTACCCAGGCAATTTAACGAGCAAATATATATTTACTCATTTTGCTGAAACTGTGGCACATTGCAAACTGATAAGCGGCGTGTAAACAAAAGCAAAAGCTGACGCTGCCAACAAATGGAGCATTTCGAAAGCAGTTTGATCCGCCAGCAACTGCTGCATACTTTCCAACACACACACACACACACATATATATATATATATATACATATATATAGAGGGACACATATAGAGGGATATGACATCATGTGCTCTCCTTCAACTCACTTGACAAAATGCGCAAATCGTGACACAAACTACATAAGCGACAACAACAATAAATGTCTTTGAATAAATTTGTGTAGCATTAGAGCCATTTGTTAGCTATTGACAGTCGCTCTTGTTATTGTTGTTGTTGTTGCTATTATTGTTGTTGTTGTTGTTGCTGTTGTTTGTTTGCTGTTGCTGGTTTGATAACAGCGCGAATTTGACGCAAATGGCACAGAGTGCAAGAGAGAGCAAACGAAAGTTTTCACCACAAAAGACGAATTCGAAATCAACCGCCGGGGTGAGAGACAGAGAAAGAGAGAGACAGAGAAAGAGAGAGATAGAAAGAGAGAGAGAGTATCAAAAAGGAGCAACGACGTCGACGGCTACGACAGCTGCGGCGTCTGGCTGGCTGCCTGGCTAACAAAGCCACCACACTACAAGTGCGACGGGAAGGGAAGAAAGGGACTGGTATGGTTGGGCTGGCGCGGCCAGCAGTTCTACAGGCAAAACACGCAGCGCCTTGTGGGCCACTCGGTCATGCCGCACAATATCGATTTGCAGACCCCAACCTCGCCCCCAACCTCCGGCAAGCTTTTACTCACACGCGCTGTTGGCTAAGGTTTCAAATGGTGTGTGTGTGTGTGTTTGAGTGAGGGGGCTTGTTAGTTACAGTTACAGTTATAGCTGGCGTGGATGCTGCAGCAACATCTTATAAAAATAAATGGTTCTGCTAACTAAATACTCGTGTATGTTATGGAAGCGTCATCATTGCTGCTGCTGCTGTTGTTGCTGTTGTTTTTGTTGTTCGTCTGAGGCTGGGCGCTCGGGCTTACATCATATTTTTCTTAACGGCTCAAAACAATAGATAGCGACCTTCCTCCCCCAAAAAGAAAAGCAAAAGTAATCGTGGCTTTCATTGTGTTTGGAGGGGACTAAAAAGCTGGGCGGGAGGAAACAGAAAAACCAGAATCACAGACAATTGAAGGCTGTGACAAATATGCAATTGACTTGGACTTAATATTGTAAACAGTTTGCACAAGCCATTTGTCGTTGGGTTTACATTCACACAAACACGCTCACCCACACATTCATATACACACATGCAAGGCAATTTCATAATCACTTTTTCGTATAGTTACCATTTTTGCAGTAGTTTTAACGTTTCGATGAGCGTTTTTAATTGTAAAAGTGAATTTATATACAATTTTTACTTTGTTTTTTGCGTAATTTGTTCGCGTTTAGTTAGTTTGTGAGTAGCTTGCAACGTGTTTGTTGCGGAAAACAGATACAGAAGAAAAACGGTGCATGGAAAAACATGCGACGATATTGGCTAAGATGTCGTCTTTTCTTTTTTTGGCCCACACAGAGTGCCAGGAATCACGTTACTTGCGTCTCATTTTCATTTACAGCATTTAGATTAACCCGTTTATTTAATAAAATGGCATTTGAATTTAGTTTGTTCGTGCACCATACACAAGTACGACGTGTGTGTGTTTCTGTGTGTGTGTGTGTGTGGCTTGTATGTCACGGAGTGTGTTCTGTGTGTGTGTATGAGTGGGTGGTGTATGTGGTTCGAAACGCGCACGAGCAAGCACAGCTTTGCTTTCGCCTGTGTAGACGGTTCAGCGCAAACTAACGACGGCGCCAACGTCGCAAAGTCTGCAGCAAAACTTTGTGGTCTTGCTACACTGTGAGAAACAAATGCAAACACGAAGCTCGAAAACCACTAAAAGAACAAACACAAGTTTTTATCGCAGCATAATAATTGTGCTTTACGAATAATAACTCTTCTCTAAATAACTCCCTTCCTTCTAAATATTTAATGAGATTTTTTAAAGTGTTGTCTAAAAAATATTTAAGTATATATTTTCGAGTTTCGAGTGTAAGAATTCTATTGTTGAAAATTTCTCCTGTAATTTATGGATAATTTAATTACCGACTATTAGATGAAAATAAAGAACAACCAATTTGAGTACTTTATATTTTGACAGTGTGTAAAAATGTCAAAACGTCGGCGCCATACTCACCACAGCCGAGAGGCGAGGCACGACTCACGATTCACGATTCACGAGTGCCAGCAGGAAATGTGCAAGTGTGGCGCTTAGGAAGTGCTTGAGTGTGCGTACGGCTGTCTGGCGGCTGCAGCGCCATCTATGCGCAGCTTGCAGAGTCAATGGCAAAAGCTGATTGAAATTGATTAAAGCTCGCAGTTTTCGAAACAACTGCGCTTACTTTGAGGCCTTCTTGTTGAGAAATTACATTAGGGACAAACAATGGCCTGGAGCGGCATTTATATTTGTTTGATTATTATTTATATGCGCCCTCCCCCCGTCCGCAACGTCAAGTGTTGCCTGTGCAAACAGCAAACAACAAACAAACGTTCTCAGTTGATGTCTCAGTCGGCGTCAAAGCATTTGAAGTGGCGGCAAAGGACATCAATTGTGAGGATTTTGCCACATTATCCTTTAGATTGTGGCAGACCCGACGGCCGGCTTCTCTGATGTGCAACGTGACATTGCTACATGCGGCACTCTCAGATCTAGCCGCCTAGAGGCGGCTTGCAAAAACAAAACAGGACACTCGGCGTATTTAAAAAATCGCCAGCACAATGACGAATTTACCTGTTGACACCTTCCAAAATAGACAATTCTGCCAATTAATAATGTCTCCAGCTGCAATCCCGGTTACTTATGACGCTTGCCTGCCATTCAATTGTAACAGGTTATAGTTATATATGGCTCAATCACATGTCGGCCACAGTACCACAAAGACTGGTAGCAAGCACACTAGACGGTGCAAAATTTCAAGAAATTCCTGAGAATTGCAGCGGGCAGACCTCTTTGAATTGACAGCTTCAGTAAAGCGGAATTATGACTTTGATTCACGAATCAAGTGTGTAAGCGATCGGCTTAGTTTTCCATTGTGCTTTGAATGGCGATTCTTAACCCATTGTTGTGGGGCATGGGAAAATTGGCCGTAAATTTTTATATATTTTATTATATATTTTTGAATCGTAAAGTTACTCTTTACTTCCGCCTAAAAACTTTAGAAATATTCTTTCTTCTCCCAGATCATGCTTTCTCCAACTAAGTTCGAGTTTACCTTAGGGATATAGATTGATTACAAAAAAGTTTACCTTTCTATTAAAAAAAAAGTAAAATAATATAATACAAATAAAAAGGAAATAATAAAATATATACAAATTTGAAATAATATGAAAATTTGTCCTGAACTCTAAGTTCAACATTACATCTAGCAACGGCCACAAGTGACGGTTAAAATACCACAACTGTCAACATTTCTTACCCAATCTCAACTAAATAAAACTAAAGCACATTAGTGGTAAGCATATCTAAATGGTGTGGAGTCGTGAGCATCCTAAGGGAAGCCTAACCGAACCGATGAAACATTCTGAATGAGTTCCCTCCAGCGCTGTAGGTGGGCATCGCACATGCTTCACGCACGCCACTTTGTTAATGGACAACCGAATTTCAAATTAGTTTATAAACTAAATACAAATATTGTAACTAAAATGCGTTAGCTAATCAATTTCATACGCTCAATTTGTGCGGCGACTGAACGTCTGAGCAGGGGCAAGGACCAGCCAGCCACCTTGGCGACCGCATTTAAGGACATGTCGTTCGGATTGCCAGGGACACGTTGCCCGGTTGTCTGCGGCATACAAAAGACAGCCCGGGGCAAAACAATAGACCAAACTCGAACTCACTCTTGACGCAACTGCCCAAAATTGGCTCGCTCATCATTATTTATATGCCACTTTCTATTGAATTGAATAGATGGCAGGACAAAAACAACAACACCAACCAAAAAGGGAAGGTGTCAAGGCAAAGGTGTCGGGACTGCCCCGCTACAGATGCGGTTGCCTGGCGCAATTCAAGGCGAAGACATGGCACAGTTTTCCCTGTCTTCTCCAGCCATTGTTATTTCATTGTTGTTCATCACTGCTTAGCTGGGTCGAGTGTCTCAGCCGTGGTTTATGGCGGTGGCGGTGGCGGTGACGGCGATGTAATCCTTTGTCTATGGCGACTCAATAAAGAACTTATTGTGGACAAATTTCGACATTTTTCAAGCGCTGTTTTCGGTTTGTCTCTGCATGAAAGTGTCTCAGATTGTGTGTGTGTGTGTACAGTTCCTTTTCTAGCTTCAAAGGACATGCTTGACTTTTAACAGGAATCAATTTATTTTATGCGAAATAATCGTGTTGATGGCTGCGTGCTCGCCCCTTTTTCAGCCGCTTGACGTTTGCATTTTGGGCCTTTGGCTTTTTGGGTTTTTCACTCACCAACCCCGCAGGGCCAACCCTCTGCAAAAAAAGAAACTAAACAAAACCAATGCCGAATCGAGGGCTGTGACTGGGTTTGGCCTGGTGGAGCGCCTATGTGAAGAAGGGTGGAAGTAATTTTAATTTATGATGTCAATTTATAGTAGTTTTTGTGGTTTCGCGACATTTTACATAAGGCCAGTGATGCGACGGAGACGGAGATGCGATCGAGAGATATTTAACCACACACACATACATATATATATATTTATAGATATATATAAATACATACTAATATGTAATCTAACTATATATCAAGTTTTTATTGAAGCACCAACGTATAGTGCTCATCAATCAAACAATTGTCATGTACTCATTATTATTACAACGTTCTCTTTTTTAATAAAAAAAAAAAAATATCGTTTTTTTTTGTGGAATTTTCACTGTTTTTTGTATAATATCGCACGAGCGTAACAATTCGCCGATCAATCAAATCGAATGCAATTTTCCCCCGCAATATTTGGCAATTGCAACAATTGCATTGCCCTCAATGCACGTGGGCAGCAGAATGGCAACGTTGGGTAAGTTCGAGGCATGCATATAAACCTATGTCAAACACCTACTACATAAGCCAGTATAGGTTGAGGAGGACACTTCAGATGCTGTTCATCATTCATGCAAGTTGTACAATTCATGCATTCACGCATTCAGTCATTTATTCATTCATCACACGCACACGCACAAACAGACACTTGACAGCTGACCAGAACCTTGGGCTGTTAGGTAAACATGAATTTATCGGTTATTATTAGCACCTTTCCATCATAATTGCACCATAGGAGTCACAGTCTCTGCTTTAGTTCAGTTCAGTTGCAATCTCCTACCGTTGCCTTTCACCGATCTTTGCATCCGGCCATTCAATGGCCAACAAAGTCCTGCCGCACACCATTGATAAGTGTGAAAAGGCTTTTGCCAACCCGACAACAGCAATCCTCGGTAACGTTTTGTGTCTTAGACATTCTACAGAATTCTGCGCAGCCTTTGTTCCATTTCGTACATTTCAATTTGCATTTGACTTTGGTATAGGCCATGGGCGAGGCAAGCCACTTATGTTTGCCTCAGTTTGCCGCGACAGGAAACCAGGAAGACAGTATCGCCGCCAGTGCTAGGCGGATCAGGATTCGGTACTCGGTCAATGGGTAGGCTTTTGGGCCAAAGAAGCGTGCTGCAACCGGCAATTGTTACCGATTTTCACGTATTATTTGCGCTCGCTTGCTCAAATCTTCAAATCCTAAGACGATTTCGTCTTGTAAATCTGTCATAAGCCGTAAAGCGTGTCACATGGCAAATTAAAGAAGGAAATTAAGTTGCCCCACAAGGAAATGAAATTTCAATAAGCTAGTAACCAAGTAGTAGTAGTAATTCTAATCGTTATGGAATCGTTAAGCTAAATAAGCTAATTTACATACTATCCTCATATATTCATGAGCTCAATATAAAAATTTGTACTTTTGTACTTCTACTTGGATGTTTCTTATCCAATCTTGAAATCATGATCAGTTACTTAAAAACAATATATAAGAGAACTTATATTTCAAATTTGACGAACTTATTTCTTTTAGTCTCTGAAATTCGCGAATTCACGCAGACAGATAGATGGACTATATCGACTTGGCTGTTGATCAAAGATATATGTATATACTATATGGGTAAAGAGATGCCTCCTTCTGCCTGTTACATACTTTCGCACAAGACCGTTTTATTCATTTTACTAAGTAAAAGGCTTACAAATTAAAACATAAATGTTGATCATAAAATATCTTTGCTAAATCGTGTAAATATATTAAATATTTATACATGATAAAACGGCAATGCAGTCAGTTTTGACAATGTTAGAACACAGGAAATCGTTTATCCAATTTTCAAGAAAGTATGGCAAAAAGTTGCAATGACAGAATTTATGCAGTTGGCCATTGCTCACATTCCAATGGAATATTAGCCATAGAAAACGCTGGGATGAAGTCACCAATCAAGTTTTATTTATATCGATAAAAATAAATTTAAATTCATTGATTTTACATAGCATATTCTACATTCTATATACATTCATAATATTATCATTGACGTACCATGCAGTACACATATACAAAGCTGACACGCTCGTTTTGCACATGAGCCCTGAAAAGTGTTGTAAGCCCAGAAGAAAATCCAACTAATCCGGGGCAGGTAAATCAAACCTAGTCAGTAGCCAATAGTTCGATATGCCACTGTGACATTGTTTGAAGGCAAATTTCCATTAATAATACAACGATTACCCGCCGAGGTCAATACTTTACACACACACACACACATAAATGGTGCTGCCCGCATAGGTATTCAAATTGAAAGCACCGCAGGACATGAACACAAGGATACGATCACTGGACACAGGACACGAACGGTAGTCAGAGTGTATTTGAATGAACTGCATTACAAGCGGATTATTGGATTTGAGGTTAAGTGCATTTTCAACGATTGCAACTGGAACGAAATTGAAAATTCTCGACGATTTTCACAACTGTTTTGACTTTGAATATGCCTGCGCCCTAAGCTGACGCAGGACGACAAAAAACGCACACAAAACGCGCGCGGTAGGCGGGGCGAACACAAAACGCCATTGCTCACAAGGCAGCTGCTAAAACACACACGTACACAAACACACACACACGCATAGAGCGCATGTATGTGCGAGCGAGAGAGTGAGCACATCTGCCTGCTGCCTGTGGCATGCCCCAAAGGGAGAGAGGAGCGTGCGCCAAGGATATCGAGCCAAACGCTCGTTTTAGTGAGAAAACTAAACAGCATTGATCATGCCTGAAGTGGATGCGATTTAAACGCGCGTGTTGACTGTCGTCTGCCATTGTCCAGGGGCGCAGGAGGAATCCTTGTCGGGGTTGGTTGTTCCTTTTGTGTGCCTTTTAATGGACCAACGGCCGCCGCGGTTTTTGTGGCGTTGTGTCACGGGATAAATATTAATCGATATCTGTGTATAGTGTGTGTCTATGTGTGTGTGTGTATATCTTGGGGTGTAGTGTATCCCTTTGTTGCCCAGCAGCATTGCCATTGTTTGTGTGTGTGTACTAAAATGAGCAACATCCTTGCTGTTGTACTATGGCTCGTTCACCGCTCGAATTAGTCGAGTGCATTCGCTTGAAAAACTAATTTGATTTATGTCTTCGCGTTAAAGTGCGGTTTTCCGTTGAAGGACGTCGCCTCTCTCCTCAGCCGCCATTCACACCCATAACATGGCCAGCTCATCCAAGCATCCAGCTGCTTTTGCAACGCCCCGCCAAGTGCCTTCTGATGCCTCAATGGCCAATGCCAAATGGGGGGCTTTGTATAATTTGTATAATTAATTTTCGTGCATAGCTATCAAAAATTTGGAGGTGAAATGGTAAAATTTTTTGATTCTAAAGTTGCATGATGAGACTATAATTGAAATCAACAGAGCTTTTAGCTTATTAAATTTAAAAACTGAAAATATATAAGAATATATTTAAATACTCGTAAATCGCAGTTAAATATCTGAAATTATTTAGTTGAGAATCAATATCTGGTTTTAGAATCATATGTCGAATAGTTTTTATTATACAAAACTTATGCTGATCAAAATAATAAGAAGACGAGGATGCAGTATCCTAACGATGCATGTTATGAGTTTCAGAGGCATAGCAGCCCTCAATCTAACATAGATTCTCGCATTTTTTCGGGAGCTGTGGTTGATGGAGGCGCTATAGGCTCAGAAGGGAGCACAATAGATCGAGTAGGTCGCGGTGCAGTCCCGCCAATAATAATAATAAAACCCATACATGCCTTTTATATTTGCACCGCTTACTGAAACACTCTTAATACTCCATACCAGTTTTCTTTGTATAATTTTCAACATGAATTTTAAGTATAAAAATGTAAATATATACGAAATAACACGTAATATCATATTTTGATCGATCTAATTACGCGGAACGAGTTTGAGCCAGAAACCATTTTTGGGCATCAGCTGAAAACCACCGGCGTCAAGCTCTATGGGTAATTTGGATTTCGAAGATTCCGCAATGCGGAACGCACGCATAATATAGAAGATGACAGCCTTGGCCTCGAGTAGTGCGAAGCGGGAACCTATATAGAGAATATATAGGAATATCATGCATAGTAATGCGATTTACTTTCACTCACCTATGCAATTGCGCTGGCCCATGCCAAATGGAAAGTATGTGAATGGCTTAATTTTGTCCTTGTTCTCCTCGTTGAAGCGCTCCGGATCAAACTTCTCGGGGTTCTCAAAGTATTTGGGATCACGATGAAGGGCGCAGACGGGCAACCAAACGGCTTCACCTCTCTTGATCTCAACGTTCTTGCCATCGAGCACATAGGTAATATCCTTGTTGCATTCACGATCAATGGCAATAGCCGCCGGCCACTTGCGCAGAACCTCGGATACGACCTGATCCATATACTTCATGCCCATTATCGCCTCGTACGTTAGCTGGCCGCCTTCGAGATCACTGTCGACCTGCATCACCTCCTCGTACAGTCTCTCCTGCACATCCTCGTTCGCCATCAGCTCTATGGCTGTGAAGCCCATGAGCACAGCCGACGTCTCGAAGCCCGCAAAGAAAAAGACAAAACATTGGGCGACTATATCGCGATCGCTCCAATCACGAACTGGACCCGACTTCTCCTTATCTGACTGGACCATGCCGCTTGCCTCCATTAGCATGTTAATCATATCTGGCCGCACGATATTGTTCTCTACACGATACTTCATGGCATCCAGTACTAGACGCACAAAGTAGTTTGTGCTCTTCTTATCAAACAATGATAATTTAAAAAACTACAATCGGGAGACTGAAAGGATTAGACTGAATATTTAGTTAGTAAATTGGTGAGCGCACCTTAAAAAGCCAACTTGCGTTTATGAAGAGCAAAAACTTTATGTTCATCAGTCCCGTAAACTTGGTCAACTTCTTGCCCATCAAATAGAATGTATTATCACGATTTTTGAACGAGTTCACCTGCATGCCAAAGGCCGTTGAGGCGATGACATCGTTGGTGAAACGGGTGCAATAATCTTTCATGTCCAGTTCTAATCCATCGCTTGGCATTTGATTGGGATTCAAACACTCCACCGCCTCTTTGGCCACAATGTCCATCAGTTGAAACATTTGACGCATTTTGCTGCCCGTAAAGACAGGACTCAGCGTACTGCGCATATCCTTCCAGCGCGCATCACGCATGGAGAATAAGGAGCTACCGAATAGATTGTCCATATCATGGGGATTATCTGTAACGTCAGTGCCAAAGATATTGCGATGATTGATAAAGTGATCGAAATCCTTAATTGTTATCTGCTTTATCAGTTCCGGATCACGTATCATCAGCAATGGGTTGCGTTGCTCAAAAATGCCGAAAACCCTAGAAGTATAAACAAAATGTTGACCGATAAGCGAGCTTTAAATAGCCCCCAATTTGCAAAGCAGCAACTCTTATCTTCTACATAAAGCGACTTGCACTTGAACTATCTTCAAATAATAAAAATTGAATATGTAATTTGTATACAAGGTTAACATATTCATATCAAGACATTTTTCAGATAGGAATTGATAAGATTTTGGTTGTTTAGTCTTGAATGTCTTATAAAAATAATTCTTAAACATCTACTGCAAGTAATTTTAAAACATTTATACGAAATTAAGGTTCTCGACAAAAAGATGCTCGGAATTGAAAACGAAGTATTCAATATACATACATACAACCATGATAATTTGATCATCACAATCAATGTAAAATGATGAACCTCAACACTTAATACAAAAAAAGACTATATAAACACACATTCTAAGTGATTAAATTAGATATGTGCAATTTTTTTCAATTGCGTATTGAATTCAATTACTTGACCTTCAGGGAACTACAATGCTGCAACCGGTTTCTTATCTAGCAATATACAAAAGATACTCACTTGCCGTCGCCTTTGTTATACAAATCAATGATTAGATCAAACATTGATCGTTGGCGCAAAACCATTTTCCACATGCTACCCAAAAAGGGAATTGGCTTATCGCATTGGATTCCTCGCTCCTCGAAGAATTTATATTTGGCTGTGGCCCAGCGATAGGCCAGCAGCAGGGCTACCGCCAATACGGCCAAAATTTCGACAAGCATCTTGAAAGTTTAGCGACGATCCAATTGATCCGACCTTTCCAACATCAACATCAACTGCTCACTAAACACAACAGCGATCGCATCGTCCACAAGTCGACTAATTGAGTCCCATACGAATGTGTGAGTCATGTGCTTGATTCGCTTAAGTGGAAGCGAGCTTTTGTTTTGAGCTTTCTGTTTTCGCTCGACAAATTAATGATGAAATTGCGTTAGCGCGTGGCGTTTGTACAAAGTAACGTTAGTACACAAACATATGTATGTATGTATGAAATATAAAAATATGTATAAGTACGCGGTGTGTGGCACACATTTTTACATTTTAAGCACCAACAAATAAACACAATAAAAAAAACACAATAAACAAAAGCGAAACGCAAAAGCAAAAGCTTCTATTAATAACAACAGTATCAGAACTGTCTGACTCTGAACTTGACTGTCATTTAAACGGCAGTTCAACGAGTGGGTGTGGCCAGCAGAACGAAAAAAATATATTGATGATGAAATTAACAGTGCTTGACTAACAAATGCCCTGTAATCAGGTCGAAATTACCCTAAAACATATTTATAAACAAGTAAATTTCAGCTTGAAGTTTTGATCGAATTGTTTAATATTTTGAGAGAGCAGAAAAATTAAAAATGATAAAAGTAAATTATAACAGTGTATTAAATACATATGTGTACGGAAGTGTTTACAATAAATTTTATATATTTTATTTAACGAAATGGCGAAATTACATTTTAATATGCAATATTGAATTCTTTATCTTCTCTGATTATCCTCTTGTATTTATTTATAATCATATCAATGCCTTTTATTCCAACCATGGAAGTTTCCATTGTGCCTCTTACACTACACATTATACATTTGCTAAAATTAATCTCTCTTTTTAAAATTTAATGTATGATTCTATTTATTTAAATTATTAATTAAATGACCATTCGCATTTCATTTAAGTAAAATATATTAAATATGTATTTGAAAAAATTTAATTTAATTATTTACATTCGTTTCAGTTATGGCGTTTAAAACTGTCTAACCCCCATTTTGTCGATTCTAAAGAACTACCAGAGCATAGAATAGTAATAAATCCAGCTTTTCATCTTGAAATATTGTTCTATCTATGCTGGATTAGCCTAGACTTTGGGTTGGCAAAATCCAAACCCCCAGCTAATCTGACATACGCTCATATTGATCGCATTTTAATCACTAGGTTATCCCGATTATAAATGATCTATAAAGATCACACCTAGTCCATTACTTGAACTTATTAATTCAAGCTTGTGATGCGTACTTAACCCAACAGAGCCGGATGTATCTTGATCTGTGAGCGGATTGTGAGCAAACTAATCTTGACCCAAAACGATCCACCGGGGCCAGAGCCGGAGACAGAGATGTGCTTGGCTTATCTGTCCTTCGCGGGATGCGACGATACTGAACGATAAGCACTTTAACATAAGTTGCAGTTGCACATAGTTTGGTTAGGATGTGTTTTCCCCTGGCCACATATCGTTGCCAACTAATGAGGCGCCTACAGTCTCTCCATACACATGTTTGCTATACTGTTGCAACGTTGCTGAGCTCACGTAAGCATGTGAAATTTCCTCATTAATCAAAGTATGAATATGACGCCATATCCTTATTGTGTGTGTTCTAAATATGACTAGGTATGGAAAGCAAAGCATCGCAGACATTCCATGAATGAAAACTGTATTGTCATTGGCTGGAAATATGCAATATTTAATTATTTTACAACATCTACTTTCACAATTTATGATCATTGCATTGTTTTAGGTAGGTGCTACTTTATGACGCCAATGCCAATGGCAATGCCGACGGCGTCGCCGAAGCTGAATTTGAATCCGTTCCGAATGCGTGGAAAATCCAACGCTCGTTATTTGACAAACATGCAGGGAAAGTCCAAAGCCCGATACTCAACCCAACGCGGCTGCTGGCCTAAGTGCCAGCCTACACAAATAAGCTTGTACATTTTTTATGGCCTCGCCGCGCCCGACAGCCCACCTCCAACTACCTGACCGATCTCGCCCAGCTCAGTTTCCTGGCAAAGCGCATTTATGAATGAGTCTGTTCGCTATCTGCTGTGGTAACGCGACTCGTGAATGAATCTCACATGGCGCATTGTAATTTTATGGCAGGTACTAAAACCACCTACGGGCTCAACCCTAAACCCGTACTCCTACCTAACTCAACGTAACCCAGTGCACTCCAGAGCAGAGATGCACCCGTTGCATTCATTAGCGTTGCGAGAACAAAGCAGTTGCACTTAATCCTAATGATTTCCCTTTTGTTTCTAATGACGCAGCGGTAGGCTTATGTGGGACAAGTAGCACCATCTCTAAATATGAAGCCACAGTTCACAAGAAGCGCGGATAGAACAGCAAAACTATCGATTAATGACACCAGCACAATATAATAATTTCAAAAATACGTTTTTCCACACTTGTATATAACAAAGTTCATTACTCAAATGATTACCCACAATTTCTCTTGCTTATATTACTTACAAAATTGTTCCATAAAATAAGATATAGTCCTAAAATGATGAATTGCAATTTTATACTTATCTTGTACATATGATATGTATTTATATCGACTATAATAAAAGTTAAGCCTAAATGTAATAAATCAAAAGCAAAAACTAAATACAAACATTATTTAAAGCAACACCAGCTATATTCTAAGATATCTATTCTATTCTAGTTATCTCCATTCGGCGTGGGGCAAACGCCTACCAGGGCCCATAAAGTGCCCAACAATATATCCATGTCAACCCCCAGAGCATCCCAACGATAAACCTTAAGCAACTGTACCATTTTACATGCTCAAACCTTAACTCAAACCCCAACGAGTATGCTGTGAATATTGAAGCCACAATTTGCCTCGTTTACAAATCTCGGCATATAATAGTATACATAGCGCTTGATACACATTTTGCATATTTAAAGCACAAAAGTTGCCACAACGCGCAAAGATGGGAACAACCCCCAGTAAGAAGCACTTAATTCAATAATAAATTGCCACCACAGAAGGGCAGCAGCCACAGCAAGCCCCTTGATTTTTCGGGCAAGCCCGAAACAACCCACAGATAACCAAGTTATGCAGGAGAGTCATCGGAACGGTGCGGTGTGGGGAAGGGGGAAGAGGAAAGGGGGAGTCCACAATCCAGCCCAGCCCAGTTTGCGCCTCAGAAGAGACAACAACTTTTATCAAATTGCGTATAAGGGGGTTTGTCGGTAGGTAAGCGTAAAATTCATAATCATGAACGCTTCACTTAAACTTCCACCCCGCAGGGAGTTACAAAAATATAAAAAAAAATAGATACTTCCTTTAATATATGTATGTATTTATGTATGTACGTATATACTTAATAAATAGTAGCGCAGTGCTGCGAATATACACATTAAAAGCGAAAGTCAAAGAAGCTGCCATTTCGAGAGTCGATTAGATTTGCTGGCATGAAAACTACGCGAAGCGACTTCACATACATGAGTACATTATATACTGCCCTGCCAGCCTGCCTATTTATGTGAGTGTGTGTGTGTGTGTGTGCGAGAGTATATGTGTGTATTTGAGTCTGCGTGAGCGGCCATTGTTGTGCGGTGCGAAAAACAACCCTGAAGCGTGCCTCTCGCTCACACAGACAGATAGGCCACAAACAAATCGATGAATGAAGCAGGCGACGGATGCCCTCAATGTATCTGTGTATGCGTGCGTGCGTGTGTGTGTGTATGCGTGTACGTAGGTAGACCGCTAGGTAGGCCTACTGGCAAGGACCTTAGCGTTCAATGAACAGAAAATCTCTTTAAATTGTGCGTCGCTTGGCCGGGAGAGTTCAGTTCGAGTTGAGATCTTGTAACGCACACGCAGAGCTCCGGCACCCGCAATTGCACCAGTCAAGTGTTCCGCCCAAGTAAAAAATACATAGATATATATATAAAACACGGTGATTTCATATCTACACAAATTTACGAAAATAACGAAACGAAAATGTCGACAATTAACATGCATCCCCCGCAAACATATTCGCGCCTGTTCCGTCCCTGGGATACGCAACGCCAAACACCTGCACCGCCCGCCAGGACAGTGAAATGTGAGCATCAGCCCGAAACAGTGACCATTAAAACGGAGCTGCCCAGCAGCAGCAGTTATTGCCAGGATAGCGACCGAGAGTCCTCCTCATCCTCGTCGAGCAGCAGCAGCAGCAGCAGCCACAGCAGCAAGTCCAGCTATGAGGATGGACTTAACAGCAGTTACACGCGCACTTCGACTCCACTGCTGGATGCCACGCCGCAGCCAGCGTTAGCAGCATCCACAGAAGTAGCGCCACAGCAGCTGTCGCCGCAGCCAGCTCCATATCTGCCCGCCAGTGATCTGTATTACGCTGCAGCAGCAGCTGCTGCCGCCGCCGCCAATACACCGGCCGCTGCTGCATTTGGCATGGATCCGTTCACGATTGGCTTGATGGAGCAGGAGTACGCACGTGTCATGGCCGAGGATGCGCAGCTGAAGGCGCTGAATGCTCGCAAGCAGCGACCAAAGAAATTCAAGTGCCCCCATTGCGATGTGGCCTTCTCGAATAATGGCCAACTAAAAGGACACATTCGCATACACACCGGTAAATAAAACACAAACCACCACATATATACTCGACTCGCCTTACTAATTAGTACTTCTTTCTTTATTTTTGCTTACAGGCGAGCGACCCTTTAAGTGCGACGTAGAAACCTGCGGCAAGACCTTCACTCGCAACGAGGAGCTGACGCGGCACAAGCGTATCCATTCGGGTCTCCGTCCATATCCTTGCAGTGCCTGTGGCAAGAAGTTCGGCCGTCGCGATCATCTCAAGAAACATATGAAGACGCATATGCCACAAGAGCGCCAGCTGGGACCGGCCATCTTTATGCCCATGTATCCATATCTCTATGGCTACTAAACAATTAACAGCTGCAGCTCCAGCTCCGATCTGTGAAGCGCTTGCACGCTTTAAAAACGCTACAAGCCCAACTACAGTCTACCAACCGTACCAACAACAACAACAACTACAACAAGAAGCAACTCAATGCCGGCCAATACTCTATCCTAGAGCATCTACCTCAGGCGTACCTGGCGCAAACTCGCGCAAACACTCAACAACAACAGCAGAAACTACCTCAGCTAACCGCTACCAATCTTGAAGACGAAGATAGATATCCATGACGATACACATACAAAAATATATATGCAAATATTGAGCTATTTATTTTTTAATGAATATTTACACTTCCAGTACGTGACGAGGTAGAAGCGTCGAAAAAACCCGCACATGTGTAAATAAATCCTTAAGTGATCCTTTCTCATATGCTAAGCGATTAAGAGTTTTAAGAGACCATACAACCTAGACATACAAATATTTTTCACATTTTTATATATATGCTGAATGCGGTTAATAGCAATATACGATTTACATTTAAATATATAGTTAAATATTCAGAGCTGTATTATACGATTTATGTTTACACAAAAAAAAACCAACTTTACTACATACAAAATTCGAAAAACAAATTATATGTGTGAAATTTTTACTTTCTCGTGGGCTCTAAAGAAAAAAACGAACAAACTGGTAAAAAGTGCAGTTTGTGTTTGTTTCAAGAATGAAAAGAATCGTACTTCATCCTTTTCTAATCAATCGATGTCCGCCATAATTAAGACATATATTTATGGTTATCTACAATTTTACGGCCATTTTGCAAACGTATTAATGACTCTCACTTCCCACTAGCCAAATCATTTGGCAAATTCGACATATCATGCCGGCTAAATTCAAAGCAAAATCTGCAGTTTGCATTCGTCGGCACATTTGGCGCATCCTCATCAAAGGGTTGAAACTCACAAGTCATTTTGGGCAAAAATCTGCGAAAAATTCATTCACAAAAACGGCCAAATAACCATTAATTTTGGCCAAGTCAAACGCCCAGCTTCAAATCATTAGAGAACAGATCTTAAATTATCGGCAGAACCAATTTAATATTAAAACTGACTGACTGATTTGAGGCATTGGCCGACTTGACTAGTATTTCACACAGTTTTCTCACAGTCCCTGTCGGCTTCGCCCCCTTCCAGAACCTATTGCAATTGTTCACGTATCCTTGCCATTACTCACACGACAGCTTGCGTCATTCATGAGGACAATGAGTGGCCCACCTGAGCAACTAACTGCAACAGACACAATGTCTGATCTGCTCTGACAAAATGTTGGAATTTATTATGCGAACAAGCGATCGATTTCCCCCGGTCCAAAATAATATCAATGTGACTTCTACGTGTGCACAATGGCTGCAATTTTTGAAACCGTAGCAGACCGGTGGGCACTGACTCTCAACCTTTTTACCAGACAACCAGACAATGGCAAAACGGTCGCCTGATAGAGGCGTGCAGGTCTACCATATACATCTATCTATCTACCTGTTGTCCCCTGGTCGGTCAGTCATGAGAAGATTTTTCCTGGCAGACAGTGCGTCGTCGTCCACAAGTGGCACAATGATCGAACTAATAATATGATGTCCCATTGATTTCTTTAATTCTGTTTGCAGCAGACACAGCGGCTGCACTTTGAGCACTTGGCCAAGATAAAAAAAAAAATAAATTAATAAAAACGAACAAATGGCATCCAGCTCAAACACACATTTCTCAAGATGATATGCTTTTCGTCAGCGTTTGGAATTGATGTCGTCCAGATCGACACTTGATGTTTGCTAAGTATTGTCCAGTAATTGCTGGCAATTAATTAGTGTTGCTATATTCAATAAAATCTTCTTCTATATTCCTTTATATTCTGAAGTGTGGGAATGTACTTAAATGCCCTATGTACATACTAAATAAATACTGTCTATTTATGTCGATCACATTGACAAGTGTTGAGTTATAGGCAACAGATTGGACTCTATGTACATAAGAGAATTTAAAAAATATCCAGGGCTTAGTTCTTTGTCAAATGTTGTAAGAATTCTGCAAAAAGAAATGTATGATTTCGGATCTGAAATTTGCCGCAGAACTGATTAAATATTGTAGTTGATAGTGACCCGTGTAAATCACACTTATGCCTTATTATGTTTCTATTATGCACATAATTATTTGTATAATGTATTTAGTAGTGTCCTTTTTCTTGCCATATCAAACCTGGCTAGAACCGCCGTGTGCAACTGGCTAAGTTTATATTGAACCATATCTATAGTTAATAATCTTTTGTCAGCAACGACAAATTAAAAAATCGGTTAAATCTTGTATTGTTTTATTAATTAATTTTTTTTTCTTGATCTTGTCCGATTTGAAAAATAAAAAATCAGCTTAGGAAAAAAAACTGGAAAGTTTAGAGCCTTTCTAAAGAATGTCTGTCAACTAAATGATTTTTTAATAAATTCCTAATATATTTTGTATCGATAAGCCAGCAACAAATATTTAGGAATCATATGAAGATGTTCATCAAACTAGGCAATTTTCAACATTTCTCGTGAATTTGAATTGAAGTTAGAAATATAATTGACCTACTATAAAAATAAACAAGACTGCATTGTTACCAAACAATATCAAACGAAGCTACTTCCTAACAAGAAAGTCGTTTGGCTATCCATAACCAACTGACATCTTAGGACAATTGCAACGTAGGAGGCACTAGCCTATCTGCCATTCATGACCACAAAAAGGCAAAACAAAAGTCGTCGGGTGGTCCACAAATTTTGCAACCAGATAATTGCCAACTAGTAGAATCAGGACCAGGAATAGGAAGACGTCTTCCACTTTCTAGCTGGGCCACACAACGCGTCAGGCTAAGAAATTGAAATGTCTTTTGTGCACTAATAGAGAAATATACGGGCCATAATTTCGCAAGCCAACAATACTAAAGGAATTGAATGAGTGCTGCTGCTGCAAAAAAAAAAAAAACAAGAAAAAGAGCAGTGCATAGAAAAATAAAAATGGAGTCCCTGCCTCGTTGTGTAAAACAGTGTAGAAACGCGGTTGCTACCTTTCACAGCGCCAGTTCTCTCGGCCAAGCAAAATGCGTGGACGGGTTTCAACCCCTCAAGGAACAACCCTCATCCCCTATGCTCGCACAGTCAAACACACACCCATGGACTGGCAGGGGGTAGTGGCCGGAGTGGTAGCCGTTGCCTGTGCGCTGACATTTCATACAAAGTGTCAGAGGATCCATTTATTGGGAAATTTATTGGCCAGCAGCCAAGCAGCGAGCAATACGAAGACGAAAAGGAATAGGAATAGGAGACAGCCTGTCTGGCCCTCTTGTTGGCTTTCTTCGGGTCAAATGTTTGCGGTTGCTGGAAATGCTTTCACAATTTCGAAACGAGACTAAGCCTATAAAAAAGAGACTACAGACAAATTTGTGTAAAGAAATAGTTTTGTATCGAACGCACGAGTAAAGTGCCACAATAACCCGCAATCGCCTCGCATCACAACGTGTGTGGCTGGCATGTTGGTATTTCTATTTTCTATTCTGATGCTACTTACATGCATAAATACAAATACGTATATTGTGCTCGTTCCGATTATGAGACTTTCCCGCTAATTATGTTTGTACAGGCCACACTTCAGAGCGTAGACATTGCTCAACATTTCCAGCTACTTATCAACAGGACCGTTTGCCTTGACGATTTGCAATCGTATTTTCCAAGAGTCTCGGCTAATCTTAGGCGGAAAAGTGGGTATGTCCCGACACACGCTAAACGATGCGTTTATCTGCATAAACACTCTTAATAAGTCGATTGTCTGCATTCTAATCTCTCAACCGCACCTAATGACCGTATTTGTCCATTATCTCTCCCAGCAAACGTACGCAATTTTGGAAACTAATCCTAACGCCAGGACTTACACAACTATGCGTAATGCATCTGAAAAGATAGCTAAATACACACACATATCTGCATATGGGTCTCATATGGTTATTCCACACATGTGGCATAAGGTGAGTCATAATCTGTTTGGCCAGATAAAGCGCAGATAGCTAGCAGAGACAGATGCATATGGAAGTCAGCAGTTTCTTTCCATATAAGAAAAGCATTCAATTTGTTGAACTTTTAGCCCCGATTTACCCTCAATTAAAAATGCGTTCATCAATATTATGCAATTGCATTCAAATCAGACCAAAAATCAACCAAAACAGCTGGACAACAAACCCAAAGGTAAACAGTAGGTGGTGCCGGAAGTGCCACAAAATTCAAAACAAACGGCTTTGTTGAGAGTCCGCTGTAGTAGGTATATTCGTGCAGTTTCCCATCGCAATGAGCCAACAAACTAATCAAAACTAATGATGACATAATTGGCTCGATCGACAAGCCAAAGGAAGCAGGATAGTGTGTCCTGTCCTGTGTGTGTTATGGGCATGACATCAAATAGAAATAGGAAGTGGTTGCCGCAGCGCAGAACAAAGCCACACACCGAATAATGTCCTTGCAAGGAAACAGCCATCAGTCAGGGGTCCTCAGCCAGACGGAAAGAACAGTTAAAAAAAGAGGAAAAAAAAAGATAATTGATTTGTTTGCAAAATGCAATGCGATGACACCTTTGATTTTGATGGCCACGGTGTGGTCCTTCTTGGCAATTAGCTGGAACGTTATAATTACAATGAAGAAATTGTTGTGACATTTGGTAAAAGTCAAAAGTATTGAGCAATTCATCAATAAAAACTGCCACACAGACTGCTTTCCTATTTCAAATAACTTTTCTTCGAGATTTTTTGCGTTTTCCTATTTTTTTTTAGTTTTGGGTTTTTGCGGATGTTGCCCCGTGGCGTAGCGTGTGCTACTGTACAGCTCTCATTCCTTTTACATTGGAGAAAACATGGAGAGGATAAGACTCTTAAATAATTTATATCTTAATAATGACTGTTTGTTTTATTTGTATGCTCATCAAAATGTATATAAAACGAGTATATAAAGTTCATTCGAGTATAAAAATGCATAGAGTAAATTGTATAATTTGTATCGTGCGTTGCTTTCATCAAGTGTCTTTGTGCAATCGAAATGCGTATCAGACTTGATCAACATCATAAGGATATGTATATGTATAGTTATGCCGACTTATAAACTACCAGAAGAATAAAAGTAATAATAACTTGTAGATACAGATTGGTATTCGATAATTATTATGTGGCAGGCAGGGGCATCTTTTAAGTAAGGCACAAACCATTGGGCCGCTGAGATTTCGTGGTGTCCGCATCGCTTGACCGAACATTTTAATTTGAGGTTACATTAGGGTTATACTTCTTTTCTCTCCGCCTAGTAGAGCATGATTGCCGCCGTATTCTTATCTTTGCTTAGGGGCTCCATACGATGGCGATCGCGATGCTCACGTCGTTTGGCATATAGCAGAATTGTTATGTTGATGAGGATCACAATTGTGGAAATAACAACCAGGTAGAAACTGTAGCCAAGATAGGCGAGCCCGGTGCTGTACCAATGCTGTTGCTGATGCTCGGCTATGAGTACATTGTGGATGAGATACTGATAGAACTGCACCAGCCAGGCCAAAAATGCAACCACCTGAGCGCCCGCAGCTGAGACGTTGGCCGCCAACAGGAGCACCATGGTGCCGTTTTTCTTAGCAGCCGAAGCCGACTTGAGCACAGCAGCTATGGCAGCAACGGCACACGCCAACAATCCAAATCCAGTGCCAAGTGTGGTGAGCAGCCATAGCCAGAAGCTGGTGTCACCGTGCTCGGTGCGAATGAAGGAGTAAACTGCAGAAGTGCATTGCCATTTAATCAAAACGTACTTTAATTCCATTGAATAACTCACCATCAACCGGATAAGTGCGCACACCAAATCCAGGATTTAAATTCTGATTGCCATAGAACAATCCAAAGTTAACATCCCCCTTCGCTTCCGTCGAGTTGCCGCGTCGTGGATACGCACGCACCCAGTGATTGGTCGTCATGCTGGCCAGCAATAGTCCGATGGCCAGGCAACTGCCAAAGAATGTGGAGAAGACTAGGGCACGAGTGCGAATGCTCATTTTGATGGATCTGCTGTGGGTAAGCAAAATGAAAATCTATAAGATCAAAAGACTCAGGCTGCAAACTGAAATTGTTGCCGATAATAATATGTTATCTAATATATGCTGTCCTGTACAAATAAACGCAAAGAGCTACTTTTAACTGCCATCGACTCAGGCAACAAAGAAAGTGCAACAAAAGCAGCAGCCACAAACCTTGCAAAGGGGCCTCCGCGGCAAGGGACGCAATCGTTGTCGTTATCGTTGTTTTCGCGGTCGTCTTCCTCAATGTATCTTTGTGTCATTGGCTGTGGGTTTTTGTAATTATGCATATTCTTAGAAATATATGCACATTCTTAATTTCGCAATTTCGTTTCCCTTTTTATTTGTCACCCAAATTGCGATTTTCCAGCGATTTTAGACAATTGTTGTTTTCCCTGTCTTGCAAGTGTTGGTTAATAATAAGTGCTGAAAAAAGAGCGAGTATTATGTACAATCTGGCAGCACTACTAAAGATTAAAACACAAATATCATATGGGCAACGCTGCACAAAAAAATAGCGCGTAATTTGTGCGTGACGAAAAAAAAGATAATTTTTATAATAAATATGAGCAGCCGCAAGCAAAAGGGTGCCGAAAACATAGAAAATCTGTGTCCAGTAGCCAGGTAAATATGTGTTTGTGTGTTTTGAAATTGCATTGCGATCGACTAGCGCAGAGCGATTGCCTGGTCAGCAAAAGGCGCGAATTACTTCAGTGACGTCACACGTTGCTGCCAAATAAAATAAAATTGTGCATATCCAATTGAAGAAAGGTGCTTGACCCCTGCTGACCAAGCAACTGGCCCACTTATTGCATTCTGAGCACTTTTTAATTAATGACCTCCCTCGGACCCTCTCCATCTTCCCGCTTGTTACAGAAAACGCTCGACAAGTAAGAACGGCGGCACCGCTGCAACGAAAGCGTCGATCTACGAGCACACCTCGTCCCCTTCCGCGCTGACGTTAGAGACACTCGAGGAAATGGGCTTCGGCATGTTGGACTCGGAGGAGAGCAGCTCGTCGGCTCTATCGGCGATTGCACTTGCGGTGAGCAACACCAGCGATGAGAACTCCAACGAGACAACGCCCAGCACAACAAGTGTGCCTCGCATGGCGCATCAGCAGACGCGACTAAGTCTTAACTCGACCTCGTCAACGCTGGACAATAGCACCGTCAGTAACAACACTCTGATCGATGTTTACACCGAAGATACGCAGGAGCGTTTGCTGTTGCAGTCGGCGGAGAAGCTGCACGCCTTGGCGCAGGCAAAGCGCACGGCTCTGAACAATATTGGAGAGGGTGGCAGCAACTCCAATTCGCCCAGCAAGCGCACCAGAAATCCTCTGGCCACCGTCACATGCAATAATCAAAATGAGGCGTCATTGGTACTACCGCCACCGACGCAAATGCAACTGCAACAACAACAGCAACCAACGGCACTCGGTTTACTGCCCTCGACCAGTAAACAGGCGCTGTTGTTGGGTCAAAAGAAAGGTGTGGCGCCACCGACACCACTGCGACTGCTGCAAACGGTGACAACGCGTCTGGCGCCCAGTGACAACTTCTTTGTTTATCGCACGCCTGCTATGATCGCTCACATTAGCAGCGGAATCAACTATTTTGATAAGCTCTCCGATGAGATTCTGCTGGGCATCTTTAAGTGGCTGCCGAAGAAGACCCTGCTGCGCATAGCGACTGTTTGTCGTCGCTTCCATTACTGTGCCCGCGATGAGACGCTGTGGACGCGTCTGGATCTCGGTCTGCGCACACTGCGTCCCCTTGCCCTGGAGCAGGTGGTGCGTCGTGGTGTGCCTGTCTTGCGCCTCGCCCAAACAGACGTAAGTTTAAGTGAACAATTTCAAAACCATTTGCGCTTCTCTAATCGATTCCAATCCCACACAGATACAAGATCCAGCCTTTACATGCGAACCGTCGTCCATCGACTTTCAGTCGCGTCTGCAATATTTGGACTTGAGTCTTGCCTCCATTTCGCTCAGCTCTTTGCACACATTGCTCGCGCATTGCCGCCAACTCAAGAAACTTAGTCTGGAGCATGCGGATGTCAACGATGAGATATGCTTTGAGATCTCAAAGAACAAAGCGTTAGAGACACTCAATTTGTCAATGGTCGGTGGCTTGCAGGCCGGCAGCGTTCGTCAAATGATGGAATCGCTAAAGAAACTCATCAGCCTGAATATATCGTGGACTGATTTAAGCGCTGACGCGGTCACCGCACTAGTTACTCACATCCCGTCCAATGTCATCCGATTGAACGTCGCCGGCTGCCGGCGAGTCCTCTCTGATGCACGTAAGCTGCCAGCCAACCAGGATAAAAAAGACCAAACACATTTCACTATTCAACTTTGCTTTCGTTCCAGATGTTGTCACACTGCAGAAACGCTGTCCACAGCTGCTTGAGCTCGATCTTTCCGACTGCAACAGTCTGACGCCGACAGCACTGGCGGCAATCATGAAATTCAACAGTCTTGAGTATTTGTCCGTGTCGCGTTGCTATCTCATACCTGCCGCGAAATTCATGTAAGTTGTGCGCAGAAGTCTTGCTAACTTTCTTAACTAATTTAACGCAATTTTAGAGAACTTAAAAATATGACATCTCTCACATATCTGGACATTTTTGGCATGCTCTCGGATGCCGCAATGGAGGTGCTGGAGAAGCAAATGCCGAAAATTAGCATCAACAAATTTATACACAGCTCGGTGGGGCGGCCAACTGTTGGCACGCGTCGCACCTCCATTTGGGGCATGCGCACACGTGACTAAGACTCCCATAGAATCCCAATAAGACTTAGCATACATATTTAATTCAGATTATTTTTGTTGCGTTAATAAGCCGCCTAGCGCAGTTTTAATATTGAATTCAATGACAATAATTAAATGTCACGTTTGGCTTTTCCAATTATACACATTGGTTGTTGTTGTTATTGTTGTTGTAGTTTACTCATCATCCAGCTCGCTGGGTGGTGCTTTTGGCTTCTCCCAAGACCACTCTTCCCAGGGGACGCACTCCTTAACGCTGTCGAGGAAACCCATCTCGGCCGGGCAACGCAACTTGGAAGCGGGCTCATTGAGCGACTCGCATTTCCAGAACGCAGTAGGATCCCAGCTATCGCGATAGATGGCCACATCCAATTCCTCCTGCGAGCGGCAGGCCGGCTGCCCATCGCCTTCATAGGCATTGGCCAAACTGGTGGCTGCCAAAAGAACCAAACAGATTGCTAGCTGAAATTTCATTTTACCTCAACTAATGCCCAACTGTTGGACCACTGCCGGTTTTTATAGTTTCCCCTGGTGCAGTGATAAGCCAAGTCAAGTGCAATCAATACCAGCAAATGCTTTCAGTAATTGGCGATGGCTGAGCAAACAATTGGTAACAGTTTGGCTGACGCAAATAGAGGCACAAAATGTTTTCTCTTTATAATTTACTTGCTTGTATCCAAGAACGACAATTGCAAAGCGTTTCCTACTCAAAAGTAATAATATTTTTAAATATAATTTCTGCTTCCATACTAATTTAAGTCCCAATACTTGGCATATTGGATATGTAATCAATAATGATTTTTCATTTTAATGAAATGCAAGGATTTCTGAGTGAATCATAAACGTTTCCCTTTAAAATTAGCAAATTTATAACAAATAATTGCTACTTCCAGATTAAAGTGAGTCCAAGTATTGCACACATAATTTTTTGTGAAAATACAAATCAAATTTCGTTTCAAATGTCGGGTGGGAAATATCAGTGCACTTCGTATAACAGGTTGATGTATTGGATAAATTTCCCACAAGCATTTCCAAAAGCAAGGCATACTTTTAGGGGTAAGCAGGCGCAAATTAAATGCGACTCAGATATATAAATATAGACTTTTCAAGAATATGGTGCATTAGAATCGCATTGACATATTGTATCGAACTGTATTCAACGATTTGGAAGTTGTTGAGAAACTCAAACATTCCATTTTCACTCGTAGAGTATCTGAACTAATCCTAAATCCAAAAATTCTTTGTTCAGCATTTCAGCTATTTGAAGATTTTTGGTCACAATCTCGCATTCTATGAGAAATTTAAAAAGAAAGTAGCCTTTTTGAGTATCAATAAAAAAAATGTAATTAAGTCTATGATTATATTTCATCTGATATTTAAATCAAAAAACGGCCAATGCTATTTATGAAATCAAATTATAACCGTGCTTTTATGTCGTATACGAGTGACACGTTCTTATACAAAGCAGTGCTGCCACATCCACTTACGATAAATATTCAAAAAAAGGCCTAAAAATGACAGCAGCGCACAAAGATAGAAGTTTATTCTAGTGCTGAGCAGCTGTTGGTTTTGTGTAGGCTTTGTAATTTTCTTTCTTAAACTTTAACATTTACATAACATTTCGAAACAAGTTTCGTTTACAATTTTTGGTTTAATTTGTTCACCGACTAAAGCAAAAACAGCGCCCACAACCAGGATCAGCAGAACTGCGACATTGGAAAAAACAACCTGTAAGACCTTGAGATTTCTAAATGTAGAACAAAACATATGCACGCATTCAAGGAAGACGCCAATCTCAAGTGTATTGCGTATTTATTTGCAGCTATCCGCTTCGAACAACAACAGCAAGCAGAATGTCTGTCCGCCGCACAATGTCCACGAGTGCCCAGGAGTGGCGCAATTATTTTATGAGCACCCACTTCTGGGGACCCGTTGCCAATTGGGGTATTCCAGTAGCAGCGATTGCCGACACGACTAAGCATCCAAAATTCATCTCTGGCAGAATGACACTTGGTAAGGTTTTGGGCTGCTATAACCAGTTTACCAGTCAGCTGAATAAAAATTACCATAAAAGCTTTCGTAACCGAAAACCACTTTCAGAAAGATACGTTTTATAATTCCGGGCTGCTAATCAGAAAGCACTGATAAGCCAGATTCAGATAGTCGGAGAAGTCTGGCTGACAGTTTAGCGCCAGATTGTTTTTTTTTTATTATTCATATTAATTGAGTTATTTAATATTCATATTAATTTATTATCTGCTTCTCCGTTCAGCATTGACGCTCTACTCGTGCATCTTCATGCGCTTCGCCTACAAAGTTCAACCGCGTAATTGGTTGTTATTTGCTTGCCACGCCACAAATACTACGGCACAGACTTTCCAAGGACTACGCTACCTTAAATATATAAACTCCCAAGAAGCCGCGTAAATGAACCCACCCAATCTGAACAAAAGCGCGCGATGCGACAATAGAAATATTTGAATAACAAACAAAACGCAACAATCGCAGCAGCGGCAAAAATGACACCAACTTCAGTTTACTACAGTCACGCAAACCCTTCCATCAAGCGTAATTGTAGTTAAATTGGCTAAATCTCTGGCGGATTCCATCTCCCGTCACGGATTGTTGTTCAACGCGCGCTGAACACCAAACAAATCAAGGCTATGCAAAAAAGTCAACGGTGCTGGTTTTGGACTTAAAGTTCTTACGGTTTTGGTTTTTAAAATCATTTTACGAATTCGACTAACGATATGATTCAAAATTAATGTGCAATAGGCTAATTAACATTAACTGTCTAGAATCTTGAATAAACAATTTAATTAATTGCCTCATATTTTTTGTTTTGGGGTGACATTGATAAGTCAAAATCACTATTTAGATTGTAATTGCCATATTGCACGTATTGATTACATTGTAATTGATTTGTCCATATGTGCGGAAATAAGCCCTCGTATTCCTTGCTAAATCTCAATGAATGCAATGCTTTCTTAGTCGAAATTAGATTCAAACTGGCAACCAAAACGATTAGCGCAACGCAAGAACTTTTATTATATACCATGAGTAAACCTAGAGAAAAGTAGTAAGAAAATGAAAGAGAATATGTTGATTTCGACATGTCCTTAAGGACATGCACTTTATTCAAACGATTCAGTTTTTATAATAATTCTAAAATATACGTGGAATACATTTATGCATAGCTTGAACAATATTTAAATTTTTTTTGTTTGTAACAATTTTTGTATTTTTGCGATAAAAGAATATTTTTATATATAATTGTAATTAATCGCTACTTCATTTTTTTGTTGTTTTTTTGTATTTATCTTTCTTTTTTTGCTTCTAATGAGCTTGAAGATACGTTTTGATGTTGATTACAATTATTAAATATGTAAAACATAAGTATAAAAACATGTAATTAAAATTTGACAATTGCAAACATAATAGAAATACGAATAAAAAAATTTAAAAATCGTGCGCTTTTTATGTGGCGCTTTCAAATCATGCATATGCACTTAGATGATATAAAAATATTGTATTCATCAATTTTTGTTTAACATTGATGTTTTTTTTTTCTTTTTTTTTTTTTTTGTGGCTCCTTGAGTGGTGGCCACACATTACAGCGACTTGTTCAACGACTACCTTAACATTGGATAAACACTAATCTTACAACAAGCAATCTCCGTCACAATATGCGATCGGCAAGAGGCACAGGATTTATTGACTATGGCATGGCTACGAGAATTTCAATGCCCCGGCTCGGGCTTGATGTATGTGCTTCTCTTATGATGATTCTGATTCAGGAAATCTACTATCTTCTGTGATCGATGCTTCAGACGCTGCAGCTGTTCGCGCAGTTCATGATTCTTCGCGATAAGGGCATCCTCGTCCTTAACTTCCTCCTCCTCACGCTTCTTGGTCTTCTTGCGCGAGACACGGCTAGCCTCATTATTCTTAAGGCGATCCAGGTACAATTTCGCTTCTTCATGTGTCATTCTCGACATCAGCTCCGGATCGGGGCCATCAGCGTGCTCCTTGGCTGGCCGTCCACGCTTGCGTTTGGACTTATCAGTGGTGGATGTTGTGACGCTGAACTGAGATGTGCTGGCAGTGGAGAAGGCGGGTGAAACAGGTGCAGTGATGAAGCCGCCAAATCCAAGCTGGCACGTTGGCTCAGGCGATCGGGCGATGCCGACTGAATATGTGCTGTTGGGCGTATTTGGCGCTGTGCAATAATCTGGTAGAATGGTGATGGAGCTGATATCCTCAGTGTTGCGCAGATCTTCATAGATTTCATCCCGGGTGGAGGTGGTGTTGGCAAAATTAAGCTGTAAATGAAAAAGAAAAAGTTAATTACAATGTTCCGATCTCGATCGATCTATCGAGTCAATCTAATTTCGGTATGCAATACTTACTTCATCAAAGTTGAGCATCTGCTCGATGATGGTGGGCGTGTTGATGACATCTGAATGACTGATTTGTGATTTGTTAATGTTAAGTCCGAGTTTGATGCGTTTTTGTGGCATTGACTCGGCTACGGATATAGTGGCTGCAGAAGCTGTGCGCTTGACACCCAGAGTGGGCATGCCGTCGGGCATAGCGACCAAATGGCAAACATCTTCGTTGACTCCATCCAGATGGCCAGAGCCAAACAAAGGCTGACTGAAGCCGTAGGAGCTGTTCTCCATGCTGTTCTCATTGGCCAGCATGGGGAGCTCTGTGAATTCTTTGGTAACCTGGCTATTTGAGATGGATCCCTGTGAAAAGTTAGCAAGCATTGGATTTTCCGAATTCGTCAGTATGTTTTCCAGGCTAAAATCCTCGCGCAGATTGCTATTGATGTCGATGCCTTTGCACATTGAGTTCATATCAAGTGCCAACTCCTCGCCGTCCTCGAATTGTTGAAAGTCAGTTGTATCCATATTAATTAAGTCGCAGTTGTAGTAGTCGCTGTTATTTCTATCCATGCCCAGATTGCACTGATCCATTTCCTTGCATTCAATGAGATCCTCGGCAATCAAGTTTATATCAAAGTCAAAGTCAAATTTATCCGTCTCGGTTAAAATCTCTGTTCCAATCTCCTCACTCTTGTTGTTGCTGCTCGTTGACAAACTTGCTTCTATATTTTGCAGGTATTCTACGAAAGACACAAAATATTAATACCAATGCCAATGCAAAATTAATTACAAGTGCATTTTAAATGCCGGTTAATGTTTTGTTTTTCGATTGATTGATTCGAGTAGCTCATCGTATTCATATTTAATATGGGTGTGTTTGCTCTATAATGACCACTTATCGCAATTAATTTACTTAATTCATTCAGGTTCAAGATTGTATGCAATAATATAATAATCAAAGCCACTTTCATATTTGTTTTCAAATTAGGATTAGATTTGCTGCATACTTTTCAGGTGAGATACAAAATGAGACAGAGACAACTAGCTATACCTTTCAGCTGACACACGCTATCTCACTCACGCTATGTTGTGAAATTCAACAAACGAAAACGAAAAATGGCAGGAAAATTAAGAGTGAAAATGCAATAAATTGGCGAAAATTATGGAGCGAGATTCATTAGAATATAATGGAAAACAAATTAATATCGCACACCTAATTAAATTTGTAGAAAATGTTTGTAAATTGAAAAGAAATTACTAATAACACTTGTAAAATCAGTCGGTGCAGAGAGGAAAGAGACACTAAGAGAGAATAAGAGAATTGCGCACATGACGTTTGCGCTCAAACGAACATGATCGTTCATGTTTGCTGCCGTCTAGTCATATTTTGTTGTTGTCGTATTGGTTGTTAAAAGGGTTGAAACAAAATCAAAGCAATTTGAACTGTCTTTTTGGTGAATTTAATATGTAAATATAAAAATGCGCAACAATTCCTTGCGTGTCTACCTAAAATAGCAACTCAACATTTTTAACCTAGTGCAACAATTAATTACTTTATAAGATAAAACAAAGAAGAAATTTTTGGTATTTAAATTTGCCATAGTGACGCAAAAACAGAGATAAGATGATACAGGCATTTGCAGTTGGTGGACCTACCATAATGTATATAATAATTAATTTTTCGGACCAAAATTAAACTGAATCTCATTGAACATTTTGTTTTTTTTTTTTTTAATTTTCAAGAAATTAATTTAAATTGAACAAAATATTAATTGTCATAAATATTCACCTTTTGTTCGGCTTTTAGTAACGTAATTTTGGTTGCGCTGCCGCCTGTGCTGCGAAACACGTTCTTCTCGTCTTAAGTACCAACGAAGACTGACTTCATGCGTCAAGCGCACGCTTCGTATGCGACTGTGTAAGCTGTGTCGATGTGTGATCGGAAGAACGAGAGAGCACACGAAGACACCTACACGAATACACAGACCAACAGAGAGAGCCTGCAAGTGTTTTTTGACAGTATCGCTGTCACGCTCTTTCGCATTTATCTCAAACTGGGACTTGTTCTCGAACAATAACAAATGTTGTGATAGCAGTAGGCCATGTTAGCAAGCTATCACACATATAAATTATTGTGTGTAGTTTGGTCGCTTGATGTACCAATACACTTGAAAATGGAATTTCATCAGAGCAGAGAATTCAAAACATATATATTTATACATAAATGTAAATGGCACTTAGCGAAGTGGTTAATTTTCATTGGTTTTTATTAGGCAAAATCATTGCAACTTATTAAATTAAATTATTGTTGTTGTTTTCAAATATAGCAGACTAATGAAAACAAAAAGTACAACAACCTATGTATGTCGGACCACATCGCGTATACGCGATGCATAAAATGGTATACATATGTATTGTATATGTATGTTGGTATGCGTTTGTATCTGAGAGAGACAATCAACCGGCCGGCACAAATCAGCTGTCCCGCTCTTATGGAGCGAAAGAGAGCGCTGTGTGTTGATCGCAAACAACAGAGAGAGTACACACATACTCCTACAAGTGGTGGCAAGGTGGCGACGATTCGCTTTCAGAGCGAGAACGACGCTCTCATATTTTGCAAATCATGCTAATCGAATTTCACAACAATTGTGGTAAGAAGGACCTAACAAAGGGCTGAACACGTGCATTAAATATTTTGTCTATGTACTCCTAGCATGAAGGCACACATTTATTTAAGAATAATGCACAAGCGATTGTAACTACTACATATATATTAAATAAGAAGTTGAATCTATGTCATGAATCATCTGTTGCCATTGCACTTGAACTAACGTATGATTTTCATTTAATACCAATAACGCACAGTGAACTTATACAAATGTACGTATATATGTAGCCTTGGGTTGAAAAAAAAGAGAACTCAACTTTTTTATTGTCAAAATGAGCGTGTTAAAATCAATTTTGCCAGCATGCCCATTTATGGAAACAGGGCTCGCTACCTATGAGATAGCATGGGGAGGATGGTTTTCTGCAGCTCCAAAGTGACCAAAGTGGTGTGTTGTGTCTAACTTTTTGTAAAGTTAAACGAGCAAAGGGGAATTGCTCTATGTTTGTGTAAACATATATAAAATACATATGCCAAATGCTTATACATAAATGTCTTGGTGTGCATGGTGTGCTTGCACTATGTTATTGAATACATATCTGATTATTTCTTTTCTGGTGTTGGTTATTGAATACATATCGAATTAATTTTATTTTAGTATGCGTAAAAAAGGAGAATTGATGTGGTGGCAACTAGAAGGCAAAGTTCACATGCGCTACATTATATATGGACACTTAGCAGAAAGACATTTGTCTAACACAAAGTAAATGAGTCTGAAAACTATAAGCTGACGAACATATATATTATATTTTAATATATAATTATATATATATATATATATATATGAATATTGCTATGTGTACGTACATTGCAGAAGAGTTATATAAATATGTGTGCATTTATTACAAAGTGCGCAGTTAAAATTACTGTTGCTGGAGTTGCACAAAAAAGAACTACTGACGAGCAAATCGCATGAATCATTGTCGTAAAAACCAAACAAAAAAAATAAGAGAGAACGTTGCAGTCCGGCGTAACCGACTGCGGAATACTTTGATACCGTAAGTTATTCCAGCGGATAACAAGTAGGAGAAAGTTGCTAATAATCTTCCCTGCAAGTTTGGTAAGTGAGATATAGGCTTTTATCGATTTTGAAGGCGAGGGTGGGAGCGGGCAACATTTTTTTTCCGGATTTTTGAAGGGTATTATAAGCAATATCTTTAAAATTGTGGGAGATATGCGCACTTTACCGATTACACTTTCCGAAATATCGGCGTTGGCGATTATGGGCGCAGGTGAGGGCGTCGCCATACAAAGTTTTTCTCGGTTCTTAAAGGCGGCTACCAGTAACGTATCTACCTAATCTGACAGCTCTAACTCAAAATCTGCGGAAGATTTAAAGTTTTTAGGGACGAGGGGGAAGCCATTTAAAGTTTTTAGGGACGAGGGGCGTGAGGGCGGCGGAGGTGGACGTGGCGTATTCCGATCTTTGAAGGACACCGCCAAGAAAATATGGGGACTTTAGCATTAAAATTATGGGAGATAAACAGACAATCCAGTTTGTAGAAACAGAGACTAATAAAAATAAAAATAAAGCCAATCGAAAACACTATATAGAGCGCACTCTATACTCTATACTTATTCGCGAATGTGTAATGACTCGAGCAAATAATATTGTTTCTACATACACACATAGTATATGGGTATATAGGTATACTTTTTCGAGTATTCATCTGACTAAAACTAAAAATAAATGTACAACTGGTTTATTTTTCTCAGAAAAACGGCATATTCTTATGACATAGCTGAGGGAATTAAGTGCATTGAAAAATACGTAAATAAAATTATATCTGTTTACATTGACACAGTCTCTTTAACTGTTAGTATCTAAGAAATCAAGTCCTTCCGTTTTAAATTTATCACAATCAATCTTGGAACTAGCCAAATTAAATCACAAATCACAGCCCGGTAATTTTAGAGCTATAGACCCCCAATTTAAAAGCCAAATTAATGATTATTCAGAGACCAAGACACAACAAATAACTGCCTCCTCTCCCCCATCCCGATAGAGGTTCATTGACACCTGTTATCAGCTGGTATTAAACTGGCAACAGAGTATTCAGTATTCGGTTACTCTCGAGCGCAACGTTCTCATGTGTTTTATTATGCAACATATATGTCTACTAACACGTTTAATTCCAGTGAAACATTTGTTTTTATTGTTTCATTGCTAAAAGCACTATGACCTTTTAATTGATGATATTTTTGAAGACACTATATATTAAAAAGGAAATAAAACATCGAAGTTTTCGAATAACTTTTCGCAATTTAAGATAGCTATGCCAAGGTATATTAATATATATTTGAAGCCAAACGTATCTGCATGGAAACAGAATGATTCAGAGTCAAGAATTGGTTTTCTTTATAGCGTCCAAAATGTCCCCTGCAATTAATTTAAATATTTGATCGGTTTTGAACGATTTCAAATACCCTGTAACGACCTACTATAAACTTAAAAAGTGATTTAATTGGAAATATTTATCAGCCTGAAATGAATGTGGTACCAGATTGCTCCTTGCCGCCAGAAAAGATTTGCGCGGGTTGCCTTTACCCGACGCACGACCGATCTGGCATTAGGCAAAGGAATGTTTACGTTTACTCTATCGACTGCTGCGTGGTCGCAATGGGTCATTGCACTGTGATCTTCCACTTCGTCAACTCGTGGTAATGTACCTCGATGTCATAGGCAGAATGGAGCACCGAACTAACCCCCCTTTGGGGAAGGGCAGTCGGTCGCCGTTCGATGCCTGCTATCTGACTCTTTCTCTAACTGATTGTTTGGCCATGCGTTTGAGTATTGGCTACTCGATTTCGATTTGATTTTCGAACAGTAATGAGAGAGTGCTGGTACAAATTACACACACACAAAAACACAGTACTCACCATCAATGAACACCGGAACATCAATCTCTTCAACTGTAGCAGTAGGCATTGCTCCACTCATATCCTGGGGGGACTGCATGTCTGCACCTGTCAGCTGTATACCAGCCATTGACGCCAAAGTCTGGGGCGTGCTCGAAACCTGGACCGTTTGGGTCACCGTTGTCGATGTTGTGGTCGGGTCGTTCTGGTTGACTCGATTTAATTGAGAGTTGGAGCTGTTCGAGCACTGTTCTTGTGGGTATATTGTCCCAGTCGATTTGATGGCGTCTTTCACGATACGGGATGCTGTCGCCGAAGTTGTAAAGTTTACTGAAGAGCTCGCCGTAGGCAAAGCACGTTTCACTGAAGCCGTGGCTGGTACCGACCCTGGTAAAAAGGGTATTCTGATAAGACGAGTTCGAGGCGCGCTCGGCTCTGTCCTGTCGCTCTTGCTGTTGTCTGTGTTGCTGCTGTTCTGCGTGGGCACCTTGATCAATATAATTCTTGGATTGGGTAGCGTGTTTATTACGATCGGTATGGTTGTCGTTTTCGTCGTTAACGTCAACATAGGCGAATCCGTCGTAGGCACTGTTTGCTTTGTTCTCTTCTGCGAGCAGTTGCAGTTGGACGAGTAGATTCTCTCGCCAGTAGTTGCGACGTTGCTCTGCTGTGCCTCGTATGTTGTTGCCTGTGCCCGTGCTGGCTCCTGGATCATCAATATTATATCTCTGGGATTTTCGGCACTCCGTCTGGTTGCTGCTTGAGTTGATGCCGTTAAAATAATCGGTGTTGCTGAGCTGACCGTAGCTGATGTTCTCGGTGTTGTGGTTGTTGTGATGGTTGCTGTTGTCTGATTCGCTCTTGGCCCTATTTTGGCTGGCTGAGACTTCGACAGTGAATGCCATTTTGAACGTGGCTATTCGACGCAAATTTCCAATCATATTTTCAAATTCGTCGTTAATATTTTATTTTTTTTTTTTTTGGTGAACGGTTTATTGGTTTCGGTTCGACAGGATTTCAAAATATATACATTTTTCATAATTTGTATTATATTTGATTGATTTTTCAGGATTTTTCGATGAGTGGAGCAAGCACATTATAGAGTTTTGGTTTGATATTTTTTGTTTTTATGTGAAAGAAAGTAGACAAAAGAAAAAGATTTTGTTATTACACAGATCGACGATCCTTTGATAGGGCTATCGCCACTAAATGTTGCGGAATGTGCGAAATGTTGTGTATTGGGTTGTATGTACGCGCAGATCGTAAATATATCTTCAATAGGTTAGAGACATCAATAAACTGACAAAAAGCAGAGATGACATGATATCTCCGACCATTGAGTTATAAATCAGGGCGAATTTTATTTTTGCAGGATTGGTACAGCAAATGGATGAGTATTGTGAGTGTTTGGTGTTTTATTTTTTTTTTCAGGCGTTAATTTTTTTATGATTTTCTTTTCCTTTTTTCTCATGCCTTGTTATATATTTTCCTTTTTATGTACACGTCTTTTTAATATTAAATATACATTTTTTTTATTGGAATTACTCCTTTTTTCCATTTTTTTTTATGGAATTGCTCCTTTTTTTGGTTTTGGAATTACTCCTCTTTTAATATTGGAATTACTCCTTTTTTTAATGGAATTACTCCTTTTTTTTGGATCAAATCCTTTTTTAAATTGGAATTACTCCTTTTTTGTGGAATTACTCCTTTTTTCAATATGCATTTACATAAGTACATAAAGGTATTAATTTTTTCAAATAACAAGCTTACAAACTAATCAGTGGAAGTAGTTAATTTAACCAAGCAGGCAAATGAGGCTTACAACTAAATGTAAAAAGAAATGTGTATACTCACTTTTAATTGACCGTTGGAGAGGAACAATGAAATTGTTAGGGAACTTTAAACAAGTTCTAAAAGAGTCGTCGACACAACTTCCTTTTAGACTGCAAAGAAAACAGAAAACAACTTCACATTACTTACAGTTTTGATATGTATGTATATACGTACAATGTAAATATGTTTATTTAATAATAAAATCAACTGACTGGTAAGTGCGCACTTGTTAGGTTCACTTCAATATGTATTATCTATAGACCATAAATTAGTCGGCTTATAAAAAGTACTTCCTTATTCGAAACACCCTGCAAATTCATGATAGTCGACGATAAGGGCCGACACCGCCCTCCCCTTGCCCCTACGCATCATGCGAGGCGAGCGCAAAAGACAGAGCCGAAAGCAAAAGCTTCAAATTGAATTTCACAACAATGTCGTTAACAAAATGGCCGCCAAAGCCACAGTGGCAAAAAAACAACAACAAGTCCAGGCCTAATCAGTAGTTGGATACTGCCGATCGAGGCACTGCCAAAGCTAACGGCAATAATTGTCTACCCTGGTGCCATTTAGATAATTGCACACGGACACATACATTGTGTGTTTGCAGATAATGGGGCATATCGCAATCTTGTTGACATATCAAATCGTGCACCAGAGCAACAACGAAAAGCAATTATTAATTGCTAGGGAAAAAACCCCAGTACCACATGCAAACTTATGTACATATTATTGGCCCACACTTAAACCACACACACATTCACATACACACAATGTACAATTAAATATGTATTTAATTAGCAGCACACAGAATATAGTCGGCAAAAAAAACCACCTACAAATTGGCTTGTGAATCTGTGTCCGACTCTCGTCATTTGCTGACGTCGTTGCCAAAGAAAATACGTGTGTGTGTGTATTTTTACTTACACATATATATGTGCATTTGTATGTATGTATGTACATATTTATGTATGTGTGTCATTGCTTTTGTTGTTACGCACTTAGTACAAAATGGCGGACGCAATAATTAAAAACTGTCGGCATATAGTATATATACTTAACTGATTCACCAACAACACTGTTCGCTAGAACTCTATATATTCTTGATTCCAGTATTTACTTACATTAATTTATCACTTGTGTCTCCAAGCGCTGTTGGCGGGTTGTCGAAACCTGACCGAAAAGTTCACTTATTTTATTAAGCGACGCAATTTATTGGGTGGTCTATCAAACCACCACTTGAATGTCTGAACGCGAGTTGCCGTTTCTTAAAAAATTTGCTTTAACAAATGCGCAGTTGTTGCTCCACGTAGAACAACAGTAATACGAAACTTGTACAATATTTGTTAAACACTCTTTATTCTTTACTAGGAGTTTGCCTTCTTTTGGTATTTATGGACTTTATATTCCACTTTTCACATTCAATATTGCTGCAAACTGTGTTGAGTCACACTCAACTGCTTGCTTGTAGTATTCACTTGGAATTGACTCTGCGCGCGGCGAACGCAAAAGAAATAAGCACCAGGCGATTCAGAAATGTGTACGGCACTGTAATTCTCATGAATTTAGTTTCGTTGTGAAATTCAAAAAGCACAGCGCAAACCAGTTTTCCACAAACAGATAACTTTCTGAGCGTGTATGTGTGACACAGATACTCGCATTCACATAAGCGAAAGCTGCATGTGGAGCGAGCTTTTTGTCACGATAGCAGCAAGCAACAAGGTTCTTCACAGCAACGGAATTTTGTGACGTCACTGTGTTTATTTAATATTGGTTCTCCCAATGGCCCCAATTATTGTTATATATATTAAAGTAGAAGAAAATACAAATGTATTATGTAAAACTAAAATAATCCAAATTAGACAGCAAATAATAGATTAATATAACTCTTAGAAATATAACTCTAACAAATTTCAAGCAAATGGCGTCAGTATTTTGCAAAACATTTGTCGTGCACTGAATTACCTTTATCCTCCTAACCCTGACCCATCTGCTCGAATGTACGAATGGCCGGCCGGCCGGCAATTGCAATATTCAGTATGAATAATACTTTTTGTTTGCTTTCAGAAACATTATTAGGTATAACTACAACTATATATAAATGTATGTAGGCTTATATATAAGTTACTATTTATACGTGTACAAACAAAAAACATAGCTTAATCGGTATTTTGACTATGAGTCATCTTTTAGTAGTTTTAGGTATCGTGCAGATTACTTTTTACAAATGGACACTCATGTACATATATTTTATATGTATATATATATATATTTACATTTAATTTAAATACAGGCAAGAGGTGCCGTAGTCGAACAAATGCTTGTAATGTATTTTGTGTATGTTGTATATATACATATATACATTTATGTACATTATGTACATTTATTAAATATATATACATGTACTCAGTGTCTTGATCCCAAAACTGTTCATTTTTCAATATCAGTGTGCCAGGTGAAACAAATTAAAAAAAAATGGAGTGCGGCTTTGAGTTTTGAAGAAACGTTAAGTATTTAAATGTGGGCTTTACATATTTTGAGAGTCGGTCTCATTTAAAAAAGTACTCAGCCAAAAAAGCTTCCATTCGTGAATCAGCAGCTGATTTGCTGTGTGTGCACTTGTCTGTGTAAAGATAAAAGCTCCACAAAAGATTTCTCCGCATTCGGAAGCTTTCTGCTCACAATACAAGCACAATGCACATGTACATATACGGAAGAGCGTGGGTCTGTATATATTGACAGAGTACAATGGTATTTACACAAAACTCATGAGTCATGCTGCCAATGCAAAAACTAAAAGCTTTTCTAGCATGTGACATATGTTTTATTTATAGAGGGATAGGTTAGTAAGAGGTAGGGTGCTTGCCATACACAAGCTTTGAAAGCAAATTCAATTTAATTATCAGTTATGCCAAAGCGGTACACCGAATTCGTGGAAATTTGTTCAAATTGCGATATTTTTTACGTTCACATGAATGTGTGTGCATTTATATACTTAACTATATTGGGGGTTTTTTGGCACCGAATACAGACGGGCACTGAGTGGCACGAGATTTGTATTCGAAAAAAAAAAATTAAAAAGCCGCCTGTTGGCATTTGGCCAGCAAGACTGTAGCAATGCAAAAACTTGTTGCTGAAAACCGTCTCGGACTTTTGCAAGCCATGATGACTGGGCGTTTTTCTGTGCCAAGGGCCACGTCAATGAAAAACACTTTCGCGTAATGCTTTTGTGAACTTTGATTTTCTTGCTTCTTAAGTAATAGCGGTGGGTGCACCCAGAAAATATATGATGAACCCAGTTATGTACATTCAAACGTACATACAAGTGTCTATTATTGACATACATTCCATTTTATTTATTTATTTATTTTATACATATTTAGTTTTATTTAATTTACAAATGTGTATACGAATTGATGGTGATTATCTAATGACTAAATCAAATCGACGGATGTAGTCAATGGTCATTAAGATAGCTTTCAAACTACGAGACTAGTTTGCAGATAGACATGATTTTAATGTTGTTCATGATCAAGAATAACTTATGCACAGATTAATCGGCAAATCATTGAATTTTTTTAAATAACTGATTTGCTCTTAAGTTAATCATCAAATGCGCTTTTGCTTAATTTCAAACTTTCTACTCATCAATTAATGCCAAAGTATATGATAATAAAGTTATCATTGCTTGTTATTGCTGCAAAGTACTTTGAACCATAAAATGCCCAACAGTTCTCATATGCTGCAACTCTAGGGTATACGCGTTTTATGGGTGAAGGGCCTCAACATTGTAAATGTTGCCGCCTCACTCTGGCGGGACATGTGCTGATTACGTACACATAGCTTTTTACATCAAATTTTGGTTTTAGTAGTTTCACTATGTATGATGTTTAGGTGTAATGTGAATGGGTTTTGTTGCCAATGTCAATATGATACGCTTTATGAACTTACCACTCATTTTAATGCCGCCGCGTGTGGCAAGCAAGTCCCGCTTAAACAAATTTCCTTTTTATGTGAATTGAGATTTTGAATTCTTTATGTGTGTCCGGTGTGTTGCCTCAAAAACGAAAACCACTACAATAAAAATTGCCGCGAATCTTTGAGCCGCGCTTCTTTCGCAAGTTCTTGGAGCGCTTTAGGAGAGTCTTGGTGGACAAGGTGCCCTTAATCGATTGTAGACAATTGTTGTAATGATAATTATAATGCCAGCCACGCATACGCATACACATGAAATTGTTAAGCATGGGAACTTGCTGCTGCGAATGTTGCACACACATGAAGACAACGGCAGGCGAATGTTGCATGACGTTGATGCTGCGCTTGTTGTCAATGTCTCTCTCGTAGGCGACACGCGCTCTACTTGTTGTTGTTATTGTTGTTCTTGGTACAGCAATAGAAGAGTCGACGAACATAATATTGGGGCAGTTAACCGATAAGATTAGTAGTTCACGTTATTGAATATGCACTGTATTGGTTTTAGTTGATTTGTTTATTGTATCTAGATATAACTGCTATCTCAGATACTTTTTGAATTGATAATGTAGTTTTTTGATTAATTGCGTCTCTCGCAAATAATTCTTTGTTTTTTCCTTGACACTTGTCACTTCAATTGGGTTTTTAAGAACTTAGTGTTCTATGAATAAAAAATCTTTATACGGAAGTACAGCTTGTGATGCCATTAAGAATATATCTTTAATTGAATGAATGGGTTTTTCTATGCACAGTGTACTCAGACATCCAACACAAATTTAAACAATTTCACAAATTTCCGAAAATTTGCACAGTTTTAAGTTTGATTATTTTGTTGTTGCGGTTGTTGCTGCTGCTTGGGGTAAAGCTCTCTGAAATGACTCTCTGATTTGACTTGCGATACGATATTAAAAGTTGCTCTGTTCACGACGGCCAAAGTTTTGTTACTAACCAATGTGAGTTCGCTCAACCAGTCACTGGGCTACGGAGAGCGTTGTGACGGAAGCAACTTTTGCTGCTGATAAATATTTGCTGCTGACTTCGACAGACCCCCTTTCCCAGACATAAGTTTTCTGATTTTGTCCTATCTCTCAGCTGTTGGCGCTGTTGCCGTGCCCCCAAAACCGAATTCTATTTATGATACACAAAGATGCTGTGCTCATCTCAACAGTTGTATGCTGCATATTAAGTTGCAACGACTGCTGCAGCTCCTAACCATGGATGATCTATTGTTTACCCTTCCTTAATAACAATTAACTAATTAAGAATTTATATTTGAGCACAATTTTAAGTGTATATATAATTAATCAAAAGCTATGATATAATGGAAACCTGTATCAAAAATTGTAGTGAAAACTGTAACAAACATATGTATCAAATATTTTCTCAATTTATAGGCAGAGTCGAGCTATAAATATTATTAGTTACCAAAAAGTCGACAAAGTTATTTTCTTGTTAAGGAAAAAAAACAGAAATAAATGATGGCATAGAAAAAACTATTAAAAGTCATAAGCTCTTTAAATTCTATTAAATTAATCGGTTATTACAAAATCCAACTATAGTCTGTGATTTATGATTCTTCAGTTGTTATTTTAGATAGTGTACCTGATTTTGCAAATCTCATCGTGATGAAGTAAAAAAAAATAGCACAAACAAAAAAAAAGTACACTGGAGGCTCTGGGGTATTTATTATATATACATCCAAACAATAATAAAATTAGTTATTCCTATAATCCGAAAAGTACCTATATAAATGTATAAAAATATGTATAACAATTTCAAGATAACCCTATTCGCATACAACTCAAGGCGCATCCGTCAATTAATGAGATAAGAACACCGCATATGAAGATTAAATTTTCGCTTGAGAGAGCGAAAAAGCTTTGCTCGTGCCTACAGTCGCCTATGACGCATATTAAAACTGTAGAGTGCACATAGAAATAACGGCCAATAACATTTGGCATGCACCATGCGTGAGAGGGCCGATAGAGAGAGAGAGAGAGCGAGAGAAAGAGAGAGAGAGAGAGAGAGAGAGCAGAGAGAGTTTGGAATATTGCCGGCTTGGCTGATGCAACAATTGGTACGCATTGCAACAGCAGCTGAAAAGCACAGCTGATGTCTACCTCTTCAGCATGTTGCCAGGTTAAAAATCAGCACAACATGTTGCTAAAGACTTGTTGACAAGCTTTTTTGTTGCGTGTCAAAGCTACAAATAAACATTTGTCGTTAATTCATGAATTCTAATAATGCATATACATTATGTAGTTAGGTATTATCGTGCACCCTCTGGCAAATTGGTTAAGACGTCACTTGCTAAAAATATCTATCCGATTTGATACACATATATACATTGATGTATATGTGTATATTAAATGTACTTTAAATGACTGTGATTCTCGTGACACCCAAAACTATATGTTTGTGTGTGTTTATATAATTATTTGAAAGAAAGACATACAAAACCGGCAATTGGGAGAAATTGCGCATTAAAGTGTAAGCTCAAATCTGAAAATGCGCAGATTGGCCAACGTCACATTTTTATGCTAATTAGCAATTACACTTCTGCATTTCGACTATACTCGTTATAGAGCAGATATATACTATTTACGTACGCAATAATCAATTAGCCAAGCAATTTGTAAAACTGGAGTACAAAACTGTTGTGATTTTTAATTTTTTTTTATTATTTCTCACCAAAAAAACCTAGGTAATATTAAACAATAGTGGTACTTAAAGAAAGAACTGACTCCTGTAATCCAGCCAGGACTCACTTCCTGCTGGGCCGGAGCCTCACATGAAATGGCATGCTGTCAGCTATTGGTGTGACAAGGATGTATATGTCAATTATCGCAAAAAGTAGTTAACTTTCCACAAAAAATTGTTGTCAAATGATGGAAGGGTCGTTATTGAGTGGCTTTAATGCTCTGTTCATCGCAGTGACAACTTTATCAATTAAACATCTTTTAGAGTATCAGTTACAGCCTTGTTCGTGTTAATATCGCAAGGAGGTGTATTGGTTGCATAGCACGTGTTGATCTGCAGGTTCTACTCCTATTCTAAGAGGCTCCGCTTCGTTCTGAACCGGGGCCTCGCATCGTCATTTTGATGACGTCAGATGACATCATCGGCTGAGATGGCATTATGTCTGATATCTGTTCTCTCATAAAAATAGACGGCAACTTGGAGTCGCTGCTTGTCTGCAATTGGTGTGAGGGAGCTGACTACACAAACAATTCAGCAAATCAACCAACGAATTAGTTATTAACATTTGTTTAATGTTTGTTTAACAAGATTTATTTACTTATATCATGTGAAAATATTTCCTCTTTAAGTACATTTACACATTTTTTAAAATTATTAAATCAAATGCAAACTATTTACGCATTTTTGTATTTATTCATTTTATCTGTTCTTATTTATGTACGCAAAAGATTTGTATTAATATATAATCTATGTATACTCTCCAGACGCCTGTGAATTGTCAGGCATAAAACTGGTTTCAGGTTAATAACCTCAAAATTGCCTTATCTTGGCGCACTGTTATAAACAAAATGAAGAATAGCCTATGCTACACTTGACTAGCGTAACCATTTGCTATATATATATATATACATTTTAGCAAAATCATAATTGCAGTGCAAAATTATTTTGAAGCCCCGCAGATCTTAAATAGAAAACTATTTAAGTAACGAAATAAGCATTTTGCATTTGCGGTTTAAATCGATTTTAATTTGAAGACTGCTGATATCCCCTGCCAAGTTTGCAACATTTTGCAAATGAAGAAATTTGTATTACTTTATTCACATCCTACAAATAATAATTATAAATTTATTTACAATATATGTATTTAACCTTCACAAAACTAAATGCAAGAAGATTAACTCATTAATACACTTTGTATTTATAATTCGCTAACTAATTTTGTATATTTCTTTGTGTACATTTAAATAGCATATGAAATGAGATGAGTTGAAATCATAGTAGTCGGTTAGACGGTGGATTAAACTGCTGTGAAAGAAAGCCGGTCAAAGTGAATGTACAAGTCCACAAATACGTAAGTATGTTCTCGTATATATCGGTATGTATGTATATATATAAGTATGGGTGTATATTCGTGTACCTAGTTTTGGCTATTGTGCAAGAGAGAGAGAGCAGCAGTGAGCTCGTGCTGGGAAAGAGATTGAAACTGGAACTGGAATTGGAATTGAATGCGAGTTGAGTGTGCCTGGAGCCAGATGAGAGCAGACAAACTGCTGACAACGAATTAAGTTCCATATACTGAAATGTTTTGTTGATCAGTTGGACTCAGGCACACTGAGTCGATAGATTGACTTGACTTGGCCGCTACTGATAATTTAATCGCAATGCGATTGTACCTTTTATTTGGATCACTGCTGTTGCTTCTGGGCAGCGGCTGCTGCTCGCAGAAGCCACAGAATGTGCTGCTGCTGCTGGCCGATGATGCTGGCTTCGAGATGGGCGCCTATCTCAACAAGTACTGCCAGACGCCCAATTTAGATGCGTTGGCACGCAACGGGCTGCTGTTCAACAACGCCTTCACCTCAGTGAGCAGCTGCAGTCCGAGTCGGGCTCAGCTGCTGACTGGCCAGGCCAGCCATGCCAGTGGAATGTACGGTCTGCATCAGGGTGTGCATAACTTCAATGTGCTGCCCGAGGTGAGTTCGCTGCCGAATGTGTTGCGGGAACAGAGCAACGGTCGCATCTTCAGCGGCATCATTGGTAAGAAACATGTTGGGGGCGCCTCCAATTTCCGCTTTGACTTTGAGCAGACGGAGGAGCAGCATTCCATCAATCAGATTGGTCGCAACATCACCAGAATCAAGGACTACGCCCGCGATTTTCTGGCACAGGCCAAGCGAGAGGCGAGACCCTTTTTTTTGATGGTGGGCTTCCACGATCCGCATCGTTGTGGACACATTACACCGCAGTATGGTGAGTTCTGCGAGCGCTGGGGCAGCGGAGAGGAGGGCATGGGTACAATACCGGACTGGAGGCCCATATACTACGACTGGCGCAATCTGGAAGTGCCCGCCTGGCTGCCAGACACCGATGTGGTTAGGCAAGAGCTGGCCGCCCAATATATGACCATCTCGCGATTGGATCAGGGTGTTGGTTTAATATTGCGCGAATTACAGGCAGCAGGTCTAGCCGCGGATACGCTTATTGTCTACACCTCAGACAATGGGCCGCCTTTCCCCGGCGGACGCACAAATCTTTACGAACATGGCATTCGTTCGCCGCTGATCGTCAGCTCGCCACAGCCAGAGGCCCGTCGTCATGAGACGAGCGCCGCTATGACCAGCTTGCTGGACATATATCCCAGCGTACTGGATGCATTCCAGCTGCACGCGCCGAATGGAACTCGCTTCAGCGGTCAATCCTTGCTCCCCATTCTGCAGAAGGAGCCGGAGCCACAGGAGAGCGACGCAATTTTCGGCAGTCAGAGCTATCATGAGGTGACAATGGCCTATCCGATGCGTATGGTGCGCAATAGACGCTATAAGCTCATCCACAATCTCAACTATTGGGCAGATTTTCCCATTGATCAGGATTTCTACACATCGCCCACCTTCCAACAGATACTCAATGCCACCATCAATAGACAGCCATTCCCCTGGTATCGCACCCTCAAACAGTATTACGAGCGGCCGGAGTGGGAACTGTATGACATCAAGGCGGATGCACTGGAACAGCTCAATCTGGTCGACAAGCCAAAGTATAGTGCCACATTGAAACAGTTGCGCCAAAAGCTCTTCAAGTGGCAGGTGGATACCGAGGATCCCTGGCGTTGTGCCCCGCACGCTGTCCTTCAGGCCCAGGGTGTTTTCAAGAAGGATCCCGTCTGCCTGACCCTGGGACACGAGGCGCTCCAAAGGCCGAAACGTAGGCTGCTCACCCATTACGAGCAGTATGTGCTTGTCTAAGTATCTTTAATGGCTTTGGCTTGCGCCCTTATCTTGAGTATTCTCCAAGTGTTCCAAGTGCACACATGAATTATTGTATTCTGCCTGATCACAATAGTTGTTAAAATAAACTCTAGGTGTTGATAAGCCAGCGCCACATTCTTAAATCTTTTGTTTTATTTAAAATTAGTCATCGGGCTAGACCGTCTGCTAAACTGATAAGATATACATGTGAACATTCACATATTAAAATCGAATTCATAATGATAAATTGCAAAATACATTCTAAGACACGATAAGATAAGAAATTACAAAAATTATATAAAATCAACAAAAATGCACGTTTTATTATAAAAGCAAATAAAATGCGTTGAGTTTTATCAAATGAATCAGTTTGTGCTTAAAATGCGATAACTAATTTACAAATCAACAGTTCGCTACATATATGTATATACATTATTTTTACAAACAATTATAGATATCACAAACTTAATATTTGAAAGCCTTGTTTCTTGTAGTTATAGTTATCAGAAATATTTGTGTTTTAGACATTTAACAAAGTAGTGAACTTAATTTTTGGGAAAAACTTTGATTTTTTCTTTTTTGTTTTGTTTTGTATATTCCGAAGACGACGCTATCTTAAACATATTAGTTTATTTTATATAATGTTTTTTGTATAATATTGTAAGCAATTTCACAATTGCTTCTAGAAATTACTCTATCTTCATTCAACATTGAAGGCCAACCCATTTTGGGATGTTACAGCATTGGTGGCATGACCTCAACAGATGATGAGATGAGCGGAGCGGGGTGTGTTGCGTCATATTTCAATGTCATGCCAACTAGCACGACCTTTTCTTTTTTAGGGGTGGTTAGGATTTGGGTTCCACTGTCTTTTCATTGTGCTCGCGCAAAATCGAAAATTTCAATGCCCCATGTGCTTTATTGGTGGCGCCGTCGACGTCACCGTGTCGAGTCGAGTCGAGTCCCAACCCCGTGCAGCAGCATCCAAGTCAATGTTACGCAACATGCACGAAAACCTTGTGCTCGTGCCAAGGCTAAGGGGGTGGAAAGTCTGCTTTAAGGTCAACATGCAAATAAAACAAAACGCAAATTTGGTTTTCTTTTTGTTTTTTTTTATGATTTTGAACGAAAGACACATTGAAAATTAAATGTAGTCAATTTTGGTTTTTGCATAAATTAGGGTATTAATTATTAGCGTAATTCTTATATAATTTGTGGTATTACTTGTATGTGTATGTAGGTGTGTATATATTACGTTTATTTTTCCACCACACAAAATGCATAATTACAATTATTATTGTTTTACACTTGCCATCTTCATTTAATGCGTCAATAAAACATTCGCCTTTGCCGTTTAGGCCAAATCTTTTTTGAGGGGGGGTGGATGGCCGCCTAGAAATGTTTGGCAAATGTCGCGAGTTTTATTTTCGCTCCTCGTAAATTTAAATTTTGTTTGCTCATTAACTAATTTATTATCAGTAAATATATATTATTCTGTATACTTTTGCTCATATATACATCATTCGTATGTATATTTCGCATGGTATGCACCACTCTATATGCCAACGTGGGACTTGACTCTTCTGCTTTTTGGATACAGATACATATATTGTGTATATTCTTCTAGGCATTTATTGTTAGTAAACTTTTTTGCTTTTTGGTTAGTAATTTTCTTTCATTTTTTTTTTTCGTTTGCTATGCTTCGACTGACTTGACTGGTTTTTTTGTTGTTGTTATGTTGTCGCTTATTTTAACAGTTATTATCAACGTTTTAATATCAGTAATTATATTCAAATTTTAACTAGTTATATGCTGGTTTTGCGTAGGAGGATTCTGTTACGTTGTTCATTACTTTGCCGTTATTATTATTATTATTATTATTAATTTTTGTATTAACGCTGCTATATGTTATAATAAATACATAATAATAAATATACATGTAGATAATATGCTTAATAAATATATCTATTTTTATATATACATATATATATGTATATATATTATTTGTTTTTTTATTTATATAATAGTTATGTATATAAATAACAAAAAACAACACACATAAAAAGGAGCAAAAATGTAGGATAGAAATTGATTTAGTTTCATCCTTGAATTGAATTTGAATAATTGTTTACATTTCACAACGAACATTAAGACAGATTTTGGTTTTGATTTTATGATTTTTGGGATAATGTGTGGAGTATTGTTTTTGCACAAATATCAGTAGAGGATATACAATAAATAGTAGGTATAGTAGGTATTTCATGTAGGTAGGTAGCAATAGGTATACCATATAGAATTTGCATAGAGAGCGAAATAGAAATTAGAGTTTAGGAAATACAACGATCAATGTGTGAGAAAGCAGAAAAATAGCAACATAGTTTATGTATGTATCTATCAGTTATGGATATCTAGCTAATTAATATTTGGGAGTTGGCCAATCTGACAAGCTATGTATGTATGTATGTATGCTGTAATACATTTTGCGTATGTATAATGTTGTATATGATGTTGTTTTGATTTAAGCATATAAAATAGAATTGAAAGTTGAACAATTTGGAGACAACATTCTTGAATTGGAAACACATGGAAATTTCTATTCATTTGTAACGTTTTGTAAATTTAGTTAGTATTACACACATAATATTACATACTTTTAATTTAGTTGTAATTAATAATTTGTAGTTATTGTGTTGCCAACTGGTAAAATTTTGTTTTGCTATCGCATGTAACATTTGCGGTTTAATTTGATGTTCTTGTATTGTATTCATGGCCACGTGAATTTACTGTGCTAGCTAAGCCGTAACTCTAACCATATTAATCCATCTACATATTGTATGTATGCTTGTTTGCATGTCTTGTATGTTTGCTTGTATGTTTGTTTGTTTGATTGCATATTGTATGTGCCAAGCTGCGCGGCGCCGATGACGACGAAACCAACATTCAGTTAAATTATACTGCACAATGCATGATGCAATCTAGTTGCCATTGGGCAGAGGAACCTGCACCTGCACATACGATTGGGGGAAGTAGCCAGTTCGGCCATTGACGGCACCTTCGTACCAATTGTCATCGACACGATTTAGAAGGGTGATAATGTCGTTCTCCTTGAAGCCCAGCTCGCCTGGGTTCTCGGGATCAAAGTCGTAGAGTGCCTGGCAGCAGGGCTGCTGCTGGCGATGCGGTGTGACGGCCATGGATTTGGCTGGCGAGCGCATCGGCGAGGGCAACGGCGAGGCGCTCGAGCTAATGTGGGACGGCGTGCCGTCATCAATGAGGCCGCCGCCACCGCCGTCCAAGTTCAGATCGAGCAGCGTCTTGGGCACAAACTCATTGCGTGGCCGGCTCTCTGCCTCGGCGCGCTTCTCCTGTAGCGTCTCCTGCAGGCCACGCAGCACATCAGCGCATTGAGAGTGAAAATCGTATAGTGCTTCAGCAAAGGTGACGAGCTGTGAGACATGTTCAGTGTCGTTTTCCAACAGATTAAACATGCCCACTTGGGCCAATTGCAATGACTCGGCAAACTTGTCCTCAGCACCACGAATTTCATCATCTTTGGCCTGCCGACGACGCTTGCAGTCAAAGTCGAGACGCCGGCCCTGCAGCTTCTTTCGATGGTGCATTACCTCCTTGAGGTCTTTGGTCTGCATATGATGCAGTGGCTCCAAAAAGTTCTGCTTGATGTTGTCGTCCAGCGAATACTTGACGTCGGCCATTTGTTTCAGCGCTTCGCCGAATTCGACGAGCGCCTGCGCAAACACGCTGTTGTCCTCGCCGAGCTTCTTACCATAAGTCAACATGCACTCGGCCAGCAGACCCTCGGGCTGTGGATACGTATTGGATTTTGCCTGGCCCGACAGCTTCGAGATGCCCTTGACGGCGGCCATTTTGGCCCGTGCCGTTGGATTTGGCTGCAGAAACTCTTTGGTCTTCAGCTGCAGCTCCTCGACCAGCTCCACAGTGACATCCGTCTTGCGCTCCATATCCACAAAATCCAAATCCAGCTTGGTGCCCTCCGCACCACCCATTTTCTCCGTCACATACTGATTCGCTTTGTTGATCTGCTTCTTCAATCCGGCGAAAGCCATCACGTTGCCTTTGATATTAATGGTGTTGGTGTTGTTGTTGCCACTGGTGCTCGATGCTGTGGATCGATGTCAACGACGCGGTTGCTGTGAACGGGTTTATTTGAGTTAGTTGCCTTGCCAATTGATGTTTCTCTTTAATTAATAAACCACTGACCACTGACCACTGACTGAAATAAGTAAATATACATATAGTTTGGAATTTTTTTTTATGTTTTTGAATTTGTTTTCGTTTTTTTTTTTATTTCAATTTCTCTGCCTTTAGATATATACGCTATTTGTTTTTCTTTACTTTTCTATTTTTAACGTGTGGACGACTTACGCGGCGTGCACTTTTCTGTTGGGGGTGGATACGCTGGCTGCTGGGGCTGACTCGGATTGAGGCTGTGTGTGTGTTTGTGTAGGTGACTGGAAGAAATTGTGGTAAACGGCAATCGCATAGATTTATGTATGTTTTAATTTTGCACTTTCACTCGTTTTGTTTGCGCTGCACGTTTTGAGATATATCTCCTCTTTGCATGCAGCGTTGATACTTCTTAATTATTCTATTGGTCAAACCTTGATGTTTTTGCTTGACGTTAGGCTGCGTAATGTTTGAAGGACTGTCGTTACTACTACTATTCTCCCTCTGCCTTGGGGCTGGTGTGTTGGACGCGGGGGTCGTTTTTCCTCGACGAACTCAATCGATTTTTTGCTGTGTACAAAAATGTTAGTGATGCAAAAAACATCGATGCCGATACATGCGCCAGCTGCTCACATTGCGTTAACATACCGCTTAAATGTTATCTAACAGTATCATTTCACCATTACAGACACCAAGCTAACATAAGATGTTCACCTACATTTAAGGCCAGTATGCAGATCGAAAAATTAGCGCGCGAAATTTTGTACAACGGAATTGCCTACGGTCGGTGCGTAGACAAGAAACTGAAATCCAAACGAAAGTCAGCTAGTAGAGCTAGAAATAAATTGTTATTTATGTTGATGCTCGCCGGTGCAAAGCAGAGAGTTGAAGTGCTTCAACTCTGCGGGAAAGATTGAACTCGCGGTTTTATAGCTTTTTTTTTTTGTATCTCAGCTCAATATTTTGTTTTAAGATTCCACAAAGGAAATAACATTTTCGTTCTGCCAAATCGATTATCTGAGAACTATCGCTAAATATATTTATAAGCAGACATATCAACAAATGTATAAGCTATTGCATCAATTTCAAACACAACTTCAATAAATAAATTGATGTCCATGCTTGCGGAAGAATTTCAACTGATTTTTTTCAGTTATAGATTTGTTGAGTTTATTTCACGAACTGATTTATTCAATTTAATAAGTGTTATATTTAAATACATGTATGTGCTATTTTAATATCCTGCAGAGGGCATTGTAATTTGGTCACACATTGATAAACATATCTATTTATGTACGTATATATTTTCATGATCAAGACAACATTTCTATGGATAGCAGTCTCTGATTTTTGAAGCTATTATGAAACATTTATATTATTTGTGTGTAGCAAGCAGTACATTTTTCGGAATCGGCTGGATCAGTTCCCTATATCATTTATGTATGCAGCTGTCAAAGGAACGATCAGTCGAAAATTAAGTTGTTGTTCTTAGGAAAAACTACTGGTTTTTACATATATAAATACATATCTCAAATATATAAATCATTGCACTTGAAAATATTCCAGTTTTTGTATAAAGCAAAACTAGTTCTTAATAATTTATTCTAGACTTATATATGATCAAAGAACGTTCACGACTCCTGGAAGATATTAGATTAATATGTCTGCAAGAGTATTTAAATAACTGCTCTCTTTTGTTATTAAGTATACCTCTTAATTTGTAGAATTTCTATTTAAAAACGTTTGCTCATGTCGCATATATTTTAGTATTATAACCTCTTGTATTGGCTTTTTTTTAAATATATTTGTAGTACTTAAAACTAAAAAATGTAGTTTGCTTACAATTAAGAAAAAAGTTTCCATTATAGCCACTACGCAGTTTTATTTTGTTTTATAATAATATAAATGCATAATCCGTAAATGCAATTGTAATGCTCTGGAATTATATATTCCTCACTGATCTTGAAAGATTTGGCTTTGAGTTAGAGAGAAACAAGAAAGAGCTTTGAAAACATTGATTATTAACGGCTCTTTGAGTATATAGACGCTGTTTGAGTGGCTTACAAGACAAGAATCTTAATAGCTACATAGACTCAATAAAATTGGATAGTGATAAGTTTGTATATATATTTTTGTATACATACGTATATATGTGTATATGTTTGTTGATGTTTTCTAAAGCTAAACTTGCAAAAGGAACAAATTTGGCCAAAAAGGAAACTAAATGCATTGAACTTTAGTTTTGATGTACTCGCATTACAAAGCTACAGATTTGTGTCATTAATGTTTTTTTTTTCTTTTTTTCTGTTTCTAATTACGTTTATCACACATATGGTCGAAAATCGAAACCGTCACAAATAGTTCGATATGATGTGGCTGCAGTGCTTTCAGGGATTATTGGTGGACTATATAAAAATAATAAATAAAGTTAAGTTAAACGATAAATTCAAATTGATGTATGACAGCTGCAGTCAACACTTTTTCACGGCTTCGACGGTTAGCGCTGCTCTTGTTAATTGGATTTTGATTACTTCATTTTTTTTTATTACATGGACAACTCCTGCCTGGGCTTATTGATGTGCAAGCGCTGCGGGTCTTGTGGGGCGACGCAAATATCAGTGAGTATAACCACCTCATAGGGACTGCAGTCGGGCATGTGTAGAAAGCCGCACAGCCACCCATAAAAGCCCTTTTCTATATCGGTTACGTCGTTGATCCAGCTACTATATTGCAGACTCAGCTGGCGAAAGCCCGAATACAAACCCAGCCCAATAGTGCAAAGGAATATGGCCAGCGGATAGGCCAAAAATAGTATGGGCGTTACGAAAATCTTATGCAAGTACGATTTCTCCTCACAGTAGTAGTTAAACATATTGTACCAGGTCAGTGTGCCAATGTAGAAAGAGTAGATAGCCGAGATAACCGTCACAAAGGGCAAACAGATCAGCGAGATTAGAAAAATGTGTAGTCCAACACCGCAGCTGCAAGTGCAGCACAGATTGTGCCCCTTATGCGACTCATTAGCCATGGCATGGGCATTCAGCTGTTCCAGTTCCTCGCGACTTATGTTAATCTGTAGATCAATTGATTGCCCCTTCTTGCGACCCCGTTTGATGGTGCCTGTAGAATATAGAAAAATTATATACAATCCATGGGTTTCAAACTGAAACAAAGTAGTATCTTTATGACTAGTCTTGCCATTTTGGCAATAGTCCAATGGCATAAAAAAGTGTTGCTGTTACACACCTGTCATGGTTAAATAGTTGTTGCCATCGATTGCCTTGCGAGCCTGATAACGCTCCAGACTGTGATCGTATGTGTTCAACACACTAGTTTCGCCCGACTCCAGATCCTCGTAGTTGGTAATGTCAGGCGAGGCGCGCTGGCTGCGCACATGGGGCAAGTCGGAGGTGCGTATGTTGACGCGCTTCTTTGAGGATGATCGATTGCTTAGGCTGAGGCAATCCTGCGACTTGCTCATCTTGGCATCGAGGCTGCTCTCCGAGTAGCAGCAGCTGCTGGGCGTTACTGTGCTACTCTCATGCCGCTGCGACGTGGACTTGGTGCCCTGTGAAACGGACTCAAAGTTCTGCAGTTCATTCAAATTATTGGCCGATCGAGTTGACTTATTGCTGTGCTGCGTGGAGCTAGCCGAATTGGTGCTTGCAATGGTGTCCTGGGCACAGCCCAGTTCTCCAGGCAGCTGTGGCAGCGGCTGTTTGTTTTTAATGATCAGCTTTGATTTAAGCAGCTCTTCCTCAAGACCCGGGTTGGAGGGCGAGAGCTTGGCGCGGTTTGGCTGGGTAACAAAAAATAAAAAGTTGATTTATTTAGAGCTTTAATCATTTGTTATATTCATTTAAAACTCACTTGCACATTGACTATGTGATCCACATAGTTTTGCTTTTTGGCCTCGGCTTTGTTTTGTTGACGTTTACGTGGCGGTATGAAAACGGGGCGTTCCTTAGTTGTCACTTCCGCGCCCATGGCGCTTTTACCGACCATTTTGTGCTCTCTATATATATTTCACTAACTCTAAAATCCACATATTTTTTAAGTCAATTAACTAAAGAATTTGGTTTTTAGTGAGCTGCACGTATTTGAACTGGCAAAAAATGCACTTCCGGCTGCCTGTCGCGGTAGCTATGTAATTATTGATTTTTCATAGAATTTCGATGTCCTTGTGCTGATTTTGCGTTCATTGACAATGCCGCCTTTTGGGTTGGGCGCATTATGTTTACAGTAATTTAACGCCTGCGCAGCACTTTGTTTGACAAATGCAATCAAACAGCTGTTGATTAGAAGAAAGAAAAACATTGCATGGATTGCCATTTGGAATAAACAGCAGTACATAATCTAAAAAGTAATCTTTTTAAGCATATTTAACTCAAAAGTAAACGGTTATATTCCATTCGGACTATTCCAATTCAAACAGCAATGATTGTGACTGTATTATTGTATTTGGTATTTTCTTATTCACCGCTCTGAAATTCAATGCTGCCACATGTTCAGAAACTAAAAATAAAACAAATATTTTAAGGGGCTGTTAAAACAACACATCTAATTATTTGGATTGGCATAATTTAGTAACAAAAACCACAATAATAAGCTTTGTATTTGACAGTATTTATGGTATATATTTAAATTCACAGCAATCGAATTTCGATATCGAAAGTTGCCACCTGGTTATAATATATGTATCAGCAAAAGCGATTTGTTTTGATTTCAAATATATTATATATTTTTTATTATCGTTAATTACCTCATGCATAAATAGAATGTGTATTAAATTGTTTCCACAATTAAAGGTAATATCGATTAGTCGAGTCAAATTTTGTAAAAAATCGAATGAAAATTTACGAACAGCATTTGTAAAGATCACGCAGAGCTTATTGTGGTCCTACTGTGGTCCACTCGCAATAAGTTCACAATGGGCGCCAAAAAGAAAGAGAGCAGCCGGCTATGCTCATCTCTATCAATTGCTCTTCTGCACTTGTGAAATAAAGTCACAGTTTTTTTCCATTAAAAAATAGGTAGAAAATATGTCAGCTACAGAGGGAAAAGTGAGTATAAGTAAAAAGATAATTAACGAATGCAAAACTAGTAAGTGTGTGTTGCTTAGGTAATCATATGTAAAGCAGCTGTCGCTTGGGAGGCGAAGAAACCACTTGTTATAGAAGATATCGAAGTAGCGCCACCAAAGGCACATGAAGTAAGTCAAAGTCTACTTTTTCCAGTTCGACAAACTAATTAGTTGAACGTGTTGTGTAGGTGCGAATTAAAATAGTGGCAACCGGTGTTTGCCATACCGATGCATTTACTTTGAGTGGCGACGATCCCGAGGGTCTGTTCCCCTCCGTGCTGGGCCACGAGGGCGCCGGCATTGTGGAGAGCGTTGGCGAGGGTGTTACCAATTTCAAGGCAGGCGATCATGTAATTGCTCTGTACATTCCCCAATGCAACGAGTGCAAGTTCTGCTTGAGCGGTAAAACCAATCTCTGCCAAAAGATTCGTGTCACCCAGGGCGCTGGTGTAATGCCCGAGGGCACCTCACGTCTCAGTTGCAAGGGCAAGAAGTTGTTCCACTTCATGGGTACCTCCACATTCTCGGAGTACACAGTCGTTGCTGATATTTCGGTGACCAAAGTAAATGAGACTGCGCCTCTGGATAAGGTGTGTCTCCTTGGTTGTGGTATTTCTACGGGCTACGGCGCTGCCCTGAACACCGCCAATGTAAGCCAGCATCTAATAATTAATTCAAAGCATTGTCTTAAGTTATTTGCTCACAGGTGCAGCCCGGCAGCACATGTGCGGTTTGGGGTCTGGGCGCCGTTGGCTTAGCTGTTGGTCTCGGCTGCAAGAAGGCGGGCGCTGGCAAGGTCTACGGCATAGACATCAACCCCTCAAAATTCGAATTGGCCAGGAAATTTGGCTTCACGGACTTTGTGAATCCCAAAGACGTTGCTGACAAGGGCGCCATTCAAAACTATCTGATTGATCTGACCGATGGCGGCTTCGATTATACATTTGAATGCATTGGCAACGTAAACACCATGCGCGCTGCTCTGGAAGCTACACACAAGGGCTGGGGTACATCGGTTGTGATTGGCGTGGCTGGTGCAGGCCAGGAGATCTCAACCCGACCATTCCAATTGGTTGTGGGTCGTGTGTGGAAGGGATCCGCTTTTGGTGGCTGGCGTTCGGTTTCCGATGTACCCAGGCTTGTAGAGGACTACTTGAAGAAGGATCTCCTTGTGGATGAGTTCATTACGCATGAGATGCCATTGGCCAAAATTAACGAAGCTTTCGATCTGATGCACAAGGGAGAAAGCATTCGTAGCATTATTAAGTACTAAGAAGTTGCAATTATCATGTTTTCACTTTTTTTATACTGCAAAGGTGTCAAACATTTCAATTTATAAAGCAATGTGGTTCCTGTGCACGCACACATATGAAGTAAAATACTGATAAGGGTATTTCATGGTGTGGTTGTAATAGTTACACTCACCAAACTAAAATCGCTTATCTGTTGCTTATCGCCTCGTTTCAAATAAATATTAATAAATATGCTTATTTTGATGATTTGGCAAAAATATTATTTTAATTTCCTGTTGGCATATTTCATTATTGCGTAATTTCGTTTATTCATTAAATAAGAAAAGTACAATCAAATCACTTGGATTGTCTTTGAAGAAATCCTATACTAAGAAACCAACTTTACTTTGTCGAAGAATACTATTAATATAACAGAGTAAAGGTTTTTCATTTTGTTGACACTTGTATTCCAAATTACAATGACAAAGGCTTATGTATGCGTACATATATGTATACATTTATATATATATATATATATATATATATATACATCTATTTATTCAATATTGTGAGATAAGTATATTTTTGTTTGATGTACTACAATAGGTTTAAGTAATAAATATTACTACTAATTGTGTTAATTGTACAATAAACGCATGCAGTTTGGTATTGTTTAACATTTGAATTAAAATGCCAATTTTAAATGCATACACTTCACTTAACACCTATGTACATTATGTCTTTTTTTTAATATGATGTAGAGAACACAAAGGTATTGCATATAAATACATAAAATTTGTTTACTTGCTTAGAATTTTGTCTATGCTATGCGATAAGCCATTAAAATACTTAGATATAAACGTGCATTAAATGGGTCAATGCATCCCATAAGGTGGCATTTAGTAATACAGTAATCTCTATAGCTATATGGGGATATACATGTATAAGATATATAAGTGCTAGTATTCAGAGTATATAATATTGAGAAACGCACAGAAATGCACATTGAAAGGCAAGAGAAATCGAGATGTAAACAATTCTCGAGTGAGCAACAACTGTATAATAATAGCTTACGAATAATAATTGTAGATAAAATTGTGGAAAAAATATTTGAGCACTGCACGGACCAGATTAACAAAGACGAAGACGTAGTTGGCGACGGCGACACAAGACGGCCTGGCCGAGAAGCTTCACCATCGCTTGCTTACATTTGTGTGTCGTAGTAGTAGGAGAAATCATCGAAAGGATATCCGTAAAAAACCGGATGCTATGGCACTCACGACCAGCGCGACTTCTGCATTTCGATCTGGCCCTCCAGAGTCTTCGCCAAGTAGATAACAAACAGCTGCACAAAAGCAATGCCCAATGCAACACCAGCAATCACATACAGATTACGCTCGGCCCAGACCCTAACAATTTCGATGCAGCCACTAGTCCAAATGCGTTTGCTGGCCGCCGGCACCGTGTGCGCCTGCACACCATAACCGCACATAATGTTGACTAGGCCTGAGCTAATATCGGTGGCATTGATGCAACAGCTGTAGGGAACACCACATCGCTCCACTGAAGGTGACGAGCAGTTGAAGTACTCGTTCTTGCCTGCAAAGCATTAAAGAATGTCAATTAAAAACAAGTAAGAGTGCTCTAGCTGGGAGTATTCAAATGTTTGAGATCCTCTACTTGGCGCTGGACTCCCATAAGTGATTAACTTTTCTTCTTATCATGCAGCACTGGAAATTTCATTTATTTCCGCAAAGTACTCTGTACTGCAGTGCTTGCAATTATATCTATGTTTAAGTAGCTGAAGTATAGGCATAATCTTACAAAAACAGACAGACTACAGATTGACGAACATTTTATGATCTACTAAGTTCGTCGGTTTGATAAGAAATATAGATATACAAATGTATATACATTATGGCTTCTGAGAAAATCTGCTTTCCGCCTGTTACGTGCACTTGCACATCCCATTGTAGCCAATCTATTTATTATTTATTTGCACTTACTCCAATCCAGATAGCCAACATTGCTGAGACCGCAGCACTTGAACTCCTGTTGGGCAAAATCTATAAAGTTCTGCAAGTCGGAATCATCACGATAAGAGTGAATGATCTTGTCAGTAAACTGGTACTCCAGAAACGAGTTCATGTTCTGCGGAAACACGAAGCAAATGATTGCTGTAAGACAAGAAGTAGAAAAGTAATTTATTAAAATGTCAACTAGAGTTAAGATCACCACCCACCAATGGCCATTTCTAAGAGGAAGAAGACCAGCAAGCACATGGAGTAGAACTTCAAAAGGCAGGTATTTTCGCGAAGGGCACCCAAGCAGCCAGCAAAGCTGACCACAAATACGACAATGCCAGCAATGATCATGACTAACGATATGTTAAACATAACATCATAAACAGTTTCCAACCGAACCCAGCCATTGCCGTCCTTCAGCTTATCCATGAAAGCGTATACCCCGATAGCTAAGAGCAGCCCACCAAATAGCCAGAACAGAAAGTTTAGCAGAAAGATAAGGTATTTCACACAGCTGGAAACGTATGTGAACGTATGATGGGGATACGACATGCGCGGATGCATGTATCCGCCGCCGCCGCCGTGGTGATATCTGTGATTGCTCATGGCTTCGAATTCACTACTCAGTATCACTGATAAGTAAAACAAAAAAAAATTTGAATGGCGTTGAGTTGTTTCTTTTTAGTTTCTTCTTCTTCACACTGTTTCGCCCTTTGTTGACGCCCTCTTTCAACGTGGTGGTCTGCTAGTAGCTTTTTAAGATGCACTTTTCACATTGCGTTTTTTTTATTTACGGAGAGACTTGTCACATTTACTTAAACACACATTCTGCCTGCTTTATATTACAAAATGATCAAATTAAGAGCAATTAAAGCATTGGGCAGCCAACAAAACAACAAATAATTTTGCAATGTTACCAGATTGTTAAATTCGAAATTATCATCGTTGGCAACGCTATTCAACAGCTGCTGAGGTTTGACGCGCTGTCTGGCAATGTTGTATAATTCCACAGGCAGCTGTTTACTAGTTTTTAGTTTTTAATTTTCCTTCGCTGGGGAAACATTGTATGTGGTTGGTGTCCGCAGATTGAGCGCTGCCTCCATCAGCTACAAAATTATAAACAAAAAGCCAAAAATAGCGCATAAAACAAGCAACAACCACAAATTACATACATATTTGCAGGTGAGCGTTTTTCTAGCGTAGCGCCCCATTCAAGGACACTGGGTGTAAATGTGCGTGTGTGTGTGCATGTTTCAGTTTGCCTTGCGTCTGTCGTTTTAGGCATTTTTTTATTGGAAAAGTAATTTGGACGAGGCTTTCTTCATGAAAAATTCTTCTCAGTAGGAAATTTAGTGTGTGTTTATTATATTTTTTTCAGCAACCGTGTACAATTGGGCAAACTGCATCCATTGGGTTTGGCTTTCTCTCTTATGCGCTTTCCCTCCGTGTCTGTGTGCACACATGCAAACAAGCTGTGAATACGTAGAAATAGAATGCCAAAAACACGGAAGTGAGCAAAATTGCATAAATATTAGTTTAGTTCTATGTGTGTGTATGTGGGCGTAAGAAAAACACACATGTGCAAAACATTGAATTTTCGCCATTTGCTATTTTACCGTTTCACCAGTGATTAAATAACCCATCAGTGCCAAGTGCAACCTGCAGTCGCATTTGTTGCCGTTGTTGTTTTACTTTTTCGTTGTCAATTTTCGAGGTGCTTTAAAAATGTTTTCACTTTCTCGCCACGCACTGTGGGCACGAAATTTCGCACTTATTACTAACAAGCAGAGGTGCAACGTGAATCAATTGAAAGCAGGAGCCAGCGCTGTCTCTGCACTTCCATACGTGCGTGCCTTTGCAGGTGAGTTTGACGGGGATTCTATGGGGATGGGGTTGGTGGTGGGGGTGTTAGTGGGTGTGTCTGTAGCCTAGTATTTGTTGTCCATTTGGAAGCAGCTCGAAATAATACAATGGATTCGATTTATTGTTAAACTTAATACAATTCAATCGATTTTTCTTATACACAACATGCCTGCCCAGTGATTGGCGAATTTCCAATTACGGTTCAATTTTCTAGTTCAAATTGTTGGCATTAATACGTTGCGCACTTTATAGCTGTCAATTCAGTTGCTATTTTTAGCCAGACAGTGAATCAGTGATTCGCATTTGTAGCTTTTTTTTTTATTTGAAAAGAATTCATCGTTTTTAATTGTGCGCGACACACATCGCTGATTTCAATTTTTTTTTAATTGTACAAAAAACCGGCCCCAATTTTCCCTCATTTCGTGCACCTCTGCTGTTATTGCTGTTTTTGTTTATATTGGGCGCCACTTCACTTAAGTGAGGCAGCATATATTTATTTATAACCAATGCGTTTCTTCATTCAATTTGTAGCCGTGCAGCGTCCATAACAAATATGTTTACACCTTTTCGAATTTTCAATTTTCATTTCTTTAATGGCTTCAAGTCACAAGCATTTTGTTTATACCTTGTACATACATGTATGTCCATACCAATTGCGTGGTTTCAAAGTATTTCTTCTTTTGAAATTTCTTTGGCTTGTTTTTAGTGTGAATATTCCTCGATTACTTAATGCAAATAGTTATTGATAACAAGACGATTCGCCATCTTATCGCTTGTAGGCCAACTTGCACTTTTTTATTGGAATTTATGAACACTTAAGCGCTGAAATGCCAGTGAACTGATAACTTAATTGTGGGTCAAAATATAAAGCAATTGCTGTTTGCTAGATTGCAAATCAACGTTTATTAATAGTCAAATAATATAGCTACTACTACACTCGGAAAAATAGCATTGAAATTTAGATAATCGCGAAATCAAGACCAACTCATCTTACTATTCAGATAGTATATTCTTAAAGCTCCATGTTGTGTCTTAATAAAAACCAGTGTTTATTTATTAAGAAAAAATATTTACTCTTGCTGATAGCAGTGATTTCCCAAAGTAAAACTTTGCAATGAGGGCGGCCTATTTTTGAAAAAGGGACAAGTGGAGAATCAAATTTTGTGCATTACTAACGGAAAAACTTTTTATATTAGTACTTAAATTGGATAAGAGTTAATTGAATTTCTGAAAATCGCAGATGAGGGTGATATTTAATTGAGAGAAATAGCGACTAAGAGCCAGGACAAAGATTTCGACGAAGGTTATGACTAGAAAAGAGGCACAGTAAGGACTATAAGAGCAGGGAAAAAGCGGAGAAAAACCTAATAATACTACAAATAAGAATCTTCAGCTAAAGAGACAGATAGTGTGAAAAGAGCTAAAGAATTCAATTTGTTGGTTACAGTTATTGGAATTATTTTTACGAATAGCTAAACGATTTCTAGTGGAACTTATGAAGACACATCGTATATTTAAATACACATGCTTAATGCATGCCATATGCATTTTCTGTTGTAACTTGATATCAATTGCTCAATTGTTGTGAAAAAAAGTGAACTACTCAATTGTAAACCACAAGCTTAAGTATACAAAATCGTCTTAAATTGCAGAATCACGTCAAGGCGACAACAGTAACAGAAACAGCAATAGCAACAAGAACAACAGCAACGCGACAAATTCCAGCATGGAGAATAAAAGCGAAAAGATTACGGTAAACAAAGAGGAACTGCGCAAACGTCTAACGCCGCTGCAGTATCAGGTTACACAAGAAGCGGGCACCGAGCGCCCTTTCACAGGTGCGCTTTATTACATTATTATGTTGGCACAACCAAATAATAACGATCTCACCTTTCGCCATTTTTCAGGATGTTACAACAAGAACTATGAGAAGGGAGTGTATCAGTGTATTGTCTGTCATCAGGACTTGTTTAGCTCGGATACCAAATACGATTCGGGCTGCGGCTGGCCAGCGTTCAACGATGTGCTTGATAAGGGCAAAGTCACCTTGCATCGTGATGCCAGTATACCAGGTATGTGCACTATATCTTTATATATATAGTGCAATTAAATGTAGCTGTAGATACGTTCAGCACTTTTAGATGTTTGCAAAAGTTTTGCATTTGAGATTTTAATTTTGTACAGTTCTTTTTTATAAATATATTTTATTTGTTTGTCGCTTTGCAATAACAGCTTTGACTGTAAATGAATTTTAAATTGATTTTGAGCACCCTGTATAAATATACAAATGTTTTAATAGATTCTAGATGAAATTTGTTCAGTTGCAGAGACGCTTACAGTTACATGTATCAAGATCAATTCAAAGAATCGGAAAATATATTTAAGCTCCGCTTAACCCATATGTTGTACATCCAACTACAGTAACAGTATTGAATTGAAATGGAGTTTGTCTTATCCGGCATTATTGTATTGTAAATTGTCCCATCGTGTTTGTTGATGTTATTGTTACATATATACATATATAGAAAGATCTGTAGACTGGTACAAAATGCGTACATATATATACGTTTGCGTGATAACCAATTTAAAGCCATGTGTGTGTTCACTGTAGTTGTAAAGCCGCTTAAGCGCAAACTGTTTGTGTTGTTTATTGTGAGTTTCTCCTGTTTGATGAATGTGCAACTAATCGAATTCTGAACCGAAAACAAAAACTAAAACTTACCTAATTGAGTATTATTCTTTTATCCACATCTTTTTTGCTAACCAAAAAAAACTGAATACCAAAAAAAAAACACTTCTCAAATTTCCCAAAATAAAAAAATTACAAATTTTGACATTTTGTTATCTGCTGCAACACACTACAAAAAAAAAAATGATTATGCCAAATATATGATTAAAACAACAGTAGTCATTTCAAAAACGTTAGGGATGGTTCGCACCGAGGTGCGCTGCTCCAAGTGCTCGGCTCACATGGGTCATGTGTTCGATGATGGACCTCCACCGAAGCATCGACGCTTCTGCATCAACTCGGCATCGATTGATTTTGTGAAAAGTCAACCACCAGCAGCAACGACAACATCGTCCAAGAAATAATGATATTGAGAGATCTATGCACACAAAATGCAAAAAAGAAAAACCAAAAAAGACAACAAATTATATGTTAAGTTGAAGTACATCTAGTACATGCATATATTACCAATATTATAGGACTTTATTTACATATGCTAAAAAAAAAAACAAATACTCATTATATATATTGTTGGTATGTTTATAGCGCCGATTTGTGATTTGAGGCTTGGCATAAAGTATTAAGACCCCATTTAACAAAAATTTCATTTATGTTGTAGGAAAAGGTGCATAAGCCAGAATTTATTTTATTTTTCTCATTATTCAATTACTTTTTTAATTACGGTTTCGAAACATTTTACTCGAGCTTTCCAAGTTCCATAAACAATTCTAATCATAAAGCACGCATAACTTGATCAACTACTTTAATTTATTGCAAACAATTCATCAACATTCATTGTATATATATATTTATTATACTCTATGTATTTATGTACCAAAGCTAAATAGCTGGTCGCATTGCTTTGTTTCGCTTTTTATTTAATTTTAACACATTTGTTGATATTTTTTAATATGCCTTACGATGGTTTCTTATTTATTTTTGTTTGGTATTTATTCATATTTATATTTGATGTATTACATTGCAAGACGTTTTGTAGCCGATCCATATATTGTCCAACAAACTGAATAATGTATACTTTTCATATATTTTTCTATTTCTCTTTTTTTAACTCGCTTCGAAAAAAAAACAAAACAAAACCAATACTTTATATACCGCCTGTAAACGTTCTTTGGGGGTTTGTTTTGCTAACAAAACACTCAAACACACACACTTACACACACACACACCTACACACACACACACCTACACACACTCATCGAAACACACTCAAAATCATTGTTAAAACCGTAAACTATAATGTAAAACACACAATGCATAAAATGGCTTATTAACTACAAATATAAAAACATTATTTTTACAATTCCAATATAAAATGTATATCACAACTAAATCGTTCGCAAAAAAATATCATCTTTATATTGATTTCTTCATTTATCGACCGACGCTGTCTACTGTTATTTTTCGCTCTTCTCTTGCTATCGCTATTTGTGTCTATCCTTGATGCAATCGCAACTTTACATTCCCATCTGGCAACATTTGTCTCGCTGTCTCTTGCACAATTACATTTTTGCCTTTACGTTTTCTGTTTCTCATATTGCTTGGATCAACTATCAATTCACTCTCTCTTTTGTGTTGCGTATACTCCTTTGCATATTATCCTCTCTCACGAAATCTCGCTCTCTGTCTGCTTATCATTTCACCTATTTTTTTATATTTATTTTATAATTTTCAATACTATCTTAATCTGAACAAACTCAATGAAATGCAAATATCAATGATTGTAAATTCCAACAAACCACAATGAAAACGTAATCTGCTCTATGCAACATAAACAAATACAAAAATTAAAAAAAAATGAACGAACATACGTACCCAATTAATCTCACATCTGCAAAAAATACAAATAAAAAAGGGGGCAATATTTTACTACTAATTGCACATCCAGAACGCATACGCACCGAGGTACGCTGCGCCCGCTGCAACGCCCACATGGGACACGTCTTCGAGGACGGACCGAAACCGAATCGCAAGCGCTACTGCATCAACTCAGCATCGATTGATTTCGTTCAATCGGAGCCATCGGCGATGACGGCGACGTCAGCACAAGCTTTAAGTCCACAGGGCACGCCAATTGCGCAGCAGTAATGGAAATAGAATGCCTGGGAATGGAACAATCATCAACGAACACACGAAACATGTGCGAAAGAGTCTAACCTCAATGTTGCTGTTATTAAGAGTTTTTACACGTATTTTCTAACTTTCCGTAAATGTGGCCAATAATTCTTAGCATAGTATATTGATATCTCTTGACAAATGGACTGCTGTTCATACAAATTGTTCACATGAAAATCAAATTATTATATTAATACTCCGTCGTTTGTGTAAATAGCTAAATGTTTTCCCTCTTTTTCCTTGTTATACATACGCATAAATACATAATTAATTTGTAACACACACACACAGACACATACAAACATAAATTTAAAATGTGAGCGCTAATAAACGTGTATTTTTTACAATATACAAAAATCAATTTGCTAAACAGAATTGGAATTGTAGTTTTTTTCGAATTTAGCTTTGGCGCGAATTACAGATGAAGTGCGAACAGCTGCTTAGCATCGCGTTGCCAACCAAACGAACAGCGCATGAGCGCTGCACACAGCTGTTGCATTGTGATATAAGAGCCGGCATAACACGAAATACAAAATTATTTTGTGCTGACAGACAATAAATTAATTAAACTCAAAATAATTACGGGTTTATTGTTATTGTTCTTACAGACTTCACTTCGTGCCATAAACTGAAATAAATCCAATGTGACACTGATAACATGCACATAGTCAGATCGGTGCGCGCTCCCCACGTTCTTAGTCGCATTTTAAGTGGTATAGGGTATCCGCCAAATCAGTTTAACCAACTGTTTGCAAACAATCAAACGTTTGATTGTATGTATGTGTGTTTGCACTTGTCTTTGACATTTGAAATTTTGAATTCCGTGCAATCGGCAAATTGTTCTCCGAACGCCAAGGCGAAAACAACGTGCAATGCGCTTTGTAACATAAAAGTTTTCAATTATCTTACAAACATTTAAAGAGCAATCAGTGCAGCGCATCGAAGTTCGATGATGACATCCAAGCAGCCACATCCAAATAAATCCACTCAACGATAAGATTAACCGACAGATTGTATCAGCTTGATGGATTCCAAGAAGCGCAATTCGCCTGTCTGTATTTAAAATCCAAATAAAAGGTACGCAAACAGCTGAGGCAGGTAAAATAGACTGCAGCATATAGTCGTATTACGACGATAGCTTTCATTGCATTAAGCTAATTACGTTACGTGAAACGGTAACAGGATGAAGGAATGGTTCAAAATATCCTGCCTGCTGTGCGTCTTTGGCTTTGTACGCGAAATTCGTCCCTCAGAGCCCTACGTCACGGAATTTATTTTGGGTCCATGGCGCAATATTACAGAGCAACAGGTGATTTTATATTTTGTCTCTTTTCATTAAGCAAGTTCTTAACTGTGACTTTTCGCATCCAATTGTAAATAAAAGCTTGTACAAGATGTGTATCCAGTGGGCACCTACTCAAACCTGGTTCAATTGGTATTCGTTTTTCTCATAACCGACTTTCTGCGGTAAGTTTGTTATAAAATTACTAAAAATATTATAGCTCATTTTATGTTAAAGTAGCCTTGTAAACAATTCAATGCATTACAGATAAAGGACTATGATTGCTATACGATCTGGAAGTTCAAGTATAAGCAATTTCAAATATAATAAAGAGTTCCATCCAGAAAGTATTAAAGTTCTTACAAAAATAATGTTCTACTGAAGGCTTCTTTTACTAAGCCATTTTAAACTGATTGTTCGAATAGCAGATACAGTTATGGATAGGCCCGACTTCGATAATTAGATCAATCAAATTTAAAACAGAAACAGAAAGCCTGTCTTGGCTAAATGCACTCAGATGCTGATATATACACAATATGTGATACGATTATAATACCCTCCACAAGAGTATAAAAAAAGAATAAAGTTTACATTATTTCAATAGAGAATCAAATGTTTATTTAATTGATGAGGATTAAGTGTCAGTTCCATAAATAAATGAACTTGTTGCTCAAAGTAGACAAAATAGGTATAGCGGTCTCACAAAGCTTAATTTGTATAGTAAAATAATCTGCCTCATTTCTTTGCAGCTATAAGCCACTGATAATAACAATTGGTGCTGCTGGTGTGATCATATGGAGCATGCTCATTTGGACGACCAGTTTGCTGTCATTGCAGATCTTGGAATTCTTCTATGGTACTTATATGGCCGCCGAAGTGGCCTACTATACGTATATCTATGCCAAGGTGGACAAAAAGTATTATCCACGAGTTACATCCCACACTCGGGCTGCAATGTTTGGTGGTAAGCTAATCTCAGGCATAACATCGCAGCTTATGATCAATCTGGAACTGATGGACTACAAGCAGCTCAACTATATAACGCTGACCAGTGAGTTAATCAATTATAAGACATCAAACTAAATTGGTTTAACCTAAACACTTTTCACTAGCACAAATCATAGCAATGCTGTGGGCCTTCGGTCTGCCTAAGGTGGACAAGAGCTTGTATTTTCATCGTGAAGCAAATGCGATTGAGTCCACGCCCGAAGCACGCAGGACATCACAACTACAGGTGGAAACACAGGTAGAATCAGTCGACTCTGATATGGCCAGTCAGCAGACAATTAGACCGGCTATGCGCCTGCTCTGGCAGCACTTCTCCAATGCCTACACAAATCCGCGAGTGGTGCAGTGGAGTTTGTGGTATGCGCTGGGCTTTGCTGGCTATCTGCAGGTTAGCTACTATATGCAGGTACTTTGGAAGACTATCGAACCAAATCCACAGATTGCGTGGAACGGCGCTGTAGATGCCGTACTGACCGCTCTAGCAGCAATGACTGCTCTGGCCGCAGGATATCTGCATAATGATCGTGTGAGGCCACGAGTCAGTTTGCTGGTGCTATCGTTGCTATCTGCATTGGAAGGTGGCAGCATCTTAATCTGCTGCTGGACTCATGATATCTATTGGTCCTATGTGGGTTTTGTGATCTTTGGCGCACTCTATGGCTTTACTATAACTGTGGCCAGGTACGTTTCATATTATGCAATTTATGATTTACTTAAATTTTTCACTTTTAGCGCTGAAGTGGCACGTAATCTACAGGAGGAAAGCTTTGGTTTGGTCTTTGGCATTAATACACTACTCGCTTTGGTCTTTCAATCGCTGCTTACCGTCATTGTTGTCTCGGAAACTGGTTTTGAGCTCGCTCCTGTGGGACAGTACACGGTCTATGCTTTTTATTTCATTGCTGTGGCAATCATATATTTAATATCGGTCCTCACAGAGCATCTGTGGAACCGCAGATATGAGAAAGACCAGCTAAAAACCATTAATTTAGAATAAATCTAAGCAGTGGCATGCGTAAGAATTGCGAAAGTAACTTAATCAATCTATTTCATATTACAATTTTTTTCACAGTCTTCACTCTATGTTTTGACTGCTTCTCCTAATTAACGTACAAGTTTAAAGAGCTTTTATACTTTGTAAAGAAACCCGCATCCGTCTGCAAATGTTGTTGGATTGTTCTTTTAAGTATTATTTCACATTTTGAATATTTTATTAGTAAACTTTTAGAAATTAATGTTTGTTAAAAGTTCAGTTTTTGCAATTCTCGCGCTCGCCATTGAAAATGAGCTTTTTGTACTTAATAGCTCTTGTTTGTAAGCGGTCACAATATAATATATATATAATTTTATTCGCATACATAGCAGTGCTATATTTAAAATGATATTTTAATCATGCTGTTCGATGCTTCAACCACATTTTTCAAAACGCAACATTAAATGTTCCAAGAAATGATGTACAAATTAAAATGATTACTATTATTATAATTATTATTATTATTATTATTATTATTATTATTATTATTAATGGGATATCTGCACTGCGACCTACCAGATCTATTGTGCCCCTTCTTCATGTGTTATCAAAGACGCCTTCTGCATGCTGCTGAATTTTAATATTTTCAGAACTTTCATAATTGCGGAGAAATAAATGTTCATCCGGGTAGAGATCCGCATTACCTATGTAAGCACTCATTTGCCTGAGCCTACCAATCAAGACTGAGCTATTTGTTGATCCGGGCTATCAGCATAGTTGACTTTCGGCACGGTTCGAGTGACACCTCAGTCCGGTCTGAAGTGAGATGTGGAGATAGGATGGAGGTAGGTAGACAGTGGATAATAATATCCGCTGTTTGATCTGACTACGAGGAATCTCGCAGCTAACATTCCCGGGAGAGGTCGTTGGCTATCCGCAACCGGTGACCCGCCTTAGTTCCGCAAAGTTCTTAGACCAGGTAGTTTTACCAAGAATGAATCATATGATTAAATGGATTCATTTCATATTCAATTTATTTGTGCACAGTGATGTCTCATTCTCACATGCGCACAAACACGAATCGGTGTAATGAGGCATTTGTTGGGTTCGCTGGGGCAAGTGACGTTAAAAGTCAAAAATTTGAGAATACCTTAGCACTATTTTTATTATTATTATTATTATCTTTGGTTTTTATCCGGATCAACATCACTGGATACTATACAAATTAGAGTCGGATATGTCAACTTGTATTTGTAATGTACAAGTGATAATCTTTTTGTGTCTTTTTAAATTACCCCACAATTAATAATTAAACGATTTGCTTAATTAGTATACAAAGGTAATTCACCTTCTAGTATAGACATAAACATTTATTATAACAAGTAATACTTGTTGATATACTTAATTGAAAACCTGTAACATGACTGCATATACGACGACTTTAAACGCTCTTTAAATTTTTATGTAGCAAAATGGTTTATTGTGTGAATTTTTAGATAGTGTAATGTGAAAGATCGTGCACCTTGCTAATGATGGTTCGCGATTTGTCGGCAAGATTTAATCTATAGACTGAAGTGCGCTGATTACAATAAGAGTATAATCATTGTTCAAGTTATAACCCTATAACACTATATGTGATTACTTTATTTATTTAGATGATATGGTACGTACATGAGTAGTCAAGGTGCTGCCGGCAGCTAAGCCCCTCAGACCCAGGGCACCGATTAGACAGTGTTGGGCAGGCATTGGGGTTAGTGATGGAATTGTCTTGGCTAAGAATTTCAGGCGTGTTATGTGTATTTGGATTTTTACGCGAGCTGCGTCCTTCGGAACCTTACCATGCCGAGATCTTGCTGGGTGAGTGGTATAATGTGACGCAGGATCAGGTGAATCGCGCCGTCTATCCCATTGGCACCTACTCTTATCTCGGCCTGCTGATTGTCGTATTTCTTGTCACCGATTTTCTAAGGTAAGCGCAATGCTTCCAAATAAATATATGTGTCTATTTATGTGTTACATATATTTTGTAGATATAAACCGATGATTGTTGCCAACGCTTTAACTGGCATTGTTATTTGGAGTGTACTGATATGGACGACAACTTTATTGGGTTTGCAAATTGTTGAGGTATTTTACGGCTTTTATCAGGCCACCGAGGTGGCTTACTATTCCTACATTTATGCCAAGGTCGACAAAAAGTATTATCCGCGTGTCACCTCCCACACCCGAGCGGCCATGCTTGTGGGCAGGCTAGTTGCCGGATTATCGGCACAACTTTTAATAGGTCTGGATTGGATGAACTATCAGCAGCTTTTGTACATTTCCGCTGGATGTAAGTATACAATTAAATTAAATTGGTCTAGACGTAAATTGGTCTTGTCTATAAGTCTGTCAGTCCGTTTAAAAAACTTGTTATTCCAATCATTTTTCATAAGCCCCTTTCAAGTTGTCTAATGCATTAAAGCATCGTAAATTTAATTTTCGAACAATCACTTTACCAACATCAATATCTGTCCTTTTCTGCACAGCTCAAGTCTTGGCACTTCTTTGGTCTTTCGGACTGCCCAAAGTGGAGAAGAGCTTGTATTTCCATCGGAAAACCAATAGCAATGACAATGTAAAAACACCGACTGACAATGTTGAGCGCATAACTGATACACCACAGCCGCCTATCGCCAAGGAGGATCGTATACAACCACTTAACCTGCTGTGGTCGCATTTCTACAGCGCATATACGAATCCATTGGTACAACAATGGAGCTTGTGGTATGCAATCAGTCTTGCAGGCCAGCTGCAAGTTACGACCTATATGCAAGTGGTCTGGAAATCGTTTGACAACGAGCCAACAGTGAGTATTATAATATGCCTTAATTGCTAGTCTAATCAGCTTAATTGCATGCAGATTGTGTGGAATGGCGGCGTGGATGCCGCTTTGACTGCATTGGCTGCTCTCTTCTCTTTACTTGCGGGTTATTTTCATGCAGGTCGTTTGAAAACGCGAGCCAGTTTTTTATCGCTGGCAGTACTGTCGGTTCTTGAAGGTGGCTGCGTATTATTGGCATCGTGGACAACAAATATATATTTTTCATATCTGGGCTATGTGTTATTTGGAGCACTCTTAGGGTTTACCATCACGGTGGCCAGGTTAGTTTGACATTCGCTTCTTATTTATCTTTTCTCTTCTTAGCCGATTTGATTTTTTTTTTTTTTTGCAGCGCCGAATTGGCCGGAAGTCTGCTAGAGGATAGCTTTGCCCTGATCTTTGGCATTAACACACTTATTGCACTCGTTTTACAATCATTGCTCACTCTGGTGGTCGTCTCTGATAGTGGTGGCCTTAATTTGACCACATCTGAACAGTTTACCGTCTATGCATTTTATTATTTAGTAATTGGCATTGTGTATTTCGTTGCCATTATCGTTAAATATTTATATAAACTCTCAAAGTGCTCGAAATCTAATGACACATGTGAAATCGAATAAGTCAAATATTGATGTATTGATATTACATAAAAATAATTAACATTTTTCGGTGTTCAAAATTAGATTTCTTATATATAAATAGCTTAAGTAACTAATAATGCCTTATCGAAAAAAATTTATCAGCATAATAGAAAATTTCTCGAATAAATATCTACTTTGGTTTTAATAAATAAAATGTTTAAACTAAGCAATTTGTTTTTTCTTATATGAACTTTAGTTATACTTTTAATTTTCCGTTACTACAATGCAAAGTACAGCCAGATAAAAAAAATATTTCCGCCAAAAGTTAGTGGGTCAAAAATAATACAAAGCCAACAATAAATAATCAATCAAATCACATTAAATTGCCTACGTTAAAAAACAGTTATTGCAATAAATTCAATTTGAAGATTAATACCAAAATATTTGAAGATGAACCAGTAATACGGCCACACTGTTAAGTATGGGTAACTGCAGCAGCTGATTTTTTTTTTAACGCGGGGCAGTTTAACAAAATGCTTGTCGTATAAGCGACACAATTAATAAATTAACAATAAAAATCGCAATTTACATTAGCTTTTTGTGTGTCAATAACTTTGAGTGTTACAAAGAGCATAGCGTGAGTGAGTCAATATTCACTTAATTCAGATAAGGAACGCCCCTCGATCCATATATTTATGGGATTTATTCAAACAAAAGGCTAGTTGCAGGTTAAAAATGCGGGTTATACGACGGAATGTACAAAAGCTGATACTGATGGGAAGTGTAGCATCGATGTTCTTATTATTGTATGTGTTGAACAGTGAGCAGGAAGATGTGGATAAAAGCCTAAAAATGTAAGTTTTCTTCTGCTCATATTTGCATATAAATACACACATGAGGCCAAATGTATATATAGATGTATATATACATGAATACATATTTTATGGTGGTTATTTATTTTACAGCGAAATTATTGAGAGATCGATAAGGTCCATGATGAATCAGGGCGAATGCCGACAACCGCACTTACCCTTGGATAATCCCGAAATTATGAAATTCTACAAGCTGGTTGAAAAAATAAATTGCGGATCCAAGCCGGATTGGGTCATGTGTGAGGTAAAATAATGAAAAAAATTTGAGACGGCCGAAGTTTTACAGTCATTCACAAATTGAATGATAATAGTCGATAAGTGACTGCCGGTTTCTAATTAATTGAAAACGCAATCATAAAAAAAAAATCTGGTCATGGTAAACAACTTTATCTCTGTACAATTCTGTAGTTAACTAAAGTGCTTTGCATTATTAAATTAAATACTTCTTCCAAAACTTTCTAGAAATCGATATGTTTTGTGAAGCCCGAAATAAGCGCAATCCATGGCGATATAACGTGTTCGTACACGGATATTATACGCAAGTCGGACTACACAGCCCGCTTTGGACGCACTGTGAGAATAAAGGAGCCATATGTGCTGCAGAACAGTGATTTTGTTCGGGTTGCATGCCATGCAACCAGCGGGGAGAGATGGTTTGGCATGGCTTATGGAATACGGGACACGGTGCAACGTCCACCGGCTCCCAATTTGGCACCCAATCTGGCTGTGCTGCCACCCGAGGTGGTTGCTCAGGCCCAGCAACAGCTACAGGACCTGCCGACGACTCCCTTTTACAATGTCTTGATGTTCGGCTTCGATTCGCTGAGTAGGAATGCCTTCATGCGTAAGTTACCGCGAAGCTATGCCTATTTGACACAGCAACTGGGCGCCATTGTGCTGCAGGGCTACAATATTGTGGGTGATGGCACTCCACAGGCACTGGTGCCGCTGCTCACTGGACACACAGAACTGGAGCTGCCGGAGACAAGGAAACGCGTGTCCGGTTCTGGTAGCGTCGATGCATATCCCATGATTTGGCGGGACTTTGCACGCCTCGGCTATTTGACATCGTTTAATGAGGATTTACCATATGTGGGCACGTTCACATACCGCATGAACGGATTCGATTCCCAGCCCGTTGATCATTATTTGAGAACATTCTACATGCAGGCTTCGAATATGCTGAGCGGCAGTGCACCCAACTGCGTTGGCAACCAGCCAGATCATCTGGTCATGCTGGACTACACCAAGAATGTGAGTAAGATTTGTTATAAAGATGTTGCTTGCACATTAGTTCGGTTTCAGAAGTTTATTATTTTTTTAAAATATATTCACCAACATACAATAAAATAAGAAAAATAGTTTAGAATCAGAAGATGAATAATTAAATTAAAAAAAAAAAATCATTAATATACTTGAGTTACTATTTTCCGAACGAAATTTAATGCACTTCCTCGTTAATTTTAAATTTGTTGCAGTTCATGATGAAGTATCGAGACTCCCCACGGTTTGTGTTTAGCTTTCATGGCGGGCTTTCACATGATTCTATAAATCTTGTGGGCGCTGCCGATGACGATGTACACGATTGGCTGGTGTCACTGAAGGAGAAGTCGCTACTCGACGATACCATACTAATTTTCATGGCTGATCATGGCAATCGCTTTGCCGAGGTGCGCGCCACGTTACAAGGCAAACAGGAGGAGCGCCTGCCCTTTTTCAGTTTTGCATTTCCCGAATCGTTTAAGAAACGTTTTCCCCAGGAGTACAACAACTTTTTAGCCAACGAACATCATCTCAGCACGCCCTTTGATGTGCATGCCACGCTTAAGCATCTGATCCGTAAGTTTTCATCAAAAATAACTATTTACACATAAACTGATAATAATTAAGAAAAAAGTTAATTATTTCGTTTAATCTCATTTCTCATTGATTTTCGAACGATTCACATGTTCGGAAAATGATTCCCCTATCATCCGGTCAACAGTTTAATCATTTACCTTTTCTAAATGGATTGTTAACTATTTTTTTAAGAACAACATTTGACTCGTTTTTATAGTTTTCATTATTTATCTGACACATTTACCTTTTACAGATTTGCAAACTTCGGGCCTTTATGAGCTGACACCAGACAACAACTACGACAACCTTAGCAACGATATCAAAACGGCACCAGTTCAGCCAAGGGACATACACATCTCGGAGCAGGCACGTGGAAGAGCGATATCGTTATTTGAGCGCATACCCAACAATCGATCCTGCGCCGATGCGTACATTGAACCGCACTGGTGCGCTTGCCTTAATTGGTTGCCGCTGACGTTGAACGACACTCGCTACGCGGGAATCATATTCAAGGCAGCCAGCAGCATTGTAGATACCATAAATGCAGCAACGGTAGAGCGTCGTCAGCTATGTGCGCCACTTCAACTGGTGCAGGTCAACTGGGCGCTGCGTTTGCAGCCGCACAAGGAGCTGCTGGAGTTCAAGACCAATATCGATAGAGATGGCTTTTTGGCGGATCTGAGTGGGCATACAGTTGTCCACGAGGAGTTCTATCAACTACAATTGGTCACGCAGCCAGGCCAAGCGCTTTATGAGGCGAGTGTCGCGCACAACTTGCACACATTCAATGTGACAACAAAACTCACGGATATCTCACGTGTCAACCAGTACGGCACGCAGGCTAAATGCATTTACGAGCGCGATCCAGAATTGCGCAAATTTTGCTACTGTCGCGAATAAAACTAAGCCAAAGTCATACAATGCACAAACAGAATTAATATTAACAAACACTCGAATATTTCCTATAAGACTTATTATTTATATTGTTACATTTCAATATATTATTCATCTTCTTCGAATATTAATCAATTATAACGATTTGCAAAGTATTTATCATTTGTAAAAATTGTAGTGATTCCATAAGTTATTTATTTATTTATTTGTAAGTTGTGTGTATTTTTATATTGATTATTCGCATTAACTATGCTCAAACTTTCTACATTAATTATAGATAAATTAATGTAATTAATCTCTGTAGTATAACTGCCTGCATAAATTCGTAACCGCAAAGAATTGCAATAAACATACATTGGTGTAGTAATATTACTAAATATGACAAACATTTTCTCGAAAACCAACTGCCTAGCCAAATTATGTTTTTTTTTTCGTTTTTAATTGGCTGATGCACTCGCCTGAATTTATATCTTAACTGGCAGATATTTAATCTTCTCCACAAACTTGAAAACATGTGTTAACCATATGTAAACTGTTATTGAGTTATGGGCTATATTTTGCCCAATATTTCAAATGGCACTTTTTCTGATCCGCCGATCTGCTAAAATGTATTTTTTATTGTATGTGCTGTGTATATAAATATATATTTATATATATTAAGATGTATATGTTTAACTATTATGTTTTAAAAATATACTTATGTATATATAAGTAACTATAATATATCGCACACAGTACGAATCTTAACTTTGGATCGAATGCTATGGATTGAGCTTTCTCAACATTTATTATATAAAAGAAGGTTTATTTGTTAGTTAATGCACTGTTATAAACTGATAATGAAATGGGAGCAAAGTAAAACATATGAAATAAAAACCAAAGTTGTGATTTATTTGTAGAAAAATACCGAAAAAAAATTAATAAATATTTTTTAAAAATTAGCATCAAATTTTACAAACAAATAGGAAACTAATAAATATATTCTAGGACACAAACAGATCACGAATATATAAAAAAAAATTACGTAAATCAAAAGATAACTATTTTAGTTGATCTTTAATTTAACTGTAATGTATAGTATCTAAAAGATAGCCTTGCACAGGGTGGCCGCTGAGTAAATATGTGTGAAAAGTATCGCATACTTTACGGCTTTCGGTTCATCCTTCTTACAGAATGTTTAAATTAACCGGACAGATGGCCGTGCAACACGTAATACGAGTACACGAAGCCAATACAACTTGGGTTGTGTAATCGATGAAGTTTCGCATTGCATTTTCAAATGTTTAAACTAATTGTATGTGTAATGATTATTTGGTTATGTGCATGAGTGAGAGTTGGCCTAGGGCAACCCACTTAGCTATAGGCCGCTGTTGCCGCTGTTCCCGTTGGCATTTTGGGTCACGACACCGACGTCGCAAGGAACTCCTGAAGTCGCTGCACGGTGACACGATCCAATTTGCACAGATCAAAGTCAAATGTTTTGTGGGTGATCTCATAGCAGCCGGTGGCTGCAATCATTTCGACAACCTGCTGCAGCTCCTCATTGTCCTGCAACGTCATTATTTTGTGATGCAGCTCCTGCAGTTCGGTCAGGTATTCTGTGGGCAATGGCGTATTGTTGCCGGCACCGCCGCCACCACCACCACCCAGCGTTGGCTCGACGGGCGAATGGCCGCTATTATTGCTATTGCTATTATTGTTATTCAATGTGCTGTTGTTATTATGGCTGCTCGGCGAGGAGACAATGCTGTTGTTGGACGCCGCGGCTACAGCCGCCACACTTGTTTGTCGCAGCGAGGGCGATTTGGATTTCTCTCGCGTCGTTTTGCCCGCCAGTTCCTTCTTGGTGGTTTTCAGTGCGGGCTCAATGAAGGTGGTTGCCGTGGTGGTGGTGCTGCCGCTATTGCTATTCTGCGAGTTGCGTCGATTGCGTTTCTTTTCCTCTTTGAGCTCTGACTTGTCTAGCTTCTCTGTCTTGGCCTCTGGTGACTTATCCAGCTTCTCTGATTTCTCTAGCTTGTCGCCTGGCTTGGACTTAACTTTGTGTTCCTTGCCAGCTAAATCAGAAGCTTTGGAATCCTTTGAACTAAGGTTCTGTGTGTTCTTTGCTGCTTGTGCGCTCTTCTGTTGGCTGCTCTTCGCCGGCAAATCGGGAAAGCTGCTATTGGAGCTATCTGAATGCTGCAGTGTGGCCGCAGTGGCCGCTGCTAGTGCATTGGTGGCCGCCAAGTCTGGTGCTGATTGTGCGGAATCCATGTCGCTTAAATCTAAATTGTTAGCCGCCTTGCTTGGCGCCTGCGCAGTTCCACTTGCTGAAGTTGTTGTGGCTTGCTGCTTATTGCTGTGCTTTGAATCCGCATCGCGTTGTCGCTTATCCTCCTTGCTTGCGGTTTTCTCCTTGGATTTTTTGTGTTTGTCCTTCTTGCTGAGCACGGATACAGTTTTATCTGTATTTGTCTCAACCTGTTGGCTGGTCAATTCGGTTTTGGGTGAGGATTCACCGAATGCGACTGCTGCTCCAATTGTTGCTATTGCCAATGTTGCTATGGGTTTCTCCGTTGCATTTGGCATCTGTTGTTGCTGCTGCTGTTGTTGTGACTTTTCCCTTTCGCGTTCCTTGGACTTGTCCTTATCGCGTTCTTTTTCCTTGTCTTTGTCACGATCGCTGCGCTCCTTGTCCTTATCTTTATCTTTGTCCTTATCTTTGCTTTTGTCCTTTTTCTTGTGTTTGTGCGATTTCTTATCTGTGGCACTGTTGCCATTGCTGCTGCTCGTTGTCTTGTCACTTTTCGCTTCCACGACCTTCTCGCCGCTCTTTGCGGTTGATTGGATCGCCTGTGCGGTCAGCTCCTCCTTGTCGTGGGCACGCTGCTTGCTGCTACTGGAGGCCAGACTACTGGCGCTAGCGCTGCTGCCCAACGAATTGGGCGTGGCCTTGCCGGTTGCCTTGAGTACTTCGTAGTTGGCTTGAGATTGAGATGGCAGCGATTGTTGTGACTGACTGCTGCCGGTGGCCGGACTGTCGCTATGTCCACGCTCATCTTTCAAAGTGCGCTTATCCTTGTCGCGCTCCTCACGTTGCTTTTCACGCTCGCGCTCCCGTTCACGCTCCTTGTCCTTTTTCTCTTTCTTCGACTTTTTGTTCGAGCTGCGATCCTTGTCCTTTGATTCGGACTTGCTTGTTGACTTGTGTTCCTCACGTTCCTTGGAACGAGAATTGGGCGTGGCAGCGGCGCTGTCGGTTTGCTTCTTGGGACTCATTTCGGCGAGGCTAGATCTGCTGCCAGCCTTGGGACTCGCTGTACGCCGCACCAGTGCCGTGGAGCCTGCTGTGACTGCGCTGCTGCTGCTCTGTTCACGTTCGCGCTCCTTGTCGCGAGTCTTATCCTTTTTGGACTTTTCCTTGTCTTTGTCTTTGTCATGCCTACTGCTGCTGCTGCTCTCACCGGATTTGCCAGACTTGCGCTCTTTGTCCCGTCCATGCCGATCCTTCTTGTCCTTGTCGCGCGGCTTATCTGAACTGTTAGATTTATCACGCTCTTTGGTCGACTTCTCTTTAGCATCATGAGAGCCACCTCTCTTGGCGCTACTGGAGCCGACTTGTGCCTTCCCATCAGGCGAGTTCTTGGGCGCAGTTCCAGCCGGCAGAATCGGCGGTCCGAAGAGCGCGAAGGCAGTGACCTTACCTCCATCTTCGGTGCGAGATTTGTGCTTCTTGCTGGAGACAGAAACGCCATCAATTACCATGCTGCCGCCACCACCCTTTGCCTTGACAAGATTCAACTCCGAGCCGGATCCTTCACCGACACTGGGTGACGCCGTGCGGTTGAGGCTGCCGGTGGCTGTGATGTTAGCGCCAAAAACCGGCACTCCGCCGCCACGCATCAGCCTGGCACGAAACTCCTCCGATGGCGCCTCAAAAACATGTGTTTTGACTTCGACGCGATGGCGTGGCGGTCCCGTCTGCTGCAGATCCAAATCATATTGATACATGATGCGCTTTGGCTCGTCCCGATTGCGAAAAAATATTTCGACGGGCAATATGAAGCCGGCATAACCGGACTCCTGTATGGCATAAGGTGGATCTTTGATAACTGAAAAGAACAAATTTATTATTTTGGCGCGCAAAATAGAAACAGTAATAAAGTTCAAATTTTTACCACGCTTTGGCTTGTGAAAGGATTCGTGCAGAATGAAGACAACCTTGTCAACAAATGCACTTATGTCCGCCTTGTTCACACCCTGTACATATATCTCCCAGTCGTGGGTGAAGGCCAGCGGATGTTTCTTGCTGCGCAGCTTTGATGTGTGACCAATTTCAAACTGCACCTTAACTGCCATATCGCTAATGCCGGCAACGGGCAACGCATCAAACTTCTATGTCGGCTATATCAATATTCTGAAAGATTATTTTCGTATATAAACAAAAGTGTGTGAGACTCTGAGGCGGCGCAGTATGTCTGCTATTTTTTTTTTATGTGTGTTGGTGTCACCAAAGCTAAAAGTGCCATGTGCCAAGCAAGTGCAGCAATATACAAATGTTTATGACACCCCAATTATATGCTTGAATGTATGAAATTGAATGTACGACCCACTTCAGCGGCAGCTTTTTTATTTAACAACAAATACGGGTAAAGAAAACGAAAACACTCGCACTACATACACATTGAGTAATATCGATATCGATGTATGTAAATAACATGGATATTAAGCGAATGCAACTCTGGCGGATAGCTTAAATATTCAGTATATTTAATTTAAAGTTGCGCGACGTACATCGATAGTTTTGTCTATCGATAAAATACCAACTAAATTATGCACGATAGTCGATCAATTAGTAGAAAGCAGCTGATTTGCCATTCACTCGAAACTGTAAAAACAATAAAATGTTTTGCGAAAAAAACCGCAATAAAACTTGAGAAAAATAGCAATAGACTAAATGTAAGATATAGACCGTCACTGTTTCTGTTCCAAAATGGCAAGCGACTACACTTCCAATCAATTTGTGTCCACCAACACATGTGCAGCCAGTGCGGCGAGCTCCTCCCGTTGGCTCACCGAGGAAGTATTCAAGCTGATCGATATTGTGCAACGTGATGAAGCTATCTACAATCCACGACACAAATACTACTTTTGCCGACCATACGTGGAGAACTTTTGGCGTGAGGTGGACTTGAAGCTGGAGAAGAACCCCGGTGCCAGTTTGGCCAAATGGACTAATTTACGCATTTCATTTCGACGGGAATACACCAACTATTTGGAAGAGAAAGTTCCGCCCTGCTGGTCATACTTTGATCGGATGTTCTTCCTTCATCCATATCTGCGTAAAAAGCATCAGCAGCCCAAATCGCTGGACACACAGGTGCAAGATGCACTGGCGCATCTAAGCAGTCTTTCCAGTCGCATGCAGCGGGAACGCACAGTTAACAATTGTCCAGCGGGTAGCAGCACCAACGGGAATAACAATCCAGGGCAAGTGAATACCAGCAGTGCAGTGCAATCGCCACAGCAGCAACAGCTGGACAACTACTTGGACTACTTCGATGAACACGATCACAACAATTCGGAACTGGATGAGATCATCGATGAGGAGCATCGTGCTCGTTTCCAAAATGACATCAAATCGGAGTGTGAGGAGCCCGTTGATGATTACGAGCCTGAAACCGAAGCAGAACCCGAGCAGCGTGTGAATCAACATCACCAACACCACGATGAGGATGAACATGATGAGCATGAAATGCGTGCGTTAACTTACGACACGGCGGCACCCAGTTCCACATCCAACTCCGCATCGCTACTGCCGGCAGATAAACGCTATGCACAGCACTATCAACAGCATGCAAACAGTGCCAGCAGCAGCCGACTGCAGCACGTGAATCGTTTGCAGTTGCGCTCGTATCAAGACGAGGTGCGTGCTCAGCGCTCACGCTCACAGGAGTTGCAAGGTGCCGCTGCTGCTGCCGCTGCAACGGCGGCTGCTGTTAGCGCTGCCAATATGCAAACGCACCCAAACATTTCATTTGTGCGTCCCACTTTCACCAGCAAGCCCGTCGATATGGTGAGCACTACAACACACGCTAGTGCTTCTGTTGCCGGCATCGGTGTGGCGTCCACATCCGATGCGGAATTGCCAGCACCATCTACTGGTGCAGCATCTGCACCCACGACCAGCAGCGCCTATCTGAGCCAACGTCATATCCATATGCCACACTCACACTCGCATGCGCATCATCAAACGACGGCCACACAGCGATTAGAGGTGAACAACTCATCCGGAACTGTGGCGACAGCGGGTGCAGTGGAACTGTGCGACTGCAAGACAGATTCGGATGCCATGTTTCTCATGAGCCTCTTGCCCGACATACAGAAGCTGAACGGACGCGATCGAGGCAAAATTAAGATAGCTTTCCAAAACATATTGCAGGACTACTTGTATCCGGACTAAATTGCGACTTTAAGTCATATCTGCTGCTAGCGAAGATCTCTCGGCTCGGTGTATACAATTTTGCTTATAGCATGCACAAATCTACTTTCAATTTATTGTTAAGTTAATCAATCGGCACAGCCAGAAATTTCAAACTTGCATTCGAATTATTCCTTAAAGCTTTGCTGAGCAAAAAAAAAAAAAACCAACAACAAAGTTTCCTTAATTTGCTGTATCCTTTTTGAACAATATGTGTTATAAATTATATTATTTTTAAATGTATAAATATTAAAAAATATGTTATGTTTAACACAAGAAATTCATTGAAAATTAAAGGCGACATGTTTATTATTACTAAAGTTAAACTTATATTAAATAGGTCTGCTCTGGGTCGGTCATCTGAATCTAAATTGCTTAAAGCACTATGGAATCAGGACTCAGCACAGGTCCTTCTACTGTTTGCAACACTCTTCTCAGTCCAAATCAGACGCGAATTTTGTCGTCATAAGGCCAAAAATTAACATAATCAATTTATTGGTGCTAAAAACTTATCTTAGCAATTTTTTTAAATTTAAAAATATATTTATTGACTTCTGTTTAAAATTCCTTCCTTACTATTAAACAGTTGAGTATATTGATTTTTGGATTTATGCCGACATACTAAGCTAAAAAATAATATAATGCCTGTTCTGGACTTTATGTTGTGTTAATGACATAGTATTATTGGATGTAAATTCTTAACGAATATACTGTATACTTGTGCGAATGTTCTTCAATCAAACAGCTTCAGGTTACGCGCGATCTTCTGTATCTTATTGTCCAGAGTCTTGTCCTCGTACTCACAGATGTAATAGTGCCTGGATGTGCACTCTTGCCCATAGTACACATAGCTGTGCTTCCCCGAATTGTAACTGAGACGCAGGCAGCGTCCCTTGCCCTCAATCTGCACTGTATTGTTGAGTATATCTTTGTCCTCGGCAGATTCTTCGCTGCTGTCCACCAGATTGGTGGCGGTTGAGTTCTCACCCTTCTGTGACATTGCTATGGATGTAAGGTTTGTATTCGGATTGACGGGCTTTGCAGAATTCGACCAAATCCACAACAAACCCGGGTTGAGACCACCCAGCCAATAGTCGCGTCCCCGATGTGCCGGCTGATTTAACAAATATGCCATTATCTCCTCATTCTCGGACACCTTCTCGAATTCAGCCAAATGCGCAGAGAGGCCTTTGCAGGCGGTATTCGCCGTCTTCCAGTTCACCTGCTGCTGGCTATTTATATAGTAGCAATTGTCACTGATGCGTGTAAAGTTCGTCGGACAAGGGTCTCGCACTTCCTTCTGATTGTTGCCAGCCATCAGATAGTATATTAATTGTTCCGTTCGTCGCACGCGGCTTTCCAAATAATCTAGAGAATAGAAAGTGAATTTAATTAAAAATTGAAGTTTCATGTTGATAAAACCAGCAAGCTTAGAACCATCTTAAATCTAGGAGGTATTTCATAAATCTTTAACATGCTTTTGAATCGTTCGCATGCAATCCTTTTTTATGATGTTCAATTAAACTTGTATAAATTTGTTATTAACAAGTTTCTAATATATTAAAAATTGGTTTGCACAGTTTTATATTCTCTTACCAACACGATAGACAAGCTTCTCAATGGCACCCAGCAGGTACAAATCGTTTTCAGAGACAGCTCGAAATGTGTTTGGTGGATTGGCATGTGGCTGTTGGCCCAAATGTTGCTGTTGCGCGTGTGCCTGCACTGGTCTCAAGTGCGCTTGAGGAGCATTGCTGGAAATCCCACCGCCACCAGAGCCACCTAAACCAAAAAGCTGTTGCAAGAAACCGGGTTGTTGGCGTTGTTGTTGCTGCTGCTGTTGCTGCTGCTGTTGCTGTTGAAGTTGCTGTTGTTGTTCGTGTTGCTGCTGGTGCAGCATTTGGTTTGTCATGGGTCGGAACTGAGGATTAACCATAGGTCCTTGGCTTTCCACTGGCGTACGCAGATGGGGCTCCAACTCCACAGCCTCGCCAATGCGACGCGTAATGTAAATATTGTTGCCGGGCCGCTTATAAGCCGAGGAATGGTAAGTGAGCGGTCCGTTCATCCCACCGTCCATATAGGCCAGATCCTTGGACATGCGCTGGCTGTTGCTCTGGCTGTAAAGTGGCACAAGTGACAAATAATTAATCCACTTTGGCAACAATATAAACACACACACACACACCTTAAAACATAATCTTCGAGAAATTGTGACCAATTTGGTGCCGTCAATGATTCATTTGCGTATTTTTGCATAGTTTCACTCTCCGCATTGCATAATCCAGGGCAAGGGCCCAGACTTATTAACAACATCAACATATACACATGGACATGACGACACTTTATTATTTTTATTTTCATTGCGGCCGGTGACATGGCGACATGTAATGACAGCTTGCACTATCCACTCTCTTTAAATATATTCCCCTCACAATCTCAAGCTACAAATAAGCACTTTCGTTTTCTACAAATTGCGGGCCGTTTCTCGTTGTCGTCGCGTCGGCGCTGAGATTCAAACTGAGACTGGAGCTCTCAATTGGAGCTCCGTTTGGCTATCATGACCATGGCAATGCCTTTGCGACGTCGACGCATGCCCGGTTGCCGTTGTGATTGTTGTTGCTCGATTTTTTTAACCGCGTGAAATGCAAAATTTCACTTTCTCCGACGCTCTTCACAAATGTAAGTCATTGGGTTTGGTTCGAGTTTTGTTTGCTTGACGGCGGCGCCTTTTTGACTTGTTGTTTAAGTGATTGTGAATGTGTTTATTGTCTACTTTAGTCCATTGATAAATACACATTTATTTAATGTAATTAACTTACTTTTTTTATTGAATAGCTAACTACTGGAACATCGTAACTTTGAAGTCGAATTCGGTTTATAAACATATAAGCAGGGCTATTATAATTATAATTATTATTTTTATTTATATTTATCGTTTTGTTATGATATTATTTTATACACATGTTAAATAGAATAAAGTAATATAAAAACTTAAACACCTACAGAGATAAGTTCCCATCTGACGATACCTTTAGTTACTTTCATTAGCGTAAACTTTCTGAAGATCAAAACTATTTTTGCTTATATAATAAGGTTTCAACAAGCTTATTTGAATAAATGTCCAACTGTCAATCACGACAACACTTAATAATATTGTTAGCCCTGTCTATAGATGAACATATTATAAGCACAGATTATAAAAAAAGGGGAGTTGAATATGTATATAATTAAATATTCGCTAAATTGATTTTGCGATCATTTCTGACTTTGTAGACGGCCGGTCCGAGATTAGTATTATCAGCATCATTAAATCATGGAGCGTGTTTCGCTCTGTGCCCACATGTGAGAAGTGCTCTTAAAAAAATAATAATATCATTTCTGATGGTTGCCATAAAGTATTCAACGCATACAAGCTTTGACTTTCATTATGACTTATTTTGACTACTTATTATCTGATGGTTAACAATGTTGCAACGAAGGTCTCCTCTCGTCGTTCATATTGTTTGGCCTTTGTGATCCGCTTCGATGACGCATTTGTTAATTTTTGGGTTTTTGATTTGATCTTGAGGGGTTTTCCCAAAATGCTGAATAACACCACGCTTTACATTTTTAAGATATCATATCATGTGGCAAACATTTCTTAATCTTTACTCAGAAATCAAGACAAACGCAACAAAATGCCCATTTTTAAATAAATCTTTAAATTGATAAAAATCAATTCGATTGATGATTTCGGTGTATTAATGTACCAAAAAATTGTTTGAGGGATATTTAAATGGGACGACGACATTTATATCTATCGATTCTAATCATTTTAAGAGCTATTGTTGTGTTCCAAGTTTTTGAAATGTGATAAAACTCTTCAGACATTCAAACATAAAGGACTTTTCCCATTGCAGCATTCAGGACCAATCATACTTAATTATATTTTGGTTAATACAAACCTTCCTGAAAAGAAGTGCATAATGCAATAGTGAAAAATAAATTTGATTCCCTTTTGAAATTGACGAAATTGACTTTTTAGACATACTCTAACGAAAAGCCTGTATTTCTGATAGTCTCCACGTAATGGGATTTAATTTACAAAGATTACGAATTTTGTTCCATGCAATGAAAGTAAGTAGTGCCTTCTCATCCAAGCAAACAGCAACATATAATTTTTTTTGTAATTCTTTTTTTATAAATTTTTATACTTTTTTTTCGTATTTTCTGTGTGTGGTTTTTTAAATATATTATAAAATTTCAAATTTTCAACCATCATTCTTAACAGCATAGATACATGTTTAACTCTCTCGCTCTCTCTTCTCCCTCTCTCTCTCTATACATATATTTATCTCTTTATCTTTTACTAAACTTGTGTATGTTAAATGATTGTTTGTTCTGCTCGACTTCTTAATATTTTTAAACATGATTTTAAAAATACAAAAATTTATTATTGAATTCAGTTTTGGTTGTTCTTGTGGTTGTCGTAGCTACTTATTTTGTTGTGTTAAACAATTTGACTTTACGGGAACATTTCGATCTGACATACATTTTAGGTGTTGTTGCTGATATTGTAGACCTTATTGTTGTTGTTATTTATTTATTTAGAAATAGATTTGGCTTAAAGATATACACAATAGATGTTGTTCTTGGTATTTGATTGTAGCTCTTCGTTTTTTTTTTTTAGGTTTTTGATTTCCAAAATGATATTGAGATGATAAATCGTTTACATTTAGTTGAGTTCCTCTTCTTGCGCATGGTCCAGAGGCTGCTCCGCTTAATAGCCAGCCAATTCGGCGAATGTGGAGTCCATCTCGTCGGCCAGGGACTTGTACCTGTCCTTGTTGATGCCCAGCTCGTCTGTGAATCGAATAATATGTGAGCGTTAATACTAGTCTTAAAAACTGTGAAAAAAACGTAATGCAACATTTATTTTGAACACATAAAACATAAGTTTTTGAGCCACGGTACCATCTGGTGGCTATAATACACTGTAAGAAAACAAGTGTTTTGCGGTTAATATTTGTAATTAGTTGTGCGCTGTTTTCGCAAGCCTTTGATTTTATTGTTAATTTAGTACTTTTTATTATACAATAAACGATTGCGGTGTCTGCTGTCTGGGTGGAAAATTGGTAAATATACAGAATCCGTGTCTTTCTAACTCTAAGACAGCATTAACGCTGAACAAAATATAAGCAATGATGTGCGTTGGGGGGCCAACATTCAACAGCTGTCAACGAGATCGTTCAGAAACTGGACTGCAATCTAAATATATATGATAATGAGCAGATAAATGCAGAGTGCAGCACATAGACTGTAGATGGTTGAATTCAGAGAGTGGCATACAGAGTTGGGCTTGATTTGTGTCTGGGTGGGCAAGACAATCGAACATGCCACATAAAACACTGAACAGAAATAATTTTGTCGATATAAAATACATAATTGAAATCACCTGTTGTTTCGAAAGCATAAATAACTATAGTTGGCATTGTCATATGGAGAGTGGAACTTGTTTTTCTTTGGCCTGGACATATCTTTTTACAGTGTATAGTTTTTTTTTTTGTGGGGGGTGGTGGGGGGTGGGGGAGGTACAAGGAATTGTGTTTGAAGTTTGGACAGCAATCACATTTAAACAAGGCTAATCAAATTATTTACAGTGTAAATCGTGACTATGAAAATGTGGCAAATCTACACGGTGGACAAATAGCGCAAAATGATTAAAACTGTCTATGCGAGTTTTTTATAGGAAGGAAATCCATCTGTGCTTGTAAGTGTGTGAGTAGAATTGTGGGGAACTGTTTGGCATTTTTTTGTGTTTTTGGTATTTTGGTCTTATGTTTTTTTTAATATCCAGTAAGTTCAGCAAATGTCTGGTCCAAATCGTCGCAGATTGCTTTGTACTTTTCTTTCTCATTGAAGAGACGGTCTGCAAAAAGCATTTGTTGTTTATTTTTCATTTATATATTACAAATGTCAAATTAATAAAAGCAGTGTATGATATTATCAACAATCAGCATACTTTGTACAATAGATTTATATTTATTGTTTAAACAAGATATAAAAACTGTACGCATTAGTGAAAGCTGCATTGAGTATAAGAATTTCAATTCAATGCGATATTTACATTTTGTATATAGGCATAGGTGCAAGCCCATCTCATTGGCGCACTCGTATCCGTTTTTTTTTCAAGTGTAAAATAGAGTAAGTGAAAGAGAAACATACCTTCTAGCCTGTCGACCTCCTTCTGCAGGCGCTTCACTTGCTTCTCGGCGTGCTCGGCGCGCTGTTCGGCCTCCTTCAACTTGACGGACAAGGTCTTCATCTCGCGCTTGAATTCCTCAACACGCTGGTTGGCCTTCTCCTCGGACACTTCCAGAGATTTCAGCGAGTTGCCGACAACCTATACAATTGTCATGTTTTATATATGAAATATTTTTGTTTTGATTGGTAATTTTGATATTGGTATGCACCTTCAATTCTTCCTCCAGCTCCATGATCTTGGATTCACCGGAGCGGACACGATCCTCAGCCACTTCCAGCTCATCTTCAACGAAGGCCAGCTTGCGCGACACTTCATCGGACTTGGTATCGGCATCCTCAGCGAGCATGCGGGCTTCCTTCAATTGGTTGGTCAACTGATCCATACGCTCCTCATCCTGCTGGGAACGATTCTCCAATACTTTGCACATACGGTTGTTCTCATCGGCCGATTGTGTGGCCTCCAACAGCTTCTGTTGTGCGGTGGTTGAGCGCTCCTCAGATTTCTCCAAATCCTCCTCAATCTGTTGGACCTTACGGTTCTGGGTGGCTACCTCGGATTCCGTGGTGGTCAACAGTTTCTCCTTCTCTTCCAATTCGGTGTTGGCCTTCTCCAGCTGCTCCTTGGCGGTGACCAAATCGATTTCAACCTGCACGAACTTCTTCTCCAAATCGCGCAGCTCCTCGTAAAGTTTGTCGGCGCGGGAGTTGGCATCCTTAGCTTGATTCTCACAGGTATCTGCCTTATCAATGGCATTATCCTTCTCAAGCTTCATCGCTTGCATCTTCTTCTTGATGGCGTCCATGGTGTTTGTGTTTTTGTTTTTCGCTTAGGAGGGAAGATAACTGGAAAAAGGCACTGCAAAGATAGTTAATAAATAAAAGCAAAGATTAATTAGAAATGCAATTTAATTGTATATTTAATGTTTTATTTCACATTATTATTACTAGCATTTATATAATGATATACAATTTTATATTTAGCTGGATATTCTCTGTCTAAAAACAATCTTTAGTTATAAGTTTCACCAAGTAATTCTGAAGTTTTTCACTTAACAATTCAATTGCCTTTCACATGTTTTCTAGCAGCTCATAAAAATGCACTTAATACAAAAAAAAAAGTGTTTACTTTAGGCCTTCAATATGCTAAGAATATAATTTACAGATATATACACATGCATACATATATAAGCCCAAAGCCAAATGTAAACAGATTTTAGTTTGCTGAAAATGTATAAAAGCTAACGTAATTTTTTTCGTTGAAAGTACGCCCACTATAAATCTGGTCAATATCTCGTACATGTATATACATATATATACCTAGATATATATATATATATATATATATATCTGTCTCTGTCTCTCGCATTCTCCATATGAATTTTTTGTTGTCCGATTTTCAAAGAGTTTAAAAATAAACTTGATATGCTTTTGCATGTGAGCATATCCAGTCCACGCAGACCAGCAAGCAATTCGCTGTTGGCGTTTTTTGGACATTTTTGCCTGGCGTGTAATTCTAGAATTCCCATCATGTGTTTCAACACACTCACGCACACACACACATACATAGATATACACGCTGATTGCAATTTGAAAATTTTCAGTTCATTCTATACGCATTTCTTTTTTGGGGTCAGAATATGTGTAGGCGTTTCTGATATATATGTATCTATATATGTGTTAGATTGTTTTCTGTGTGAGTGAGTATCTTTATAAGTGGGGCAAAGTCATTTATGTTGTATTTAGTTAGAGAGGGGTTATACCTTGGTGGCCTAAGCTTTAAATTTCTCATAGATAAATTGCTTCTTAATTATATTGTGTTGAGAATTGTTGGGCCGGATGTGGAATGGAGTAAGAAGCTAATAAGTTTTTTTGGACTCAGTCTGATAGAAAAATGAAATATATTTTTTCTTATTAGTATTAATTGTTTTCGCAATGCTTTATAAAAAGAGTAAAGTAGATTCTAAAAAATTGTATCCCATTTTATTATAATACATAATCAAATTTTTTAAAATTATGAATTGAAGAACTTTCAAAAGTTTTTATTAAACATTTACATTATATATGTATGGCCTTCATTATCTTTCAAAAATATATATAAAACAAAAATGTTGTGTGGGTGGTATCCCCAAATATCTATATCATATCTACATAAGACATATACATGTGTAGCGATTTCTCTACATCTGCTCTCTAATAATTTTCGAACATTTCTGACATATAGCCAAAAACAAACTCAAGGATAAATTACCAATAGCAAATGTTCGGTTGCGTTCATCGCTCATGAGATCATGAAAGCTATGCGAGTGAAAGCTTTTTCGTCTAAGTTTCAAGTAGAGTTAAAAATAAAATATTTAAAGTTGCCTCCCGAGTATCTGAATCTGTATCTGTATCTGTATCTGCATCTGTATCTGTGTCTGTATTTGTATCTTTGCGTGTCTTTATGTGCCACAGGCAGGTGTCTGTCTGCAGTTAATTTTATAGAATAATAGAAATCTGCTAAGCAGCAGCTTTTTAATTGTATGTGTGTGTATATATATATATATATATATATATATATATATATATATATATATATATGAGAATTGTGCGTATGTGCATATGTATTTGTGTGTCTATCTGTGTGTAGCTTTTCGTCTGAGAGTGTAAGTGTGTGTGTGTGTGTGCAAATTTTCACTCATACACACAGGGACGGATATTTTTGTCAGATTTAGTTACAAAATTCCTTATAAGTGAATGTCTCACAACGTCCATAAGTTATCATAAATGTTTCATTATATTTCGTATATTGAGCTTTATTTCAAGTGGAGGCATAATATGTTCGATCCACAGATCCTTTTTAGTGGTTTTAAAAAGGTTTAAAATATTTCTTGTAACACTTTTATTCGAATTTTAAATACTTTTTTTTTAATTATTTAATTTTATTTTATTTATAGACACATACATATGCACATTTAATAATTTAAGTATTTTTATATATCAATTGAATTTTCGTTATGCAGAAAGCAATTTGCAATATACATTTGCCAAATGCAATTTGCATGCACTTTTCACTTAATTTATTTTACCAAACTCTTTTGATATTGCAAGTACCATGCAAAGTTTATTAACAAATTAATTACGCAGAATTTATCAAATTATGTATTATAATTTTTATGATTTTTTTCTTTAAAATATTCCCAATGCAAAAATCCTGGCAGCAGCCGCAACTAACCTTAGCGTTTCAAACACACTATACGCTGTCGAAACCCCGAGAACACTGATGCTGACCAAGTCGCAGTGCCAAGAAAGCGACCCCAAGAAATAACGCAAGGCCCACACATCGATATCTACATAAGAATACGCACATACATATACATTCACAGTCACATTCACACACTCGCACACATTCGCACACACCAACGCAGTATTGAAAATTTGTTCATTTCGTAAAATTTCCCATTAAAAAATAAGCGGAAAAGTGCTTTCGCAACTTTTCATGGGCCGATCACAATTTCCCTCGAAATTTCCCACTTTACATTTAGATATTTGTGTCTGTGTATCTGTGTATTCAAAGATTTCACGAATAAACACACACACACACAGACACACACATCTCTTTCGTGAAATTCTCTCACCTAATCGTGTATCTATTGGATAATGCTCCCGTTTTTCTTTTACTGCATTCTCATCATATGCCTCACAGACAGGCGTGAAAATTATGCGTTTTTTTTTGGTTTTTTACTTAATTGAAAGATATATATATATAGGTATATTTTTTTGTTATTTGTGTATCTGTATCCGTCCGAAGTGAGGCTAAAAATAGCTCATAAATGAACAAAACAAGCCCGAGACGGACACGGCTAACAAGATGAGAATCTATTTTGATTCAATAAATATTGAGCAATTTTTTTTCTTCATTTTCTTTCACACGGTAAAAGTTGCTTGCCAGCGTTTTTGTACGTGACGCGAAGAATACAAAAACAAACACAAATATAAATTTGCAATTTTAAATTCTAAAATTTTCAAAAAGAATGTAATTCATGCATCCTTGAAATTATTGTCTGTCAATTTTATCGCTAAAAATGTAATAAGTATATTTGTAGTCTATTAAGGCTCTCTACATTTGCGTAATCCACATACACAGACATTTACAGTCGAAATTGCAAAATTTGATTTGTGAGAATAATCTCTTAAACGTGATATTCCTCCTTCACCTCTCTACATTTTTATAATATAATGCTTGAATCAATTGAATTGCAAAATCCCTTACATAATTCTATCAAAATTTAAAGGAATAAATTAAAGAACTAAATTGAAAATTTGGGTAAGCATTTTGAATTTGAAAAGTTAAGGATCCGAATACTTCTTATAATGATTTATAGCTTATCGATCAGAGTTCTGTGAATAATCTACATATATATGATAACGATATGAAAAACTGAAATTTTTCGTTTTCAATCAAATTCAATCTTGGCGTTTGTTAAATTGGCTGTTAGAGAGCTAAACTGTATTTATAATATCAAATAATCTATATTTAGCACCATATGTGCAAAATTTTCAGAACTTCAATTTTGAAAGCTCTTGCCAACAAAAGACTGTATTATTCTCAAGTCAGTAATATAGAACTTCTAGCTCGAATATTTTCGATCTAGATATATTTATACATTTGTGCACACCTTTCTGAAATGAATACCACAAATTCCATATATTAATGAAAAGAACATTTTTTGATGTATTTTATTTGCAAAGATTTTTTCCATTTATTTATCATAAAAATATAAACGCTTAACTGTGAAATGAAGATATTTTTCATACACAAATACTCGTAAAGATTATAGAATTACAAAAGCTATGAACGTGTACATTTTATTTTTTATTCCTCTTTTTAAATTTGCATTTTGCATTTTCATTCAAAGGCCATAAATATTCTAATTTTTTTAAATTGATACATTTTCAATCTAGCATTCAAGCATAAGAAAATAATTTGATAATTAATAAAATTGACTGGTTTCTCAGAGCTGCAAATATTTTGTGTAGATTTGGCGGTGCATAAAGCAAATACTAAGGTAGTATAAGTTATTGACTTGTGGTGGGCTTTAGAGATATTGTAAATGGAAAATAATGACAGGCATATTGGATTTGTATTTGAAGTTGAAAATGATTTACTTTTAAATGTTAATACATTTCGTATTTTGTTTTCACTCAAAAATAATCAGCACTCATTCAAACTTTCATCCATTTAAATATTTGTATATATTTAATTGCTAAAAATTTGCTTTATTATTAATATTATAATAAGTGTATTGAATCGTTCTGGAATGTTTAAGTTGAATGCTTTGTGGCTGGTAGTCGAAAGGCATTGGACTCCAATTTGTAGATCTCAGGCTGCATTTGTAGCTGTTGTTGTTGTAGTTGTCATTGTTGGCGTCATCAGCTTAATAGTTGTTGAGATCAGCGTATTCCAATTCCTGGGCAATAGTTTTGTACTTCTCTTTACCTTTGCTGACTTCATCTACGAATGCAGCAGTTAAATCAAATGAAAAACGCAAACATTTTAAATAGTTTTTAGTTTATTGCATAGTTTGTGAATACAAATAATAGGTAAAATTGTTGAGTTAAACAAATACACAAGGCGATTGTCACATATAATTTAATGAAAGCTTTATACAAAATCTACAGACAATTTTTCTACGAATACACACACAAAAATCAAAATTTGTAAGCAAAATACGTTTACAACACGCCTACAAGTATGCTACGATAAAACGATAAATGTGCGATAAGTGACGATAGATTTTGTTGTGGCTCTTTGGGGCGGGCAATGGTGGAGCGCTTATTCCTTGAGGATGAGCTCGACAAAGGCGGTATCGAGATCGTCTCCAATATCCTTGTAACGCTCCTTCTCCAACACAAGGTCGTCTGTTTAATGCCAAATCATATAAGAACACAGGAGGAAAGAGAACAAATATTGAAATTAATAAAAAATAAAAATAAAATCAAGTTCACATAAATGAGTAAACATAAACCTCGCACAAAAATATATATGTATAGGACACAAGAAACGTTCAACTGACACTAAAATCACCTGGACAAAAAACATACAAAATATATTTACCTTGTCAAATAAAAATGAAATAAAAATGAAGCAGTAGTAGTACTGCTTGGCGGCAGCAGCGTTTCTGTGTCGGTAAGGCAGTGTGCCGCTAGCTGTTAAATTCAAAATCAAAATTAAAATGCAACAGGCAAACAAAAAGGGCAGCCAATCAGAGCAGCTTGTTTTTTGCAATGCTTCACTTAAATAAGTTTTAATAAATGTCAAATTAAATAAATAAATAAAAGCAGGGCAGAATTTAGCAGCAGTTGTGTGTATTACGGAGCAGATCGATCAAGTCAGTTACGAGGAGCAGTATTCATTATCGATTTGCGATATTCATTGATTTGATTTAAGCTGGTGGCGCTTCGGCGGCTGGGGCAGCAGCCTCAGCTGCTGGTGGAGCAGCAGCTTCTGCCGCGGGCGCCGCGCCTTCAGCTGGCGGTGCAGCTGCCTCTGCTGGTGGTGCAGCACCCTCAGCTGGTGGAGCAGCCCCCTCCGCTGGTGGGGCAGCCCCTTCAGCAGGTGGTGCAGCACCGTCAGCCGCGGGCGCAGCACCCTCTGCTGGTGGGGCAGCTCCGTCGGCCGGCGGTGCAGCGGCTTCGCCCTCTGGTGCTGGCTCTGGTTCGGAGCCGGGTGGTGGTGCCTCATAGTTCTTGACGAATGGCACTTCAGCGCCCTCTGGTGGCAAATCGATCGAGTACTCGAATGGCGGTGGTGGTGGTGGTGGTGGAGTTGGCTCCTTTGGTGGTGGTGTTGGTTCCTTTGGCGCCTTTGGCACTACCACTGGCACACCATCCTCCGATATAACAACCTCATCCTCGGCACCCTCAGCCTCGGCTGCAAGTGCAGTGGCGGCCGCTTCCGCTGCGGCTCTGGCCTCCTCCATGGCAGCCAATTCTTCGGGCGTTGGCGTTGGCAGTTTGGGTGTGGGTGGCTTTGGATTGCGCACCGTCCAGAAGGGCTCGAGGCCCTTGATGAGGTCCAAGAAGGCCTCGTCGAGACTGTCGCTGATGAGGCAGAAGCGTTCTTTTTCAACGATTAGATCGTCTGCAGTTGGTTGTTTGTTGGAATGTGAAAGCATAACAAGCAGTCGGGAGCGAGATAGAGAGAGAGAGAGAGAGAGGCATGGAGATAGAGAGAGCGTGAAATGGAAGCAAAAGCGCAACTAAAAGAACTAAAAATCAAATGCTTTTTTCCTAGCATTGTGGTTCAGTCAGGGTCATGAACGGGGGATTGTTAATGTTAGTGAAGATTGACGAGGGAAACACATTTATCAGTTGGTTTTTTTTTTTTTTTGCCACAACGAGATCGTTTACAACTGAGATCCTTTGGTGATCTATTTCAATTTCAATCAAATGAAACAATATTTAATACGATTTAAGCTGGAGGTACTTCAGCGAGTGCATCGGATGCAGGAGCGGTTGCTTCGGGTGCAGCTGATTCAGCAGGAGCTGCCTCAGCACCTGGAACACCCTCAGCTGCTGTAGCACCCTCAGCACCTGGAGCTCCCTCAGCAACTGAAGCACCCTCAGCAGCTGGAGCTGCCTCAGCAGGCACATCCGCTGCTGGCGGAGCATCTCCCGCTTCGAAGTTCTTCACATATGGCACCTCAGCGCCCTCGGGCGGCAGATCAATGTTATAATCAAATGGTGGCGGTGGTGGTGTAGGTTCTTTGACTGGTTCGGCGGGAGCAACTTCAACAGTTTCTGCAGCAAAATCACCCGCCTCCTCATCGGCAGCAGGCTCTTCTCCTTCGGCAGCCAGCTGTACGGCTTCGTCAGCGATCTCCGCCCGTATCTGTGCCTCTTTAGCGGCAATCTCCGCTTCGGTTGGCTCCGGTGTGGGTGGCTTGGGGTGGCGATCGTTATAGAAAGGCGGCATGCCCATTAGTTCGACAAACGTGAAGTCCAAGCTATCGTTAATGATGGCATAATGCTCTTTCTCGTTGATCATCTCGTCTGGTTGGTCGTTTAGAGTGTGTGGTTCAGTTGGGGTTAGTCAGTTGTATTAAAAGTAAAAAATTAGGATTAGTGCAAATATTGACAGCTCTTGTTATGGATAGTTAACTGACGAATCCAATAGTGGTCAAGGATGTTCACAACAAAAACATCGACAACACTCAAGTCCTTGGGTTACAAGTACGACAAAACAAATATGCGGTACGATGATGTCGTGTATTGGTTTGTTTTGGTCTGTTCTTTTTTTTTTTTGAGAAAAATATATTGTTCTTGAAAAATACTTTATTTGTGCAATTGCAGCAGCATGGTATTGTATTTGTATAGTATGTAATATATTAAAAATATAAATAATTAATTTATGTAAATCGTAAATAAATCAATTGTTTTTCATTTCATTTGAATGCCATTTTATGTTAGGTTCATCATCTTTTTTTCTTTTTTTTTAGCTTGCTCTCTCTAGGGCAAGAACACATTTTCAGCCAGATAGCGTAGATAAGTCATTAGATTTTTGATTATTTATTTTTTTTAAATTTAATAAATGTATATAGTGGAAAAGGTGTTAAGAACGGTCTAGTTATGAATGCTTGAAATTGGAATGATGTGCGCTATGTGCGTGTCATTTTGGATTGGTTTTTTTTATTATTATTATTTGTTTATGTATTTGCTTTGAATTTGTGTCTAAATAATAAAGGCGTGCCAACTTATAAGTAAGCAAATATTACACAACGTTTTGCAAACACGATTTGTTTAAATTGTATAAACAATGTAAATATTAGCATAATTAATACAGTAAGTTTAGCTGGCGACAAAAATACAAACAGAATCTTTCCTTTCTTTTTTTTACTTTACATACATATGTATAAATAATTATACACAGAACTAATTTGAAAGTAGTTGTTTTCTATAATATAGTTATACTTCAATCAATATCAAAACAAAATAAAGGTAGCAAAAGCAAAATGAAAGAAAAAGTTAAAACAAAATATTGCAACAGTATTGTAAAGCAACAAGTTTTAAAAGTGCCGCCATTTCTTCTTTTTTTGTTGTTATTTTGTATCTTTATGTTTGCCATTTTACATGATATCGATCAAGCGCTGCCATTCACAGCGCAACGCGGACAGCGCTCAATCACGGCTTGCGCTGCTTGAAAAATATGAATATCTGCAAATACATTTTCACATAGAATGTATAGATGTGTAAATTTGGAATGCGCTTGCTACAAGAGAACGTTTTGTTTTGTTTTGTCTTTTTTTTTTTTGTTATCGTAATAGTTTTTGCTTTCTCGACTGCTTTTCTTTGAGTTTACCGCTTAATAATTAACGTTTTCATTTCATTTAGAGTTTATCAAAATTGGCGTTCACTCGTTATTATCTGCATGGAAGACACTTGACGTTGTCCTGTGTGTCTCAGAATGTGTGCGTGTTTGTGTGTGTGAAATTGTGTATGTGTGTGTGTGTTTCTATTATTATAATATGGAAAGCGCCAGTTTTCTGTATTGACGTCAAAGCAGGCAGTTTAGTTAATTTACATAAGCAAATTATTGTTTTTTACATGTTCTGTATGTCATGTAAAGTGGATTCCATCTCCTCCTGCAGCAGTTTGTTCTTAGCGCGTTCGTTCACCAAGTCGTCTGCGTGTGTTTATCATTGTTTTTTTTAAGCAATTACAAAAATATATATAACGGCAACACGTGGCATGCAGCAGCGTTTTAAATAATAATAACAATCAACATTAGGGCGTTGGCGGATCGCAGGCGGGGAGCGTACAAAGCAGCACACAAGTTGTAAAGGTTAGGCACAACAACGAACAAAATCATATGAAAAATAAACATACAAAAAAAATATATATATTAATAGGGGTAATAAAGAAAAAATAAAAAGTAATATAAGTCTTCAGTAACATAAGGAACATCGGTTTGGAATAAGGAAACTAATTTTGCACCTACTTATAATTATGTAAAATAAAAAAAAAAATGCTACTAAATAAAAATGCTCAAATATCTACAACTTTTATATTTGTACTCATTAAAATACTGCGACAATGTAAATATTATAAATAATATTGTACAATTTTATTTTGTACTATCACTTTTCTAGTTGATTTAAAGTCTCAATGATATTAGAAAATATTCTTTAACAGACATACCTTCGAGCCTGTCGACTTCCTTCTGCAATTTCTGAACGGAACGTTCAGCGAATTCAGCGCGTGCCTCAGCCTTTAAGTGTTGGTAAATAGAAAGTTGAAAATGTATATTTTAGTAAATATATTATTGCAAATTTAAATTATGTCTACAAATAGCCATCATGAACAATGAGATTACTTTCACAAACGGTTGACATAGATGCATGTTGTTCATGGTGGCTTACTTTCAAATTCTGTTCAAACGCCAGTGTTGTAACACGCAACTTCAACTGTTCTTTTTAACGTTTCAACAGAATTTCAAATATTACATTAATTCAATTTAAAAAAATATATAAAAAGAAGCTTCCCAAAATTTGCTACCAAAACCAGCAGTAAGTATTTAGTTTATATGATAAATGGACATTAGTAAATGTAGATTAAAATAATTATTTCACATAATGGTTGTATGAAATAATAAATAATAGTAATTTAAGAACATTCAATAAACAGCATAACAATAAATATCAAACATAATTTTGCCCACTTATTCAAAAGTCTTACAAAACTTGTACACTTTTTTTTTTATATGTATTCAGGGTGTTTGTTTTAGACAAAACCTAAATTAGACAAATTAAATAATATTACGGGAGTGTAGATATATAGATAAATAACTACAATAATTGCTGTACGACGCTACGCAGTCACTGCATAAAAGACAAAATATAAATAAATTGAAAATGGAGCCAATTCGGAAATGCTGTTAAAATTCTTTGGTTTTTATTTTAACATCAGCACAATTGTAATCTAACAAAAAAAACGTACTAAGTACTCTGTGCTGCAGCGACTTACAGTTTCTACATTTAATTTGAACTGTATGAGCTCCTGTTCGACAATTTTATGATTTTCGCGTGCCTAGACGTCGAGAAATATACAACAAATGTTTGGTATATCAATAACAGTGCTTAGGACATACATCATCATCATCATTATGTTGGAGTGCTTGTGTGTGTCGGTGTCTGTATGTGTGTAATGTGTGTGTGTGCTTTGACTATAAAATATCTACCGAATAGAATAATTAATTTATTATTTATCGATTGTCGATTGCATTTTCACAATTAATTTTTGGATTGAATTGCCACTAAACACAAAAGCAGCAGGTACGAATGCCGGAATAGTGTTGCCAAACGTCAGCTTTTGAGTTGGTTCATTTTCTTTGCAATCAATGCACAAAACGTTGTTTTCAATTTTCAAGTAATGTACACACACACGTCCTATAGGGAAATACTTGCCATGATGCACGTTATTGATATACATTTTTCGATTCGGCTTTGTTTGCATATTTGTTGTATTTTTTCCAACACGTTTTTGGCCATTGCGATTTTTTTGTTTGTATTTTAGTTTGGTTGTTCGTATAAAAAGAAAATATCAAATGTCGTATGTCGAATTAATAAGAATGTGTCTTGACGACTATGTACAGTTAATTTAAAATTGAGAATAACGATTTGTGCAATTTAATATTTTCTTTTTCTTCGTATTGGTTTTTTCTTTTGTTTTTAAATAATAAATTAAATGGATTTTAATTAATGCATTTACCAACACCAGAGACCACAAATATCAAGATTAACCGCTTACAAATATTTAAAAATATACAATTCTATAGTATACAACTTGGCATATACCTCTTTCAAGGAATGATCCAAAACCTTGATTTGCGTATCTAAGGTTTCCTCTTTTTGTGTAGCCTATTATGTTTTTTATTTTGTGGTCGTTGGTTGAATTGGTGGAAAAATATTGGGATATTTGTTTTTTTTGGTTAACAAAACATAAATTGCAAATTGTTTAGCAAATTATTGATGCATGCAGAGTTTGTGGCAGGGGGTAGGAGGAGCAGGTTTAAGCCGTTTGAGTGTGTTGACAAACATCCAATGCGCAAAAATTATTGCATTTATATATATCATATTAATATGATAATATAGTACAAATAATTTATTGTTGCAGCAACGTTAAAGCGGATCGGGTTAACAAAATATGAAAATAAAATAGAAAATATAGTAACAATTAGTAAACAAATCATAATAAACATGTATTAGGGGCATGTACAAGTTGCACTGTCGGTAGACATTTTATAATAGCCAGTGTTGTACAGTGGCTTTTCAAAGCCTTTGAGCGGTCCTGTGCGCTCAAATCAGATAGAAAAAAAAAACATAAACAACAACAATTTATATAAATAAAAAAAAACAGATATTGTAACAGAAATATCGCTGGTTGGTTTTGATTGCATATCCACACTGAGCTGGGAAACTCCTTTCGCAAATTGCTTCAGTATTATTTTTAAATATTTTTTTTATTGTATCTACCTCCTTTAGACGAGTGTTCAGGGTCTTGATTTGGTTCTTGTACTCTTCCTCACGTTGGTTGGCCTATTTATTGTTGTTGTTGTTTATGGGATTTGTCGATAGTTACGGGGTTGTGGGGAATACATATTTAAATTGTTTTGTAATGTAGAGTAAATAATACAAAATATATATTTTAATGATTGATCAGAGTATGTTTTTGATAAATTTGTGCGTGAGCACAAAGAGTATCATGGCCTTGCATCTTGAATCGTAACATTTCATACTGACCTTCTCCTCAGAGACTTCCAGGGACTTCAAGTTGTTGCCAACAACGCGCAGCTCCTCCTCAAGCTCCACAATTTTGCTATAGCCAACAAAAACAAAACACATTAGACTTTGGTATTTTGCACAAATTTGCCATTTTTTTTTGTGGGAAAACAAAGACGCGTCTCATGCGGTAGTTAAATGAAATTTTGTGGGCAATTTTTTTTTAATGTTTCGCCAACGCCAGAAAACAATGAAGAGACAAAAAAAAAAACGTTGACACTTCACTTTCAAAATTTTTTGGGTCTGGAGGCGACATAAAGAAAAAATAACATTAAAAAGAAAAAACTAAATCATGACTGGACAAAACAGACCAAGGTTTGGCAAATATTTGGAATAAAAGAAAAAAAAATAAGATAATAATAATAATAGCAATTGTTGTAGCGACAACATTTCACTGATACAACTTCAGACGATTTCACTTTTTTTTTGTCTATGGTATTATTTAATAAGCAGTTGAAATCTCTGATCGCCTCCGGACAATATCTTTTCATAATTGTAAACTATGCAAATTATAAATAAACAAATTGTCAACTTGGTCTGGCGTTTTGAATTGCGTAAATTTAATTTCATTTAACACATGTGGTGCAGTTAGTATTTAAACAGACACAAAAGCAAAACAAACCTTTCGCTAAGCTCAACTTTTTCCTCGGAACGCTCCAGATCCTGTTCCATGAGCACTAATTTTCTGGCCACCTTTTGGATGAGGCGTTACCAGACGCGTTGAGCGAGCGGTCGGGCGGGCAGGAGATTAACAGGCAGGCAGGATATTAAAGAGCACACGCATAGCAACAAACACGGCAGCAGGATTCGCATTTATTATTTTTTTTTTTGTGATTAGACATGAGCACATAAAAGAAATGGTTTGTTCATTAGTTAAAGAGTTATGAATTGATTCTTGTTTTGAAGTTGGCAAAAAATGTGAATATGTTGTGCATATGTGAAAGAGGAGCATGATGTGATTTATTTCTAAACTAGACATGCGCGTTAACAACACTAACACACATTCCAATTTTTTTTATTTTTTTTTTTTTGTTGTTTGTTTTTTCAATATATTCACATTTTTTACCAATTTGAGAAATATATGCAAAGCTAGCTAGCTAACGTAAATAAAACAAATCAAAATAATAAACGAAATGTATGCAAGAATGCACTTTGAACAAGAAAAAATTTAGGTTAGGTTGCGTTGGGTTTTTAACACAGAACGAGGGGGCGTGGCGCACCTGTTAGTTAGGAGCGCTGCAAAAAACAAACTTACATAACTATGGCCACATTCGCATTTGTTTTTCCACTTTTTTAGGCACAACAATTCTAAAGCTTTTGGCGCAACAACATTTAACTAACTGAAATTAAATTGAAGTTTTAAACGTACTTTTCACCCTGCTCGGCACGTTCTTCGGCACGCTCCAAATCAGCTTCAACCATGGCCAATTTACGGGCAACCTTTCATTTATATACAGTTATATATATATATATGTGTGATTTCATATGTTGAGTTTTGTACAAAATTTTACAATCGTCATCGTTTTTGAATATACACAAGGAACATAAAAATTGAGTTAAATTTGATGTCATATTTTCTTACAAGGATTTTTAGTATTAACAATTGGATTGATTCAATTTTCTGAATGAGGCTTTTTTTGTTAGTAATAAACAAACGAAGTTTTTGTTTTGTTAGTTTTTCATGTATTTAGTGTATTGTTGTCTTTTATTTTAGCAATTTGGTGGCTGATAACAACTTGTGCTAATTTGATGTGCCTTAAGTTATCCTAAACTTGGTAATGTACTCAATTTGTTTGGGAGCTTAAAACTAATATTATGTATGATTATATTTATTATTATGATTTATAAATTTGTTATTATTATTTATTTATTTATATTTATTATATTAACCTTCACAAAGCTCGTGAAATTGTGTATGGATACTAAAGTTTTTTATTTGCTGCAGTTGTACATTAAACTATGAAAAACAAACTTAAAATATAACGTTTGTAAGCCCTTGAAAATCATTGAGCAAGAACTTTTCCTGTATTAAAGAAAAGGTTGAAATATATTGAAGTTGCTTCTGAATTTTGGAACTGCTTTTGATATTTAAAGCAGACAAAAGGGAAATTGATTGTCTTGCAGGAAATAGTGTCATAAATAATAAGTTTATCTTAAGATGAAACGGAAGCAACACATATAGACAAAATCTAAAAAAAATCTTGGCTTAACAGTTCAAATTGAAATCAGGTTCATTACGCAAAGAACTAGATTATAATTTTAAAAGCTTTTAGCCACATATGACTAACAACGTATGTGGCGATAACATATAGAATGACTTTGCCAAAATAGAGCCAGTTGAGGAAATTGACGTTGCCAAATTGGTACCTGTGAATTTCGATATGCGGAGAAGCGCTTCTTCTACGGATTTTAATTACACACGCTAACCAAAACTGAGTTTCCTGTGCGCAAGCGCAGAAACGCCTCGAAATGAATTTAAATTGAAAACCGAATGCACTCCGAAGGTTTAATAAATAACAATATTCAGCATATTCAGGTTTGTGGCCAAAAAATAAATAAAATGCAACACGCATCGAAAAATCAGAGACCCCCAAAAGAGAGACAAACGCATTACGCGAGTGACTGAGTCTGAGTCATAGCCACGAAGAGAGCTGCATAAATACATACATATATATATATAAAGATAGCGTCATATTCATTTGCTTGGGTCAAATAATTATTTGATGCATCATCAAAGAGTTTGGCAAGACTTTTTTTCTCCTTTTCAGCTGCTTATGTCACAATGGCAAACTATTGCGCTGAGCGCTAAATATACAAATTAACGGCCGACTCTAAATTCCCGTTTCGCTCAGCACATATGCGCATGTATGCGTGTGTGTGTGTGTTTTATGGTTGGGAACCACCACACACACCACTCACACTCGGGGTTTGGCTTATCAGCCACAACTCGCCGCAGTTTGTCTTTCTTGTTTTTCTCTGTTTTCCATTCAATTTCTGCGAAACAAAAAACAACAAAAATATATAGATAGGCGGCAGGGCGTTGCTTATCGTTACTGGCAGTTTATCAATAGCCTTCATTTAGCCGATTTGATTGACGTACGAAACACGTAAGCAGCCAGATATAATGTGCTAACACAATAAATTGAGGTTGTGGCAACCAAATCGAGCTGAAACCCAAATCGTGTTGTCAAATTCGCATTGAAGGCGGTTCATATTAAAATCAGCCTCAGCTAATCTTTAATCCTCATAATCTATATCTAATAAACTAATTAATTTGCTGTGTTACTTAATTCCAGCCAGCTTAAAGGCAACCCTAAGCTAAAGTTCGTTATCTAACAAATAACTCAATTTCCTCTCTTTTTAATGTACAACTGCTGCAAGTAGAAAACAAATGTTCTGCAGAACTCCAACGTATCATCATTAAATAAATAGATTTTGTCATTATCAACTTTATTGCAAAATGTTATAATTGAGTTAAATTATTAAATTAATAAGTATTACATAATTGCTTTAGAATATGCAATATCTGAGTGGACTTTATATATATTTAGTGGTTTACGTATGTAGTTTAGAATTCAATTACGCCTTACACATTTGCATTTGCATTTATTAATAATTTTTACAAAAAAACAAAAAATAAACCCAACCAATTTTTTACATATTAAATATACAATAGAATAGAAAAATATATATGTATAATTGATATATTATAAGGCCAAATTGGGCAATTGAAAATTTTTCGCTTTTAGTTTGGATATGTTTACATATAATTTAACAATTGATTTTTTATTCATATTTTTTTAAGGCTTCCCAGTAAACTTTGAGTACATTCACAATTTTTGTATTGGATCGCTTAGCATTGACTTTACATAATACATAAATACGTATTTTTATTTATCATTTCATTTTTACAAAAGACACACAAATGTTGTTCTAGACTTTGTTCAGAAAAAGAAATTGCAGATTTAGCATACAATTATATATACATAGATACAATGGATCAACTAAGAGAGCCGATAATTTTCATGTTTCTTTATATATATATATATGTATGTATATATATATATATATATATATATATATATTTATGTATAAGTATATATTGTTTAACGGGCGGCTAAGGCAGCGGCATGCCAGCATTTCTATAGCTATATAGCTGCACTCTTATCAACATCATTAATTCATCAGCATCATCATTATCATATCATCGATTTTTAGCACAAGTTTTACAATATCAGCACCTGAGTTTTAACTGCTGCTGATTCCTGTGCCAAAATATATATAAGTATATATACAGACATATGCGTATATATACTCGGGGATTCCGATTCAAACCAAATTTAACGCTTCACACTTTCATTTGGCATAGAAATCAGCTGGCAGATCAAGTATCATTAGTTTTGTGGGCATTGTTGTTGATGTTGTTGCTGTGTTCGCTTTGTGTTGTTGTCGTTGGTGTGGAGGATAAAGTTGAAGTTTCACCAACAACAGCAGCAGTACTAGTTGCATTGTTATTGTTGTTGTTGGTTGCAGTTGCAGTTGTTATATTTAAGTGGTATTGTGGTTTACTGTTACTGTTGTTGTTATTATTGCTTAACATAGTTAAATTGGTATTTAGCTGCACCTCATCGTATTTCTTGTCAGCCTCCTCAGCAAGGAAACGCGCTTCCTTCAGCTGATTCTCAAGTGCGTCCATGCGTTCTTCATCGGCAAGGGCGCGATTCTCAAGAATCTTGCGAGCACTATATATATTCATATATATATATATATATATTTATATACATTTTTGATAGATTATAGGATGACGACGTTGCGACCATGCCCATAGAAGACAGTGACCAAGTTGTTTATCGATGATTGGATTTTTATGTTATGTTGGTGGTACAGCCGCCCAAAAAACGTGAATCATTCGACGTCATCACATCCACATCGGTGTCGAAAGTGTGAGTTGTTGTTGTTGTTGATGATATTATGACAAACACATGGATTCGGCAGTGGTACACACAACAAACATAGACAATTTCGGACATACGAAAAATGTTTTTTGTTTTGAATTTTTCATCGTTGGTTTTTTTTTTTTTTTTTGTGGTTCCATAGATCAAGATTTAGAGATATTTTTTGCAAAAGAAACAAGAATTTGTTGTTGCTTGTTGAGTCTTACAGATCAGTCAATATAAAAATACAATTATTACAAAAGTTACAAGTAGCTGAAACAGTGCATTGTGTGGAGTTCCATAAAAATCTCATGACCCTATATATATTATATTTATTTACTTAAAGTTTAGTGTAGGGCTTTCAGTTGGAAAAATAATGTGTAGCGCAATGTTTTTTTTTTATATTTCTACTTTAAGCATTTTGAGAGCCAAGTGTAAAATTGTTTTGATGCCCATTCTACACGGCATATATAAAGCAACACACAACAAGGCAATGTTTTAGCTTCTTTGATAAACAAACAAATTATATGCTGTAGACTTAATTATTAAAAACAGCGATTTACTAAGAGACTATCATAAGCTAGGCACACATGCTGTATACAAAAAGATAACAGTATGTATATATACATAAATATAAACTGATTTTATAATATTTATATATATGCAATTTTTAATCCAGTGTGATTAATTATCGTTGCTGTTGTTGGCTGCGGTCGACGACGTTGGGCTTAAGAACTAAAAGCTGTTTACATGAATAGTTGAAAGGATCTTAAATATATATACCCTGTTTTCGTTTTTTTGTGTTTTTTGAGAGCGCAGTTTAAATAACCCACAACCTAATTAGTAACGGTAATATTGACGCACCTAACCTCAAAGAATAAGAGATGAAAATTAAAAAAAAAAAACAACGACAAGAAGATAACCCTATTAACCCTAATGCCCTAATAACGTAGAGAGAAAGAAATATATGGATTTTCATAATTATACCTCTTCATATTTCTTATCAGCTTCTTCAGCAATTAATTTTGCTTGTGCTAATTGGTTCTCCAATAGAGCTACTTTGTCATCTTCCATATTTGTGCGATTTTCAAGCGCTTTTCGTATCCTAAATTTGTTTAAAAGCAATTATAAAAGAGCGTTTAAATAAACATACATACTCATATGATATGTAAACCGTAGATAGATACTTAAGTTCTGCTTATGTAGGCTGCTGTAGACTTATCAATTAATATTATATTTGGTATGTATATATATAAATTCGAAAATTAAAGTTGAGATAAGTAAAAAGAGAATTTTGTACTAACCGTTCGCTCTCATCGGCGGCCTGAGAGGCTTCCGACAGCTTGGCTGTGGCGGAACCCAAACGCTCCTCAGAGCGCTCCAAGTCTTCTTCGAGCAATTGAATGCGACGGTTCAATGCAGCAACCTCAGATTCGGCCTATAAAACAAATATTTGATGTTCGAAACGAACAAGACAATATAGCAAACGTACAGATGCTTACAAATGAAATAAAATACTTATTAAGAACTAACTTACGAACTTAATGCTAAAGCAAGAAATACACTATAATCATTTCCTAATTTGCTACTTTTGGTATAAGAAATAAATGGGTCCCTAAGTTTTGCGCTCTCTCTTTTGACTGACTATGTATTTAATAATATTTCGGAGATTCAATTTCTTTTCGACCGCAGCTTGAGTTCCATCTGAAATTAGAGATTGATTTTCTCCACCTTTTCGTTGCGCCATTCTTCATCGGAGTCGCCGTTTTAGCCAGTTGAGTTAGCAAGGTCGTCCTCGGCGTCAACCCCCCCAAGCAGGCAAATAAATATGTTTGTTTGCTTGCGTGTGTAATCAATAACAGGAACAAAAAAAAAAACACAGAAGGAAGCCCGTCAATATTTTAGGCAATTATTGGGCTTATCTTCACTACAAGGGATATATCGATTACACTCGCACGGACAGTTGGCATCCCCAAAAACTAGGCAACAGCTAATCATCAACAGCAGAGTGACGTCAACTCTTAAAAAAATTATTTCAAAAATAACCAGCAACCTTGCCGAAAATTAAAACATTTTCAACTTGAAGTTTTTCTCATCAAGCAAGTTTTTCCAAAAAGATAAGACAAAGCATAAAACAGCATAAAGCGGCATGCCCATTAAAGAACGGAAAATATTTGACATTGACGCCGCGATGCGATTACCTTTTAGAGCGAGTGAAAACGAGACAACAAACGCTGAAATGAATTAAATGTTTGTGCAGCACACGCCCAAAAATGGTTAAAAACGGCTTTGACCAAATGCGGCATCGATTGGACAAGGCAGTCCACTCCAGTCCAGTAGACCAGGTCCACTCAACGCTGGATGGCTAAACTATATTGCCAATTTTGCATTGCATTTACACTAATGCAAATACTAATACACACATACATGCATACAATTCATGTATTCATACATTTGTACGTTGATTGAGTGACGCTCAGAATGCGACGACGGACGCTTCTCGTAAAAGTATCGTGTGATTATGAATTGGAAATGTAAGCGAAGCGCGCCGCCGCTTTGGCTTACGTCATCGTCCAAACAGTCGATAGGAAGGCAGGCAGCATACAAAACATTCACACACTTGAAACACACGCACACATACATGCAAAGAGCATATTGTATAGGGGGAACAGCAGCAGCGTAGCTTTCCAAAACACACACACACATACGAAAGTCACACAACAAAACCGTTGATGAAGCAACAGAAAAAAAAATGCCAAAAAAAAATATACTCAACTTGAGTTTCGTTTCGTTTAAAAATAGCGGGAGTCGCCGGCTGCACGACGCTAAGTGGGTGCGATAGAGACAGGAATAGAACTAAGCAAAGCAAATTTTGTGGTCTCCGCTCTGAACTCATTAACAAAACGTATTGAAGATTAAACGCTTTTTAGCGTAAAGAAATGCAGAGTCGAACGGAACAAGTTTTGGCGCAAAAGAGGGGGCAGCGCGGTAGTTTGTGTAAAACTGCCGGCAAAATAAGAAAAAAAAAGAAAAGCTATGAGTATGCAAAAGTTCCATGACTGAGAAATTGTATCACATAAAAAAAATTGTTGATGGCTTAGTCACCCACACCTTGAAATATATTTTAGTTGACTCAAAAATCGCCGTGGCAACCAAAAAAAAAAACAAAGACGAGCGACGACTGCTACGTTCGAGTGAGTGCGTAGGGTGTGTTTTTAACGTTATGATGCATTTTTAATTATGAACCCAAAAAAATAAACCATAACATAAAAACACTAAAACAGCAGAAACAACTTCCAACTTGTAAAGCGTAAAAGTGGCGATCTCTCAAGCATAAAATATGCTGGCGTTTCATAGCACTTAGCTTGCGTCTAGCTGCTGGCTGTCATGTGTATGTTGTAATCACAAAATTACGAAATACACTCACTTATGACAGCAGCAGCAGCGGAGAGCGAAATAGATAGTAAATCAAAATCAATTTGTCACAAATTATCAGTGTTCAATTGCATGACAACAGCAAGAGGAAGGGGTGAGAGGGGAGCCGATGGATGAATGCTGCTGCTGCTGCCGGTGGTGGTGATGCCACACAAATGACATTGAAAAAGCATTGTCTAAAACAAAAAAAAAAAAAACAAAAGAATAACAACAATAAAGCACATTATGTTTTGTTTTTGGATTTTGTGCAGCAAAGAAGGGGTTGAACTAAATGTCAATCACTTGACAAACAAAAGCGAGTAGAAAAATCAACTCAAAAACTAACATCTAACGGGGCATTGCCAGCTGACAGACCGACAGACAGACAAAATATGCCACGAAATTGGGAATGGACACAATGAAAATGAATTGATTTTCAAGGTGTGTCATTTGTTTTTTTTTTCCTTTTTTTTGTGTGGCATATTCATTTCATTTTAGTGTTATTTATAGGTATAACTATTATTGAATTTAATAATAATAACAATTAAAGAAAGGTTCGTAACTTCCTCGAAACACGACCAGCAAAATGACGTCAACAATTGATTGTGATTTCATACACACACACACACGCAACACACACAGATACATCTAGTCCTATGCTCGCTCGTGCAATTGTCTAATTAGAATTGAATTAAGCGCACATCAAATTTTCTATTGGGCTTGTGCCAAAAAAGCTTCACACACACATAGAAAGAAGCCATTTGTTGTAAAAATCATAATTAATCGAATTTAGAACACAGCCAGCTAAATGCTGTAGCACTGAACTGAACTGAATAAAAGAGCCGGTTTTTAATTGTATTGGCTGAGAAAGCTCACAAAGAAAAAATAACACTAAAGATTTCCTCATTCTACGGTTTTTTGATGCTTTCGTGCCAGCTTATGTAAATTATTTATATACAAAAAGCACACAAAATATGCTTATGTAAATATATCTGTTCGTCTCCGATAAGACAACAAGAACATACAATTTTGAAAGGTGAATGAATTTGTTCACACAGATAACAAGAATTTAAAATAAAAAGAGAAAAGAGTGGCAATATAACAAGACAACAGCTACTGGAAGAACCAGAAGCACCCTGTGGACAGACACATACACATACACACACATACATATAACAAATTGAAATTCGTAATAACAAAAGACAGTCAAATAAAAAAGGCGACAGGAAAACCAACGAGGAACAAAACAACACAAAATGTGTCGAGAGACACAAAGAGAGAGAGAAGGAGAGCCAGAACTCAAGAGAGCGAATGTTTGTGACAGTCTTGCATTTGTAGTGCGTCTGTGTGTGTTGTACGTGTGCATGTATTTGCATTGGAAACGTTGGCACCACTAACGACAGAGGAAGAGCGAGAGAGAGAGCAAATAAATGCTCAGCGACCAATTTGAGCCATGGTTTTTATGCAAAATTCAAATGTAATTTTTATACCAAAAGTAGCCGCATATGTTGAATTAAATTTGGGGGTGGGTGGGTGTGCTTACTTCTTCGCGTCGCACAACTTCAAGCTGGAGTCGCTTGTGAAATTCCTCGCATTCATCTTTATACTTTTCCATTTCTTCTTTGGTCTGACGCATTTTCTTCTTGAGTACATCCAAAAGTGTACCTTGTGGAATGCTGGTCGTCATTTTTGTGCTTTGCTTGTTCTTCTTCTTGTTGTACTTGTTGTTGTTGTGGGTGTTGTTTGTTAAGTGTTTACACTTGGACTTTGCGTTGGCAGATGAGATACGTTTTTAGTATGTGTATTTATTACTGGCAGTAGGCACTATTATGAAGCACACTATGTATTTTATCGAAATACAAATTTCTTTCTATATGGCAGGCAGCACCAAATATATATATACAATATATATTTAATTTACAAACTGTGTGTGAACCACCAACACAAACACACTCACGACGCAGCACGTAGAACGGAACGCAGACAAGAGAAGAGTATGCGCTAACCACCGGTTTTTTCTTCTTTCTCTTCTGCTGCTGCTGCTTTTTTTCTGCTTCTTCTTCTTCGACTGGTTTGCTTCGTTGTCGGGTATTTTTTTTTCGTTTTTTCTTGGATTTTATGTGCAGGGCTGTAGTTTAGATTGTGGCACACTTGATACACAATTTATGTTGGAATATGAATCGGATGTTTAAATAATATTAATATGGATATATTAAGTGGCAGTAAGCTGCACAGAAACTACACGCACACACACACGGAGAGAAACGAAGACGATGAAACGACGCGAGTCTGCGACTGGCATTTGTGAGTACGTAACTGGAAATGAACCGCTGAAACACTTTGCATGCTCATGCCTATCAAGCGGCGGTGGTGGTTTGTACGATGTGTGAGAGAGACAACAGCTGTCTGTGTGTGTGCGGCTTTCCAGTCTCACAGTGCCTCGCCTATAAGTGTCGTGTCGCTCAGACGCACATGTGTGTGAGTGCGAGTGCGCTAGCATGTGTGTATATACATGCGGCTTTCCCGCTGGAAAACCTGTTAAAGCCGCTAAAAATTTAGTCGACATGTTTGTTGTTGTTTGCATTAATTAGTGAAGAAATATTTGAGATTTTTGCCTTTTTTTTTTGTATTTGGCTCTCCAATGCAAATAATATTATGCAAAATTCCAAGCGACAACGACGGCTGGCCAATTGTCCAATATGAGAGAGGCAATGAGTAAGCGACCTATCTACAAATATATATGTGTGTTTGTTCACCCTCGTATTCTTCGCCACCCACCCCTGCCAGCAAACAAGATAATTGTATAATACAACATATAATGCCGGCGCTCTATCAGGCTTATCAACACGCAAGCAGGAGCAACGCAAATGACTAATCAGTCGTCGCTGCGAGGCGCTCATTCGCTGTTGGTGTTGCCAACAGCAGGTTGTCAAAATCCTAGTCTGGGCAATGTTCTCGATATCGATGTCAGTGAAGTCGATACCGATAGGCAGAGGTTGCAACGCGCGCAACAAGTTTGTATTTGGCAAATGACATAATTGCTGATAATAATCCAAACGACACAGACGACTGTCGATTGCCAATGGTCAATTTCAATTAAATAAGCACGCCTGCCCATTTTTGGCCAACGCAGGCGGCATTGAAAAGAAATTAAAAGTAAACGTCAGTGTCATACAAAAACACACTCATAAAAAAATGTGCACACACTGCCAAAGTGGGGGTACACACACACACACACACGTACGAAGGTCATTGGCGTTTTGCTGCGGCAACGAGAACGAACACGTAGCGAACGTGTGTGCACATTTAATTTAATATAAATAATAATTGAATTGGCGAGCCATGTTTAAAAAGAATTACATTTTTGGGTACAAAACGATGATTTTTTTTTTTTTTTTTTAGATTTTTAGCTGCTGTGAGCCAACAACTGTTGCTTTTTATGGAGTTCTACAACGAATACAATTTTGTATGCATGTGTGTATGTGTGAACGAGAGCGGGGGTGTGTATAAAACAAAGATAATTGTAGCAGTTGTAACATTTAGTCTGTTTTTTTTATATGCTGCCTTTTTGGGCGACGTCAAATTCACAGAGAAAGAGAGGGAGATAGAGAGAGTGTAGGGAGATGAATAGAGTGAAGCCCACGCTGAGACAACTCAACAGGTGCTCACACGCGGTTTACCGTTAACCGGCAAAATGCAGAGCGCGCAATTGCGTAACTAATTAAACAATTGCTTGCAATTAAGTAAATATGCGCTGTTTTCAGTTTTCTGTTTCTGATAAACAGTTGAAATATTTTTGCAATGAGAAAGCAAATGTGCGTACACATATATATGAACATATGTGTTGTGTAGAGCTTAACACGTAGAAAGAAAACCTTGGCGACAGGTAGCAAGTGACTAAAAGTATTACAGTAATCGCTCGAGAATTATAATTATAATCGTCATGACTAGAATAAATATTCTTATCTTTCACAAAAAATAAGTTTTTTTTTTTATCTTTTTGCAAACCAAATGCCATAAAAAATTGGTAATTTTCAAATATTGTAATAACAAATAATATTTTAACTCGAAGTCTGATATGAAAGTGTTTCAATTAACGAGCGAGCACTGTACTGTCTATATATTTATGAGACAATTGGGTCAAGATTTCTTACAAGTTGAGCAAAAAAAAAGTGCAATGACAAACGACTTGCTGGGGCCACAAAAGGGTTAAAGCAGAACCAACAAAATTCTGCGGGCAGCCAAAGCAAAGAAAGCAACGAAGACGACGCCGACGACGTAATCGCTTTGCAATGCACACGAATACAAATGTATGTATATATATATATATATGTGTGTGTGTGAGTGCTCGAAAAAAGAGCAGACAACAGAAACAAATTGGAGCATTCATAGCTAAAATAGACAATTTTTCTTGTGCTTCAACCCTAACCAAACTTTTGAAAGTTTTTTTTCTTTTTTTTTTGGGCTAAAACGCTGACTGATGATGGCAACAGCAAAAAGGTGGCTTAAAGGAGAAGAAGAGAAATATGATTAGTGAGAGGAATATGTGTAACTTAAGAAACCCCCCACCCAATCACTAATTACCCGCTTCAGCTGTGTGTTCATAATGTTATGCAGCTCGTTGCGAATAATGTTGAACTTCATCATAGTGTCCGAGCTGAAGATGGAGCGTCCGAATGCCAGGCCCGGATAATCAGCACAGCGTCCCTTGTTGCGACGAGCCTCGCGCTCGGCAACGATTTCGGCTGCCTCGCTGGTGCAGCGGAGCTTGGACCATTCATGTGCCTGGGTATCCTCATCCTCGGTATTTACCACAATGCCCTCATCAATGGCACCCGCACTCAGATCGGTGGCAAGGCTATCGCTGCTCAGCTCCATGATGCCACCAGCAGCAGAGCGCTTGCTGCGCTCCCTTTTGCCACTGGATGCAGTGGATTTCTTTTTACGCTCTGACTTCTCCTTATCGCCCTTGTCGCGTTTCTTTTTCTTCTTGATTGTGGGTGCAGCATCTGTGGCATCTGCTGCAGCTGCTGGGATTGCAGTCGCTGTCGTTGTTGTTGTGTCATCCATCATGCTGCTCTCATCGGTGGGCGTGGGACTGTTGCTGCCCACAGAATTTGTCAAAGATTCGCTCAAGGGCAGACTCAGCGTGCTGCGGTTAACACCAGGCTCCGAGTCCCGTTCCGTCTCTGGATGCACCTCGCCACGTAGATTGGAGAGGACACCTTTGGAGTCGCCGCGATAAAGAGCAGCAAGTATTTCCTGCACATTGGGCACATTGGGGCGACGGGTGCCCGCAAAGCGCGGATGATGCTGATGTCCACGACGCTTCAGCGACGCTGGCACCAGTGGTGAAGTGGAATTCTTGGTGCTGTGACTGCCTGCACCGCTGGTGCTGGACAAGGCGTCGTCATCGGCGCTGTTATTGTTGTTGTTGTGCGACATGATGTTCAAGTCGTAGTCACTTCCGCAACTCCAGCTATCCGAATCGGTGTCCAATTGCTGCTGCTGTTGATAATTGTCGTAGAGTTTCGCTAAATATTGTTCCGACTGCTCATCGTAGTGGAGCAGTTGATCCAGCACATTTAGCTGCTCCTCGATGGAACACCAGCGTGAGGAGAGCCCGGATTTTTGGCTATCGCTAGTGCTGCGCTGCTGTTTTTTCTTTTGTGTATCACTTTTGCGGCAGTGCAACTGTTTATTTGCATTTATTGAGCGTTTGTTACGCTGCTGTTTTGTTGCCTTTGTTGTTTTTGTTGGCTGCTGTCCTGCAGCAGCTGCGCTGCTACCTGCTTTATATGGAATTGTTGATGTTACTACATATCGATATCGATATTTTGCATGAAAATATCGCTCAAATCAGCTGATTTGCATAAATAAAGATATCGATGGCTGAAAAGTGTGACCAGTCAAGTGCACAGGGCAATGCGTTTGCATTTTACTTCAGTATTACATTTGCCCTGTGCACTTGCTGCTTTTTGATTTGTTTTTGTATACAATGTAAGGCATATTTTATTGTGTGTAAATGGGTAAGCTTCACATTGTATACAAATTGGGTGTGTTTTAATGTACTTGTTTGTTTATTATTAAGCTGTTGCTTTTGTGGCTGCTTATCGTTGCCTCCGCTCGTCAATAGATGGCGGTGCGCCCGCTTGATTTGGTGTGCAAGCGTTTGGCGACGTGCCGCGTTGCCAACGTATTTTTTGATTAGCGGCGTTTGCGTTGCCGGCTTAAAAGCCGTTAATGTGGGTGTTGCTGTTGTTTTTGTTATTGCTGTCTTTGTTGCTGGTTTCAGTTTTGAATGATCAACTTGTGTTTTTGTTGCATTTTTCGCACAATTTTCTACTGTTTTTGGAATTGTTGCTGTTTTTTTATTGTTGTTGTTGTTGGGCTTTTGTCTAGTTTTAAAAGCCGGTGCCTGATTTTTGGTATAACTCACTTTTTGCCACTCATATGCATTATTAACTTTAGCATTTCCTATTGTTAATGTTTTTTCGTACATATTAATTATGAGTTGCTCGTTTTTGTTGTTGTTGTCTGTGACTCGGTGCGTGATGCGTTGTTTTTGTTGTTTTTGTTATTGTGTGCCTCAAACAGTTGTGCTCATAATAGTACCGTTAGCTTGAGTCTTTCTATTTTTATTGATGATTTAATACAGTTTTTATTTTTCTCTTTTCGCTTTATTTCAAATTTCAGTCGCGCGTTGAAATTAGCAAAAGGAAGATTTTTTGTTGTTGCTTTGTATTTAATGAATTGGCCAACTTCCGCTAGACGTTTTTGCATAGACGTCAATTGCGTTGCTATTTGGTTGTTGTTGCCGCTGTTGTAATTTGCGCTCTTAGTTTTTTATTTATATAATTGAAAATCACTAAAATTTTATTTAAATCGAGTTAAATAAAAATAGTGTTTTATTTTTTGGTAATTTGGTAAAATGAATTAACGTTTATTATTGATTGAATTGATTTGAATTATTATTGAATTTATTCTTTGTAATTATGTGCGGCATGCGGCGGCGCTGCTGGTGTTGCTGCTGTTCTCGGCCCCTTCGGCAGTTGCTTGCTGCTTGCTTTGGCGTTGTACTTGAAAATGCGATCATTTTTGTGGCCATGCGCCGCTCACCGATGCCACTCGTCGCTCTCTCTATCTCTATCTCTTTTTCTCTCTCGCCTAACAAACGGCACATCTAATGCTGGTGTTGTTGTTGTTGTTCCTAGTTGGGGGAGAGACAGCGCCCCCTAGCCAGCGGCAGAGGCAGCTGTGCACCACATGTGCGAGTGAGTCAGCATTATTATTTATACATACATCTTTGAGTGTATTTGTGTTGCACTGCGATCATTGCAGAGGTAAAAGAGAGCAGTCGTTTAGCTCCAACGCCCACTCACTCTTCATTTAAAGAGATCGAGTGAGAGCGAAAAAAGCTGCGTTTGAGTGAAATTTTCCTGTTAATTTCATTTGAATTATTTCTTTATTTAATTGCTGTGACAGATCTTCTTTTTTTATTTTTTATTATATTTGGGTTTGTTACTCAGCGTATCTCATCGCCTTTATTATCTATTTAAGTGTTCAACGCATTGCTGATGACAACAAAAAAGCTGCTTGAAAATGATAATTTGTCAAAAAGTGTTAAATTTATGTTGTCTGATAAGCATTTATTTACTTATGTGCGTACGTATGTATTATGTTTATACAGACAGTATGCTGGTTACCTGTAGACACTAAACATTTTCTTGACTCGTTGCCAATTGGCAAGCCAAAAAAAAAAGAGTCCTTGAAATACTTTCGGCTCTCGTACCAAATCAAAACTTAAATCAAATGATTTGAAAAATGTGTATTTAATTTTCTGGTTTGGAAAACTCAAGTAGATATGTGGCCAACCACTAAGAAAAATTTGCTAAACACTACGGCAGCTATTTCAATATTCATTGTACAACGGTGAAACAACAGATTTGTTGTTTTTTTTGCGAGCAAATATTTTGGCAAAGCCAAAGCAAAGCAAAAAAATCCCATTTTGCTTTTGGGTTATTTGATATTGCCACACACACACACACAGACACAGCACTCACAAATACGCACATGCACACATCCGTGCGTCTCTTTCGCACCAGCGCAAAGCTATTTTCAAGCGCTGCATACAGATATTTAAAAATAGCGCTCATTCGAGGCGTTGCCAACAGCAAATTCATTTCTAGTTGCGTGTCGTTTTTTCTTCTTCTTCTTTTGTTTGAATTTCGATTTCCATTTGAAACCTATGAAGTTTTTCTTATGGAATCTAAAAACACACAAACATGCAAAAGGCATTTCCTCAAACATTTGCTGTGCCAACAAAAATGAACATCATCGCATAAAATACGCGTAAATAGGTGATGACGAACAGATGGCATACATTTTCGAGCCCGGACTCAATATCTGTGCCATTTGTCTGTCACCAAACCGTTTAATCACACACACAGATAGAAATTCATAGTCGTAAAAATCTTATTCTAGTATTGATTTCAAGTGTATTTCTTGCTGGTTTCTTCGCTGACTAATGGCTCAAAGTGAAACAATGGCCATTACCAACAAATATATATGCTTATAGTAATACCTTAATGCTTAGGAATTTTTAAAAATATTCTAGTGGAATTTTTTCAAATAATCTAACTCAAAAAGTCTATTGACCTACTTATGGAATATTGAAATAAAATTTTGAAATTTTGTTAATAGAATTAACTCGACTTTTATCATTTCTAAAAATGTTCGTTCTCTTCCAATTCTCTTTTAATTATTGTTCATTTTTGTTTTGATTTTTTGTGTTTCTTGTGAGTTCGACATGAATAAAACTGAAGCAAGTTCAGTTTTCCTTAATTTGCCAATTTTTTCTTTTCTAATTTATAGATTCTGCATTACAAATATGTTGTTAACTGAAGTTAAACAAATTTCGAAAAACAATAAGCTGATTTCTTTGTATAACTAGAATATTTGTATTTGGCAATGGAAATAGATGGAGCTCGACATATCTTAAAGTAAAAATTGGATTAAGCTTTAATCAAAAAGTATGTTGATCAATTCGGAATAAAAAAAGAAACTCCGAAATCTAGATTGCTTAGTAATATTTCTAAAAAGTTATTACCCACCCACTGTCTTGACTTTTGACAAAAAGAATCCTTCTTAACACTAATCTCATTTTTGTGGAAGAATTATATAAATTTGGACTTACATTCTGCAGAGCCTTGTTCTTCTCCTCCAGCTTGCCAGTGACAAGGGTGAGAGCCTCTTGTGTCTGATCCAATTCGTTTTCAACGGTCTGGATTTTCTTTTGCAGCTGGCGAGCCTCCTCCTCGGCCTGCAGATAACACGAAAGAAAAATACACAAATTGAGTATTAATTATGCGTAGTAATTAAAAAAAAGGTGTGTGTGTGCTAACAATGAAACTTGCTAATTATTGTTATTAGTATTATCTTGTTTGTGTTTTTTTTTCTTGTTGCAATAATAAGTTGTTTGTTTGGTACAGTGCAAATGTGACATGGTCGAGTGACTTACCTTTTCGGCGCGGGTGTTGGCATCGCGTGCCTCCTGTTCGCAGACGAGAGCACGTTCCAATGCTCCATCCTTGTCGACTTTCATCGCTTGCATCTTCTTCTTGATGGCATCCATGGTGGCTTGCTTTTTGTTTTACTGCTACACACTCGAAAGAAACTGAAAATGAAAATGGAAAGACAATTACAAATGGAAATTGTTACAAGTGTAAAATTGATGTGATAATCATCAGCTACATAGGTTTATTGTGCGTTTTGTGGTTTAGAAATGAAAGTGGAATTTAGCATATTGTTTTAAAGCATCTTTTCATTTATTTATGGAGCTAAGAGATACCCCCTGTATTTTGTATACTCTAACAGAGGCTTACTTTATCATACAGCACCCATTGGAACAAATTTCAGTTAATGAAATTTAGGTCTGCTAAAAATTTATGTTTTTCGTTCTTGTTAAAGCTTAGAATCTTATATTTAGATATATTTATCATTACTTTTACTATTCTATGCCAGATCTTACTCAAAATCAAATATCTCAAAGAATTTGACACAATTTGTATTTGGGTAACTCTCTACTTTGAAATGATTCCAGCTTCGCCTTTGCTTAGATGTGCTCTGCATACTTAAGTATGAAAAAAGTTTTCTTTGTACAAAATCTCACTTTGGATACAAACAAATCGTTCAGAAACGTGCCACACTGACTATTGCCGTAAATGATTTACTGTGAGATGATTGACCAGAAACAGAAAACTGAAAAACAACAACAAGCGCAATTAAAGACGCCAGCTAAATATTAAAATCATAGCTTGAGTGCTAAGTCTATGGAAAAAAGTAGAAGAATGGAGCTGGTTTGGGTTCCAAATGGGAAATGTAGCTCTTCCTGTGATGAACACTCAGTTGACAAAGTAAAGTTTATTTATACAAAATATTTAATTATTGCATAATTTAAGATAAAACAGTTTAAGTGATTTTTTAAGTCTATCATGTGTAAAAAATACATTTTATTGAAATGAAATTCTCACTATTCCAAAAATATGAAGTTGTTCGTATTTTATTTATTGTGTTCAACCTAACGATTGTATAATTTCATAATAAAATTAAGAATTAAGTTAGGAGCAAGAATATATTAGTTTTTAAGAACTTTCAGTTAAATTTTTTCCCTTCAATATAACTGATCTTTACACTTTTAAAGAGAGTATAAAAACCTGTTGAAATTAAGTTTCAGCTTAAAGCGTCACTTAACTAAAGCAAATATTATTTTTACATATTTTCAAGCTCTTGACCGATTTTGACTGCACTTGGTATCGAACTGCAATAAGGGAAACTTGTCTCTTTACTCTTAATGCTTTGCGCTCTCTTAAATAAATTCGCTATCTCTCCCTCCGAAAGGGAATATTAATAAGTGTCAAGTGCTGATAAGGTGGAGCATTCGAATATGCCCCAATCTGAGTCACTTCTGGCTGGCAGAGCGAAAAACTTGGGACAGAGTTTTGGATTATGTCCGCGAATTCTACTTGACCAAAATTTGGATTTGTCATGACTGGAATGCCAAACTAATTGAGTCAGTGGTTGTCTGTTTTTTTTTTTCTTTCACATTATGATATGTACTACTTCTTACATATGAGTTTATTTTTAACAATTTTGTTTACATTCCAGCTCCTGAAAGTCATTGCCCAGGGCAGTGGCAGCAGGGGTTGAGGAGAGAACCTGAGGCAGGTTTCAGGCTTTTAGGCGAGCAAACAAGCAACAACAAATCGAATTTTAAATAAAATTGCACACGAGGCACAATTTATATATATATATATATATATATATATATATATATATATATATATGCATGTCTGCTCAGTCAGAAGACAGAATACGGACATTCCAGACGGACAGAAGGTTTGGGGTTTTTTTTATACTTCAGTATTAATGTTTTATATGTCGTATATTGAGCAAGGTGACACAATGAATTATGTTTGTTTATTCAGCAGAAAACCGCTTGGAGTCTTATAACTTTGTCTACATGTATTTTGACAATGACATACATATATTAATGAGCCTATAGACAGCAATATACAAAGCACAAAACGCTTCAAAAATAATAAGAAAGTATTTAAGGCAAATTTCTCAACAGTTTTGTCATGCAAAGAGGAATGTATAAAAATAAATGTATACCAGCTATTCCCCATTATCCAAGATAATTATATATCGATTGCTATACTGTAAAAACTTACATTTCAATAGAATGCAAATAAATATATACTACACCTTATCTAAGACCAGAACGCTGCGTTCTATCGACTCGAAATTCAACCTGTTTCTAGCACAAAATTTTCCAAATTATCCATGACCGAAAAAAAAACCATTTTAGTTATACATAAAAATTGTTCATGCACAGCTATTTTTAAAGCATATATATATATACGTATATATGTGGATATATTCAAATGTTGTACATCTCACATACATATACAAATATCTGTATATATCTGAGTATTTCGACTAAACCCTGCCAACACTAAAAGCTTCTAAGAGCTTTCGAGATTTGCTAAAAATAACCTGGCCTGGCATCTGTTGAATATTTCCTAATAGTATCTGCCCAATTCGATATTACTTAATACATATACCGTGAAAAGCTTTTCGAGCAATTTTTATACATTTCGCCTACGCTTTCCTCAGATAGATTTGAACATTGCGAACTGTGGTTCTATATCGGATTACAAAAAGAAGCGGAATGAACTAATTCAGCTTGCGAAATCTTCCATTATTTTTAAATAATAATGTTTCGTAATATTTATTGTAATTATTGTATTCTGTACTGAACACCAATAGTTATTAGGTCAATTTCTAAGTATTTTTATTAGAATAGCTCTAAAAATAAATAATAGTCGAGAAACCTTTGTATATAATGCTGATGACTCATTTCTCTTAGCTACCAATATATCTAGAAATTATGCTACATTTTATTTCCAAATACAGTCCTGCCCCAATAAATATTTTACTGTACTACACTTTAGCCAACATTATTATAATTATAATTCAACTGTGCAAAAGTCTATTGACAATATTTAATTTATTTATATATCTCATGCAATTTTTATAATTGAAATTCTAGAAGTCAACTTGTGGTTAGGCTAAGCGAACTATGAATATGGTCAAAGACATTGGTTTTATTTTGTTGTCTTTGATTTTGTCATAATAATAAATTTTTCACTATTTCTATCTTGTTGCCAAAGTTGCTTAACCTCAATTTGGATTGTGAACCGAACCGATCTAAATATTTGAAATACTTTACAAAATATTTGCGGTTTGTTGTCTGAATATTATGCACAGCACTTTAATTAGTTGAATTATTTGTTATTATTTTGGTACTCTTTGATTATATAATTTATATGTATTTTTGGGAATGTCCTTTTTTACTTTTATAGAAAACTCTTTGCACTTTTTATATTTTTTAGTTTAGATATATTAAGTTAGCAGCAGCACATGGAGAATTTTTAAAATAATTTACTAAATTTCGTTTTTTAATCGAAAATTGAAAGATTTTTTTTCTTTTAAGTTTTTCTATATGTTGGCATTCCTTTACTTACAAAACTTTTATTCGGAGTTATCCGCGACTTGAACGGATTGTGATGTTCAACTGAAAATATTTATTCAATATACTGACGTTCGATGCCCGCTGTTTTTCGATTTCAAGCTGTTTTGTGGTTGTGTGCGTGCGTCACTGTGTGTGTGTATGTATGAGAGAGAGAGAGCACACATGCGAGTATCTGACAGATACTTTTGGGCAAAGCAACGCAAAGCCGCAGCCCCATCGTCTCTCAGCATTTTGCATGCTCAACACAAATCGCTGGGCGCTCAAATTTTTGTTCATTTTGAAACTGCATTTTGCCGCCACTGACGATGCCTCTCAATTTACGAGCACTTTGTTTTTTCTGCATGAGCACAAGAACCAACACGAACAAGAAACTACAAGAAGAATTCGTTGGCGCCTGCGTCGCTCTCTTTATTCGACATTTGCCTGCTCGTTTTATTTTTTTTTTCTTTCACCTGTGCCTTTGTATTTGTGTGTGCGTTTGTATTTGGATTTAGGCGGTAAGAATTTCAATAAAGAATTTCAAAATTTCCCAATATTTCTTCAAGCTTTATCTGCCAGTATTTTCGTTGCCTTCTCAATGTGTGTGTGTGTGTGTGTGTGTATCGTTATTTTAATTTGTTGTTTTTGTTTTGCTCTTTTGATATTTTGCATCTATTTATAATTTTCAGTTATTGATATGCCAAAAAACAAAATCTTGTTTCACATACATACATGTGTATATCTTTTGACAGTATTGTGCGTATTTTTTATTATAGATTTCTCTACAAGCGAAGAACAAATTCTCTATTCGTAATATTTGTAATTAAAATGCATATAAAATATGCAAATTTTACAATGGAAATGTTAACCACATGAATCATGATTCATAATTTTATGAGAAACGTGAAAAATATACCCAATTCAGTTGCAGATAACAACTTTAGATAATTCCATATGTAGATACACTTTATGCCCAATTAAGCACGCACAGTTTAAAGTATTACGCAAAACGTGAATAAAATGACCAGATGATCATATATACATCTGATATGAGTATATGATAACAGAGATATAGATATGAAAAGTTATAAAGAGATACATTTTACTTTTAAATATATTTTCTTTAGTTATCATCATTACCTTAATAAATTAAAATTGTAATATTCGATATGTGAATTTTTTAAACACTCTTCAATATAATTGTTCAACAATCCAATGTAAATTCAAAATATTTTATTGCAATCATTACCTTTCAGTTTTAACGCAACAAGAAAACATTGTTCTTTTTTAACTAGAATCACGAAGAAGCCGGGCCTAGTTTGAATATGACAATTATATCATCTATTTTAAAATTTAAAATTTTGTAGCCATATGTATTTGGACATGTAATTATTTTTGCCTTCTACACAAATGTAGTCGTATAGAATATATATATAGAATATGGAAATGAATACAAATATGTTTTTAGGAGATTTAAATCAATCAATCAGGTAATATAAAATGAACACGTAGTTTGTATTGTTGTTTTGGAAGAGATAAATATAAATGTTTATAAAAAATATTCCAAAAAGATAATTAAAGTGAATGATTGACTTTAAGCCTGAAACCAGTCAAAAAAATGTTTTACCGTCAATAATTTGAATTTAAAGTCAAAAGAATAAGTGTGAATAAAAATATTATTGTTTATTAAAGTGTATGATTCCAAGCCTTTTTAAGACTTTAAACATGAAACCAGTATAAACAGATATTCTTTAATGAAATTGAGAAGAAATGTGAATAAAAATAATATTTTTGGTTATTTGAAGTTCTAATTTATATTAATTATTTGCATACTATTATTTTTCATCATATGAATATATTTTTCAAAGTCTTATATCGCAATTTATACATATATTTGTATTAATTTTCTCATATGTACATACAAATGCCATGTTCTCAGATATATAAAAAACATTAATAGAAAGCATATCTTTTCTTTTGGAGAACAATTTTGTTTAGGAATGAGGGCACGTAAGAATTTATAATTAAATCCGAGCAGCACCCACATAATGACGTTTTTGCTTTCATTCAAAAATTTTTGGCGATGGGCAAAAACAGAAAAAAAATATGTATACATAAATATATTAAAGCTTTTGAAAGGCCGTGGACTAACATAGCATTGTAATGGCCAAAATGCTAGATCAACTTGCTTAATATGAAAAATAAAATCATGGCCATTGGATAACATATGTAACGCGAATAAATACAACGGATTTTTCATAATTCCAATATGTTCTAGAAAATATGTATTTATGTGTGTACAAGTCTAATTTTCAGTTGCGATTCAAACAAGTGCAAAATCTTGTTAACAAAATTGCATCCATATTTGGTGAAAATTGTTCAGAATTACAGAAACTTTAAAGTTCGGCCTAGACGACTAAAACTTAAAACTTGCAACTTGATGCGGTGCAACGTCGAATGGAGAAGCTTTAGATGTTGTCGGTAGGGTACAACAGAAATTGAAAAATAATCTTAGATCGTTGACAGATGAGGGGTGGGAGGCGAGGAGGCGGACCAACCCAGTCTCAGTGGCGCACCTGTGTCGACATCCCGCTGTGCGCCGGTGCAGTTGATGACTCAATTGTCGCCGTGTATCTAGCTCCTTGTGAATGATTTGAACTCAAATCCGAACTAGTTGGAGCTGTGGTACTAAAAGGAAATCTTTGCGACGAGCCACTTGCCTTGCCGCTGGCCGCTGCATAACGGCCAAGGTGAACCACAGATAGCGAGCTCAGTATGTTCCATATCAAATGTCGTGGTGGTGTGCATGTGAAAAACTTTTTGGCTCTCTTAAACCACCTCACTGTCAATTATTAGCAAAATAATAAAATAAAGCCAAACATATGTGCTTATGTCGGTGCAGAGGCTGCGCATAGCAAACCTTGAACTTAACGCCAAATGTATGTATGTACGAGTATATATGTAAATAAAAGCGTGCCATTTATTGTTGGCCGGAAGACAATTGCGAGCTCGAAATTGATTGCATTTGGGCGAAGAATTTGGCACAGCATACGACTCATTTGATTGACATCAAGGTCGAAGAATGTTTTAGCAAAGCTATTTCTAAATTAAAAGCGAAGAACAGGTGCGAACATATATTAAGTGTAGTTTACCCAATGGTGTTTTGATATTTTTAGCATTCGAATTATCGAAAAATACCGCCAAAGCAATCGCAACGTTGCTATTTATATCGATAATGTAATCACACGAAACTGCCGAAAATCATCAGCCCTGACTGGGCCAAGTGTTATCATTTCATAACAACAATACAAATAAATAATATGTCATTTACACAACGGATAAATTATTACGCCAAACGGAAATCAGTCAGATATGGAGTACCATTTCTTATTATGATGATAGGTGGCTCTTTTGGACTACAACAGTTTTCCAATCTGAGGTAAGCAGACGCGATAATCTAAATTGGAACTCACATGTACGTAGTTTAAATGTTCCGAGCAGATATCAGTATGCCAAGAAGCAGCCCGTCTCACCTGAAGAAATGAAGAAGTACGGCGTGAATATGAAAAAACGGCAAGAAGTAACGCTCGAAACGGAATATGATAAGGTGAAAATCATCGACATTGACCATTGGGAAAACAAGCGTGGTCCGCGCCCTTGGGAAGAAGAGGAGCTGGCAGCGACATCAGCAGCAAAACATTAGTTCTGTAACATTATGTGATGTAGTTATTAGCGTTCATACAATGTTGTAAATAAAATTAAGATCTTTGTATTGCATTGCATTGCACTTGATTCGGCTTTTTAGTAGTGCTCTTGTAGCCCTGGATAATCAAATTATATATGTATATAATAGGACTGCCAACCTGCTCAAATCAGCTGCGTCGCTTTGGCAAATATTTTCAAGCAAAAATAATGGGTGAAGTTAAACCTATAAAAATGGATAACTGGACACCATCCGATGCATCTACTTTATTTGCAGATGGTAAGTCCATAACTTATAATAACCCATATTTGTGCTTTCTATAAAACTATATTGTAGGGGAGCGGGTGCTCTGCTTCCACGGGCCGCTTATCTACGAAGCCAAAGTGCTGAAAACAAAACCCGAAAGTTCGCCGGTTGAATATTACATTCACTATGCGGGCTGGAGCAAAAAGTAATTGGGCAAAATATATTTAAATAATTGCAAGTTAATGTAAATGTTTTCCCATACATAGCTGGGACGAGTGGGTGCCAGAGAGTCGTGTGCTGAAATACAATGATGATAACGTTAAGCGGCAGAAGGAACTAGCACGACTCCACGGCGAACGCTCTAAGAAGGACAACAAGAAGGGTATGTCAAAGATTTATGTATAGACAATTTCATTGGTTTACCTATTCGCAATGATTGCAGGCAGTGCAAAGGCCAAGAAAATGGAGCAAGTAGGCAATGAATCTCGTGCATCGACGCCGTCCAAGGATGGCAACACATCGCTTCCGCTAAGTGGCATGAACAGCAGTAGCAGTGGCACCGCCAGCACACCCGCTGCCACTGCACCGGCTACGGCCAAGAGCGAGAGCAATAGTAGCAGCAGCAGTACAACCACCACCCACACCACCAACACTACGACCTCCAGCAGCAATAGCAGCACCACCACTACCACCAGTACCTCAAGTCGCAGCAATCGCAAATCCACACAAGCATCAGCTCGTCCCAACACGCCCAGTGCCGCTGGTGCCGGGGACAAGAAAGACGATACGGCCATTGCTGCGGAAACTACGGAAGATGAGCTCCCGACACCAGCGCCGCCAAAGACCAAACGCATGAGCTCACAAAATAGTAACAGCGAGTTGCAGCGTACGGCATCCTTAACCGGTGTTGCTGCGGATGCAAGTACAACGGCAGCAACAACAACAATACATCAGCCAACAGCAACAACTACAACAGCTGCTACTGCTGGTGCTGCTACGACTACTACAACAACCACGTCTACGACAGAAGCGCCTTGCGTGGAGAGTGAGGAAACGTATACCGCCAAGCTGGAGGTGAAAATCAAAATACCCGATGAACTCAAGCATTATTTAACCGATGATTGGTATGCGGTGGTGCGTGAGCACAAGCTCGTCGAGCTCCCGGCCAAGGTGACGGTGCAGCAGATAACTGAACAGTATTTGGCGCACAAGAAATTGGCCCGAACTACCAGTGCCAGCAAGGAGGTGGCCATTAATGATGTACTCGATGGCATCATGGAGTACTTTAATGTGATGCTCGGCTCACAGCTACTGTATAAATTCGAGCGCACCCAATATGCAGATATAATGCAAAAGCATCCGGATACGCCGCTGTCCGATCTGTACGGCTCATTTCATCTCTTACGACTGTTTGTGCGACTTGGCTCCATGCTGAGCTACTCGGCGCTTGATCAGCCGGCAATGCAAACGCTTCTGGTTCATTTGCATGATTTTCTCAAGTTTTTGGTGAAGAATAGCGCCGTGTATTTTACTATGGCTAATTTCATCAATGTCGATCCGGAATATGTCCGTAATGCACAGTAGCTAAAGCGTTAACCAGCCAAAAATGGATAGCTTGAATTGCAAATCAAATCCGTGTAGCTTCTAGAATGTAATTTGAGAGTTGCTTTACAAGAACTGGCTTGTAAAATATATAAACATTTATAACAACTTTTTGTATAAACCAATAAAAGCTTATGCAGCCTCTTTTAAAATTACAATTATTTTATTTCTCCTCGTTACTTTCTTCATTTGAGCTCTCGCTGCTACTTGTCGGATAAAACTCCTTTAGATCTCTAGGTTTATTGCGTTCCTTTTGCTCTGCTTCCAGGTATTCATTTTGCACCTTCAGAATCTCATCGCTGCTTTTACACTCCGCATATGCATTCAGCAGCTTCTGGTTTAGCTCCAGAAATGCATGACCCCAAGAGAATTTGCCCATAAACCAGCGTGCTTCTTCAGTAAAGCCGCATATGTGAAGCGTTGCTGCAATGGCCTCCACACAGCTTAGCTTGCATGGTTTACCATAATTAATGGGATTAGCTGCCACCAGAAAAGGCAACAGGCGCGGATGGTGACTTCGCATCCTATTGAACGGCGTCTCATCCAGCTTTGCCCAGGAGCAGTCGATGACCGCCACTCCCGACGCACTAACAATCTCACGATCCTGTGGACTAACACATAATTGCCCAACGGGTGAGAGGACAAGACCTGGAAACTTTTGACCCAAACGCAAATTTGAAATCAAGCCCAGACGCGCCAGTTTTCTGCCCGAACACTTTTTCGGGTCACAGTGATTGAGATCCCACATGGCGACAGAGAAATTGGGTGGGTGTCCAAGTCCCTCCAGCTTGTCACCATCTGTGGAATCAGACGAGGAATCTGAATCAGACTCGGTGCTGTCATTGGCATTGGACAATTCGTTGGCCTGTTGAGCAAAGTTGCGTTCGCAGTTGTGATTGGATTTAACGTTGCGATAGGAAGCTGCACCGGCACCACGTCTGGATTTGCCCCTATGTCGCGCACTCATTTTAATTATTTAAATTGCAATTATTTAAATTAAAAAATATTTTTTTTTGTGTGTCTGGATAGCTGCAGCTTGTTATCGATTTCGATAAGCAAGCCGCATGCTTCATTTTGGCGCCTTCATAGATTTTAAAAACAAAAAACAGTTTGCGTACATTGTAAATTGTATGAGTGAAAAATATTTACAAATCTCATCTTTTCATTTACCTATCTTTTTAGATCAATAAACTGCAAATACATCCTAATCAAAAACTTTTCACGCAAAAATTACGATTCACATAAAGCGGAAAATTACTATCGATATGTAAAATAATTATCGTTGGTGTGACAGTTGCTGTAAAAAAATGAGGATTTTTAATAAGGTCACTCTGACGCCATCTTTTTTTGTTTCACGGAAAAAATTAATTTGTCCGGTAAAAACAGTGTGCAATAAAAAATAGATGTATGTTTAATGCGTAATTAATATTAAAAAACAAGACAACATATTTTCGTGGATTAAATGCTTGCAATTTAGTTACGATTTGCATAATGACGATATAGCAGAAACTAGCGATAACGATAGTAGTCTGCTAATAAACGTTTTATGTGTGGACAATCTACCGCCAATTTATTAAATATAACATAGTTGCATTTTTAAAGAAGAAAATATATTGTGTAGGTAATTAAATCAATTATGTTAAATGTGTGCAAAAAAGGTGAAGTGCATTGTGTTATACATATGCAAATATTACAAGCTTATATATATGTGGCATACTTACTAGAGTTGAGAGCGTGACTCTTTTGGACTACAAGCACACGACAAACATGAGGAGACTTCCGAATCGAATTCAATACATTAAATGTTTAGCATTTTTTTTAGCTAATAATTGATTTAAAAAATAGATGCCAATTAAGAATTTATACATTATATGCCAGAAATTGTATAGTAACATACAGTTCGTGCATGCGTTGAGTTTGACACTCTTGCACACTCACCGTGCGTCCATCCCTAGCATTCACACACACACACACGCACACAAACAATGGAGTTGCATTGGCGCGCCAGTGACAGTTAATGTTTGTTGAAAATCAATCGACGCCAGTGCACCCCGTGAATTTGAGTTGTGCGAAAACTTTCAAAAATTTGTCGTAATTAATTTAATTAAATTGCTTTCTATATATTTTGTGTATCTATGTGACTGTGCTGCGTTGCAATCGTATCCTCAATTGAAATTGCCTGCCCCTATCAGAGTACAGTTGCGCCAGCCGCACGCTAGAAAAGCCAAACAACGACAACCGACGACGACGACATCGCGACGGGGAGGCCGCGTTCTTCCAACAGAACACACAGAGTTATTTTTGAGAGTACGATCCTAACAAAATGGGTGAAGTGAAGTCTGTGAAAGTGGACAACTGGGGCGTCTTCTTTCTGCAGAAGCTCCAGAATTTCTTCAACAAAACGGACTATTGCGATCTAACGCTACAGTTCCGCGACAATTCACAATTGAAGGTGCATCGTTTGGTGTTAAGTGCTTGCACCGATTACTTCAATGCACTGGAGCAAACATGCGAAATCATTGACGACGCTCTCATCATGCCGGCCGAATTTCAAGCCGATGTTGTTGTGCCCATTGTCAATTTTATGTACACTGGCACGCTGGAGTTTGAACTGAAGATGTACGGCAAACTGTTGCGCACCGCCAAAGAGATGAACATGACGGTGTTGTTGAAGTTGTTGGAGGCACATCGTCGCACAATGGAGAATGTGAATCGACAACAGAGAGTGAGTGCTGTTTAGCTACAGATACAAATATAAGTTACAAATATTAAAAACTAATATTATTACTAACTTTAAACACAGCCACCCAGTCCGAAGGGCATACGACGACGTCCGGTGGTGCCCAGCAGCAATGCCTTGGTAGCACAGCAGCGCGGATCCATGCCCCAAAATCGTAGTGGACCGTCGCCCGGCAACGCCAACACGGGGCGTACAGGCGGGCAACAACCACGTGGTACATCCACAATTTTACGCAGTGGCGGCATCAACAATCGCACACAGTATGGGGAATCCACATCGAGCTCCTCGTATATAAAGCAGGAGCCCACCTCACCGTTTGAGCAGCTCCGCAAGGGCTACAATAACAATAAGAGGCCGGCACAGACTAGCCTGCTATCGCCGCCGTCGAAGAAGCCCAATTTGGAGGAGGTCAAGGAGTTTGCTGAGCAGCAGCGTATGCGCAAGCAAATTGCAGCCGAATTTGGAGATCATGGTGATCCGGAATATGACAGCATGATGCTGTACGATGATGTGCACACAGGCGACGATGATGATGACGATATGCCGCCACAGCCATCAACATCGAAGCAGCAGCAGCCGCCTCAATCTGGCACACAAACACAGATGGAGCATGGCACAACGACCATTATACTAAAGCAAGACTCGCCCAGCCAAACGCCAACGATTATTGTCAAGGATTCGTCAAACACCAAGCTGAATCATACAAAAATCATCGCTGAGGTGTTGCGTCAATATCCGCACATCGTCAAGGGCCACAAGAATATCAAACTGAAAATAATGCCCAATACTCCAGTGGAGAAAGCAGCCACTGTCAAACGCAGCTCGCCGGCACCAGCAGCACCAACAACTGCGTCATCGGCTAACAACACATCGCCGCACAAGAAGCTGCATGTGTCCTTCAAGCCAGATAAGCCCATGATAACCACACAGCATCAGAAGCCAGCACAGAAGTTTACACAGCAATCGGCGTCAGAGGGAGCACAGCCTGCGGAATCTGCGGCCTCCACAACATCAACTGCTGCTGCAGCGGCGCAAAAGCGACGCATTGATAGCAAAACGATGCATTCGCTAATTGCACTAGGCGCTGAAAACACATCTGGTAAGCAAAGGCCCCCACAAATTAGGTTTCTAAATTGAAGTTAATCGATCGCAAAATATTGCTGAATAGAATTTAACCATAACCAAAACAAGACTTCGAATATATCATCTTTATTGTCCACCCCGATTTTCTTACAGGTCCTTGGCTGTGTCTGCGTTGCGGCGTTAACGGACGCCCAATTAGCATTCCATCGTATCGCGGCTTCCGTCGCCATCTGATCAACACCCACAAGGAGACAATTGATCCGGCACTGTGCGAGCATTGCGGCTGGCGTTCGGGCAACAATCGGGAGCTGCATTTCCACATGTACACCGAGCATCAGATCAAATCGCTGCTCTACAACTTTGCTGAATGCGCTCTTTGTAATCGAACGTATTTGACCAAGGGCGAACTGGAGCAGCACATCAACGAGGCGCACACGGATGATAACAAACAGCAGTGCATTTATTGTAACAAGGTGTTTGCTCAGGAACTGCAGCTGTACAGGCATATGAAGAGTTATCACAAGGCACAAGCACTGGAGGATGGCATCATCGATGAGACCGATGAGGAATATCTCGGCTCACAGGATGAAGATGAGCAGTTGGAGGATGACGACCAGGAAGAGGATGAGGGCGAGGGCGAGGAACCAATGCAGGAGGCAGAGGAAAAGGTGCGCATTCTGTCTGACATCAGCTTGCCGGCGACCAGTGCCATTGGACAGCAACAGTCCCGCGATCAACGAGAGGAAGCCGAAACGGAATCGGATCAACTGCTGCAGACCCAGGAGCAGGAGGTCAAGTTTGTCGGCGCTGATGGCAACGAGGTGGAGCTAACCGAGGAGCAGCGCAAGGAGATCTTGTCACAGTTGAATCAACAACAGGTTGGCACACCCAGCGGCGGCGTTGTCATGGTGCTCAGTGAACCCGATGGCGATTCCAAGCAGGAAGGCGATGCCAAATCCTCAGCGGGCACGGAAGACGAATACGATGACAGTCAAATTTATAGCGAACTGGGAGCCACCGGTTCCGTGGAGAGCAGCAGCAAAAAAAGCGAAGCTGCCGATGAGAGCAAGGAGTCCATTGACAATCTTGAATGGGCAGAGAATTTAATATCAAAGCACGACCTAGAAGCGGAGCAGACCAGCAAAGAAGTGAGTGTGGCACATTTATGATGTAAATCATTTTAATTCTCAATTAAAAATTGTATTTCAATAACAGCCAAAGGCGGAAAAACGTCGGGATGACATTAGCGAAAAGCTTAAGGAGCTGACGGGCGATTGGACCGAGGATGAGAACGAGGATGACGACGATATGGTTGACAAGCCAGTCACTACGGAATTAAGAGCATCCGTGGAGTCGGAAACTGCCGCTGAAAAGCAAACTGTAGAAGTTGCTGAAACCGTACAAGAAGTTGTCGAAGAGCAACCTGAACCGGAAGATGATATTGACTTGGCATTGGAAAGCATGCATAAGGGAGGAGACGAACCGGAGGCCACTACTACAGAAACCATCGAGGAAGCAGCTACTTCCAGCAGTGCTGATGTAAGCCAAGCAGCGTCTGAGTCGGAACCAGCTGTTGTAAAGGATGCTGATGAATCAGAAAAACCAAGCGCTGAGCTCATAAAAGTGGAATCCTTAGATGTTAAAAAAGAGCAAGAGCACGAGCGGCAGGAGGAATTTATCAAAGAAGATGTCCCGGAAACGACTACAGTCGAGGCTGAAGATGATGTCGATATCAAGGCCGAAACCGATGACATCAATAATGAAACAGTAGCAGAAACTAATGAAGAAGATGCAGCTGATGCGAATTTGGAAACAGATAGTATTCGCAAAGGTCTAATCGATGAACTAATTTCTGAATCGGAGGCAATTAGAGCTGACGCAGTTGCTAACGAACGACCAGAAGAAGCAGAGATGGATGTGCCGGCAAATCAGATGCCAGAGATTGATGGCTCTGAGGCGATGAAAGAAGAGGATGCGCCGAAAGCTGTTGAGACTGCTGAGCAATCAGAAGCCCATAATAACGAGCAGAAAGCGGAGGAAACGACGACGACAGCAGCCGTGGTAGATGCAGTCGCAGCCACAGCCGAAGAGAAACCCAACAGCAGTGATGAAGGCGCCGCTCTTGATGGCAAGGCACAATCGCCAACAGGCACGCAGGAGAAATTGAAGAGTCTCATGAGCGAATGGGTTGACGATGAAGATGACAATGATGATGAGAATGATCATGGTGTTAATGCAGCGGCGAAAGAGCAACTCTAATTTCTAGATTTATTTATATGTTAAGGTCGGTTTTCGATTGCCAGTGCTATCAGCCTGAGAAATGTAGTATGTATACATATGCATATACATATTTATAAATACATATGTATGTAACCAATGAATAGAGCTATTGGCAACTTTTTTAGTCTAAAAAGCATATTTCGGTTTCGATTGTAAATTAAAAACTGTTTCAATGACTCTTATTTTGATTATATAATCACATAAAAAATATATATATTCGTATACATATATTTAGAACACAAATTAAAGCCTAATGCCTATCAGACCAAACATTATAACACTTTGCAATTTGTGCAGATTTTATCATTTCTGCAGCGTTTCACCACCAACAATTGAATTTTAAGTAAAATTTACAAATATATATTTATATATATATATAAATATCTATATATTGAAAATATTACATATACAAATATGTAGTTACATAAATGTTGGTTTAAAGTAACAATTTTGATGGTAAATGTGTATGCAATTACATTTAATCGATTAGGATGAAAATGTTTTATGATTGATATACCTAGTAATACAAATCAAAAAACTTTTTTGATTACCACTAAATTGTAAGAATAACAAACACATAGATACTTTGGAGAAAGCAACAAAATATAAATGTAGATATAAAGAAAATTTGTGTTTTTAATTTCTTTGTGTACTTTTATATTGGTCTAATCACAGTGACAAATCAGATTAAACAGATTGACACATACTTAATTCGGACTTTACAAAACAAACATCTTGAGAACACTTAACGATAGATTAAAAAAATATTACATTAAAATAGCATTTACAGAATTTGTGTGCAACTATAATTACAAGTTAAAAACAACGGAGATTCTCAGTCATCTGAAATAGTTGAAGAAAAAAAAGAAAATAGATGCGCAAAAGTCTACAACTGATTATTTGGCAATAACGTACCAGCTAGATAATAGTTAATTACGCACATTGTCGTAAAGCCAACAAAGAGAGTCGCAAACTGTGCAAATCCCGCCCAGCGACGATTTAGATTACTATGCCAACGAGCCTTCTCGCGCGGTATCACTTCGCAGACGGTCACATAAAAGAGTGTGCCTCCAGCCAGGGCTTGTACAATTGGTAGCGTCGTTTTAGACCAGGTTGAGGGTATATTAACGATAAGCATACCCAGTCCAATCCCGCAGACGGCACCCAAAGCAAACACCGAAATGCCAATGAATTGTGAGCGAATGCTTGTTCGTGGATTTGAGCGAAACTCAAGACCCAGACAAAAGCCCATCACAAATTTGTGACACGCAACGGCGCCGAGTAGAAAGAGCACCTAGAATACAAGAGGAGGCAATCTGTGTATATGAATATTTACAGTTCTGATTCTCTTATCTACATAAATATTTAATCTGTGCGGCAAACTAATTCAGCAACATAAGCTAAACCAATTTATGTCAAGGTAGGCTTACCTTAGTGGATGAGTTTTGTACACCGATAGCCAAACCCTCAATCGCCGAGTGCAATGAGAGGGCCACAAAGAGACCCAATGTCCCGGTCATGGATTGCGCACATGGCTCCGTGTGGCTGGTATGACAAATCCGGGCATTTGCATCCTCCACAATCTCGTCGTCACAGCCGGAAACGGCAGCATGATTGTGTTCGTGGTTATTTTGATCATGGCCGCTGTAAAAGCAAAGACAATCAATACATTTAATCGATTGAATACATAAAATAAATAAAAGTTTTCTAGTCGAAAGGGTGGTGACAGATAATTATGAAATTATGTTATGGCAATGCTTTACATATTGTAGTAAAAGGGAAAGTAAGCATTTATATATAATACACTTTAAATTGTCCGAATGCCTACTTCTGTCGGCTACACTGCAAATACAAAACTTTGTAATACCCCCTACACACATATGTGGACTGGGTATTACAAGCACAATTGACTTACTTCTCGTGATGATGATGATGGTGCGTGGAAGATGTCGCTGAATCCGCTCCTTGTATTAAAGGTGCACGTTCGTCCGTTGCTCCATAGGATCCATTGCTTTGGATTTGGTTTGTGACACCTGTTGTAGGTGAGGCGGGTGCATGTGTATGCTGAATGGCCTCACCAAAGAAATAATGTACAAACTCATCAATGAAATATATGATGAAAAATCCGCCACACATGGCAACCTCGGCGAATTTGGAGTTCATTTGCTCGCGCACCTGCAATATTATAATTTCATTGGTTTATCGGATTACAATCAGTCGAAATATTTTGGCGTCACCTCTGGCAAAATATGCACCAGTGCCGTGGCTAGCAAAATACCGGCACCGAAGCAGAGCATCAGTGATGTTATCAGTGGAAAGCGTTGTCGATTGCGTTCCCCAATGATCACAGGCAACATGCCGGAGAGAAGGCTGCCAAGGCCGAGGACTAACATGGCCAACACTTTTTCCATAGTGCCACGATCGTCGGCTTGCCAGTTGGTGATATTTGTACTCATTGTGTCTGTTAAGACTCAGTCATCAAAACTGCAGTAAAATTCGATAGACCAGATGGATATTGAGTTCGTTCGCCCGTGCGTCGCAGATGTTCAAAATTAAACAACTACTGATCCGCAAACATGAACGCGCAACTGACTATCAGCTATTGCTGGGCGAATCATCGATTAGCATTGATAAATTTAATTTAAATTTTATTGCAAACATCGATGTTTTTATCGATACTTTTGATTTTTAATTTTTTTCAGTGTTCCAGCAACGGCCGCTGCAAGCAAGAAAATGTTTTGCAAAGCAGAAACGAAGAGTTAATTTTATTTTTATTTATTTATTGATTATTATATTTTAAAACATTTGAATTTCCATTTTAAAATAACTACTACTTCTATGTTTTGTTAATCAATGGTTCCTCGGTAATAAAATCAATATTTGAACTTTTGGCGTCCCCAAAAATTTAGTATTTTGTCCTCAATTGTAATGGACCGTCGCTGTTTAATTTGTGGACAACTGCCCACATCTAGCTACTCCTATCCACACGACATCGTTGAGGCAATCAAATGGCAAGGTCTGCTTAATTTCTTTGTGCCCATTGAGATTTTGTGGCATTACTGTTGCGTTTGCGAAAAGCACATCGATGAAACTGGTGTCAATGTTCCGGATAAATCAATTTTCAATACAAATGATCAGCGGCCAAGAGTCTCGTTTAATGAATCCGCTGCTGTTCTCTACTTTTGCGATGCTAAAACACAACCGAATTCTGAAACACACCTGCAAAGAAAATCGGATTACCTGCACTCTCGTGACTCTAATGAACAATCGTCTCGGAACCCAGGAAATGATCATCATTTCAACTATATTGACTCTGGCTTGTTAAATTTTGAGAATATGGGAAATCTCCAGAGGGCAATGGGGAACATGGGAGATTATCAAGAGGACTCTAAGATTCAAAATATGTTGCCAAAAAGACACACTTCTGGTTCCGAATCCTCAGAATCTCACTTGAAAAATTTCAAACTTTGCTTAAGTAGTTCCTCTTCTAAAGATTTAAATGTTGCATCCAAAAATTTTACAAAAGGGCAAACAGAAAACAATAATTTCGTACAGCTGGGCAGCTCCCTAACATTTACTTCTGGTCCTTCTTGTCAGGCATGGGCTGCAAAGAATAATCTATTGCAAGACACTGAAAGTTCAGTCAAGCAAAGCGATTTCAATCGTATTAAATTAAATATGAAATGCAATCAGTTGGCACACCAGCAGACCAAACTCCTAGAGGATCAGCAAGGACAGCGTGAGCTGTTGAAGCCGTCTGAGTATCATCAACAAGTGCAGCATCCGCAAGAGCAGCTTAGCCAGCGTGCTCAGAACTACGATCAAGGAATACATTGTCCTTCTGGGACCAGAAATTTAAAATTTTGCTGTAATTGCAAGGATGACAAGAACTCCCCTTCGATCAATACTCCAGAGGGCGGCGATGGAACACAGCAAGAGGCTTCGATGAACACAGTAAAAACTAAGCTGACACTTTTACCTTGCAGGCCAACACCACCGGTTAATGTGCTCATCATGGTTGGCTCCACGTTACCAACATACTGCAGTAAAATTAATTTTGGGGAGAAGCCAGCTCAAGTCTCAGTAATCCGTGTGTTGGAAACGGACTACTCTCGGGAAAAAGCCATCTTTCCAGATATCGATGAGCCCAAGTTTTCAATTTGTCGACCACCCGACGAACATCAAAAAGATGCTGATAGCGCCCAGGAAGTTTTGCTATTGGAAGTAGCTCAGACTGAAAACAATTCCTGTGCGGAGAACTGTGGCAACAAATGTCCTTCACGTAAGACTGCTACACCACTCCAGAAGGTGATACAGGATACAAAATCAATTGCAACTAAATTTCCAACAATGCAGGAGCAAAAGTCGCGCATTAATGAGCTGAAAAATCTCGTGACACAACAGCAGCGACTGCTGCAGACGATTCAGGCCAAACTGGAAGTGCTCCAGGGCAAGGTGAACGCAGACACAATGCCAAATATGATTCCTCGAATCGATGCAGGTGCCTTTGCAAAACCGAAACAGCACCGAACATCCTTGAATCCAGGATTGATTTCGGCAATGGCCAGCAGCAACAAGACGAAGTGATTTCATTTCAACCGGAATATTTCCATCACAGATAACTTAATATACAAATTTACCAAAAACATGAGCAAATTGTCAAATAGAAAAAAAAAATATAAATCAAATTTATTTGAATTTTAAGAACACACAAATTGAACTGTTCTGATGAGCCGTCGCTGTGTCGTCTGCGGTAAGGAGTCCGCTGAGAATGCCCCCGATGGCGCCCATTACCATCCCAGAAACAAGAAGGAGGCCCTTATTTGGCAGCGAAGCATGGGCGCAACCGATACATCTGTGGAGGACATACAAAAATGTTGTTGCGTCTGCATTGAGCACATTCCACAATTTGTGGTGCGTGCTCAGGAGCAGGCTTCACTTAATAAGGACATAAGCAAGTCAGAGAAGAATAGCCATGAAGCAAAATCGTCAAAAAATGCTGTCCATAAATTTGAAATTCGAGGACCATCGCTAAATGTCCTGCTCCTGCCTGGTGCCGTTACGCTGCCCCCTCATTGTGAAAAGTTCAATGGGAAGACGAGCGAAAACGATGAAAACCAGGAGGATGTTTGTCTGGATGAAGAAATCTATGTGAAGGAATCGAGCTATGCGAATTGCTGTGCGATCTTAGCAGATATGGATGAGACCGAAGTAACAGTGCTGCAAACACCCACGCACAACGACGATGATCTGCGGCAGGAACACAACGCGGAATATGGGGATAATAATTGCACGGATGTTTTGGTGCTAGGTCAACGAAGCAGCGACAAGTGTCCCTACAGATGTGAGCAGTGCTCTAAGATGGCATACTCTCCAAATGATTCGGCTCATATCCCTTACAATTTACCGCCTCTGGGCGACGAGAATGGCACCAAGATACATAAAGAGCTAAGCGATGTAATTTTACGACAGCAGCAGCGTATATACGAGTTGGAAGTCCTGGTCGGTCGCCAAAACAATTGGCAATTGTCATTGCAGCAAAAAATTAACGAGTTGAATGCTGAATTCGGACGTGTTGATATGCAGCAGGAACTGACACAGATTGCATCCAATTCAATGCATTCAGAGCCCATTGAGCAGCTGTCGAGTCAGCCAAAGATGACAACGGGCGGCAGCGTGCAGTGGTATTCTCAGCGGTCTCTAGCACATGAACAGTCGAAACAGCCAAATTGCCTGAATGGAAGTCAAAATACTATAATGCAGTCGGAGGCTTGAAATTATTGGATTATACAAATTTACGTGTTTTCGTTAGCGAAAAATGTTGAAAAAATAGTTCACACTACTTGTGACATTGAAACAATTATACAAAATGTACATGTCTAATATCTGGAAACGTTTAATGGTTCTATCCAGGCGGTTTATTCGCTATTACACAAATCAACGTACATCGTACAAGTTTAAGCAGCGGATTGAATTACATCTGTGTAGAGTTTCACTTTGGTGGCAATGCTCATATCCACATACTTGTCACCAATGGAAACAACGAGGCCACCAATGATGCTGGGATCCACACGAGAGGTGATCTTCAACGACTCGTTGCCCTTCAGGAAGGACTGCAAGCGAAATGTCACACATGATAAACTTGGTAGCCATTTAAATATTACAATTAGATTTTACCTTGAGAGCGCCCTCCAACTGCTTGCTTTGGCTAGCATCCAGGGGCTTGGCAGTCACTACTTCGCAGACAACCTCGCCGCGGTGTGCAGCCATGATGGTCTTGAAGGCATTGATAACGGTGTCCAGCTTCTTCAAGCGTCCATTATCAGCCAAAAGACCCAACAAATTGGCGGTAGTTGGGGCAAAGCGCAGCTTCTCAGAAGCCTCCTTCAGGGCTGTGGACATGATTTTCTTATTGATGATAGGACTGGTGACATATTCGCGCAGCTTTTTGTCGCCCTTAATCGTCGCTTGCAGTGCGATCAGATCTTTTTCTACCTGATCCAACTGGCTCAATTTTGAGGCAGCCGAGTACAGTGCGGTAGCATAACGACCCTCCAGTCCAAACACCTGCACTGGCGGCTTCACCGTCTGCTGAGCAGCGGAGCTGAACGTGCGACTCTGTAAAAATGGCAAATTCCATTATTACATACACAAAGTCAATTCAAATCATAATTTGATTTTTGCTTGTTGGTTAAAATTGCAAATTACATAACCAATAAATCTGCGTTAGATAATTATTTTGTTTGTCGTTGCTAATGTGGACAGCAAGTTCAGTCACTTTATATTTTAGCTGTATTGCACATTCAGCAAAGAAGATTTTGTGTATTTTATTTACGACGTACCAAAAGTGCTAATTTGTTAATGGAGGCCATTGCTTATACTGTGCACAGAATTTTTCACCTAAAAATCGCAGCTGCACCGTACAGGGTTGCTTCGTCTACGCAATGATAGAGTTGCCATGGTAGAGAATTCTTACCAGGGCGGCGAACAATGCGGCGATAACGATTATTTTCAGCAGCACTAAAATGCTCGGAAGAGAAAAATTCAAACAAACATTTCTTAGATTTACGCCTTTATTTAAATGTATTTTAAAAATCTGTTGTTTAATAGATGGGTTTTTCGGAAATACATAGGGATTGTACTTAAGACGTAACTGTATAACTGCCTAAAAATTGTATTTGCAATTGTGTTGCAACATAAATAATGTTGACGCTCCATTAATTGAATCCCTACATAACCATACGAAAATAATAGTTAAGTGGTTAGCACTATGGGAACTCAATTGGAAAAATTAAAATTGCTCATATATTATAGATTGAAGGATTTACTTGTCATCTGCAATCATAAATTTGTTAGTAGTCATAAAAGTTAATGCTTGGGGCAAACTAACCTTCATCCTCAAGGTCTTCATCACCCTCATCTTCACCGTCATCATCCTCAAATGCTTCCTCTTCGTTGTCTTCGTTCTCATCCTCTTCCTCTGGTTCCACCTCAATATCAGGTACGAGATAATACTGCAGTGGATTTGGCCAAAGATCATCCTTTATCAGTTCAGCAATCTCGTCATTGACGGGGTCAGCATTGTCCGAAAACCAATCGAAGAAAGTCTTGTAATCAGAGTTCCTTTTCTTCTTGTTGCCATAAGGTTTCTGTAGCAACTGTTTAAGTAGATTTTTTCCCTCCTTCCATTGTATGGGCGTGCTAGTAGACGCGGGCCAATCACCATTTTCAGAGGTAGCTGAGCGTGTATAATATATTCAATTAATATGGGAAAACAAAATTGAAAAAATCCACCTACCCGCCGAATTCAAATGAAACTCTTTGGTGAGAATCTTGTTTTCAAAATAAGAATTTTCATCGAAATGGAAATTTATGCGGTATCCAGATTTAATATCCTCGAATTCCTCAACCTCCAGTTTGTTTAACGAATGCAGACACTCTTCTTCTTCTTCGTCCAGAATGTCAGATACTTGCGGGTGGTTGATGAACTACAAAATGGAACTCAAATTAGTACAAATTCAAAAGTTGGCTTAGCCAGACTGACAAAATATGCATACATGCTTGCTATCGATAACGATACCTGACAGCGTCGCATACAACAAATGTGCTTTTACGTGTATATAAATGTATTAATATTACTATAGAAGCAAATATTAGCATATTGATACACAAAAAAAAATTTAGAGATTAATTAAAAGCATACAGAGAGCATAGAATTTGCGCCTTGAGACGCAGACACTTATCGATACATTGGCACTCACACACATGTACATACACCAGAGCACACGCACACGCAGACAAAAAAAGAGCGGTGCGACCGGTGGCGGCAGCATGCATAGAAAACAAGATGAAAAAGAACAAACGACAAAGTTCCTCGAATAGAGAAATTTTTCTTGCACATGTAGTAGAGACACAAAATCAATTAATGTTTTTAGCTTTACTATTGTGTCACTAGAAAATAAATACTTTACAGAGAAATTAGAATTTTGCAAATGCTAAATGCAAAACATGCAAATCATTGCCAGTTAAAGATGCCGCTGCTTTTCTACACATGTTTGAGAACATTTACGAGAACTGATGTACACATATAATACTTACGGCAGTCACCCAAAAATTGGGGATCCGCTTGACGAGCTCGCTTCGCTTCTCGTAGCACGGTTTGCGTAGTTTGTTATATTTTTGCTCGACTTTTAGGATCTCGTCGCTGGCTTTCTCGTTCAATGCGTCAATCTCGTTTTGACAGGCATCGATTTGTTCCAGCGCCTCAGACTCCTCCTCATTGGGACCGGCAGAAGTATTTGCATCGGCGACAGCATCCAATTTTTGTCGCTTTGGCACACTCGACATGATGCTGCTTATATCGGTGATAACGTAAAAATTAAGATTTCTCGATCAATGTATAGTAAATTACAATTAGTTTATCTAGTACAGTTGAGCAGAAGCCGATTTATTAGACACTATGCGCGCCGCTCGATGCGATTGCGAATTCTGCTGATGAGTGTGGCCGAATATTGCAATCGGCAATATACCAAATAGCAGGATTAGACCTGGAGGCACAATCGACGTTTGGAGACCTCGAACTGTTTTACTGATTTTCGAATAAGACATCGATTAAGTATCGCCATTTTCGATGTTTTTCAAATAAAATGTTCTCATAACTTTTATAGTTTAATTTTTTATAGTACTTTATTCAAACACAAATGATTAATTATTAACATTTCGTCTGTTTGTGGGTTGTCTACAGATCAAAAACAATTTTTCCAAATAAATATTTCTATTATGTATTTTTCATTTTGAGAAATATCAATATTGAGTTACTCTAAAGAAAAGTGTTACTTTATTCTAAAATGCGTTTTAAAAATGATTAAGATTATGTCGTATATTTATTACTCTTTCACTTGCAGTTTCTCATTGACGGCAACATATGATAGGGTTGCAAAAGTGATGCATCGGTGCTTGAGACAACAAAACATCAATGCTTGAATTAAATTTAAATATATCTCATATATTTTCTAGAAAGGCATTTATTAAAATAATATAATAATAATATATTATGATTGCTCATATTAAAAATTATTTTCAATGTAATTAGCAACGATAACATTGTAGAAAATATTTAGTTTTGAATTCTGGATCTGGTTCCGTAACTAAAGTAGTTCATTTAGTGTGCGACGGCTAACAACACTTAATAAATTACAAGGCATTTTCGGTCCTTTACAACACGCGCGGACAACATTTAATGTCGAGGTGTAAAAGAGCTGGCCCATTAATTTTATAATTTTATATAAAAAGCGTTTTTAAAAATATTAAAAACATGGCCACGGCTGAAGCTCAAGTCAATGCGAACACAAATTTGCAAAAGCAGGACCTTAGCAATTTGGTGAGTGCGCCGGACTTATCATCATCGAATCGATGACAGACAAATATACGCGTCTTCGCCGTTCCTTTTTGGACGCCGCAACCTAAAACAACGGGGAGCTGCCACGAAGCGGCCATTTCTTTCTGAAAAAGTGTTTGCGTTGTTCGCACAGCTACGCAAAATGCATTTTACAAACTTTGTCATGGCAAACAACTTGATATTGTTGTTGTGCTCTGACTGCAAAAGCCTCCCTAAAAGAATGCAGCACGTGGCGTTAGCGGCTGCGATTTGCCAGCATATTTAGCATTTTCTGCAATGTGCGCCATTTGGCATATGTTTGCAAAGTGTTTGACAATGTTTTGAGCGCATTTTGATGCATTTATTAGTTATGCGGCTCAACTGTTGCTACAAAAGCTGATGCAATATACATTTGAATCTAACCTCAAAATGTACGGCTTTTTCTACGCACACTCATGCCACATAAATAGGCATGTACCGTTTGTACGTGTGTGTGTGTGTGTGTACATGTTTGGCGGTTTGGGCGTGATTTTTTTTGTTAAAATTTAAAAGTGCACCAAGTGGTCTATTTACTAACATATTTTCTTTTTTTTTATATTTGTTTGTGATTTTACAGGAAATCAGCAATCTGACGCCTCTGTCAGCGGAGGTGATCTCGCGCCAGGCAACAATCAACATTGGCACAATCGGTCATGTAGCCCACGGCAAATCCACCGTCGTCAAAGCCATTTCTGGAGTGCAGACTGTCCGCTTTAAAAATGAACTGGAACGAAATATTACAATTAAACTCGGTGAGTGTGGTTCTTCTAAAACATATCTGTCTCTTTCTCAACGCTGCTGGAAAGACACATTGTTCAACATTACTGATTATAAATAAAAAAAACAATTGCAAAATTCCGAGTGTCATTCCACCAAAATCTAGCTTAAGATATTGCATTTGTCATTGTTATTTGATAAGTTTAATAAATGGGCTTTTATAGCTATGGGCAAATACCGTATTGTTTTATATCGAATAAAACATATATTTATAAGATACTAAAAACAAACACAACTAAAATGCTGACGACGGCACAAAGCGCAAAAGATCAGTTTTCATTATCGACAAGAAAATTGAAAAAGTGTCTTCTGTGTTTACCTAAATTCAAAATACCGATCTTGAAGTTTAATTAAAACCCCATTTATATCTATACATATAAAAAAAAAACAATTTATTTTTAAATGAATAATAATGAATATAACTGACATTAAATTATTTGCAATTTAATTTGTTAATATAAAATTATACATACTACCTTTTAAAGTTCGCTGTGATATAAGTTTATTGTAAAACCTGGAAAGAATCATTTAAATATTGTTAAAGTTTTGTTTTTTTTTTTCTTTGATGTTTTACCGTGGTATTATCATATTTTTTTCAAGTTTGGAACGCATTTAAGGAAATGTCTCCGACCCTATAAAGTATATATATTCTTTATCAGCACCACCAGCTGAGTCGATATATTCATGTCCGTCTGCCCGATTTTTTATCTTTTATGTGCATAACTCCCTCAGCTTAAAGGCTATCTTAATGAAACTGGGTATATATCCGTCTTTTGTCCTCGTTTCGCTCAAGACATTGGGGGCGATAGGATCGAACTTTTATATTATATAGCTGCCATAGGAACACTATTTTAATCATAATATCCAAACTAAACAAACAAATATGTAATAAGCTGGAATTTAGCAATTGTTAAAAGCGAAAACAAATTGTTTAAAAACGAAAAACAAAGAAGCAAAGCTTTTGACATATTGTATATTTTGGTGCTCAAACGAAGATTATTCCAAAAATTTTCCACTTAACGGCGTATTTTATGTTTTTTTTTTTTGTGTACAATTAGTTTTAAGTGTCGTTTCATTTTGGATCGAAGTGTGTGTTGAGTGTTCTGTAAATGATTGAAAAACAAACAAACATGATTTTCTGTAAAAACTTAAATTGCTGGTTTAGACTCCCAAAATACCAAACAAAAGGAAAAAAAAAAAACGCATTGTGTCGTCGCCTTTAGTAGTTTAGATTAGCTATTTAAAATATTTAAATAATTATTTTCTTAAATTGTGTCTTAATTCTGTACACTTTTTGATTGCGTAAGATTTGTTAGTTTGTTAAAGCTTTTGCAAAATTTAATTTCATTGATTTTTGATAATCCAGCAATTTAATTAATTCAGATCATCTTTTTCTTCTTCTTTTCGATTTTCGTTTGCACAACGACGCGCGTTAAACCACAAAAAAAATCAAAACCCAAAATTGTCATTTGCAGAACGCTTAAGCGAATCGAAAATCCAAAAGCTTGTGCACTCCAAGCAGAAGCGCATTGCCTACGAAATGAAGCAGCGTCGACTGCTCAAAGGCCTTGCCCAGCGCAGGCAAAAACAGCAAAAGCAATGCCAAGGAAGCAGCCGCATGGACTTGTTGCCACAGCCGTCTTCTTCCCACAGCCATTTATTCGCACATCACACAAGACCTAGGCGCAGTTGCAGCCAGAGCTCGCTCAGTCCCAGCCAGAGTAGCGGTTATGGCAGTGTTTTGGGCTCGGACGAACACGATGCTATTCTGGGATCACAACGCATTCCAGCTGCCGGTGGTATGCAAAATAATACTCTGAAGCGACGACGCAGTACCCGATCTATCCCCGATATACAATTGCCCGTTCTGAAGATCTCCAAAAACAATGAGGGTGTGCCGATCAAGAAGCCAAAAGGCGAGCACGTCGTGGAGCACATTCAATGCGTCGAAGTTGTGAATTACGAGCCCGTTTTCTTTGTCAAGTGGTTGGGCTTTGACAGCAGCCTGAACACCTGGGAAGATTTTGTTAATCTCTCCGATTGCGTTCAACTCGAGCATTTTGTTGACCGCCAAACCCACTTTTATAAAGTGTATATTGACGAAATTGTGGGCAAGCTGGAGACACAATTGGCCAATAGTCCTCCACTTGATTTAAGCAGCATTAACCTCAAGCAGGATGTGGATAACTATGAGCCCTTGCCCTTGCATTTAGATTTAATACTGCTGGCCCAGTACGTTGCGGCTGGCAGTCGCAGTCAACGCGAACCGGAACGCATTGGCAAGCGGGCACTGCGACGCCTTCAACTCCAACATTGCCACCATGCGCGTCGTAAGCAGCTGCTGCAGCTGGCTGAATTCGAGAGCCGCATGAACAGCATCGAGATGCCAGCACCGCCCATTCGTGTGCGCAACGATGTTGATCTGGACACCATCGATGCAAGTTTCGTCTACATACAAAAGAACATATTGGGCGCTCTGGTGCCACGGCCTGGGCCGCCCATTGTCGGCTGCACTTGTTCAGTAGAGTGCAACTGCAGGAGTAGCTGCTGTTCCCGTCTCGCCGGCGAGCTGTTTGCTTACGATCGGACAACGCGACGCTTGCGTCTACCTCAGGGCAGTGCCATATATGAGTGCAATGCTCGCTGTAAATGTGATGCCAGCTGCACAAATCGATTAGTGCAACACGGACGCAAGCATCCGCTGGAATTGTTCAAGACGAGCAACGGAAGGGGCTGGGGTGTACGCACACCCCAGCTGCTGCGCAAGGGCGAGTTTGTGTGCGAATATGTTGGCGAGATCATCACCACCGATGAGGCGAATGAGCGCGGCAAGGTCTACGACGATAGGGGACGCACGTATCTCTTTGATCTGGATTACAATGCGACTGCGGAGAGTGAATATACCATTGATGCGGCTAATTATGGCAACGTTTCGCACTTTATCAATCATTCGTGCAATCCCAATTTGGCTGTGTTTCCCTGCTGGATTGAGCATCTGAACGTTGCACTGCCGCATTTAGTATTCTTTACGCTGCGCCAAATTAAACCTGGCGAGGAGCTCAGCTTTGATTACATACGCGCTGATAGCGACAATGTACCCTATGAGAATCTATCGACAGCAGCCCGCGTTGAATGTCGCTGTGGCGTCGACAATTGCCGCAAGGTGCTCTTCTAGACGACGTCACACAAGCAATGTCATAATCGTTTATCGCATGTGTGTTCAATATTAATTAAAATGCTGAATTATAGTTAGACTCTTAACCGATAATAAACTTGACCCAACTTGAACAACAGACAAAGAATAAATAAAACATTGAACAAAATATGTTCTGTTTATTGTTAATTATAGAATTCCTAAAAATTTTTGCAACGGAGAAAAGCAAGTTTTGTGTATCTGTGTATTATCTCTTATCGTTTTATAGTTTTCCTTTTTTTTTGCCAAAGTATTATACATTTGAATTAAGAGCTTATTGAAATTGCTCTCTGCATTTCATTGAATTTTAAATTTGTCCCATTATGTTTGATTGCATATAATTATATGAATATTTATATGTGTATGCTCTATATGTAAATTGTGTATTTATAATGTCCAATTTATGTCGATTATAAAATAAATAAAAATATTGCAAAAAATGTGTAACTTTTATCTTAACTGGTTCAGGCATATTAAGCAGAGTCTGTTTCCAGTCTCTATTGTCAATTTGATCAGATTTGATTTAAATAATTTGTAATTGGTATCACTGTAAACAGCACGAAATTATTTTTGCTGTTAACTGCTAATTTAATATTGATAAAATCTTAAATTTGACTTTTGCTAACAAATCTTTGCATTTCAGGATATGCCAATGCAAAAATCTATAAGTGCGATAATCCCAAGTGCCCACGCCCGGCCAGCTTTGTATCGGATGGCTCAAGCAAGGATGACAGCATGCCATGTGCACGTCTCGCCTGCTCCGGTCGCTTCAGATTAGTGCGTCACGTGAGCTTCGTCGATTGCCCCGGTCACGACATTCTTATGGCAACCATGTTAAACGGCGCCGCTGTGATGGATGCTGCACTGCTGCTTATTGCCGGTGATGATTGAGTGATTAATACAAAATCTTAAAATTACTAACATTGTATATTCGTTTTCTTAAAGGTAACGAGTCGTGTCCACAACCACAAACCTCAGAGCATTTGGCTGCCATTGAGATTATGAAACTGAAACAGATTTTGATATTGCAAAATAAGATCGATTTGGTTAAGGAGAGTCAGGCCAAGGAGCAGTACGAGGAGATCACAAAGTTTGTGCAGGGCACCGTCGCCGAGGGTGCTCCGATAATTCCAATTTCGGCACAGCTGAAGTACAACATCGACGTACTCTGCGAGTACATTGTTAACAAGATTCCTGTGCCGCAGCGTGATTTCAATACGCCGCCCCGTTTAATTGTCATACGATCCTTCGATGTGAACAAACCTGGCTGTGAGGTGCAGGATCTCAAGGGTGGCGTTGCCGGCGGCTCCATATTGAGCGGTGTGCTCAAAGTTGGTCAGGAGATTGAGGTGCGTCCTGGTGTTGTCACCAAGGACAGCGATGGCAACATCACTTGCCGTCCCATTTTCTCGCGCATCGTCTCACTGTTTGCCGAACAGAATGAGCTACAGTATGCAGTTCCCGGCGGCTTGATTGGTGTGGGCACCAAAATTGATCCCACACTCTGCCGTGCCGATCGTTTGGTTGGTCAGGTGCTCGGCGCCGTTGGCAATTTACCCGACATTTACATTGAGCTGGAAATTTCATATTACCTGCTGCGTCGATTGCTCGGTGTGCGCACCGATGGTGACAAGAAGGCCGCACGTGTGGAGAAGCTGCAACGTAACGAAATCTTGCTGGTCAATATTGGATCACTCAGCACTGGCGGGCGCATCTCGGCCACCAAAGGTGATCTGGCCAAGATTCTGCTCACAACGCCCGTTTGCACGGAAAAGGGTGAAAAGATTGCACTTAGCAGACGTGTGGAGAATCATTGGCGGTAAGTGACTAGCAAATGTTTGTAGTTGCTATTAATACTAACTATTAAGCTGGCAAAATATTGAACGAAATTAATTAATCCTTTTACAGTTTGATTGGCTGGGGACAGATCTTTGGTGGCAAGACAATTACGCCCGTTTTGGATAGTCAGCCAGCTAAGAAGTAAGCAGGGACCAAGGACCGATAAGCTACCAGACCCGCTCCGAATTCAATATTCAATCTAAGCGTTTCAAAAGTGTGTGTGTGGGTATATATATATATATACACAAGATCGCAAACGATTCTATCGTTTGGCCAAATTGCTGATTTTGTTCTTATTCGATACAACGTCTCCTCCTCATCATCTTCAAATTCCGCGTCGTCGTCCTCCTTCACGTCCGTTTATAGCAAAACAAACAAAATACGAAATAGAAAGAAAAAGAGAACCACTGAAAATATTAATGCATACATACCTTAAATTATTTAATTTTGTATGTATATAAAAGAATTTTGCTGCGAAATGTTATGCAAATATAGCAAATCCAAGCATTACAAGAAACTAATAGGTTATACCATACATATTTTATAAAAACAAACTGCAAACAAAACAAAAACAAATCTGATATATCGTAAAATTGTTTTTATGATTTAAATACAAAAAGAAAGTAAAAAATGGTATGCATTTTTACATTTAAAACTACAATATACCGTTGTTTTCATGCGTGGGTTGGAGGAACTATTTGAAAATGAATATAGTATTTGTACCCCAAAAATGTAAACAGAAAAACTTCAACAGTTCATCAACTTTTCATTATAGATCTTTTTATTTGTTTAAGCATTATTATTACAAAGTTCACATTATCGTTTTTGAAACATGATCATTTATAATTTGTTAAATTACATATTTTGAAACATTCTTTTTTTATTTTTAATTTTGTATCGTACTTGATTTATTACCTAGCGCACACTAATTTAGTTGTAAACTACTATGTATTGTATGTTTTCTGTTTTTTGTTTGCTTTTTTATTTTGGTTTACTGAAATTATTTCAATATTAATTAGCTTAATTAATAAAAATTCGTACTTAGTCGCGATTCACATAGATACGTTGTGTTTGTTATTAATTTGCTGAAAACGTTGTTTAATTAAATACTATTGAGATTGAGTAATTGTTTGTAATACTTTTCTTCAAATATCTTCCATCTTTAGGAAGAACACGTCTTGCGTTGTGGTCAAGTACGCTTTGAGCATTTTATATCAGGAAATCTTTCTTGTAGTTTTGCTGAACACATTTCGAACCAATGCAAATACATAGTAGAATGTATATTAAATTGTACAATTAATATTCTATAAAATTGAGTGACTTTTGAACACAATTATACAATTATGAGCAGACTTTTCCCGAATGCGCTTAGACATTTTCGCTATGCATTCCATATAACTGATAATACCTATTAGTTCAAAGTTCAAAGCTCTTTTACAACAAAGGATTTTGTACAAAAAAGTGACCAATAATTTAAAAGCAACTCAAATAACAGTTAAGAGTAATTTGATGTTTGCGTTTCCTTGTTATTTCTTTGGCATTTCTATGTGAAGCTTAGCCTAATACCAAAACTTCAGTTTTCATTTTTTTTTTTGTTTTTTTAATTGTTAAAAAAAAGGATCTCTTACTTAAAATAAGCGACCTAAGCGACAGCTTTGGAGAACATTTGAGAACCTAATTTTGCTGCTTTGCTATTTTGTTTTTAATTATATATATACCATATTTCAATGTAACTTATTTAGTTACATTTGAATATGTATGCGTTTCTTAACAGATAAAAATGCAAGACGCACTTAAGAACAATGCGTCCATTACGTGTGCAACATTTGTTTTGAATATTTGTCATAAGTCTGTGTGGTATTACATATTCCTAATAAATAATATTGAATTGATTTCGTAAAACACACAAAAAGAAGAATACCATTTTATACATATACATATAACAAGTACATTAGTATTATTCCTTTAACAAGAAATCAATCTAATAATATGTATATATATTTATTTAAAGACTTACATACATTGAACACCTCAAAGTGCTGTTGGTTATCCTTGCGTATACTTATTTTATAACACATAAAATTATCGTTTTTTAACTAATTCTGCTTCTTTAGCTATTTTCTTAAGTTTTTACATAGTTGTGTACATTTATATGGTATTGACATTTACATTTAAAGTTTGTGTGGTTGTGAGTGTATTCCGTATTCATGAATGTCAATTCATTTCGATTTGTGCTTGGGGGAAATGACACTTTAACTTGGTCAGCTTACATACATGTAAAAGTTATATTATCGTACATACATAATACAATCTATTGACAGTTAACATTGGCAAAATTGGAGTTCGTTTTTTTTTTTATTTCAACTGGCTACCTAAAAGTACATATAAATGAATAGTCTATATATCTATTGTAAGTTGACAGATTCAAATTACATTCATATTATAAGCAGCTCCTCCAGTGAGATCGACTTTGTTATAAAATCTGTCTTTTTTTAAACTTTTTTTTGTAACATATCGAAATCTTTAACAATTTTGAGTTTTTCTCTAACGGTTTCAATACTTTTGCAACACTGTAAATATCATACAATTTGATTTAATTACATAGATACCATTATACGTACACATGTGCTGAATTAAGCAAATTTTTCTTGCCAATGCTGTTTATCATAACTACTATATATATATAATATCTAGTTCTGTGTTGTTAGGTTAATTTGTAAGTACATACAGATATATTATAAGTATACTTAGTTTTAACACATCTTTTTTTTTACATATATTTTCGAATTAGTTAATCAGGTTTTATCTATATATATATATATATAAATTACATATACATATGTATATATGCCAATTTTGGGATGTGCGTGTGTTGGAAATATATAGAAGCCTACGTTTTCTTTATGATGCACAATTTTGGCATTTGAGGGTTTGGTGTGGCATCTTAAAGAAAATGGCTCATATCTCATTCGTTGACATCCTCATCTGAAGAACTGGCTGCGGGTATCGTTGAGAATTGCCACGCCTCGCGATTGTTATTTTTGCTGACACTGTAAGGAAATCTCAGGTATTAATTGGTGATTTAACTTATTTATTTAAACAGATAAAAAGATTTTAAACTAAGCCATAGTCCAATTAGATGTTTAAATAATTTAAATTAGATATATGGATGCAATTAAATTAATATCACTTGATGGTAAATTTAAATTAAGTCTTCCATAGAAATTAAATATTTTATAATTAAATACTACTTAAGCCTTTAAGATTTTAAATCAGTAGCAATTAGTACATAGTTTAAACTATTTTTATATTAAATTGACTAAATTTGTTTTTAACAAGATTTTAAACTTAAAAAACAAAATTGATATTTCCTTAAAATTGATTCAACATTTTGTATTAAATGGAACACAATTAGATTGAATTGGAATTTAGTTGCAAGTTAAAAAAAGTTTTATACTAAATAAAAAAACATTAAATAAAATAAAAAATGTGTAGAGCTATGTGATTTCAACTAAAGATACACACCCATGCTTTTTGGCATTGCTGGGCAGCGTGTGCGAGCTGCGGTAGTAGCTGTCGTGGGGCTCCTCTTTGGTCTCCTCCAGCGATTTGCGCTGCAGCGTCATGGTCTCTTGTGGCGTTAGAGAGGATGCACCACCACCGTTTAGCTCAGCATCCAGATAGTATTTGGCACTCTGGGCAATTTTACAGTTCTCGCATTCACTCAGATAGTCATCATCCAGACTGGTGTCGTTGGGTAAGAAGTGCTCGTTAGGATTCAAACAGTTCTTCGATGTGGTGCACACGGGTAGCTGCTTGCCGGGCGTGACACTACGTCCTCTCTGCACCTTGGCCGTCAGCTGCGGATAGCTGGGCATCTGGCAATGGGCAATGGCCAGAGTGCTATTTGTGGGTGCTCCACTTGATGCTGCTACTGCAGCTGCAGCGGCTGACTCCCGTTTCACGCGCAGTATTTTTGGCAGTGTGGTGCTTTTGCTAACTGCAGCCGCCTTCTCGTTGTTGTTTTCCACCGGGGGTATGCTAATCACCGAGGGCACCTTGCTGACAACGCTCTTGATGGTGCTATTCAGCGAGATCTTGCCGCTAATGTGCTTGGGCAGCGTATAGGTCACATGATTATTGGCGAGCGGATAAAATGTACTCGAGTTTATTTTGCCACCTGCCGACTTCTCGCTGCAACTGGCCGACGGACTGGCGGGGGGCAGGGTCAATGTGGGCGTTTGCTCCTTACGCTGATGCATGCTGCTGTTTGTGGATTTGCTCAGCGTATAAATTGTGGCCACAGCATTGTTGTTGCTGTTGCTGCTGCTGTTGGTTGCTGTTGTTGTTGTGGCTGTTTTTAAATTCGTTAGGCTTTTATAAAGTTTCGGTGGTAATTGTGGGTTGCTTTGATCGTTGTGTTGTTGCTGTGGTTGCTGCTGTTGTTCTTGCTGGTTATAGAAATGTGGCTGATGTTTCTGCGTCAAACTCAAGTAGGCATCAACCTGTAAAGAGCGCTAACGTCGATTAGCAAAAAGTCAAATGGCAAATAAGCTTTTTTATCATGGAGCATGAAAACAAATGATAACTAGAAAATTTATAATTGGAATTTGGATCATTTTAATGCCGTTCTTTTCTTTAAATATGTTAATAATTCTGTTCTGTAAAATATATCAATTATTATACATTTTTGAACGTCTATTATAGCAGAAAATATATATGCGATAGTAACCTAACATTAATTAAGGATGATGCTTTGAAAAGTGTCACTCAAATCGGCTTATGTCTCATTTTCAAAAATGATTCTAATCGAATTCTAAATCATTTTATTAAGCTATACAACGGTATTTATTAAGCTATACAACGCTATTTGGAAAATTCGATAGTTTTTTGTCTGCAGAAAATGATGAACAATTTTGAAGAAAGCACTCAAATATTTATAGTAGTAAATAATTTTTGTAAATCTGATCTTTAAGAAATGTAACCAAAATAACTATTTTTTGAGTGCGTCACAAAGTAAACTTAAATATTACAAATAAATCGGAGGGGAAAATGGACGTGAGTAAGCAATGAATAGCAGATTATAGTTTAGGGAATATCTTATTGTATTTTACTGTCTGATTTTTATGAACTGAAAACATCTATATGCTAAATGCTATGATTTATAGAATTGCCACGTGAGGGACCAGAGTTAAGCATTCTCATGGGGATTACTTACATTTCGAACTCACCTTTCGATTCAAATAGGCGCTGGAGAGCACATCGACGCCGCCTTGGGCAGCAGCAGCACTGCTCGAGGCACTGCGTCCGCCGCCGCTGCTGCTGCTGCTCCGTGCGCGTTCAGCAGCGCTGCTCGAACTGCTGGAACGCTTCTGCACACGGCCGAGCACAATGGGCGGCGCACTGACATCCTCATGATGCTGCAACGGCGGCGGCGGAGTTATTGCCGATACATTGCCCCCAGCATGCGATGGATGTGGCTGCAGCTCATCGCCCACCTGTTTCGAAATGGTGGCAATCTTTGGCTCATGAGCACATGGATTACGTCCACCATTGAGCAGCTCCTGTCCGAGCTGTTGCTGCTGCTGCTGCTGCTGTTGCTGCAGATTTGTCGACGATTTGGCGCGCTGACCATAGGCCAATGTGGAGGCATTTCGGGTGCCAGCGCCGGGTGAGAGTGCACATGGATTGCTGCCCGTGGAGGCGAACAGTTTGCCTGCGCCGCTGAGGAAAGCATTTGCATTGGCATTGGCATTGCTGCCCATATAGGACATGGGTACATGCTGTATCGGGCACTGGCACATTGGTTTCTTGCTGGTCTTGTTGGCATCCGAGGAGCTAGTGCTGGAACTGGAGCTGGACTTGGGCTTCACACTGACAACTTGCAGCGGATCGGCGACGGCAAAGTAGCGTGGTATGGTGCGATGATAGCGACGCGAACTCGATGGCGTTTTGCTGCCATGCTGCGATTGTTGTTGTTGCTGTTGTTGTTGTTGGGATTTAAGTGCTGCATGCATCGGCATTGGCAGCGTTTGAGTCACCGAATCTGTTGTTGTGTTGCTGGGCGCTGTTGTTATCGTTGCTATTTCCATTGATGGCAGCATATCTATGGCCGGAGTGGACAAGGCTGCGGCCAGCAACTGTTGCTGCTGATGTTGCTGTTGATGTTGCTGCGTCATGTGGTGAGTGGGCGTGGCCAGCAGCTCGGCCGACGCTGGCAGTGAATGATAGCTGGCGGCACTGGCACTCGCATTGATCTCCACATCGGCTACGGTTAGATATTGCTGTTGTTGCGGCAGTGGCGGCTGCTGTTGCAACAGCTCCTGTGAGCCGCGTGGCGTACGTCGCGCTGCTGCATACGCCAACGAGTTGGATACGCTGCCCGCTGCAGCTGCAGCTGTCGTCACACTGGCGCTAATATTCAGATGACAATTCTTATAGCTGCACTCGCTGACAATCGGCTTGGGCGTGGGCATCGCTTGTACACAAATCGAATTGCTGGGCGTTGCTGCCGGCAATTGCTGCAACTGTTGCTGCTGATGCTCCAAGACATGCTGCTGCTGCTGTTGTTGCTGCTGCTGCTGGAGGTGTTGCTGCTGCTCGCTCTGTAAACTATAGGGCGGCTGATGATTCTCGCCAGTTGCTATTGTGGTAACGCCGCCACTGTTGATGTTTATATTGATCAGATTTGTGGTGCTTTGCGTATATTGATTCGACTGTGCAGCGGCAGCAGCAGCAGCTGCCACAGCGGCAGCGTTCAATTGGTGTGCGTGTGCGTGTGTATGAGATGTGGCAACTGGCACCAGTTGCTGCGTGTAGGCATGTGGATGCGGATGCTGTTGTGGCTGTGTGTGCAACTGCAGCGTATGTTGTTGCAAATGCTGCTGCTGCAATTGTTGTTGCTGCTGCTGCTGTTGTTGTTGTTGCTGTTGCTGTTGCTGTTGCTGCTGCTGTTGCACCTGCTGCTGCTGCTGACTGACACTGGCCACAGTCTGCCGCTGCACATGACTCGGCAAGGTGACAGTGCACTGTGCGCTTAGGGCCTCCGCCTGTGATATGGCCACAGCCTCCTCATAGGGTGGCGGTGCCTCGCCGCGTGGAAAATAGCCGCTGGGTGGCTTCCAGAGTGGATAATGCGTTGTGGCACCACCATACGAGTAATCCATAGCACTTAGATTGCCCTCCATATAGCCCATGTTGCCAGCAATATAACTGAAATACATATCAACTTCTATAAATATAAATTCGAATGTGATTTTCAAATTTGGAACTCACCCAATGCTGCCCACAATGCTGCGCTGATCCTCCGCATTCTGACGATTCTCGCGTGCTCGCATTTTACGCTGCCTCAAGCGATTCACCAGGAAGAAGAGCAAGGATAAGGAGAGAGTGGCCGTTATGCCACTGGCCACCAGTCAAATGCCAAAGTCGGTGCTGCCATCGCTGAACTGATCGTCCAAACAGATGACCTCACAGCAATTGTTGCCACTGCCAACAGTCTGGAAGGACTTGCACTTGCTAAACGCCTCGCACAACACCATTTTACAGGCCTTGGGCAGGCCGCTGTCGCAGATGCACAGACGGCACGAGTCTGGTCCGGGCATGTAATGCATGCCCGTCTCATACAGCTTGCCATTGTAGTCCCGGCAGTGGCCACCCTGTATGAGGCTCGAGCTCACCGCATTGCCATCTAGTGTACCAAAAAAAATAAAGCGGAAAACAAACGTTGATTTCAAACCAATATAAATTTACGGGCAACTATTTAAATGGATATTTATAATTGTTATAATATAATATTATAATTGCTATGTTTAAATTTGAAGTCAGCCAGACTAAATTCAGCAGTCAACTGCATGTGTAAAACTTATATTTTTATATTTTTCTATAAAGCTATATGCGCAGTGTTATCGAAAATCTTAACAACTTCTCACAAAAATATAAATAAAAAAAACAAGGCTTATAACAAATGAAAAGCTTCAAAGTGTATTGAAATATTTGTAAACTCGATTTTAGACTAAATTTGACTTTCACTTTGATATGTGGTAGCCTTTATAAATTAAAAGTTTCAACAAATAATAATATAAAAAAAAAGGTAAAACAATTTAACGTGTACTACGACGCCTTTAATTTCAATTTCAAATTTAATTTTTAATATTACAATTGATATTATTATCAAAAGTAATTAATTAATGCACTTAACAAAATGAACAAAATATATTTTTGTGCTACAGACATCTTATGAATTGTATAATAATTTTGTATATTATACAAACAACAATTAAAAATATTTAAAGGCAGTTTATCTGTCAAAAACCATGAGAAATGTTTGTATATTAAATATAACTCAAAAGTTCTACATCGTGAAAATAAGTGTGTCACAGATACTTCAACAAAAGTTCAAATAAAAGTATAAAAAGATACATTTTTGAATACATTTAAGCATACTAGTTCTGGAACAACTGTACGATTATTTATTTTGATACACTTGACCAAGTTTCGCAATGCCTGCTGATTTAACAGTTACAGTTTTTTTTCGCCCAAATACCAACGCGCACACACACACACATACACAAAATGCAGCAGGTGCTGTACCCCCGCCCCCCGCCCCCCCCCCCCACACCATCCACCAAAACACACACACACAGAAACACAAAGTAGACACACACGCACACACATGTATACAAAAACATGGCCATAACATTTATCACTTGAATAAAATTAAATGCAAACGCATTACTTTTCAAGATAATTTAAATGCTAAACAGCAAAAAGGAAATTCAAATTAAAAACAAATATATCCAGCGTTTGCAGAGTGAGGCAGGCCAGATAAATGGGAGGGAAGCACAGAGAAGGGAAAGGAAAGGGTGGAGGGGGAGGGGCATATTTTCGGTGCTGCAATAACATGCAGTGCACGACACGAGTGTTGGCTAACGGAACAAAACACGAGTGCGAACGGCTGGGCAGGAAACACACGAGCGAAAATGGCAAACAGCGTCCTCTCTACGCCCCCGCAAAAAATGGAGGAAAAAAAATAATGCCTTTCATGCGAGTTTCCAAGTGAAATTTTTGCGATACACACATACACACACACATATACACACACACATATACACACACACATATACACACACAAGCTACACACACCCAAAACGGCTCCACACGCACACAGTCAAACACACAGTAGAGTATACATACATGCAAAAATAAACACCATACACACCACCCAAAACAACCACCCACACACACACACACACACACACACACACATACATGTAGACAGAGCGCAAGCGAGCGAGGGAGAACGAGAGCGAGAGAGAAAGTGAGAGCGGAATGGGCACTAACGCAAAATTTTGCACGCCACATCCTTCGCAGGGCCCAGTGGAAAACTGTTATGCCCCCCCTCCTTCACAATTTTGCAGGAGTTTCTGCCTGAGAAAAAGAGCGCAGTGCAAGTGTATGCGTGTATATGTATATATGCGTGTGTATGTGTATTTGTATATGTGTGCCCCGTGTCCCATAAATTGTGAAACTCTGCTGTGGCCATGGACCATATTACAGTTATTGTATAAAGAGAACAGCAGTTGAAATTGATTTTGCTTGAGAAAAAAATATCACAATTTTCCCTTCAAGCCCGCATTTAATGCGTATGTGTGTATTTGACTACATTGTATTTCGTTTGTAAATGCTGCGAATGAGGAAAAATAAATATATAAATTTTCACTTAGCTGCCCTCTTTAGCATAGGAAGGATTTGCTCTATGCTCTATGCGTGTGTGTGTATTAAGTTTTTTTCAGTTTTCACTATGTCCTTTTACCTTTGGCATTTCCAATGAACGCAAGCACTGCCAAAAAATACATGTTGCTAGCGTCAATATGCACTTTTAACTGCACTGTTAACTACTATTTGTTGCTAGTCACACAGGATTTATTTGATATTTTCAACGGTTTTTAACGAACGTCCGAGCAATACCAACTAGTGCTAAAATTTATCTGTGTTACCGTCCTTGTAGCAACACGAAAATACTCAAACTCAATTTTCAAATTGCGTAAAATCCTGAAAATACCAAGTTTGACGCAAGCAGTACAGGAAATAACGTAAGGCAGTATGACATTAACGTAAGCCAAGGATATGACGTGAAGACGGAAAGTGTTTACGTATGCGAAGGCGCGGAATATTTACATGATCTATTAAAATTTAGCGTATTTATTGGGTAGATACTATCAGTAAGCATAAAATAACTATTTATGTATTATACTTAAGCTGACACCGAATCTTAAAGGATGTTGGGCTTAGAGCTTACGCTGATAAAGTTGCTCGACTTTTTAAAAGATTCCTGTTCCTTAGCTATGTTTGTTAATAGCCAAATTAACAAGAAATTAAAGAAAACTAAAGAAGTCAGCCAACAACTTTAATGTTAATTTCCCTATTGTGTGTAGAATTGTATCTACTATTGATGTTTGCTCCCTCGTAAGTAAAGTGCTTGAGGTCAAATTATTTAGTGTTTGATTATTTAGTAGTTGAATGATGTATTTATAAGTACGTAGCTGTCATATAAAATCAACCACATTGCAAAAATTTAAAATATCAAAATCTCATAATTGAAATTAATGCTAAGCGTGTTGTGTGCATTAATTTTGCAAAACGCTTGAAGCATGCAACGTCCACCAAAAACAGAAACAACAACAACAATAACATTAGCTTAATCGCAATGTCAAGTTCACAGTGTTAAACCATTGCTACAATGCTACAAATAAGAAGACTATGCCAAAATGATCGACTACAATATGTCCTTTGTACCAAAATATTTAATACATTTGTATAGAGACAATAGCACATCATTTCACCAGGAAAACAAAGTTAAATAATATAAATAAACAAACAGTGCATGCCAAATATTAGGAGATAAATCGGACTCAAAGCACACAAGGCCGATATTGATAATCGACTGAGATTATGGCATTTTATCTTATTTTGAGCTCGATTTGAATAGCCAGAATTGCTAAGTATTTTATAGATATAATATTTGCAGACTTAAAAAGATAGAACGAATCGTATTTAAAGGAAAATCTTGGTGTTGAATTCCTGATGCTGAATTAAAACAAAAATTTAATTAATTTATTAAAATAAGAAAATATATTTAAAAATATTAAACTTTATTTTGTCTAAAATTGCTTTTATAAGAATCGCTAAGAATAAATATATGTGCTTTACAGGGTCACAATTTTTACAAGGCTACCCTTTTTTTTTATATAGGGTATAATTAGCTCGTGCGCTGTCAACAACACGCATAGAAAATGTTGCTAAATAATTGAAGTCTCGGTGAGTGCTGCGATTACCAAGCATTTAAATCAAATGCATGTAATTTGATACTTTCCTTCCGAAAAACATTTACATGCACTTCACTAGTGGAGCAACTCACTCGAGCACCGGACGTGCAACACCGGAACTTATATTAAAGAAATGCCGTCGAAATTGGAGAATGCGACTGCGTCGCAGGTGATGGCCCTAAAGGGTGTGGTACGAAATAGCAGCTATGTGATTCCGGGTCTATATGATCTGTCGATTGAGGACACCAATTGGGTGCTCACCTCGTCCTTTATCATCTTCACAATGCAAACGGGATTCGGCATGTTAGAATCGGGTTGTGTTTCCATCAAGAACGAGGTGAACATCATGATGAAGAACGTTATTGATATTGTGCTTGGTGGTTTCACTTATTGGCTCTTTGGCTACGGCATGAGCTTTGGACGTGGACCCCTCTCCAATCCATTCATGGCCATTGGCGACTTTCTTCTCGATCCGCCCGTTGGCGATGAGCTCATGGGACAAATATTTGCAGCCTTCCTCTTTCAATTGTCCTTCGCGACAACAGCAACAACCATTGTCAGCGGCGCCATGGCCGAACGGTAAGCTCAGAATAAACATCTTAAATAATACTACATAAACAGAAAATAATTACATTTCTTTCGACACAAAAGTCCAGATCGAAAAAAATGAATACAGGTTTTACTAATATAATATTTAAAACATTCTATTCTCTTTTATACTCTTTTCACAGCTGCAATTTCAAAGCCTACTGTTTGTTCTCATTTCTGAATACGGTGGTCTATTGCATACCCGCTGGCTGGGTATGGGGTGAGCACGGTTTTCTTAATAATCTGGGCGCCGTGGATATTGCAGGCAGTGGTCCAGTGCATTTGATAGGCGGCGCCGCATCCTTTGCCTCGGCTGCCATACTTGGTCCGCGCTTGGGTCGCTATGCCGAGGGCTATGATCCCTTGCCACTGGGAAATCCGGTGAACGCGTGCATGGGTCTCTTTGTGCTCTGGTGGGGCTGGCTGGCCTTTAACTCCGGCAGCACCTACGGCGTCAGCGGTGCCAAGTGGCAATATGCAGCTCGTGCCGCTGTGATGACAATGATGGGCTCCTTTGGCGGCGGTTTTGTTAGCTCCCTGTAAGTAGACAGATTAATATTGTAAAACAAACGTTTTTATTCCATCTCCTGTTTATCATTTCCATTTGCAGTTACTCGTTTTGGCGCCACGATGGTCGCTTGGACATCATGGATCTGATTAATGGAGTTTTGGGCTCATTGGTCTCAATTACCGCAGGCTGTTTTCTATATCGGGCCTGGGAGGCGCTGATCATTGGAGCATTGGGTTCGTTGCTGTGCGTGTTGGCGATGCCGCTGTTTGATCGCATGGGTGTGGATGATCCGGTGGGTGCCAGTGCTGTGCATGGTGTGTGTGGGATTTGGGGTGTCATTGCCGTTGGCCTGTTCGCCGACAATCCTGTGCCGATGGACACGACCAAGGGACGCAGTGGATTGTTTAAGGGCGGCGGCTGGTATCTGTTGGGCATACAAACGCTATCTGCCTTCTGCTTGGCCTGCTGGGGCATCTGTTCGACGTTCCTACTGCTCTATGTGATCAATAAGATAGTACCCATACGCATGGATCCACACGAGGAGTTGCTGGGCGCTGATCTTACAGAGCATCGCATCCGGCACACGCAAATCGGATTATCGCGTGCTATTTCCGCACTGGCGCCTATTAAGATCGATCTGAATGAGATTGTCGGGGTTCAGCCCATTGGCATTAATCCGGGTCACGAGCGCAGCATTCAGCAGCTGCGCGCAGCGGATGATAAGCTGCAGCAGTGGCAATTCTACCTCGATCAAGTCAGTGGTACCGGCAAGAGACTGGGAACACCCAAGAAAACGCTGGAGCAGCAGCAGCTGGAATCGGATATAGCGATCAACATGAAGACAAAAACCGGCGCCAAAGAGCGAAGCGTTTTCAGCCGCAAATCGGTTCACATCCAAGACGACAACTGGATCCAGGCTCAGGGCTCCTACAAACCCAATAACAGTGAGCTGCCCTTCAATAACCATGTAACCAAGCTGGACAAGGATGGCAATTTCGCTTGGGTTGATTAAAAGGCCACGTCGAATCTAACGAATTTTTTTTTTTAATTAAATATAAATCTATTGATGGAAGGGATCCATTTTTAGAAGCCTGTAAAAACAAGTGAACTTCGTGCAACCATTTATTGCCCGTGCCCCAAATTTGGAGCCAAAAAACAAACTAACGCAAATCTAATTTAATTAATATTCTCAGAAGTCTATAAATAAAATTAAAACATAAAAAATAAATTTGCATTTCTCAAATTGATGTAGTTTATTCAAGTTAAGCAATATTGTTTGGATGATCGATCGATGTATGATGATAATAATATAATATATATGTATTATCTTAATTTAAGAGCAGTGTTTTGGTTTTTTCTTCTTTTTTTTTAGGAATTTTATGTTGCAGTTGTATTATTATAATATAACTTTCAAGAGCAGTTGTCAGTTGTTCTTGGTGGTTGTTGTGTGTTTCCTAATTTAGAATCCAAGTTAAATACGTGTGTAAAGTGTAGATTGATGTATAATTGGTTTATTGTGTGGTTGTGGATAGTGTGGGTGAGTTGATTAATCGACCTCCTCGATGGTGGGGCCAGCGCCGCCGGCACCAGCAGCGCCAGGAGCACCACCTGCGCCAGGCATACCGCCAGGCATGCCACCGGGCATGCCACCAGGAGCACCACCAGCACTCTGGTAGAGCTTGGTGATGATTGGATTGCATACGCCCTCCAGCTCCTTCTGGCGGTGCTCGTATTCCTCCTTATCGGCCAGCTGATTGGCATCCAGCCACTTGATCGTCTCGTTGCATTTGTCCATGATAGTGGTGCGGTCCGAATCGGCAATCTTGCTCTTCAGGTTCTCCTCATCGAGGGTGGCCTTCATGTTGAAGCAGTAAGACTCCAGGCCGTTCTTGGCAGAGATCGTCTCCTTCTGCTTGTCATCCTCGTTGCGGTACTTCTCGGCCTCGTTGACCATGCGCTCAATGTCCTCCTTGGAGAGACGACCCTTGTCATTGGTGATTGTGATCTTATTCTCCTTGTTGGTCGAACGTTCCAGGGCAGTCACATTCAGGATACCGTTAGCATCAATGTCGAAGGTCACCTCAATCTGGGGGACGCCACGGGGTGCGGGTGGGATGCCCGACAGCTCGAATTTGCCCAACAGATTGTTGTCCTTGGTCATGGCGCGCTCACCCTCGTACACCTGAATCAACACACCGGGCTGATTGTCCGAGTAGGTGGTGAAGGTCTGCGTCTGCTTCGTGGGAATGGTGGTGTTGCGCTTGATGAGCACGCTCATCACGCCACCAGCGGTCTCAATGCCCAACGACAATGGGGTAACATCGAGCAGCAAGAGATCCTGCACCTCCTGCGACTTGTCGCCGTGCAAGATGGCAGCCTGGACGGCAGCACCGTAAGCAACAGCCTCATCGGGATTGATAGACTTGTTCAGCTCCTTGCCATTGAACAGATCCTGCAGCAGGCGCTGCACCTTGGGAATACGCGTGGAGCCACCGACCAACACAATATCGTGAATGGCCGACTTGTCCAGCTTGGCATCGCGCAGAGCCTTCTCCACGGGGTCCATGGTGCTGCGGAACAGATCAGCGTTCAGCTCCTCGAAACGGGCACGAGTGATTGAGGTATAGAAATCGGTGCCCTCGAACAGCGAGTCAATCTCAATGCTCGCCTGGGTGGAGGAAGAAAGTGTGCGCTTTGCACGCTCGCAAGCGGTGCGCAGACGGCGCAGAGCACGCTTGTTGGAGGTCAGATCCTTCTTGTGCTTGCGCTTGAACTCCTGCACAAAGTGAGTGACTAGACGATTGTCAAAGTCCTCACCACCCAAATGGGTGTCACCGGCCGTAGATTTGACCTCGAAGATGCCGTCATCAATCGACAGAATGGAAACATCAAAAGTACCACCGCCCAAATCGAAAATCAACACATTACGCTCTCCCACCGCCTTCTTGTCGAGGCCATAGGCAATGGCAGCGGCAGTTGGCTCGTTGATAATACGCAATACATTCAGGCCGGCAATGGTGCCAGCATCCTTGGTCGCTTGACGCTGTGAGTCGTTGAAGTAGGCTGGCACAGTGATCACGGCATTGGTCACCGTCTTGCCCAGATACGCCTCGGCGGTCTCCTTCATTTTGGTCAACACCATGGAGGAGATCTCCTCGGGGAAGAAGGTCTTCTTCTCGTCCTTGTACGTAACCTCAATCTTGGGCTTGCCATCAACGCTGACAACTTCGAAGGGCCAGTGCTTCATATCGGACTGCACGGCCGAATCCTCGAACTTGCGACCAATCAGACGCTTAGCATCGAAGATCGTTTGAGTTGGGTTCATGGCCACCTGATTTTTGGCGGCATCACCGATCAAACGCTCCGTATCCGTGAAGGCAACATACGATGGTGTCGTACGATTACCCTGGTCGTTGGCAATGATTTCAACCTTGCCATGCTGGAACACACCCACGCAGGAGTAGGTTGTGCCCAAATCAATACCGACAGCTGGTGCTTTAGACATCTGCAATAAATCAAATGGGTCAATTATTATTAGTATATTTAGAGATTATTTTTAAACTAAAATTATTTTGAATGTCAACGAAATGTTTTTTCCAGTGAAAACAAAAGCTCTATATATTGAAAGCGGAAAATAAATCATTTGACTGAATAATCAAAGACTGCAGAAATTTAAAATTCCACCCATAAATAGACTGTGCAATCAATCTTATTGAATAATAAAAATAGCAATTGAAAAGCACAAGTGGAACCCATAAGCACACAAAATATCTATACATCTATTACGAAGGCTGAGGTTGCAACCCTGGTCACTAACGTTGGAGAATAACAAAAGGCAGTAAAAGTGATTTTCGCCTTCTAGAAATTTCCATTAATTTCTCATGCAACCAAAACTGGTTAGTGCTAATGTCAGCGTAGCACCGAAAACGGTGAAACAAACATATGACTAATTGTTATATAGCCGAGCCAAGCCACGTAAAGTACGAACATTGTGCTTTGTACGTTTGTAAGCACATACAGCTCAAACAAGATTATTTCAGAGATAACAATGGAGTTTTATTTTAGCGGCATCAGCAGCAGCAGCTGCTGATTTTCATCCACCGCATGGGACACAATGGCGAAAATTCTGGAATGCTTGAAACCACAAAAACGTGCACACACACACATAAATGTATGTGTATCATCTCATGAACGGAAAAAACGCCGTTGCCAGACCGATGGTCTACCATATTTCATATTGTGCACGAAAGAGACGACTCTATATACAAAACACGCGCGCGTCAATTCCATACACATGTATAAGTTGAGTTTTGTGTATTTTATTCCAACAGCGCGTGCACGCACACATTGAAAAGCCGGTTAGCAACGCCTGTTTAAATATAGCAAAATTAGCAAACTATATAAGAAAATTGTTTGGTTATACAATGTATTTTTAAAATACAACAAATGTTTGGGAAACTATTAATATGAATTCATACGTCAGCAATCAATCGTCATTATGACTCATGATATGAGTAGGCAAACGATTACTGGAATACGCATACGCGTGTGTGTGTGTGTGATGCGGCAAATTTTTTTTTTAATGGAATATTCCAGACCACTGTTGAAAAAAAAAAGAAGCTAATTACGCTGAAAACACGCACGTATATACATGTGTATGACTTTGATTATCTATTAAAAGAAACTAATGCAATGCTAATGTTAAATGACGCAATACATATGACACATGTAAATGCACACATACATACACATTCAAAGTACGCACGTACACCATCAGCTACAACTCTAAAGTTCAAGTATTGAGGTCATAAAATTTCCATACGGTAGAAATTTCAAAAGATGTTGCAAACAAAAATCCGATATTAATTGCAGCTAAGAATGCAATCAACGCGTAATTATTGATTAGAGGCGTAAATCAGAACATGTGAGCCAATGGAAATATTTCATTTCTTTTCTAGGCCAGCGCACGCGGTGATGAACACTGAGCACGTGCCACAACATGCAGCAAACGGAAAGTGTAAATGCAATTTTAAAATAATTTGAAGTAAAACTTACCTTTGTGTATTATTTGATTAGAATGTACTAAATATATGGGATAACCGTTTAATTGCTACTTCACTTCTTTGTTCCACTTAAATTTATTTCTGCCGAGTCGACACTCAGACGTTCGATCAAACTGGCACTTGTAATACGAATAATGATGGCGTACGATGGTACCTTTACTTATAAGCGCGTTGGTCTGCTCTGGAAAATTCTAATATTCCTAAATTCTCGATGTGGCAAGGCTGTCAAATAAAGCGGGTTGCTTTACTATCGCTCGATACTTATCGAAAATAATCGTGTGCTGTAGCCCTGTGACTGAAATGGCATTGCCATACTGTAAATAAACGCGCCAAATTTGAAAGCGTTTTGTATCATGATAATTATCGGCCATAAAATAGTAGGGTTTTCAGACCCCACATCGTCGAACGTCAAGTGGCAAATAACACGCGTTATCAGCAATGTCCACAACTGATATTGGCAAAATTAGGATGGAAATTGTTTTTATTATAGGTGTATTTGCACTTTGTCAACAGATTAGCAGTTAGCTGTGTATATATTTGTTATATAAATACGCTTACAGTGCCACTTATTAAAACGATACACAAATCTGATTGCGTCAGGCTGGGCATTAATAGCCGTTGATACCAGATACTTTTGAATATATATTTTTTTGGATTTATTTATATATTATCATATATGTCACTTATGTACGAGTTTCGAGTTTACAATCTGGTTCCACACCCTCAAAAATGGGCGGGCTTTCAGGTCCCTCACCACCCTCGCCACCACCTCCAGTAATTGCATTAATAATATCCGATATTTTGCTATTGATAATCTGCGAAACAAAGGAAAAATTATTATAAAAAAATTTTCAAGTTGCAGTATATGTGGTTAACATACATCTTCGACCTTCTCGACAACTGAATCGTGTCCAAAGTCCCAAATATCACCAAGTAATTCTACACCCATTTCATTAATCAGCGCATGTATAAAATCATTAATCCGCTCCTCCTCCATCAAATTCTCCAAATCCATTTTCAAATCACCCAAATGCAGTTCGATTTGCAATCCTGTAATTGCTATATTAATCGATGCTTTTATCCTCCATGAGATGAGAAGCGAAAAATCCGTAACTGATGCTCTGAAAGTGGCATTGATTATGAATATCTGGAAATACATTTAAAGTGCAGTCACTTACTCCGCATTGCCCTCACCGGCCATATTCACAATATAAGCCAGGGAGCCCTTGGCAGTGTATAAGGATTTCAAATAGGTGTATGGAAGGGTGACCTTCACAGTACTACGTTGTAAACCAGGAACTATATTTATTTTCAGCGTGTCTACAACGAAATCGGAAAGTCCCTTCAAGTGAAAGTCGTCTATTGATCCGGTAAAACTATTGAACGACGCATTAAATTATAAATCATAAATGTGGTAGTCAAGCGGCATTACAATTCGACTTACTCGATAAGGTATTTGTTGTCCACAGCTACATTTTCAGGACCTAGCTCGAATGGATCCAATGCGGGTAAGCCTAAGTTTGGTATTGGATGGCACATACGCATACGAAACTCCTCGAGAAACTTAAGAATCTTATCCTCATAGATGCACACAACTGGCGATAGGCAGCTGTAAATTGTGGCCGTGGCCAGTAGTATTTTTAAGAGGTTGCCTGTATGCATATTAGCTCTAATCCAAGGATCTGTTTGCCTGAACCCAAAGCACGCGACTGAAGTGCCTATGCAGAATTGTTGTGTTTTTGTCAAGTGCGCCCCATTTCCAGTGCCCCATTATGAATGCCAAGATATGACCACAAGCAATTCATAATATACCCTTGCCTATAATACTATTATATGCTTGAAAAGGTATTTGAATTGTTTGCGAAGTTTGCAACTCATTAAAGGCACCTCAAAAAACTGATTATGTCAGCTAATCAGATAAAAACGCATTATCTTAACAGATATATTTAGCTATATTATAATACAAACCTTAACAATGACGGATGACTTAATTGTAAGGTGCTAAATATCAGGAAGGGTATTTAATTTTCGACCGCTCAACTTTAGTTATCGCAGTCAATAAAAATTTAAACGTTATCAATGGGCTACTATTTTCGATTAACAAATCGCATTTTATTTGTTTTCGACCATTTAAGAGTTATCATGTCGCTAATACGCTTCAATGGTCGCTTGCAACACTTACGAGCTATTAAATTTCGTATCTAATCTAAAGCTAAACTTGTTCTGGAGGCTGCTGCAAGTGTTCAGGCAACTGCTGCAGTTCCGTCTTGGATGCCTGCAACGCAACGCCCTCAGGCAAATTCCGTTCGATATACTCGAGAAATGTGTCCAACGTTGAGCCGGTCAACTTGTGGAAGTTCATGTAGCGAAAATGTGTACGTATCTCATATTGCACTCGATGCTTCTTGTAAATGTGCACCGATTTCAGCAGAGTCATTCTTTCATGATGCGCCTTGCGGGGAGACCAACTGGAGGAGTAAAGAGTAAATATGTATATATATATAAATATATATAAGTCAGCATTTACCACTTGCCCAGCTCAATGCCCAAGTGCTCGGCGGCGGTTGTCGCAAACCAGGTGTAGCTCTTTAGAACCGCCGGATCAACGCCTCGCAGCTCAATTTCCAATTTGCTGTATAGCTGATCGGGTTCAGCTGGTTGGATCGGAGACGTTGCTGCTGTGGAGTTGTTGCTCAGGGCGGAGCAAAAGCGAACGGGCTGCGTCAAACGCAATCTTTTCATTACCTGTAATAGACGTTAATAAAAGTATATGGCATAAGTTTTCTTTAATGAGTATGGTAAAAATCAAATACGCACCTGAAACATTCTGTTAATGCAGCGCAAACAGAAACAGGGTTATGCAAGCGCAGGGCTGCAAAATTGTTATCATAATAATCGATAGTTTTGTTGAAATTGTCTGGTGTATGGAGACACTGTTTCTCAGCGCACGTGCAGGGAAATAAAGACATTTTTAAACTTTTTGTTGTATATTCATCAAGTTGTTGTTCTTGCATTTTTAAGCTGTAAACTGAATTTAATTTACTCAATATGGAAAATACAGATCCCAAAGGTAAGTGAGTAGCAGATAAAAAGTCAAACGCGCGCTGACAACCATTACCCATCCACAGCGAATGATTATACTGAGCTGAGCTCTGATGATGAAGCATACAATGACATCGAGGATGATGATGAAGAGATCGGCGAGGATGATGGCGAGCAAACAACTTGCTTGTTTTGCACCCAGGTTGCAAAAAGTATCGATGTGGCCATAGATCATTTAAATAGCCAACACAATGTGAACTTGTCGCAGCTGAAGCAGAAATTTCAAATGGACCAATATGCATTTATTAAACTAATAAATTACATACGAATAGGGACGATTAGTGCAGAGCAATTACTATTAACAGAACAGCCCCAGTGGAATGATGAGAAATACCTGAAGCCTTTGGCGTACGAGCCATGGCTGTGCTATGACTACGAATCCCTCAAGACTGACGGGCCAGAAGAGGCAGCGGTGGGCACACAAGAACTGATGCAACGCCTTGCGGAGCAAGGTAAACTACTGCAGCAGGCCAGCGAGGATATGGAACGGATGCGTAACGACTACAAGGCACTCCTGCAGAAGGTGCACAGCGATACCGACATTGGCGATAAGGATGATATGCCTGGCGTTGTGCGCAACTCTAAAACCTTTGATAAGGAATACTTTAATAGCTACTCCCACTTTGGCATCCATCTTGAAATGCTTAGCGATAAGGTAGGTGAAAGGTGGAATTGTAAATATCCATCATATATATAACGCATTTCGCATAGGTGCGCACCAGTAGCTATCGAGAAGCTCTAATGCAAAACGAGAAGTTCTTGCGTGGCAAAACCGTTCTGGATGTGGGCTGTGGCACAGGCATACTCTCAATATTTGCATCACAAGCGGGCGCCGAGAGCGTCGTAGGCATTGACAACTCTAAAATTGTATACACAGCCATGGACATCGTTAGGTGAGCGAATTTAATTTGTATTTAATTACTTCATTATTTGCCATTTAAATTTGCTGCTTATTATTTAATATCACAGAAAAAACCAGGTGCAAAATGTAAAGTTAATAAAGGGACGCTTGGAGGACACGGAACTGCCCGAGCCCAAGTACGACATCATCATATCCGAGTGGATGGGCTACTTTCTGCTGTACGAGGCAATGCTGGACTCCATTATCTATGCACGCGATCATCATCTGAAGCCCAATGGCAAAATTCTGCCCAATCGCTGCACGCTGCATCTGCTGGGCATAAATGAGGAGTTGCATGGGCAACATGTGGAATTCTGGTCGGATGTCTACGGGGTTAATATGAGTGATTTGCGCAAACGAAGCATTGAGGAGCCGCTAATGCAGGTGGTCAATTCCGACAACATCCTCACAGAGACTGAGCTCATTGCCGACTTTGACATGATGACAGTGGACTTGAACTATTCCAATTTTCAGCATGAGTTCAATTTGAAGTGCACGGAGACGGGCAAACTGGGTGCCTTTGCGGGCTATTTTGATACGTTCTTCGACCTTGACAGACCGGTCATGTTCAGCACTTCACCCACTGCGACGCCCACGCACTGGAAGCAAACCGTATTCTTCATTGACCAGCCGCAAGATGTGCAGAAGGGCCAGGTGATCAGTGGTAAGATCAGGTCGCGGCGGCATCAAGGCGATGTGCGAGCCTTGTGTGTAGATATCGAAGTTTTTGGCAGACATTACAAATATACAGTGGATTGATTTGTTGGTCTTCAGATCGTTTTAATGCAAGATTTTTGTTGTAAACTGAATCTGAACTTAATTAATTTTAAAATAATGTATATATATAAATTAAAATGAGTGCACGCAGCCAGATAAGCCGGCTTTGTGTTGTTTCCAAAAACAATTTCACACATATGTTTTCTTTTATATTATAGAGGGGAGAGGAGGATGGGGGATTGGGAGAGGAAACATATGCCAAAGACTTGAATGGATATTGCTTTAAGCAGTGTGGGTTTCCAGATCCGAGGCGGGTATCTCGGGCTCCTCATCGTTGTACACATTCTCGGCCATTTGCCAGACTTGCATGATATTGTCCTCGGACACGGAGCAGATGATCCATGGTTCATTTGGATTCCACGAGAAGTCGCTAATTTTGGCAGTATGGCCACCGTGGATGAACAGCAGCTCGGGTGGACCATCCTCAGCATCTTCGGAACTCTGCTCCTCGCCAATTTTGGATAAGTCCCAAACGTGTAGGCGACGATCGGTGCCCGAGGAGGCGAGAATCGTTTCGTTATGGGGCGACCATTGCACCTGAAAGATCTCATCCTTGTGCGACTCAAAGGAATGTAGTTTCAGCTTGAGATTGCGCAAATCCCACAAGGCGACAGTTTTGTCCGCCGAGCCCGTGGCCAATATGAACTCCGAATAGGGATTAAAGCTCAAACAATTCACCTCGGCTGTATGCGCATCGACGGTGTGCGATGGCTTCGAGGTGTTGTTGTTGCGCGTATCCCAAATCATGAGCTTCTGATCATCAGCCACCGAACCGAACAGCGATTCATGCAGCAAATGCCAAGCAACATCCTCAACGACGGCCGTGTGGCCGGTGAATATATTCTTGGCATCAATAACGCGATGCTCCTTGGGCGTGGCATTGATATCCCACAAACAGATGGTGTGATCGTCAGAGGCCGAGAGCAAGTAACCTGGAAGAGCATAATCATAAGAATTTTAAATTCTTCTCTTTTTAACTCAATCAATCTCTGATAAACCTTGGAATCGGCAATACAGGTATCGGTTTCAATCGGATTACTATACCATTTAGCCTAACAAGTCTTGTGCTTACCGTTCAAATTGGGATTCCATGAGAGACCGTAGCCCTCCTTTTGGTGACCACGCAAACGTAAGTCCGGCTGGCATTCACCGGATGGTTCCGGTTTGCTGGGATGCTTTGTGTAATCAAAAACGAGAACATCACTCGAAGGAGTTTTGGTGGCAATAACGCACGCATTTTGCGGCATGTAGCGGGCACGGTTCACCTCGCCCTCGTGATTGATTTTGATTTCAATTTCGATTTTCCCGCACACGGAGCCAAAGCCGCCAAATTCACCCTTCTCATTGTCATAGTGGGAGCTATCAAATTGTGCATCTTCGCTGGGCAACTGGACACTGGCAATGAGCAGATGATTCTGTTCATCCGAGGTGTGTGTGCCCAATATTAATCGATGCACGGAGTAATCTTTGCCATCCTGCTTGGTGACATCGGGCAGCCATTGGGCTGTCAGCGAGGGCCACTCCAGTGCGTGCGTCATCACCAGATCGTACAGAAAAGGAGTGTTCTTCTTCCATATCTTGTACTCCTCGTTGATCACACGCTCTTCGACGGCATCGTCAAAGGATTCCGCTGCTTAGAGGAAAACAAATATGTTAGAAGTAAGCAGTGGAGAGATATAGTATATTAATAATTGACATTTACCATTGTCGCTACGATCTACCATTTTCAAGCACACAACTAAATTATATTTTCACGCAAATTATTTTGCGCGTCGCAAATTCGGGCGCCAAAACAACAAATCGGCGGCGGCGGCGGCAAAAGCGTGTGCGGTGTCGGCAAAAGTTCACACGCTTCGCGGCTGTTTAAACAAGCACTCTCGTCGAAAATATTATACTTAAAAACACACTTAAAATTGTGACAAGTCAGTTGTGTGTATTCTAACACGTGTAATAAATTTACTTCTTGCACAAAGTGAGAAAAATATTTTCTCTTTCTTTTCCTTTTTGCAAGCGCGTCGGCTAGATGCGACAGAGATGTGTGGATATCTCATCGATAGCAATGTATGAAAATCGACAAGTGGCGTCAATCGATTATTGAGCTAGATTGAATCCATTGTAATCGAAACTTTGCGTTGTTTCAGAATGAAAATAGAATTGAGTACAATATTTGCCCGATTTGAAAAACAAAATATTATCGCTTTCAAAGGAAAAAGCAAAGGCTTATGTATAGAATCTAATTCTTTTCAATTATAAATTTTATTCCCATATTAAATATTAAAAATAGAACTTATTTAGTTGCTTAAATATCTCTGGCTCACTTTGTATTAAGAACAACAGAAATTCATATTTTTTTATTGATGCCATCCCTGGTCAACGGTACTTCGATAACGATAAATAACATTGCAGCAGAAGTGCATATTAAAACAGACTTAATACAGATGACAACTCTTAGCCAATAAACAAGTATAAATTAAAGCTTATAGCAAAAAATTTAAACAATTGGCGCGCAACTCTGTAGCTTCACTCATCGGCTATAATTAAAGTCAAAGCCCTTCGGATCAGTGGGTGGTTGAAGGTGTTTTGAAGTGCACAGCTAGCAGTGTAACTTGAGGCAGCTTAGTGAGAACATCTATTGTTCGAGTGCGCGGCGGATAAATTGCTAAACCTGCCTATGCAAATACAATTTCGCGAATGTGCTAATATTTGTCAATTAGTTTGTTTAGTCAACTCGTAAGCGGAACAAGCAACGTTTTTGTGCAATAAAACATTCCAGCGGCGGTGAGTGCATGTAACAAGAGAACCACCGAGAAACTTTCTCTTCTTGTTGTTGTAACTTGTTGTGATTGTTTGTTTTTTTACTTTCTTTTTGACATCTGCGTATGGAAAGATGCACGTAGACCGAAGCAACGGTTTAGCGGAGGCGAATAACGAGCGGGCCGAAAGCTATTTAGACCGTCTTCTGACCAATGGTAGCCAGGAGGGCGACAGCGGGGCAGAGCTGGAGCTGCCGTCATGGTACAATGAACAGTTATTCAAGCGGTAGGTGCTATAATTGAAGAATATTATCAGCTTATGATAGAGATGGGCGCGTTGCTGATTTTGTTTTTAATGTTCTGTTTGGAGTTCGATTAATTGAATTTGTTAATTATTGAATATTAACTTATTTTTTTATTTCATTCACTACTTAACAACTTGTATCTCTTTTGTTTTACATCTGTTCAGCGGACAAGGATATTTTCGAAAATATCGCTTTGTGATGACGTCTGGAATGTTGGCTGGATTGATTGCCGTGCTTGCCATACCCTCGATACTGCGCGTGCTCATTTGCACGCGTCAATCTTCGAATACGCTGAGTGCCTATCGTCGCTATTTGCGCACCATCTTTCACGCCCAAGCCTGGTATTTTAATTCGATAGATGATCCGAATGGTAAATTCTGGACAAGCATTGCGTCTGTGAGGCAGGCACACTCGAGGTCCAGTCGCGCCTGTCAGCGACTTGCTGCCGGGCGGATAACGCAAAAGGATCTGGCGTTGACACAGTTCGGATTCATTGGCTTTATAACGCTGGGTGCACATCGAATCCACCTGAAGGATGATGACTTCCTGGAGGCCACAACGCATATGTGGCGTGTGCTGGGCCATTTGTTGGGCATTAAAGATGAGTACAATATCTGTGGCCGCAATTGGGCAGAGTCCAAAGAGCGTTTGGCAATTGTTATGAGAAAAGTTTATAGGCCGGCACTGGAGCAGACCAATGATGACTTCCATCGTATGACAGAAGCACTGATTCATGGACTTTGGCATGTCAATACGATGCTATCGGTGCAAGCGAATATTTTCTTCACCAAGCGCCTGGCTTATGTCAAGGGCTACGAGTATTACAGCTTTGACTATTTGGATGGGGAGCAGCCAGATCCACAGCAAAGGCAATACTATTATGACATGAACTTGTGGGATCGTTTCATTGTTAGCTATGGTCTATTTTTGGTGACATATATGCACAAATATGCCGTTATTCGATGGTATTTCAATTTTAGAATTTGGCTTATGGACTTTTTTATGTATTATTTGCCAATCGCAGCCATTTTGAGGTTTGGAGTTAAATCGGCTTATGTGCGCATCTTTCGGTCAGGAGGTCGGGCACAAGAGCTGGTACTCAATCTCAAAGAAGAATAGATTAGTTAACTTGTTGGTTTTTTTAGTGATGGATGGACAATAATGTGTGGATGGGCGAATAAACGTGCAATATGTTTTTTCAAAATAACCGCCTTCTATCTTAGTATCAATTTTCAGCACTGTACACAGCTGTACAGATAAATATAATATGCCGGCAATGAGTTGTTATCGATAACGATAACAGTTAATGTTTTGTTGCTTGCGCGTTTTTTATGCCATTGGCAAATATATTAATTTGCAGCTGAAAATAAGAAAGTAATTGCAACAAATATGTTTTATCACGTAAGTAACAACTACGAATACGTTCTGGAACTTTTGCCTAACCAAATGTCACATAGATTTCCCTCGAACACGAAATTCTGCTGCATCCGCGCTATTTCGGTCCACAATTGCTGGAGACGGTGAAGCAGAAGCTCTACTCGGAGGTGGAGGGCACGTGTACTGGCAAATATGGTTTCGTGATAGCTGTCACAACGATAGATCTAATTGGCTCCGGTGTAATACAGCCGGGCCAGGGCTTTGTCGTATATCCAGTGAAATACAAGGCAATCGTCTTTCGGCCCTTCAAAGGTGAAGTGCTGGACGCTGTCGTAAAGCAGATAAATAAAGTTGGCATGTTTGCCGAAATTGGACCATTATCCTGCTTTATATCGCATCATGTATGTTAACTTTACAATAACTTTGCACAGCAAATTTACGCAAATCTTACAGTCCATTCCCGCTGATATGCAATTCTGTCCGAACGGAAATCCGCCTTGCTACAAATCCAAAGACGAGGATGTGGTCATCTCGGGTGAGGATAAAATACGCCTCAAGATTGTCGGCACACGTGTGGATGCCACCGGCATTGTAAGTGGTTAAAATATAAAATTTGTTTGTTTGGTTTATCATAGTATTCATATTTTCGCAGTTTGCTATAGGAACTTTGATGGATGATTATTTGGGACTGGTCTGTAATTAGTTTAACACAAACAAGAAGACAAGTCAACTTTATATACAATTTATATATATATATATATATTTTAAACTTTAATGAAATGCATTTTAGACCGTTAAATATCTAGGTATATATATATTATAAATACTTTATAAGATTTGATTTAAATTCAAAGGTACGTTACGTTTATAATTAAGTACAATTCTGTGTGTGTTCTTGTTGTGTGTGGGAGCTACAATTATGGATGGATATATTTTAATTCAATAGCAAAGTCTACATTTAAATGTATATGTATATGTATATATATGTATATCTGTGCGAATGGGGCTTAAGGTAGACTGCACTTAAGTTAAGCTTACAACAACACAAAGAGATATTTTACAAGCTAAATTGATATTCTTGCAGAGCCTAATTTAACAAAAAGCCGACTGAGGAATGAAGGAGAATTAGATAGTTTTCTCAATAAGCTAAGAAACAAACAAGTCTGCAAGAATATTTAAACTTCGACACGCCGAAGCTGTTCGATTCTTAGAGAAGATTGCACACGAAATGAAAGCATGAGATACTAACGCGCAGCTTTTGTTCAGATTGAATACTTAGGATTTAGATGGCGGATTAGGCAGCGAGCATGATTGTACACACATAAAGGAATCTATAAAAATTAATGTTTTAAAAGCCATCCCACAATAAGCTGACTCACAGGTCCCAGGAGAACAAATGATGCTTGACAAGCATGTCGCGCACACCATCCTTCAGTGGCTGCGACTCCTTGCCACGCTTGGGCGGCAACTCCCAGTCCGGATTCAGGTTAAAGGCAAACTGTGAGAGGATACGCAATTCGCATTTGATTTGCACCCAACCGGGTGAATCAATAAAGCTCCAGGTGTGATACCATTTCTGTACTACCTCCTGGCATGCGCAGAGCACCTCAAGCCACAGATGCAGCACCTGTTCATTGAGGCCCAGGCAAATGAGCGAGCGCAGCTTCACATCCATTTGGGCATGGGCATTGTCGTGGGTCTGATTGATTGCCTGGACGCAGCGATAGAGCAGCTCTTCGGGCGTCAATACCTTGCCGTCCTCATCCAGACGATAGGTTTTGCACAGAACCAGACGGCTGTACACCGATTTAAAGTCCTTTTCCACCTCCAGCGAGGAGACCTCCTCGATGAATAGCCACGGATGTATGGGCCCGCCCAGAAATGTGGGCCGTTTCATGCCATGCTCAAGGAATGCTTTAATCGCCGGCGCCAAGGTACCGCGCACGAGATCCGTGACCGTTTCCGAAATGGCATCATCTCCAGCGGAGGTATACAATTTGCTGCGCTCATCGAGCAGTTGGACAAACTTTGCGGGAAACCAGCCCCGCAAGCCATTCAACTCACCCACCCAGCAATGCTCATCCTTTTGGCTAATTATGGTTATGATATCGTTGCGCCGGAAGCCCAATTCATCGTCATCATGCCGCTCAAAGTCATGCAAAGCTTTGGCTCGCCGCTTCCGCGTGCGTGCCACATTGATGAAGTTCTCGTGATCCTTGGCATGCGATTCGGTGCTGTAGTTGGCCGTCAGCTGGATGTGGCCAGCCAGTTTCGGTTCGATGGTTATGAAGTGACGGCCTACCTTCAGTATGGCCTCGCGCAGATCGACCAGAATTTCGGTTTGCCGTATATTCTTGTTCTTTAGCTGCTCCGCTTCGGGATCGCTGCGAAACAGAATCGCCTCCAGTATGGATTTACTTTTGCGCACTTGCCGTCGCGACAGCTGCTGCTTGGGCAGATTGGCTGCTGCCTCCGGATTGCCAATCTGATGGCCCTGATCGGCCATCAAATAGGCCAGATGACGCCGTCGATGCGTATCGATAACGGTTTGACTTAACGAGCCGCCCACCTCTAGCGCCTGACGGAAAAGCACCTCAACGTCGTCTACTTCGCAGCACATGGATAGCGAATTGAATATCTGTGCAGAGTTTTCCAAGTGTTTGAGATCCGCTTCCTTGACCTTGAGCATGCCCAGCGTTAGCTGGAACAGCACAATGGAGCCCTCGTAGAAGAACCAGTCCCAGATGCGCACCAGTATTTTCATGTGCACCACATTTGCAAAGAGCGTGAGAAACCAGTGCAACGTTATCAGCGACAGATCGATGTCGTGACGCTTCAGCGACTCATCCACGCTGGCCAAATAATTGGCAATTAGGGTCTGCATCACCCGCTGGTCCGCCTGGATGCCTAGCAACGTTGAGCTATAGTATGAGGCCGGCAGAAGATCCTCTACAATGGTGACCATCATCCAGAATGCATTCTCCTCCTCCATGAACAGCAGCAGGCAGGCAACAATCACTCCGGTTCCCTGACAGTAGCCAATGTCGGGAAAGAGCCACGCAATGCCGCGCAGTATGCGACGCAGTCTCGGTATGCCCGTTCCATTTGGATGACTAAAGCACGCATTCGTCGGCAATATGCGCAACAGATCTTTTTCTATTTGCTTCGATGTCATTAATTGATCGTTGCTGGAAGCTGTCAAAAAACCAAAAATAAAAGCAATCTATAAATGCGCGAAGAAAACTAATGCACTAAAGAAAACTATAATTTTAAAATAAATCTAATATTCGTAATAATACGCGTACCTTTGACTATATCCTGATAGCTAGTCTCGCTTTTTTGCTTTTTGGACAGTGCACCAGAGAGACGCATCCACATTTGAGGTCGCAGACTGTGAGGTATGCCGTTTTGAACCATTTTGCGCAGCTTCTCGGTGCGCTGCAGTAGCAACTCCACATGCTCCCAGCTCAGTTCGTTGGCTTCCTTGTTGTGGGCAAACTCTAAGTGGGCGATCCACTGTAAGCGCTGCTGTGCATCCTCTATAAATGGTATGCTGAGCAATTTATTCGAACTTTGTTCGGGTCCATCCTCCTCCTCGACTCGAAAACCAAATTCATCAAAACGATAATCGGGCTGATCATTGGGATCTGCAACCGCCAGTTCCGATTCGCCTCCTAGCTTGGCCAGAATCTCCTGGGGCCACATTGAGGGTGTTAGCGCTGAGAAAGGTCCTCCAGGATTTGGACGCAAGCCGTCTGCAACACTTAATTCCTCCATCATTGGCGGCAGTTCACCAATATCGTCTTCGGAACCCAAGTTCTGTAATTTGCGCTGCTGGCAGCATGAAAAGTCAGCAATTTTAATTAGCTTGATAAGAAATCTGTCATCTCAATTAAATTTTTACCGTATGTTCTTCACGGCCCACGTAACCCTCATGGTCACGACCGAATATGCTACGTGCCATATCCATATTCGAAAATAGCTATTTGTGTGTGCACTTAATCAATTATTTAACTTAGCATATAGGTGTTTTTGATTGTTTTCCCCGTTTAACTAGATACGTTTTTTAATTCCACTGCATTGTTTCTAACAAATTTCTCAGCTTTCGCCCGCAGTCAGCTGTTCGACGAATTTATCGGTTATCGGTGTGGAGTTCACATCTCTTGCAGAGATATCAGCTGACAAATGACTCGCAATGGCTCTGTTATTTATTGCTGGACACTTGCTTGCTGTTAGCAGATGCTCAATTCAAATTAAAGTCCCATTCGCTATTTACTATTTTAAAACTAACTGCTATACTAATAACAATTCCAAGAAATATTATTAAAAATATAACACTAAAAATAGTATAGTTTTGCTACATTTATATGCATATTGGAGCAAAATAAACTCTGCTTATGCTGTTATTTTTGCGCGGTGGCCTTAACATTTAAGCAGACTGTAAAGTTTTTGTAGTCAAAATCATATGTCGCTCTTGCACCGATAACAGCTGATATTTTGTTGTGCATTGTACGTTGACTGATTTGCTTCGCACTCTCCCCAAAAAGCTATATCAAATGAAAATAAACCATTAAAAACTGACATAATGCAGATTAAGCCCATAATTACATGTAAGTAGTAATCTATATATATATATCTTCCCTTTTGTAAAGTACGCCTTTTTCCAGATTCTGGTTCTTTTCCACTATTTCGATCGCTGGAATCGCAAATTCTAAATGCGATTCCTTTGGACACTTGCGAATGGCGACGCACCTTTCAACGGCCAACAAAACATGTTCGCCTGGAGGCTCAAACGCAACAGTTTAGTGTGGAGCCACTGGAGCGATACAAACATGGCGACTGGAGCATTTTGGAACACCCTATATTGCATATATTTGTCACGGAATGCAATGTGAGTCTGTGTGTATGTGGTTTATGGTGCTGATTAGCTTAGCGCTTAGATTGCATAGCAATGTTTCCAATTTAATTAACCTACAATTGGATGCCTTTTAAAAAATAAATATTTGGTTTTTAGGACATTGACACGTACAAATCAACGATTCGAGAGGAAATCGATGCTTGGCTTAAGCTTCTGACCAGCTATGGCATCTCCGATTGGATGATTCTATTGGTGGAGACACTGGATATGCGCAAAACAAAGAATTTGCTGCCTCGTACCACAGTGTTGGATAAGATACGTTTGGATTTTGGAAGCAAAAACGATGATCGCTGTATTTCCGTATTGAATCCAGCGAAATTCGAGCAGAAATCAACGGAATCCTTTCGCTGTTTGGTGCAGCGCATACGTTTCCTGATGCTCACAAGCTTCAATCGGAATATAGCCAAATATGAGGAGCTAATACGCAGCAAGAGAGAGAAACGCAACCATGATGATTGGGATTTTCGTCAATACTTTTTTATGCAGGAAGATCTGGCGCTGATATTCGAAAAACTGGAATTGCCCACAGAGGCGCTAATCCAGTATGATGAATTGGATGCTATGTTCTCGCAGTTCATTACGCACACCGGCTTCAATGAGAAGCAACAGTGGTTGGCCTACTTTAAACTTCCACTCAGCGCTTTCCATGGCATCTGTCTGAGTCGCGTCGATAAGTTCGAGATGCGCCAGAAGATACGTCAGGAGGGCGTCTCCCTACTGGAATTTCGCAACTATTTATTCGAGCGGCAGGCCTATCTTCTGTTGACATCTAATGATATACCAGAGATCGCCAAGCGTTTGCTGGGTTTCTTGTTTTCTACCCTGCGTGAGGTGGAGTACATTAAGTTGGATTGCCAGGAGGGCGCTCTGTGCTGCTGGGAGTTTGTCTGCGCTCTGGAAGTGCTGCAGCTATGCGAACAGGCCATGGAACCCAACGAGGTGACCTGCTTCCAGCACTGTGCACCCATTTGGAATTTGGCCAAGGATAAGCTGTATGAGCTCGGAAAATTATGTGGCCTATTGCCGGGTTGCACGCCTAGTTCGGAGCAGCTGCACATTGTCGTCCAACTGTCCTCGGGCATTGGCGATGCGCCGCCACAGCAGCAGTTTCTACAGGCTATGCCTCAGCTGCGCGATCGTTCACCGAATAGAAAGCCCAAATTGTCAGCGGCGCAACAGTTGAAAGAGGCCCTCGGTTCGAATCAGACATTTCAGAAGCTCTATCTGGAGTTGGCAGAGCTGGCTATTAGCACCTACAAACACGTGGCGCGCTTACGCTCTGCGCGATTGGTTGGCCTCGATCTTGGCAAATTCTATTGCGCTTTGAATGAGCCACACAAGGCTGTGGGTTTCTTCACGGATCTGTTGCGCGAACTGAAGGCGGAGAACTGGCATACACTGAGTTCACAGACGTTGCTGGAGCTGGCCAATTGCTATCGGAAAATGGGTGATTCGCTGGCATACACCAAAACATGCAGCTCCATCTCCTGCTGTGCAGAGTTGGAGACACTTGTGCGCACTTTTTATTTTGATGAGTTCTTAAAGTCGTTGAAAACGTTGAAGACAACGCTGTCCGCACAGCCTTCCCTAGAGAATGCCAACTATTGTGTGCTCGAGGATCATTTTCGCATACTGGACATGGAGGTGCTCAATCCTAAGCCCATAATCCAAGATGATCATTTGCTGGTGCAGTTAAAGGTGGAGAGTTTGTATCCACGTGGTATTGTCGCCGAATGCATAAAACTCTGCTATGAACTCAATGTAGCCCCCGTACTGGAGACACCATTACAGGAAGCTGCTCTTTCGAATATACAGCACAAGGAGTGCGCATCTCGGCTGAAGATCACACTGCAGCTGTTCCACAAGCAGGATAACTCACTCAACTGTGCCTCTGTGGTCTGCGATACGCCCAAGACTAAGCAGCCGGTGCGACGGACTAGCAGCACCAAGCGCAAACTGTCGCCCAGCATGCAGGCGGATTTCACGAATATTGTGGTAGCCGAGAATATTAGCCTGCAGCCGGGCATTAATCTTATCGAGCTCAAGGCGAAGGCGACACGCGTCGGTCGCTGGCAGTTTAAGCAGCTATGCCTGAGCATGTCCAGCCTGGAGTTTCTATCGGAGCCGTTGTCTGCGAGTGTGCAGCCGCCTATCTTTGAGATATGCACCAAGCCGGCAAGCGCCTCACTTGAATTTAAAACACTCATCGCTGGCATTGTGCAGCCCATCAATTTGCATGTCGCCGGCGGCAGTTTCATCTTTCCCGCTGATGCAAAGATCACGTTGCGCTGTTCCAAAAATCTGCGCATACGTCAGACTCGGGAGCCAGATGCGTCTAATTGCAATAATGATGCCAGCTTTGAGAATGTCCTCCTTGTGCCGCTTTTGCATTTCAAGTCTTTCGAGGAGCGTCGCATTCCGCTGGAGGTACTCACAGATATGCCCGGTCGCAAAATGGCCAAACAACACGAACATCACATAACACTAAGCTGTCCCTGGTCGCGCAACGAGCTGCAGATACCCATCGAGTTTCAGTCGGCCATGGAGGCCACTTGCCGGCTGCACACATGCGGTACCCAAAAGTTCTTGCAGGTCATTATGAAGGGTCTGTATGCACGGCTGCAGCTGCAGCATGCCAAGGTCAAGTGCGATGTGCCTGGCGTGCGTCTGCTCGATCTCAATCCAGAGTCACAGCAACCAATTGTGAGTCATCAAAATCAAAAAGTAAAATGTTATTTTTTATTACAAAAGTGACCGATTGCAGGAGATTTACAAATCGCTGACAGTCACCTACTTGTACGAGATTCAGGTGGAGCCTCTGAAAACGGAGCACGAGCTGTCCATTGTCAAGGTGCATTTCGTGGTCAAATATGCAACGCTTGGCCAAACGCCCGTCTGGCGTAATTATGGCTGTGCCTTCGATCTGGTTGACTATTCAACGCTGTTCAAGCTGCAGGCACAGCTGGAGACGAGCGAACTGTGCCGCCTACGCACCGTTTGCAATTTGAATCTGAAGATCACCAAGGTCAATGAGAATCCGTATGTGGATCTAATGTACGAGGTGCTTAATGATCAGAATCTGTGGGCAGTTTGTGGTCGTTCCGCTGGTGAGTTGTCGTTTGTCCACTTTTCATTTCCCTATCTATATATGTGCTTTTTATTTTTTAATTCTAATTTCTTATCACACACTTTTATAATGCATATTAAGACATGGGTAAGTCTTTGGTTTATAAACACTCGCAGTTGCACTCACTATAACGCCTACAAGCTTAGAGTAAATAAAAATGATTATTTTTTTCCTGGATGTGAATATATTGTTATTTAGAATATCAACAAGTTTGGTTATTTTCAAAGTTTACATTGATTTTGGTTCGTAAATCTTCTAAATGATGACTTGATTTATTCGGTGTGACTTCTAAACAGTCAAAACAGGAATACATTCAAAATTTTCAAGAGCGCACCATAACTCTAAAAGATTTATTTAATACAAACTTAACCCGAAAAAATGTTAATTTTTATATCACATAGAACACAAAATATCTTATTTACTGCATAAGCGTAAGCTTCTAGGCGTTTTTAATAGTAATCAAATTATGTGTTCGGCTTGCCGACCTTCTGATCTTAAAGTAGTTAGGCTTTTAATTGGACTTTTGTTAACACAAACAAATTATTGCTTTGTCTTATTTGATTAATCGTAAACTTCTTACTTACTCATACTATATTTTCTTGCAGGTGTCGTATCCATGAGGGATGTGGATAGCCATTCTATATCGCTGGATGTTATGCCGCTGAGCACTGGCTTTTTGCCTATGCCCAGCATACGACTGTCGAAATATACCGAGGGTGGCAAGAATAAGGCCGATGCGCACTCCAAGGTGCATCCATTTCCGCCCGGCCAGGTGTACAACTCGACCAAGAGCATGCAGATCCATGTTATAGCGAGTGTGAGCGCCGAACAGTGAACAGCCAAATTTCTATAGCCAAGTATTATTTATTGTAATAAGCATCAAATTGTTAAACTAGCCTAACAATAAAGCATGCGGAATTAAAGATCCAATTCTTTGGCCAGTTTCACCAATTGTTGTTGCTCCACGCGGTAAAAGTGCCAGTTTTCTGTTGCCGTTAAGTCCGTAGCGCCCAGATGATCGTAGAACTCACGCGCCGGATTCCAGCTGAGCACGTGGAAGTCCAGTCGTCGGCAGTCCAGTTTTACGGCCATGGCGGCCACTTCGCGAAAGATGCGCGCACCGGCGCCGAGTTTACGATAAGCAGGACGCACATAGAGATCCTCGAGGAACAGGGAACGTCCCTGCCACGTGGAGTACGAGTTGAAGCAGATCGCATAGCCAATGCTCGAGCTGTTGAGACAAATATTCATATATGTATCAAGCGTTTTATCAAGTCGCCTGATAAGCTGCCGTCCAACGAGCAACGGGCACAAATGTTTGCCAAACAGATTTGTTATTTGGCTGGCACTCAAAATTGTTTGGCCAGTAAACATTTGCCTTACGTCTTTCATTTTGACGCCTAGCTTTCTACGTTCTTATCAATTTTTAGTGGTATTTACCTTGTGACATTGTCATTGAGCACATAGACTTGACAATATTCGGGTCCGCCATCTAGCCCGGCATCGCGTATCAGATCTGTGTGTGGGAAATAATTAAAATAAGGTGACAAAATTGTCTTGAAACTCCACTTACCCTCCACGGTCAGCTCGGGACCTTGGCTCATACGCTCGAAATCAGCTAGTTCCTGGGGATATGGAATACTTTATGGCATATGTGTGTTTATATTTCATCTCCTACCTGTATCATCTCTTGCACTGCTTTCATATCCGTTTTATCCGCACGCCGAAATGTAAATTGATCTTTTTGTGACATTTTTCAGCAAATTGCGAGTCTGATCTGTAATATAGTTTAATTTAAACTAATCGGACCTTGATTTGCTTAGCTGTCATTTTCCGAGCGGGCTTATCTAAAGACCTAAGAGCGCCGACCTTATCACATGTGTTGATATTCCAGTTGCAGCATTTAAGTGGCTAAAATTGCGCTCAGGGTTGTCGCATATTGAAAGTTTTAATGCTCATTGAACTAGTTCAAGCAATGCAATGTACATTTTTTAAATAATAATAAATAATTAAAGATTAAGATTTCCATTGATTTTTTTATGTTCCACAAAGAAGCACCATAAGTCCAAAAAAAATATATATATGTATATTAAATATGCGCTAGCAATATCTTTTCCCCAACTGGATTCTATAGACAAAATAGTTTTCATATTTATTTCCATTCCAAGTTGAATTATGAATAATGACTTTTTATTATTTACTTATGAAATAAGAAAAAAACATTAACGAAAGTCAAAATAGAACTGAATTTTAAAAACAGTACATTTCATAAAATAATATAATTGTATATATATACAAATATGAATCAAAAACTCATTTTAAAGCAAATACAAAATTTTTTGCCTTACTTCTAATACAATTTCGATTCATTTGACTTGGTGCATTAGATTCTCTTTAGAGAGAACGCTCCACAGTCTTATCAGTAGCTGAACACTCTGGCCGGGCACAGCTAGTAAACACAATTGACCCCTTACCAAACATTGAGACGCGTTTTACATATTTTTTCAATTTTTTCTTTTTTAGTAGAAATAGCTTTGGTTTTCAATATTGCTGTCGGGTGTTTGAGTTTATTTCTGAAATCTGCTGCTTATCTCCATCCAGCACCGTCACGATGATGCGACTAAAGATTGTACATATGTATATACAAATATATTTATACATAATTATATACAGTATATACTTGAGTATGGAACTGTGCTGGATTATTTATGAATTCCAGCTTCAGCTGGGAGCATTTTTCAATTTCTTTAGTATATATTGTTGTTATTGTTGGCGTTTGTTGAGTTGGGCTTATCTTGTTGCTGGTGTTTCGCTTATTGTAATACCCGCTATTTAATTCTATTTAAATGGTCATTTATATTTTATATTTAAATTAAATTATCGCTGGCATGTTGAATGCGCGCCACCAAAAACAAACCGATGCAAAGCAAAGCAAAACAAAAGGAAAGCAAAGCAAAGCCAGAGCTGATAAGCCCAAGTCGACGAGTTCCCTCCGGGAGCAGCCATATTGGCTCTGTATGTCTGTGCATATATATTTAATGCCCGTCTGATATATGTATGTACGTATGAATTAATACATACAAACATCTTTGGTAGGCTGAGATTCTTATGCTTCTTTAGTCTGCAGTATTATCTTTAGCGTCTTCCGGGCTTTGGCATGGAGTTGCCTGATATGTGTGCTGATAGGGCTGCCACACCCACACAATAGTCCATATTATCGCAGTTAAGGATCCGGGCCCTTTTCTTTCTAGCGGTTCGACGACGGCGCCTGCTTAAAGTTTCTTCTATGCAGGTTGTTTACCTTCTTATCTGACTCTTCGGCCATTGTTTGACAGTCTCTCGGCTACTCGTTTGCCCCTTATCACCACCGTTTGCAATATGTTCTTTGTGTGCATTGTACTTTTTATCACTTGTCGTGACGTCACAGCGACCGGCGTTTCGCTTGCAATAGAAGTTCCTTTGCACATTTCGGTTATCTTTTCCATTTTCACAATGTTATCTTATTGATTTTTGGGTATTTTTCTTTTTATATTGGCATTGTTGTTTTCAGCAGACACTTAAGCAGACTCTTGGGGGATCTCCTTGTTGATTTTATTTAAATTTGTTGTACTTCGACTTAAGCAATTGAAATTGTGATGCTCGCCAGATATTCGGCGTTCTAAATCGTACTTAAATTCGATGACAATCGAATACTAATTATGGTACTTAATAATTCATCTAATTGGATATATTCATATCCGAATTTCAGATAGAAATATAAGAATTCAATTCAATGAATTTTTTTAAGCTTTATTTTTATGGCTCCGATACAGAATACATTAATAAATTTATTCACTGGTTAAAATTGTATGTATGGTTATAGGTCTAGTGCGAGACTATAATCCCAATGAAAAAATCGATCGCATAGAATAATTTATGCGACTCTTTTGCTGTATTATTTGTAATCAAATAATACACATGATTTGATGTCTATTCGATCATTAGACAAGCATTATGAGTTGTTTATTTGCTGTCGACTACTAAAATGTATACATGTACATATATGTATATACATACTATATATATATGCTTATATATATATATACTTATATATTTGTATTGATGTGTGAGCTCATTAGTGGTTTAAATACTATATATGTTTTATGATTTATTTTGCGAATACGTAAAATTTCCAATTATTAGTCTGCGTAGTATTCGAAATTATTATACAAACTAATTTCATATATTTTATTCTGAGTACACCATTTTGCAGGTATTGTTTTTTTATGATAAGCAAATTTCTGGTAAGCAGGCCTAAAAAGGTTGTGACTGGATTTTTTCCCCGAATTTGCATTTCAATATTCAATTCAATTTATTGTGCGTATCAAAACATTTGATAGCATTAGTAAAATAAGAAAAGCTCAATTTTATTGAGAAAAATATATTTATGCTGTTCTCGATTTCGATTTGACAATCCAAACTTTTAAATCGGCTCTAACTAATTTGAGTGTTTAATGGAGGCTGATGGTGTTTATTATTATTATTTTTTTACATGAACGCATCTGATAGTGGCAATCAGTGTTGGCGGTGTTTCCCAAGTTTCCGTTGTCATCGTCACCAAAACAAAACCTTTCCAAACGTATAGAAAAATTGATAAGGATATATGAGCGCACACACACAGAAGCACAATCGCACATATATATGTATATGTATATGTATGTATATGTGTGTGACTGTATATGTTCAGTGTACAACGGAGAGACATACAGTTGGTCCGATAAGTATAGTCTCGCGACCGACGCGTGATGCAACTTAATCAAATCGGGTTTGGTCTCCGGACTTCTCGCTCTCTCTCTCGCTCTCTCTCACTCTCTCTGTCCGTGTGGCGTCAGTGGGGCTGGGTGGTGCTACGCCGGCTCAGATAGCCATATCTTGCGGCCGCCGGTCGTCCAATCGGAGGAGAGGCAGCCAAACTACACACACCGGCCAGCAGGGATCGGGGAGCGGGTAACGAGTTCGACCGTTTCTCCGATAATAAAGTAGCTACCGAGCTGTTGTTGTTGCTGTTATTGTTGCTTGTTGCGTTTTTGAAAAGGTGATATGAAATGTGCTCTGATAAGTTTTAATCAAGAATATTTTACTCGTATTGCTTTGGTGGGACCGGGGTCTCAGTCTCACGAGTAGCATTTGAAAAGTTGTAGTAGTAAGTCGCCGCTCGGTTCGTACCGGACAGATGCGGGTGTCGTGTCCCGTTGTCCGTTGTCAGTTTTCCGTTGTCAGTTTTCCGTGTCCGATTTCCTGTAGGCTTTGTAGGCCGTGCCGCGTGATAATCACACTGATTTCCAGTGGGCGTGCAGCAATGCAAAAATTTTTAAAGCGAAATTGTTTGCGGCGATGGGAAATCGGTATGGTAAAAATATGAAAAATATTGCGCCGGCGCATGGAAAATCCTTTTTTGAATATATATGTACATATATATATAAAAATATTTGACCGCAAAACGTGACGAGTTTAACCAACAGCCAAGGGGCGCCCGGAATCCCCGAAAGAGTTGTCATTTGTACGGCGTGCCCACTGTGACACATTTATGCGGTCGCATAAACAAGGTTAACGCCTACGAAATCTCAAGCCAAATGCCAAAACTCGAAGCGCACAAACAAATTACAAATTGAACGCTGGCTTCGAGTCAGATGCCAGATGCCCGTTGTCCGATGCCTGATGCCCGATTGCCCGTTCTTCTGCCTCCGGTTTCATCATTGGCCATCGACCACATGTGTCTAGTCGAACGCCCCTCATAATGAGCGCGTCGGATCTGAAGCTAACCGTGGATTACTACTCAATGATCGAGTCATTTCCGTACGGGGTTTGCACGCGTCACAATGACTCATATGTTTGGTTAGCTGAATTATAGTCACATTGTGAGTATTATATATCTATGTTCAATACTATTGTGGGAATAATAATCAACAGTTCAAAGTAAAAATGAATAAGAATAATATATTTTTATATAAAAATCTTTATTATTATAGTAATCATGTTATTATATTATTTTAATATACGTATAACTCAACTTGTACAACTTAATATGTACAACATAATAATAGAATATTATGCACATATCCCAAGTTGATAAACAGTGACCACAACACAACCACTTGCTTGGAACAGAAAACTTGCAGTTAAGTCCTAGAGTACATACTTTTATGTACATCTATGGATGTTGTAAATTGTCTTTGTAGTTAGTACTATGAGCAAATGACTGTATACTTAAAAGTGGCAGAATTATTACGATCACATGAAACCAGCATGACGAACAACGAACCCAAAAGCGCAGCTCTCAGTTTGTACTGAGTGTGAGTGCTCCGAGATGGCAAGGGCGAAGGTGGAGGTGGAGGCGTAGGTCTTGCTTGGAAAGGGGATGGGAGACGTGGATGGCGGCTGAGGCAGACGTGCGTTGTACACGGTCGCTGTCAGTGAACAAGTGCTCCACATACATACATACATACATACATTATGTATGTATATATATATGTATGTAAGAGTATGTATTTTAAATGGGATTGAGTGCGAGCAGAGCTGCGACCATAGCAAAAACTGCGGTCCCTCGACTTATATATATATATATATATATATATATATATGTGTGTGCATGCGGTCGACGGGCAATGACGGCCTTATCAATAGGCCCCTACAGTAACAGCAACAACAGTAAAATGTACATTATATGAAACAAAAATGGGAAAAAAAAATTAAAATAAAATAAATGTGTTGAAGAAAAAAAAGCGACGTTGCCTCGAAAGAATTGGAAAACAACAGAAATATATGTATGAGTATTTACATATGTAATATATTTATGTATATTCATGTACGTTAAAGTTATGTGTAGATATATACATT